GGGGATGGAGGGGCATACATTGACACCCACAGAGCAACGCCATCGCCGTGCATGACGCATTGCATGCCTCATAACCAAGCAGGTTTGTTGGGTCCTTCTTTTCTGACCTGCGAGATAACCGATACTGCGTCCGCCCATAGAGGATGCACGGACACCAAATACCCATGCAGCAAATTCCTGGGTCTCTGCAATCGCACAGACCGTGTGTCCAGGTTCCCCCCCTTACGTCCTGCCTGGGATGGGTTACTTGACCAGGTGCGTGACTGAAGTCATGTTGAGTAGTCCTTGTGCCCAATTGTGACTGGCTCCTGGAAAGCGAATTGTGCGGAGCCGTGAAAGTCCTGTGTGGTGAGACGAGTGGGTTGCTGTCTGGAGCGACGGTGTATGTTGTCTGCTGCCGCGGCGGTTGTGTGCCTGGCCCCTCAGGTTGTTTAGGTGGTAGCGGGCCAGGCGACGGGGGTGGAGGGCTTTGATATCGGGGGTACTGCACCTGTTGTTGCCCGGGTGGGATGATAGGGGAGTCTGCATATGGGGCGTACTGGGCTGGATGTTCTGATAAGGGTGGCGGTACGGTATTCAGGGGTGGGTCGTTCGGAGGCTGGCTAAGCGCCGGCTGAGCCGGAGGAAGAGCCTTCGTAGCGTCCGTGCTATACGCCAACTGGCGGAGGCCTTGATGTTCTGGAGACGATGCTGGGTCACTCTGGGCCGGCCGTCTGTCGGTGGTGTTGGAGGGATTCGAGTTCCGGGGCAGGAAGGTCGGTGCCTGGTACTCTGCTGGAGTGTTTAGGAACGAATACCGCGCCCCCGGAGCATTGCTGCTGACTGGCTGGAGATGGAGTGGCGGGTTGGACATCGTCGCTGTGCCGCATGAAATCCGGCTCGTGTCTGCTGTCTCTGCGGCGGTCAAGGTCGCGGATTCGCAGCCGCCAGGCGAGGTCGGTTAACTAGCGAGCCAACTGGTTGACTGAGTCCACCAGCGTGTCCTTGAACGGTTGAGCAGGCAGAGGCAGAAAGCGTCTCTTCTGCTAGCCAGTCAGTCAGTAATCATTGGAAAAGGAGTACGGCGCACAAAGAAAGCAATGGACAGCCAACACTCGAGAGCTTCTCCAACGCAGGCGCCGGCCATGGCAGCGCGGCCACTCGCTCAAAAACGAGCATGCTGCCATGAAGCCACTGCTCAGCGGCAACGAATAACAAGCCCGCGCAGGGATGCCGTTGATTAGCGCCCGGTCTAGCGAAGGCTATGCAGCGGCGCCGTCAATCCACCCGTCGCAAGCAGCCCAAAAATACCCGCAATGCCAGGTTGATCGCTGCAATGGTGCAGGGGATGGCCGCGACCGCACGAGCTCCACGCACGCAAGTCGTGTTAGACGCCTGGAGACCGCCAGGGAAAAGGGGGCCAGGACGAGCACGATCGATCAACGAGAGGCTGGTGCTGTTTCTCCAAGGTTGTTTCGGGGGTCGGCCGGCCACGCATGCGCTGCGACACAGGCCAGCACGCCGACCGTCGCACACGCTGTGCAGTCTCCAGGCATGCGGGTCAAGTCACACTCAGACTGTGATGGCCGTCGCGGCTTGACGGGGATGCATCCTTTGGCTGCCGCAGGACATGCGCGACCGAATCAGCGGCCGAGACACGCAAGACGGGCGGGGATATCCTCGCCCCAAGAACGGAAAATGGATCGCTAGAAGGCCGTGGCGGGGCTAGCTAGAGTCATCAAGGCGAGCTGCTGGGGTCGATGGTGTTTACTGGAGCTGTTTCAAATCCAAGCCTTGTGAGAGTTCGAGGTGTACTCCGTAGGAGCGGAAGTTGACGATGATTCTGCGCTTAGTTAACTGTCAATATCGACAACATCCCAAAGGCCAACCTCGCTACTTGAGCTATACTCCGTACTCCGTATGCACAAATCTCATTTCACACCTATTATGCTTTGCTCCATAGATGAAGCAGGGTAACCACTAGTTACTGAAATGTGTACTCTGGACGGCATACACATATACCCTAGTTTTTGCTATTATTTTCGCCTGGCCACTCTAGTAACTAGTTATGCCGTAGTTCAGCATTGGTAGCCCGAGACATATCGAGTGGCTAGTGAAGCCGGATCACAGGCTGCAACCACGAACCCCCCAGGCCCCCAATACCGCCGCTGTTAGGAACCGGCACTAGTAACTGAGCGCACAAGTTGCACAAATTCCTTGCTCATCCAACCCAGATACTGCTTCCAAGCATGAAACTCACCCGACGTCTCCGCTGCTGGGAATGCCATCTGCAGTTCGCGGCTAATTTTCACCACGCCCAATGATGCTTCCTGTGCCTTTTCTAATTCTTGCTTCACCGCCGATTCCTTCAGCTTGGTTGATAGGATGCGTTTGAACGGCTCACAGAATGTATTCAGGCGAGCTTCGGTTTCTTTTGGGGCAAGTGTAATCAGCTTCGAAACCATCAAGTTACAGAGCGTTCGAATGTCCTGCTCATCTTGGATTCCGGCGAGGATTCGGTCATATATCTCTGCAATATTCAATATAGAATGTGCCGTTTCAACGCAGGTATAGAGGGTTTCATACGCGCTCTGCGAAGAGAATCAGTATGGAGGTTCAAAAAGGGGGCTTAAAATTACCTTTCGAAGCTCCAGTCCATCGTCCACCTTGTGCTTGAAAGGACCCATTTGGACTTCTCGCACCAGCTCTGGTCTGAGGTACGTATCTTTAATCACTACAGGAAGCAACTGATTGAGGTGGGGAAGAACAAGGTCGGGCTTATTATGGATCGCAGAGTTTACTGTAGTCAGGGCAAGTCGATGATTACCTAGATCCTCATCGGCGAGCATCTCAGCCAAAATTGGGACGATAAGAGGTCGAAGAACGTCGTTATACACATTGCTAGAGTCTGCAAGTGTATAGCGGAAAGCTGATATGATGGTGCCTCTAGTAGCAATGCTATTATCACCCAGGTATGTCTGCCATAGAAGATGCATTCGTCAGTATAGCTAATACTAATTAGCTTCGGAGGAACCCACCTGAAGAAGGGGAATATAAGCTTTCGGGTCAATCAAAGCCAGTCGTCCAATACACTCTGCGCCCACGACACGGTTATCCTCATCATCAGAAACAGCAAGAAGGATCTCCCAGAGCCTTGTAGCAAAGGGTGCAACGTCTGCACGAACACTCTCGGGATGTTGAAGTATTTCCCTTAGCGAATGAAGAAGTAAATATTTTGAAGAATCCTCAGTCTCTAATTCTGCGAGAATGACAGGTAGATAGGCGTCAATATTATTTGCACCAGCGCTGCCGAGAGCAACCGCTGCCGATAGGCGTACTTTGTCCGAGTTCGAGTCAAAGTTGGAGATAAAGAGCTTAGGTGCTAGGGACGAGTTTTTTCCTAAACGAAGTCCAATTTCTCCCAGGATAGCAAGCGCAAGACATTTTCGCCTCACGTCCTGTTGCATCTGTAGCTCGGTGAGGAAATCCTGCGACGTTACGCCAATTTTCGATCCTCCAAACACGACTAGAGTTCCAATGGCTCTGCCCACTATTGAAGGGTCGCCATTGACGCCGACATCTTGTAAAAGTGCATTCATGAATGGTCCTCCTGCTTTTTGTTCTCCAATGACACGGACAAGGTGTAGGTATACTTTTAATGCCAAACCGCTAGGAGATCCTTGAATAACTGTGCATAAGACTTTAATCATGTTTGTATCCATAAGCTGGTCAGTGTGGCCAGGAATAATTTTCGAGAGAATGATAAGCGCTGGTGTAAGAAGATGAAGGTCACTAGCATTGAGAAGTGGAAGAAAGCTATTGGTTAAATCTTGGAGCGTCTTTGAATTATAATGCTGTCGGCAATTCGCATTTGTAGTGAGACTCTTGAGTGCCCCTATTGAGGCATCTCTCAGAGCACGATCGGACTTCCGCAATTGTGCTCCAAGATCCAATGTTACTTCGGCTAGCCATGCTGTAGAAATATCTGAGTCGCAGTTTGCAAACGCTGCAACATTGCTAATAGCACGGGCAGCAGCAACTCTCGTGGTCTCGTTCTTTAGGCGATCAGCAATTATTGAAAGACCCTTAGCCCGTTGTAGAGATGAAAGGAACTTTGTTCCTAGTGGTCCAGATGTTCGTGCAAGTAGGACGCCAATAACATGAAGTGCACGTTGGCGTACCTCTAAATCTGCACTATTGTCCATGATTCTGTTAATAACTACATCATAGAGCTTGTCCAGCTGCGGTCCCAGATCTTGGTCATCCGGTGACACCCGGGGGGGTGTCATTGCCTTGATGATCTCTTCAATAGCTCCAAGGGATTCGCTTGCGACCTTATAATTCTTCTCTTCAACCGCCATAATGACACCAGGTACCAATGCAATCAAAAAGGGTAACAATCCATTTGAAGCATGCGTTTCAGCAATGGTAGCAATGAGGTTAAGCGTGTCAATCTGCAAATTTCCGGCAGTGGCCGCCGTTGCTCCAGCGGTCGCGGAGCCGCCACCACCAGAACTTTTGAGGGCATCTGCAATCGGATCCTCTATTCGCTGAAGGTAATCTGCAAGTCCGCCATAACGAACTAGTGCTAATGATTTCAATAAGTGAATTGCCGCTTGTCTCAAGGGCACCATGGCTCGTTTCCACAGTTTTACCACCCCTTGAACAATTCCTGGTGTTAGTCGCATTACCTCACCAAGAGCAGCAGTTTGTGGAAGCGGAGGAGTGACGACAGGCGAATCTAGGGCTGATGAAGCATGAGTTATTTCGGGCTCGTAATCCGATATGTGGCCTTCGCTGTCTTGACGCCTCCTTTTACGAGAAGCTTTTGTCTGTGACTTAGATAGAAAAGGGGCAGCACCGACGCTCGCAGACATCTCCCCCGCCCTTTTAACGAGTCCTGTCATCGTTGTAATAACCTCAAGCTTGACATTTTCTTCCCTTTCTTTGGCAAATCGCGAGAGAACAGCGGTAGCAATTTTCTGATACACAACACCATCATCTCTTGGATTTGAGGACGTCTGGCCTTGAGTAGAGATGATACTGCATAGTAACTTGGCAGAGGAACGGCGAACCTTCCAACTTAGGTCATCAATATCACTATAGCCCTCTTCTTCCTCGAAATCTTCATAGCCATCGTTGTCCCCCTCTTCTGGCTCTTGGGTATCACCTTCGTCACTCCCTTCATCCTGAGTACCGCCCATCTCCTCGTCTTCAAACTCTGCGACATTAGGATCATATTTAAGATATCGCAGGGCCGCTGCAATCGAATCCATTAAATAAGGTTGCATGTCATTGGTGCAGTAGGTGATCAAAATATCAAGAGCTCCAAGTGCTGTTTCACGTAGCTCGTCTTCTTTAGGGTCGTCTTCAGAATCCGATTCGCCCTCTTCCATGTCCTCCATCCCCTGCACGCTGACGGCGGACAGAACAAACGGTGCCAGTGTTTTCAAATATGGACTAAATTTTGAAGGGATTGATTTTCCTAGTGTAGAAACAGTTGCAATAAGATGACGGCGGATGTCAGTCGTGAGGTGGGAAGAGCGAAACCCTTCGATTATCATCGAAACCAAATGGCTCAGCTGACTATCAGAGAAATAGACAGCGAGAACCGATATTGCAGATAGCGCTCTTTTGGTGGCCACAGTTCCTGCATTCTTATTCTCAATAATATCAAGCATTGTGCGTTGTATGTCCGCTAGTTGAGATTCATCCAACAACGGCCCAAAGGATCTCACCACCTCAACTAAGACATCGATGGCATCATTACTATATCCTTTTGTTCCATTGCCCGCTATCATGGATTTCTCGCCTCCAGATCCGACTAAGCGGGGAAGTAAGGTAGTCGAAACTACGATATAGCATGTTTGAGCTTCACTGGACACGGCGGTGCCAATAGTTGGGTGCGGGAGGGCAGTCAAAATAGCTCTCAGAGCTGTATTTGGAACCGAGGTATCGATCGTTTCAGAATCCGTCAATTCGCAAAGTATTTGGATGAGGTGGCTTAGAGTAGGCGGTGGGACACGACGGGCGAGGGGGGAGAAACTGTAGACTTAGTATAATGCCTTCAATACGGGTAGACCTGAGCAGGAGTCATTACCATTTCAAAGCTTGGTTTTGTACCTCACCATGTTGATCTTCTAAAGCTTTTAGGAGGCCCTCGGAAACCTTGCTAATATAATGCTGCTCTTGCGGGAGAAACGATGAGTTTGGATTTACCAGAATATCATGGAGGTCATTGAGTGACATGTATCGGATGTCTGGGTCAGGGTCAGAGAATTTTGGGAGAAGAGAGCTTAAACTGATGACAACAGTTTTTCTATCCATCTTGTGCTGGTGAATCCGGAACGGTAGTTTATAATAAGGAGGGGTAGGAGAGGATAAAATGCACGCCTTAAGGCTGAGTTTTGAAGAATGAGGAGCGTGCAAGCAAGCACCAACTAAAATGAGCAAGGGTTGTAAATATATGAGATCGAAGAGAAAAAGGGTGAATGCTTAGTTAATGTAGTGCGTCGTTGTGAAATCACAAAGGTGGGATGGCATCAATGGAGGGAGCTCTGTGGCCAAGCTGACTAGAATATGCAGCCCACACAACTGCCCAGGTCACTGCAGCTAGCTGGCCTCACAGCTAGCAAAAAAGTGAAGCTCAGAGCAGGCGGTGCTGTTCAAACTTCTATCTCTCTGGTCTTCCCTGGCCTCGTCTTTGAGAGCTGTCTGTTCCTGTTGTCGAACTGCTGCCGAATGTTTGTCTTGTTTGCAGATTGTTGCACGTGCGTGATTAGTCACCATGCCTCGCCATTCCGATTCTCAGAATCCCGACGGCCAAATCTCGCTTCCGCTTTCTCTTTGGCCTTCCTCAGCTGCGATCGCCCTCTCCGCTCCCCTGTCTGCCGTTCATTCTTTATCGCAATGGTGCTCCCACGCTCTACTGCCGCTTTTCGTACGCTCCTTTCCACCCAATCGAAGAGAATAGCTCCTCGTGCGGCTCGATCTTCCCGGGTTTGGCAGCAGTCTAGCCGGCGAGGCTATTCGGCTGAAGGTGGTGCGGATTCGCATAAGGCAGGCAGTGATCTTCCATGGTATGTCTTATTCTATAGACGCTATCAATTGCCTCATCCGAAGCTTGCAATGATGGTGTAGACACATGCACGTCTCGAGCGTTTACTGAGTTGTTTACTGTGGAGCACCTTCAATTGAATAGGATTCTTGCTGATTGACCTCAAATGATCTAGGCTTATTGGTTCCATCGCAATAACTGCGCCATGCGCTTATTATCTCTATAAATCCGGCCCTTCAAACAGTAGTCACGGTCACGACCACGGCCATGGCCACGACAACGCTGCTGAGTCGGACGACTCTCAACCTAAGGAGGCCAAAGATACCGAAGAACCTCAAGAACAGGCAAAACCAGAAGCTGTCGCCACTCCTGCTGCTGAAGAGGAAAAAGCTGCACCCACCTCGGCTAATGAGAAAGTATGTTGACTTGCATCCTACTTCCCCATCTATTCCTTTCCGGGCTGGATTGGAACCTTCGTCATCATGAAATAACCTTGTAGCTAACATTTTTCAGTCCAATGACGCCAGTGAAGCCTCCGAGACCGAAACTGAAAAGGGCGAGTCTAAGGAGGCCGATGCGCCAGCAGCGGATACCAAGACGGCTCCCGCTGACAGCAAGAAGCCCGAGGGCGATTCTAAAGCCGAATAAACGATCCTATTGCCCTAAAGACATGCTACCAATTCCATGGTTGACCGCCGCCATAACCAGAAATACCAAAGATAGTTTGTAGTGAGGAAGTGGCAGTAAGATAGATGAGTAAACGAGCGATGTACTCAGTACAGTTGCAATATGTAATTTAAAGAAAAATTTATTGGTTCCTGAGAATTAGGGTTCTGTACAGCTTATAACTAGAAGCTGCATACTATTCTTAGAATACAGGAGTAAAATAGTTAACATGCCTCATTGAGTATTTTGCTCTTCATACATCATTCGGGAATTTTTATTATGGTGGCATTATACATTAAAATAAGATATGCAAGCAATCGGCAGGCAGTATTCCTCCAATAACAAGCATCTTTTAAAAGAGAAAAGAAAAGGTAACAAGAAATAAAGGCATGATGAATGATAAGCGCAGTTGCTTGCGGTAGGAGTTTCCAGGACCGTCTTGCCTCAATTTCACGAAGTGAAGTTTGAAGAAAATCAAAAATCAGAGTGCGAGGCTGCCAGCCCGCAGGAATTAAAATATAAAATAGCAAATTTCAGGCATTAAAAGGAATACATCGAAAAGCAATAAAGCCGAAAGTGTATGGACGTGGTTAGGAGTTCCAGTGCCCGGCTAATGCATAAGTGTGCTGAGGCAATCCAACCCCAAATAGTTTCCGTATTCGAAATGTTGGAGAAAATAGTAACGCAGATCATGGAAAATTGGCACAATCAACAGCCGAAGCTTACCAAAACGCCGGGGCTAAAGTCAATTGTAAATTCGGATGAAGGCGGAGAGAGGTAAAGTCATCGGTCGGGAGCGGGACATAAAGGCCACTTAAGAATCCATAGTCGTCTCCTTTGTGTAGGTGTATGAAACACAAATCTCCGTCATTGGGTCAAAAATGACGGTAGTCTTTGAAGCAGTGAGCAACATATTGCTGTTGTGATCATCACTTCTCTTTGCCATTTGTTAGTGCTCCAACATGGTTATGAGCTTTGGAGCCATTAGTGGGTGCGCTGCTGGGATTTTCCTTTTGCATACTCCTTCTCCTGGCCTGCTCTTGGCTACTTCCATTCAGTAATATTGTTGGGATAGGCTGTGAGGAAACTGTACGCATCTGCGCTTCATCAGGCTCGGCTTCATCCTCCTCTTCATTGTCGCTTCGTTCATCTTGTCGAACGTTGCTAAAAGCGTAATTTTTTGCGATACGAAGGATGAGATAAAGCCAGAACAAGTTCATGGCTTGGAGGGTGCTTAATAGTATAAGTGCAATATACTGGCTGATCCAGCACTTATATTGCTGTTTTCCCCAGTCGAGTTCGAATGGCCCAACGGTGCGGAACTCAGTCAAAACAGCCCAGATTATGCGCCAGTTCAGATAATGTCTCATGTAAATCCAAACAACAACAAACAATGCGAAATAAGGACCAATTATGGGAGAATCCAAGTAGTTCAATGTTTTGGAGGTCTAGTAGAAACCAATAAACCATTAGCTTCATGTAGTTAAGAAAGTGTAAAAAGTGAAACCAAGCATCACTCACTGCAAGAAAGAAGTCCGAAATATCATGTGTAATATATACAGCCAGACCAATGTGAGTGAAGTGGAAACGATAACTCAGTCCAATTAAAGTCAGCGTGACAATATGGTGTCCCACTAGCTCCTTGAAGTCTTTCCTGGGCTTCTCTAGCTGGAGCAACAGAACGATCGCCTGCTGGGTCCAGTAGCTTGCCTGGAGAAGATAGTAGGCTTTGAATTCCGCAGTGTGGGTTTTATGTGGGAAATCACGGAACATTGCTGTGGTGTTGAAATACCAGGTATCGGTATGGCTCATGACATACAATCCATAAGGGCCGAAAATAGCAAAGTATATGGCTGTGTAGAACTGCTCCATGAAACGCGCAGTTTTTGCCTTGCCCTTGATTCCCCATTGCTGGCCCAGAGGCTTGATTATTCTTTGCATCAAGTACTCACGTGTGAATGAGAGAACAAGTGTGTAGAACCCCACAAATGCTAGGTCAGCCTGGCCTTTCCCATACATGATAGGGCCGCCAGGTATGCTAGGAGGAAGACGGTAGGAGAGAAAGAGAAGCTTGTGGATAGGATTTGCCTCGTTTGGGTTTATAGCATAGGCAGACAAAACAATCGTTAACAAAACGAGTGGGATGGTCCAGGTGTGTTTCAGACACACATCCTTGCAGCGGCGAAACAACGACGGATTCCGTCGTCGCTTTGAAGGAGAGCGGGTACTCTTTTCAAGAGGAGAGCGATCCTGTGGTGTCCATATTAGAATTGTTGGGGTGGAGGTTGTGGAAGCAAGCTATACCTCGTACAATCCGGTGGGCTCCATGGCCGGAGCCGTCATGGTGGGCGAGGCCCGAAAAGCCGTGGAGTCGCTCTCCCGTCTCATATTATGTACCTCGACGCAACGGATCTTGCCTGGAGCACAGACATACAGGCCAAGGGGAGAGGGTTGCTCGGCGAGCTCAACCGGATGGCTGTGCAGCGCCTGCAGAAAAAAAAAGGGTCCGGCAAAGACTAAAGGAAGGCTGTGGTGCAGGGCTCCGCCTTCCCAAGAGACGTCACGATGGAGAGGGGAATAACGGCCGCAAATGAATGTACTGGTAAAGAGCGCAGGTGTCGGATCAGTGCAATCTCACGGCCGCTTGTCCAAAGCAAAAGGCAATGCGCGATATCGCGGAAATTAGGCCTGGAATTTTCGGCAAGGGGTGTTTGCGCTGTTTGGCCGCGCCGGCTGTCGGGTGATCTATATTCCGGGTGGGTCATATGACAAAATGACGTCACCGCATATCAAGCAACGCCAAGCTATGCCGCATTCGGGCACGGGCCATCGTGACAGGCTTATGGGAGCAGACGACAATATCAATTGTTCGCATCGACAATGTCATTCAAGATTACTTCGCATATAGCTACGAACTATTCCATAACACAACCATTCTCCGACTTCATCACCGGAAGCTCTGCCATGTGGAGCTTTGCCGTCCCATAGGGTACTAATTCGACCTGATAAGGCTTGCCCACGCAGACTCTCTTTTCACAGTGCGGAGGGTTTGGTGCGTGTCCTCTAGGCTCTGTCAGGTCCCATTCAATGTCGCATACAGTTGCCGTAATGGTGGTAACGGAATTGCCCTCTCCCCACACTGGTCCTGGAAGAGGCTTCGACGGGTCAGGTAAGCCTTTGAAACGCAGCGACGAGGGATCGATGGCCAACCCCCAGTTTTTCCTTGGAGTCATTGTATATTCGCGCGCGAGTGGAGGAGCGCCAGGATAGGTTGACTGTTTGTATGTCACATCTGGGTTCAGAGCCACAGCGTAAAGCAACGCGCCGTGGTAGATTGATACAGTATTATTGTCACGAGGGACAGTCCGGATGCCCGTGTCGAGTGAATAGGTGATAACATGCTTTCCACCACGAAGGTAAATGGCTTGCAAGCCATTTTGAGAGTCTGGCGATACTAGGCTATGCTCGCTGCCGTCTACGGAAAACCATGATCGTTGTGTTTCCGCCCATTTCGGGACTCGAACATGAAATGTAAAATCGTCTTCGCTCTCAATATCATACCAGAAAGCATGGCTAAAGGGATATGCAGTACTGCAGGCTATTTTAACCTTGTTGCCAGATTTCGTCGTGGTCTCGACAGATCCAGGTCCGAGCAATGCATGTGCGATGCCATCATCGCCTGCTCGAACAAACATATTGGATATGAACTTTGGGTATCCCTGCGGATAGTTAACCGTGCAACAGGGATAATTTGGTTCTAAACCGAATGTCTGGGCATTCGTTCCGACGTTATGCCAGGGACTGCGGCTGACAATGTGGGAAATTGGCTGATTGGTCTGTGCGATATACTGATGTGCCCACCAATCGGTGGTCACCATGACTGGGAGAGCGTTGAAGGCGGCAAGTTCGCACCTATCGGCATAACCCTTCTCTCCTGTGGCCTGGTATAAATAGCTGAGAGAATACATTGTCTCAACAACAGAGCAGAGTTCGACGCCGCGCACAGGACTAAGCCCAGACAACCGCTCATCTGCAATAACCCCGCCAGACGGCGTTCCATGATACTTGAACGTCAGATCGACACCCCTTCTGGCAGACTCGAGCAGACCATCATCATGTGTGAATCTTCGGATAATCGCACTTGACTTAAGGCCCTGTCCGATGTTCACACCGTGCTCAAAGTGATAGTATTTATTCGTAAAATTGTCTGGAAGAGTATCAAAATCCACTTTGGGATATACATCTTCGCCATACCACCACGACCAGTCGTGACCACCTTTTCGAAAAAACTCCATGCAGTCAAGCAGCTTCCCCTCATTGTCTCGAGGGTCCCTTTCGTACAACCACTGAAGCACCAAGATCATGTCAGAGGCACGAGATCGGCCCCATTGCTCGTCGAATTTATCCCCGGGGTGCGCAACCAGACCCTGAAGATTATCGGAAAGCATCGAATGCATAATATCAAGGAACCTGTGCATTGAATTCATAATATCGTCGGCAATTTTCGTTCCTGGCTCCGCTTCCGCCATCTGAGCCAGGCCCATAACTAAGGGCGTTCGCCCCCAGAAATTCCGCTGCAAGTGCTCCGTCTCGGGACCAAGCCAACCATCATCTTGTTGATGAGAAATAACATAGTCGGCGATTTTCCGGACTTTGCCCAAGAGATCTTCGTCCCCCGTCTCGTAGGCAAGAGGGACAACGCCGTTAAACCAGTAAGGCAACGCTTCGTTCAAGTCACTGTAATCACGGCTTCCACCAAGCCATCGACTATCACGGACGACCTGATAGAAGTCATGTTCGTGTCCCGGGAGACCTTTTACCATAGCTTTTGCTTCTTCAAGCAACCAACCACGGGGTTTGATAGCACCCAACGGAAGAGGTTCGAAATTAAGGGGAGTGAGCTCCCCTGGAGTTGCCACTGCACATTAAGAGTAAGTAAGTACAATGAATCAAGAACGAATCAATGTGACATACTTCGTTTCTGGTCTGTCATCCACATCATCGGGAGTTGACCCGTTGGTGTTTGAGAGGTATCTGGACCGTCGCGGCGCAGACTGGTTCGAAACTGACACCCCGTAAACTGGACAAAACACAGGGCCAGCAGTGCAAAGACAAAAAAATACCTCCATCTCTTTGACGGCGAGGAGGGCGAGCCCGTACTTGCGGCTGACTGTTCCAGAGGGTTGCCCATAGTTGCTATTCTGCTGATAACCGCGGCGTTCCGGGGGAAGCGGAGTGTTGAAGGGGTTCAAATAGCATGAGCCTCCAGCTCACCCCATCGCCTGATCGGCAGTAAACAGTACTTGCGGCAGGAAGCAGGTGATAGGAGCAGGCCTGGTCATTTGGGTCTGCCCGTGTGTTCACTTTTGTTTGTTACGCCTGGCGATCATGCGAGCGAGGCGCGCGACTGACCGCGGCTGGGCGGGAAAGCCACGTGAGCGGAGCTAACTACTGCACGGGCCTCGTACCTGCCAAGGCCGATGACGTCGTGAACTTGGATTCAACATACGGAGACATGTATGTCGGGGTTCATTGCTGTATGTAAAACTATCGATGAACCAGTAACTTCTCCGTACAGCAGAGAGCCTAGCCTGGTTCACAATGACTTAATTACATAACGGACCAGCATTTCTTAATTATTTATCCTGTTTTATTACTACTGCTACTACAACTACTTGCTAGTTATGATGTCTTAAGTCGCAAGATCGCCTCTGCTGATTAAGCATCGGAGACTTTAATTTGCCTTGTCAGCGGTAGGCTGTTCTGTTACAGAGTCCCGTTGAAGCTTGTCCTCTTCGTCTCGGGCCCCGGTTCGCTCCAATTGAGCCGCCCTGTCAAAGGCGACTCTGGTTTTCCACGCCGGGATGTTGCTGGTGAACAGGTCCTCAACCTCTTCAAGGGTCTTGCCTGCTGTTTCCGGAAACATGAAGAAGACGTGCACAAACATTGCGGCGCAGAAGACGCCAAACAGGATGTAAGTGCGCCATTGGATATTGACAAATGCAGGAGGAACGAAGTATCCAAGGGCAAAGTTAAACGCCCAATTGGCTGATGTGCAGAGTGCCACGGCTTTGCCACGCACCCGTAAGGGGAAGAGCTCCGGCGGGTATATCCATGAGACAGGGCCCCAGGTGGGGGCGAATGAGGCAACAAAGAGATAGGAACATGCAATGATGACTTTGCTGGGGGGGCCATAGATCTGCCATGAAACGGCTTCGATTCCATCAAGTCCTCCAGGAGGAGCAGGGGAGCCATAGGTGGCGAGTACGCCAGCATTGATAAAGAGCCAAATCATCATGAAGAAGGCACCGACCAGAAGTGTTGGACGACGGCCCCAGCGGTCAACAAACAAAAGTGCCGGAATTGTCATGCCGACGTTGATAACATACTGAATGCTGCTGGACACCAAGAGCGTGCTACCCTTAAGTCCCGCCATAGCAAACACATATCTAATTCGGCGTTAGGAAAATTATATCGCGTTACACAGTGGGACATGATCTTACTCACGTAATATAATACATCATAACGTTCATGCCAGTCAGCTGACTCCAGATCTGGGTGAAAACTCCAACATGGGTGCGGTTGATCATACTGGGTTTCAAGAGCTCCCAATAGGTGACATCAGCGTTATGCATCTCAAACTCACACATATCTCGGATTTCTTTAAATTCGCGCTCCACAAACGGCGAGTTTGGGTCCCCTTTCCCATGTACAGCGACAAGAACTGCGTGGCATCTATCCCACTTGCCTTTCCGAGCAAGCCACCGGGGAGATTCTGGGAGTGGAATCATACCAAGCAAGAGCAAAACTGCAGGGATAGCCTGCAGGCCCCACGGGATGCGGAAAGCAGCTGGACCCTTTACAAAGCTGCAGCCATATGAAATGCTAAAAATATTCGGTCAGTGCATGAAAGCAATAGGCAGGAAAAAATTTCCAAGTCGTACTAGAACATGATCATGATACCCCATGTAATAGCCCATTGCTGACATCCGACAAGACGACCACGCTTGGAGGGGGGGGCAAGTTCTGAAATGTAAACAGGGACCTGTGCGGAGCAGATGCCAACACTGAGTCCGTTTAGGACGCGACCCACGATCAGCATTGTAATATTTTGAGAGGCGCAGACGATGGCAGAACCGATAATCCTAATTGTGGCACGATCATCAGTACAATAACAAACAAAGGGTTTCTGCAGCTACGTGGTTACTATCAGCATAGTATAGCTTACCAGATGACCGCGCCCCACATGATCGCACCCTTACGACCACAAATATCAGACAGAAAGCCAGAGATAATGGCGCCCAACCATGAACCGCCAGCCATTGACGCGGTGATACCTCCCTGCACATTAGGTTTAGGGCCACCGCATTTTTTGCCAGGAGTTTTGGGGTATTGATCAAAGTAGCACAGGTACTGTTCAGTTCCTAGGATAGCTGACATAGACGAAATATCAAAACCGAACAAGCCACCGCCGATGACGGCGATGGCGGCAATGAAGTAGATGTTGCCAGTGAACATGTTGCCCGGCGGGTATCACAACCCAACGAATTACACGAGAAGGATCAGCCTTGCTTGAGTGCACCCAGCTGCACTCAACCTGCAGCAGAAAAAAATGATATATATTAATAGAGTTCTGGGGGGAAAAGAAAATATATAGACAAAGAGGCCCAGATCGTCCAGCAATTGAATTAGCAAGCGATCGTCAGTTATATAGTTGAGCTCTTTGGCCGTTTGTGGGGGAAGAGGGGTCTATGACGATCTTCTAGGTTGGGTATCCTTAGCTCAACAATAGTAGTAGTATTTTCCACCGAACTGGTTTCGAAAGCGCCATTTATCAGCTCGGCAGGCCTTTTGAGTGGTTGACCTGCGATCGCGTGAGAGCGGGGATTGCGCTTGGAGCATAATAGGGACCATTTCCGGGTCGCCCATGGGGATGACAAGAGTTTACAGGGATGACGGCCCCGGCCCAAGGATGTCTGCAATTCTCCGGACTGACTGGGGCGTGGAACTGTATAGGACCCGGTACGGAGCCAGCAAAGAGGCCATGGTTGTCGCCGAAGCCAAGGCGACCGACCCATGAAGGCGAGAGATCCATTGATTGCTTAAGGGCCTGGTCATGAAGGATCACGGGCCAAAGCTCCTTAGTGCACCAGAAAGGTGCGTACTGGGCTGCCCCATTATTGTTCTTGTCGTTGTCGTCTTCATCCAGTAGTACATCAAGCCATGTAGCATGGGCAGTCTGCTGTGCGCAAAAGAACCCGTTGTACGGAGTACGGGGTATGGAACTGACTACTAGTTAGAGATGCTGGCCCACAACCAGTCATGCCTGCGGACGGATGGATTCCAGACCAGCATTCCCACGGTTCCGCGTACAAGTAAACACGCATCTTCCCCGCCACCTTCATGCTCCGCGGGGGAACGAAGGATTTAATTAAGCAGAAGCAGGACTGTGATCACCGTGGACGTTACTGGGACCAGCCTAGTGGTGGGAAGATCGCCAGCGCCAGCGGCCGAACTCTGTTGCTCTCTCGTGTTCCGGTCGAGAATTGGAAGCAGGAGTGTTTCTCCGGGCAGAAGCTGGAGAAGTTGAACTAGCTTTTGCCATTGCCAGCCCTATATGAATGTATGTCACCTCTTCGTATTATGTATGTGCATCTCGGAGCTTTCGGCACATGGAGGCGCGTTGAGGGCAGTTATGAAGGGAGTACGGAGTCGTCATGAAAGCCTTCTAGGCATGAGCAGTCTGGTTATTATCACGAGCCAGCTCTTCAAGCAAAGAAAGGGAGGCGAAAAAAAGGCCGTGGCAGAGTTGCATCCACTCACGGAACTCACGAGCCACCAGTATTGAAGTCCGATCGCGAAGCATCGTCCACCGAGAACGACCTGGGAACGTAGTTAATTGCCAACTCGGCTTCCGGCGGATGCGAAAGGCGTCGCTGCACCCGTGCCCCTCCTCTTCACTGTTTGGAGTCGCAGCTGGCAGTTTTCTTGTGGCACGCTCGCATCGACGTTACACGCTCGAGCCGAATCAGGTCCAGTCAGATGGCGAGAAAGAAAAGGCTCGTTCTCAGCCTTGAGAATGCCCCGTTCGGCAAAGCGGAGGAATTCTGCTTCTATTCGCCCGTCTGGTCGTCAAGCTTCTGCCAAAAACGCCCTTGTCGTCTTGTTCTGGTGCGCGGCCAACTCTCACGGCCATTATTCCTTAGGCCGCGGACGTGCGATGAGGCTAGTTAGTAGTTACTTAGCTATCCACAGCCAACACCCGAGAAACACACCACTCCACTCTGTAGCTTCCAGCGATTTTGGCGGCAGTGGCGCCATCAACATACCCCCTGCCATTCAGAAAGAAGCCTGACGGCCCGAATGCCGTTGTTAATGATTAGTTAGTTAGTTAGCGGTTGATTGGAGTGGCAACTCTTGACTCTATCGGCAAAGACACGACGTCGCCTATGTAAGAAACGGGGTAACACCCATTGTGGAGAAGTTCATCAAAGGCTATAGTGGGTTGGAAATTGGTCAACCAGCTACTCCCCTGGATGTTTTCGCGGCTCGCTTGGTGGCGACTCTTTGGTTTGCTAACTGCGGGAACATTATTATAATAACTTGAGAGGAGCCCCCTGATGTCCGGAAACCCCTAAGATATCCGCTTATAGGCGCTACGGAAAGAATGAATGCTGATACAGACAAGGCAGGTATGAAAATACACAGTGCGGAAGTATTATGCCGTTGCTCATGGGCCCGCATTGTCGTAGCTCATTGTAAGAAACCCTATCTCTATTAAACCCATCATTTTAAATTGCGGCGCATATATGCCGGTAACAATCGGAAATACGCAAAAACCACAAGGGTAACAGCACACCAGTAGGTGAAGGTCTAGGCTCAATACTGGAAACACCTTTTAAAGAGAGTGGATGCTTAGACACTGACCAAAAAAAGCTGAAAGAAATTTATAGAAAACCAAAAAAATGTTGCATAGTGCTGTGAAAAGAGTGACCCAAGATTCCCATGCAAGAATAAAAATAAAAATGTGGCAATTAGATAGATGTGATAATAGAAGAGAGATTGAATGGTTGACGCAAGCCCTTTCATGCAACGAGCTGCCACTGAGATACCGCGATCCAGCCCATGCCTACTCTTCCTCTCTTCTCATGAAATTCACGCACTGTCAGGCCTCTTGCATCCTGATTATCGCCAAAACTAGTTAGAGCAAGAAGGGTCAAGTTCTGACCTGGGGTACCGAGGACTTTTGGATCCCGGATATCAAGTGTCCAGTAGTCTCCTCCGCCGCCGGCCCTCGAGCCGCGAACATGTTCAAAGGTGACAAAATCATCGCTCTGTCCATCGGCCCCGTGGATACCGATCATAAACACATATGGCGCACTCTTGCCGCTGTGCTTCTGCAGCGTCCAGTGTTCGCAAATAAGCGAGAATTCAAAATGTATGGGGCCAGGGTTGTTAACGGATATATTTTGCGATATTGGTTTGAAGGATCTGCTCCCTATACCATGATCCTCAGCTACATTCGCAAATATAGTGAGGCGCTCATCAACGCCATCCGGCTCATTGGTAAATATATATTCTTCCCAAGAGATGCTGGGTCGGCCGTCATGACGATAAAATTGAGTGTTGTCACTTGGATAATGTCTCAAACCGAATTCGTCATTTGGCATCGTAAAGAACTCAGGGTCAAACCGTTTGATATACGGACGATTGTGCCCATCAACACATCCCGCACCCCAGCAACAGTCTATTAGTTTCCACTGGCCGCCATCAATGCGTACGACATTCCACGCGTGGCTGCAGGAAAATTGCGGTAGAGGAGATCCCGGAGCAAGCTTTTGGAAACCATACCCCTTTCCATGCCCTGAAATCGATCGGGATTCCAAGCCAGCGTGTGTTGCTAGCTGTTGAAAAAGCCCAGCATAGCCTTCACAGACAGCAAGCCCTGTGCGTAGGGTGTTTTCTGGGGTTGAGGCTTTAACGTTATTATTGAAGAACGATGCAACATCATACTCAATATTGTGATGAAGCCAAGTGAAGAGAACCCGAGCTTTATCCGTAGCAGAGTTGAACGGAGCGGTAAGCTGCAAAGCCAACCAAGACAACTCTTGAGTTGGAAGGGATTGACGGGGAAAGCGAGTGGCATGAGTATCAGGAGCAGTGAAATCACGGCATTTTAAGCAGACGTCACTTTGGGTGCTTGGTGCAGTGACACTAGGCGTTATTCGTGGCTTTGTGGCTTGCAGCTTAGAGAGATCAGGCCGAGAGGAGATCGGGATAGGGGGTGGGACAGCAGGACGGCTACTAGGCTCAGGGATTGGCCGGTCATTGGACGCAGGGCGGCTATCATGCCCTTTGAGGGTTGCAAAGGAAGCAGCCCTAATTTTCTCAAGCGCCGCAGGGGGTGGGGGAGGTGGTGGTAGTTTTCGTTGGGGAGGGCTTGGAGCCTCAGGTTGCACCGCATTTTCGGCGACTAAGCCAGACGATTTGAGAGAAACAAGCGAAGGCTTGGGGCGAAACGGAAGTTTAGGCGCCGTCACTGAACCGGCTCCGTTGATCCCATTACTGTGCTCATACGAAGGGGGTGGCCCAGTAGGAGGTGCTTCCACGCTGGGTCCCCCATTCAACCGCGTCGAGATCGACGCTACGACGGTTCTGCTGGCGGAAAGTCCTTGTTCGCCTATCTTATTGCCCTGGGACCTCTTGGGGGGTAATGGAGGAAGTGCAGTTTGGCCCCACGCCGGAGCACGAACGGTATGCTTGGCCGTCGCATTGCTTGACGACACAGGAGTTGGGAAAGACGAATCGCTCGAAGTGCGCAAAGGGGGAGTGAAGGACGCTGGAGATGGCTGGGCTCGCGAAGATGGCGGTTGACTTGAGTTAGTTCTTGCTGGCAAAGGGGGAGGTACCGAAGCGAGATGTGATGGTTTTGGTCGCCGGGGAGGGACAGGTTTCTGCTGTCCTGTCCTGGTGATATTGGGCGGGGGGAGGACTTCTCTGCCGTGAAGCATCTTGGAAACGAGGGATGGCGCAGCCGTAAGTAGAGAACGACAAAAGCATTCGTGATGCGAGCCCTGCGTTAACGAAGGCAGACAGGACGAGGAGTCCTGAGCATCTCCCAGAGCCAGCCGGATCACACGAGGGCAGATGCAGCAACGACTGCGTCCGACTAAGCTAGTTAGCCCAGCCGGCGCTCGTCGTCATGATGGGGCATGGAGCAACGACCGCAGCTCCCAATTGGGCATGGCGACAGCGATAGGGCGGAACTGGGCCCACACTCAACTACCACTAAGAAGATGACTAAGCAATACATGTGTATTCATTGGTCAGAAAGTCATCCCTGGACGCAACAGCCAATGGACAGAAAGTAACTTCTGTGTTTCATCCTTAGCTCCGTGCGGCTGATAACGCCCCCCACGAGGATACTCGAGGCACTGCTAAACATATCACTCCTATTATCGAACAAGTCTGAAAAGTGCGCTATACACACTGGCACTGTAATACTAAAAACACAGGATAGAAAAGGAAATCCGCCTTGGTCAAAAGGTGTGGTAACATAAGCCCAACATGGCAATGTCGATAGCTCAACGTAAGGAGATCATAAAGGAAGGAAGCAGGCTACATGCCTGGCTGTGCAGAAGCATATCCACCATGTTCATCGGATAGTGTGTCCGCTCCATCTGGCGGAAGTTCCTTGTCGGATTCGATGCCGCTACGGGGCTGTTGGGCCCCAAGAGCCACCAAAAAGGGTAAATGAGGGATTAATATCATATTATTAAACAGCCACTCGTTGAAGCAAGATACCAATTATAAGAAGTCTCAATCTCTCTCCGCCCAAAAAATAGCTCCAGTTATTTACTCAGACGTTCTGGTATAGTAGCAGTGGCTCGCCGATATTCTCGATTTCGGGTATCGTGCATTTTAGGTCAAATGCTTTGCTTAATACAATTTTGAAAATCTGAGTCGTCTAATGTCAGGCCCATTGCGTACAGTACAGACTAGAAATTAGAAGCATACCTTTTGCACATTGATGCTGTGGCTTGTACTGCTGAAAATTAAGCTCGCTCGCATTGCTTTTGCAAAGCGTTTTGCCTATGTATGTCAGTCTGCTGTGTACAGACGCGCTGGCACCAAACTGACCTGGATGGATATTTCCTCCTGGTCTTCTCGAGGAAAATTGACAAAATGATCGTATTTGGTCCCAACAAGCAAGGGGATAGCGGTCTTATTGAACCCGCGACCCTGTCGATACCACTCCTTGATGGAATTTAGCGTGCTTTTCCGTGTTAGGTCAAACATAAAGAGAATCGCAACCGCGTCGTTGCAGACTAAAGGCAGCATATTAACAAATTCGCGCTGGCCACCGAGGTCCCAAATCGAGAACGTGATTTCTGTATTGCGAATCGAGATCGTCTTCTCCATGAAGTTCACGCCTGGTAAAGTGCCGGGGTTAGCCAACATTCTTGACCAGGAGCCAAAAGTGATCCTACCAAGCGTTTGAATGTAATCTTCATCCCAGCTTCCTTCAACGTATTTCACCATAAGACTTGTCTTCCCGATCTGGGCATCTCCGACCATTCCAACCTTGATAACCACGCTATTCTTACTCTGCGGCCCAGCGAGCGGTCGCGGGTTCTGATCGGAGTGCGAGGGCGCGTATCCATATCTATCACCTCCACTTGATACTGGGCGCGAGTTTGGTTGCGGAACTTGCTGTATTTGCTGGTACGACATTGTAGGCGAACTGAACCTCGAGGGAAAATCGCCTTCGTGCGAAGATAGCGCCGGTGCAGATTGGGCATAGTCGGCCGGAATTTGGTGAGAGGACTGCCCATTGCTGAATCCATGGCTATAGGGTTGAGGAGAATCGGCCATCGTTTCGTCTGGGTTTGCTGGCATGACATGCTCTGGTTGGATGCTGGGCTCTGGAGCCGGTACAACATCCACAGCAGGCTGCGTCGTTTGAGCAGTATCTTCCTGTATTGGTAGCCTATCGACGTCTGTTATAGGTGCCTCCATCTCTACAACGTCCTAAGTACCGAAACAAAGGGCGTCTTCGGCGTATATCGTGGAGCAAAAATGCAGGAAGCGGCGAGCGGGGCGAAGGCGACGGAGACGGAGACTGAACACGGGAACCCTCAGGACTCAGAGGCAGTTTGCGTGGGGGTCTTCATGGATGTAGATGTGATGACAGGCAACAAGTACTCCCAGCCTCCAGGTCGCACCGGGTAGAATCGCATGCAGTTATCGAGGCAGAGGCGCGCTTGCGACGGACGGTTAGCTATTGGTTATGCGGTCCCGGTTGGATTACGACAGGCCACCAAATACAGCAAGCCTCGAGCGAATGAAAAGTAACGGGCACCAGCTGGCATGAAATGCAAAAGGAGAGACAATGCTGAAGGGTGCAGCTCACCGCGAGATCAGCATCGCCAGCGGGTGGAATGACGCCCAAACACCAAACTTCCAAAAGCGGGCTAGCGCGGGCTAGGTCACTGAGTCTAATCCACCCTATAGACTGAGCCCGCAAAAAATTTCTGGCCGCAGACTGACGGCCGACGTTGCGCTCAGCGGCCTGTGGTAACGGTGCGTGCTTGCTGCTGCGGCTATCCACAATGGCGAAACGCGGCGCGGAAGAGGCAGATGCGCTTGCTGGCGCTCTGAAGGCCGGCGAGCGGCCGATGCCTGATGTCCCGCCAGACGAAATGGGCGACTTTGAAGATGAGTTTGAGGACGAATTCGAAAGCGAGGACGAAGTTCTGGAAGCCGGTGTGGATGGCAGACCCGATGCGGAACGAGAAGAGGAAGAAAAGGGTATGTGACGGCCCTAGAACTGGCATTGCGGTGCGCGTTCCGGTTGCCTTTCCGCGCACAGTCCGAGTGCTAACGAATCCGACGGATAGATGCAATGGAAATAGATAAACAGACCTTCATCCCAGGTCGGACGAAGCTGGCCCCTGGGGAAACGCTGTCTCCGGACCCTTCTACCTATGATATGCTCCATACCCTAACCACACCCTGGCCATGTCTCTCCTTTGATATTGTCCGGGATAATTTGGGCGACAATAGAAAGACGTACCCTGCTACTGTATATGCGGTCGCTGGAACACAGGCCGATACTCCACGATCTAAAGAGAACCAGCTTATGGTGCTAAAACTCAGCGGACTTAGCAAAATGGACAGAGAAAAGGCAGAAGACTCGGACGACTCGGATGATGACGACGATTCTCCCTCGGAACCGATCCTTGAATCGAAATCAATCGCTCTTAACTCAACAACGAACCGTATCCGTACCCATCAAACTCCACATTCCTCAAACGACCCCACAAAACCACCTCAAACACTCACTGCATCACTGCTTGAGAATTCTCAGGTTCTGATTCATGATGTATCGCCATATCTTGCCAGCTTCGATAATCCTGGTCTCATTATTCCTCCATCTGCGTCGAAGCCACTATCCACCCTGCGAATGCACAAATCAGAAGGGTATGCGCTTGATTGGTCGCCTTTATATCCCCTGGGCAAACTTCTAACTGGGGATAATGATGGTGCCATATATGTGACTACCCGCAGTGAAGGAGGCGGATGGATAACCGACACTCGACCATTCACCGGGCACACTTCCTCAGTAGAAGAAATTCAGTGGTCTCCTAATGAGAGGAACGTTTTTGCATCTGCCAGCAGTGACGGTAGTGTCAAAGTCTGGGATGTTCGGTCGAAATCCAGAAAACCGGCTGTAGATGTGAAGATCTCTAATACTGATATTAACGTCATGAGCTGGTCGCAACAAACCTTCCACCTTCTGGCTACAGGTGCCGATGACGGCCAATGGGCAGTCTGGGATCTGCGACACTGGAAACCAGATGCCAACAAGTCTTCACAGTTGAAACCAAAACCTGTGGCATCATTTAATTTCCATAAGGAGCCTATCACAAGCATCGAGTGGCATCCCACAGATGACAGCGTCGTTGCCATTGGCTGCGCGGATAATACTCTGACGCTGTGGGATCTTGCTGTAGAGTTAGACGACGAGGAAGGCCGAGATGCCTCCCTAGCGGACGTACCACCACAACTATTGTTTGTTCATTATATGGAAATGGTAAAAGAGGTGCACTGGCAAGCGCAGATGCCGGGAACCCTCATGGCCACTGGTAGTGGTGGATTTGGGTATGTACAATTTTTTTTATATTTGTAGCCCCTTCTTTGCCTTCCCCCCCCCTCCCTCCTTTTTTTTGGGGGGCAATATATAAAATACTAACTACTATTTAGGGTCTTCAAAACTATTAGTGTTTAACTGCAAAGAGACTTGATGGCAACGCTGTGATTTTTTTGAAAAAAAATTCAATAAAAAAATGTCTTTTTGCATTGGGACTGGGAAATAAAACATGTCACTTGAACATCTATGACTTATGAAATTCACTTGAATAAACTAAAATACCCATTTTTACCTCTAAATCGTTCAAAACATTCCGCTCTGTCCTATACAGGGATATTCCAGCATAAACAAACCCAAAAACAACTAGTTACTCACTTTATATTGCGTCATGCCTACTTATTGACTATATTTGCTGAATATGCCAGCCCTTTCCACAATTTCGGAATATGATTCTATAACAAGAATCTTTGTCTCAAGAACCAATCCTATGTGAATGTTTAGAGTTTGAGAATTACAATGTATGGTTTCCTCTGTGGTCACCATATATGTACACAGTACCTACAATTGCATTGCTTCATACTCTCACACAGTTGAAATCCTAGCTATAATAAGCAAGAGAACTTGTATGATCATTGATGCTTACAATCTATGTGCTCACTCTTACCTGTGGCTTGCAAAGAATATTCAAACTTGTCTATTAGAATTTGACTTAATATTTGATGCTGTTTTCTTCAGTGTCTTCGTGAAATTGAAATTTCATATTGCTATCAACAAGGCATTTCTGCAAATACGTTCCGAGAAGCTTGTCATAGAGGTACGACTATTTTAGGCGGGATATAGCCTATTCTATTTATTAGAACGATCGATGTCGCAAACCTCGAACAATGACTCAACGGGAGTGGCAAAGAATAGAGTCGATGCGGAGATGACGAGCCAGAACCTGCCCTTCGAGGTATTCTATATTGTTCCCTATGAATCGCACGACCAAAATACAATATCACAATACAAATGCTGCTACCGAGTTATCCACGCGAATCATAGAGACGAAGCCATCTGTGGATATCTTTTTACAAATCTTGGCAGGCATATATGTTCGACAGGGAGCGGCGATGTCAGGGGTCAGATATTCGCTGGGGGCAGCAGGATTAAAGTATATATTGACCGGGAAGTTGTAGGTAAATTAAGCCCTGCACCCAGGTCCAGGGCGGTACACGCAAGGAAGGTTCCTAGAATAAAGATATACCACAACAAGCAGACTGGAGCAACAAAACCTGAACGCGAAAGCGCACCAATGCTTCACATCCGTGGGGGATGTCTCCGTTTGTTCACGAAAAAGAAGAGGCTCGAGGATGATGATACCGTGCCCGCTGTGCTGTGGTGGGTTGCCGGTGGTGTGCGTCAGAGACCAACCGGAAAGCAGCTAAGAGACTGGCAGGCGAGAAGCAAAGGTGACTGGGGCGAAGGGCTGAGAGGATTTATCCAAGAATGTATCTTTGTCATGTCTAGGGGGAAGTACTGTCTAGACCAGCGCCGAAATAAAACTGCAGAGCCAGTGGTTGAAGAACGAGATCCTCCTACAGACCATTTGACTGAATCCTCAGATATGCGGAGCCTTTCAGAGCTGTAAAAATGAACACTCCGGTTCTGTGTCCAATTCTAGCATTCCAATATACTAGGCAAGTCAACCAGTTCTTTGATAACAAATTACTCGGGACGTATATACGCATATATATTTAGAGACCATTCAAATAGGCAAAATACATGAATCTATGATCATCAAAATTTCGTTATACAACCAGCTACCGAACTCCCGCTATGCTTTCGAGGTTCATTCTTCATCAGCAGTTGTGGAAGTGATATTCCCTTGTCCTAGCTCTTCAGCTCTATGTACTTCTATATCAGCCGCGAGACGCTGCAAATGCAACTCAAGTATATCTTCCCAACTAGAGCCGCCAGTAGCCAAGACTTGTAAGGCATTAACCTTGCTGGAAAACCACTTCTCCCTCTTAATTGGTCCACCCTCTAATGCAGCTCGGCTGGCTCGCGTTGTTCTCATGCGTTTGGGCCCATTAGCGAACTGAGAAGCCAGGTTACTTCGCTGCTGTTCCGCTCGTAAGTCTAAGGTCGCAATAAATCGAATGTACGGGGCAATATCCTCGAAAATAACGGGTATCCCATGTTCAAAAGAGAGCGGTCGATGAGCCACAGTTGTATAGCAATCCAGGAATGGTTGGAATGCTTGGCCAAAAAATGATACCGGTGATTTTTGCGAGTCAGAGAGCCTGGGCTTGTGCATAATTCGTTCGAGTAGACTCTCTTCATATTCCTCGGTCGATAGAGCAGAGAAGAAATCTTCAAGAAGCACGCCGAATGTGGTGCTGATTCTATTCGAAAGCCTAGAGTAGTCCGCTTGAGAGTCAGCCTGAAGGAGACGAGCACCCTCGGTGTAATCGAAGCGATATTTGTCCGAAAGAGGTGGTAAAGACGGATCAAGTTTTTCCTATTGATGTTAGTTTGAAGTAAGTGTTGCGAATGCTGGTTATATACCTGCAAAAAATCACCTCTAGTTCTAAATTCTAGAAGGTCAAGGGCACTTTTCATGTCAGACATATAGTTTGCCTGCTCCAGTAACGCTATGTTGCTACTTCCTGCACACGCCTGGATACATCCACCTTCTATCAAATCAACAACCGGCATCTGCCAGTGCTCTAGAACTTCAGTAACAAGTCGTGTCTTGTTCTCAACACGATCGGCTTTGTCCATTATAATATCTCGACAAAGCCACCCCATTCCTCCTATATAAGTGCCTTTACTTATGATTCTTGATGTGTCTGGTCTAGTATCCGACCTTGTGGTCCACGGACGGTCAACTATCCAATCGAGCCCTGAAATTTTGCTTCCTATGGCCATCTGGCACCAATAATCTAGCTGCATTATCGTCGCGCGTAGATCATTTCCAAGGGTGGTATATAATTGAAGAATTGCTTTTGGGTCTAAGATATGACTCTCACTAGCACAAAGCACGCAGAGGTAATTTGAAACCAAGCTTGGTGGAGGTGGGCGAAATCGAAGAATGGCATGGAAGGACAATTCATCCATTGGAAGAAGTGTCTCATCATTGCAAGTCATAACAATAGGCCTTTTAGACTGCGCGATTAGAGTGAAGACGCCATTCCAGAATTGCTTGTCCTCCCCAAAAAGGAGGTCAACTTCTTCAAGAAGAATGAGAGATTGACGTTGATTAGTTTTTGATTTCTGGTATTCAGAAGCAAAAGCCGTATGTTGGGCTACTTTCAAAGGTTTTTGCCCAAAAAAGTTTTTCTTCGATGTCTGTTTGGGTTTCGGGTGGCCTTCAGGGCCGCGACTAGAGGTAGTGTCCATATCATTATTTAGTTGGTTAAGTATCTGCACAAGATGGTTCTGTGTCATATCTCCAACTCTTTCAGCAACGTCTTTAGCACTTCTACGGCTTCCTGCGTTCACTTCGAAAACCTCGAAATCGAGCTCGCCAGCAATAGCATACACTGCAGCTGTTTTCCCGCAGCCGGGGGGTCCACTCAAGAGAATCGTGTTTGAACAGGTTTTTCTACCAGTTGCCAATGTTGGGAATTTTGAGGGCAAAGTTGAAGGCCTTGATACGGTAACGGCACCAGCTAGCTCATCCTCGTCGTCTTCCGCTGGATTATTGACATCGAGCTCTTCATCACCGCTGGAAACAATGAAGTCATCTAGGTCATTCGCTGCCTTTCGCTTTTTTTTCTTAGAAACTTCTGGCTTTGGTGTTTTTGACGATTTTGGGTCTGCTTTGTTAGTGCCAGTACTAACGGCAGTAACAGTGAGATTCTGCAGCCAATCGCGTAACACTAGAGGTTCTATGGTATCCTGGAGAACAGCAGAAGCGGTCTTCGGCGAATATTTTTGCACCCAAGGTAATGATTCATAGGTCCCCTTCTCAAAGCAGCTTTTGGCGGTTGAAATCGTAGACAAAAGGCAAGAGATGGCGGGATGAAGGCCGTTACTGTCATCAAGAGCATTTTCTATGGGACTTCTGCTAAGCCTGCTAACAGTCAGGTCTCGTAGTGTGTACCCCGGTTCAAGTAATTTTTGAGGCTGTCTTAAGAGCAGCTGCGTTGGTGTGGAGGAAGAACCGCGGCGGCATCTATGTATCGATAGCGATAACTCATCAATGACACTTTCAGACCCAGGGACAATTGCCGCTAGCCCTTTGGCTTTCTTCCGTCCAAACAAATTCTGCTTTCCTGATCTAATTTCAGGCTGTATCCAGCTCTCCGATACGTGGACCATGCCAAGTGAGGGCCATATGGGCTCCGTCGGAGTATTTGGCTTTCGAGGGCACAAAGTGTTTCTTCTACTTTTGGTTTTTGTCGACATGATTGAGCCAGCATGAAGAAGGGGGGATTCGGGCATTGGCTTCGCCTGGCTATTCGTAAGAAAACCAGAGTGGTCCGAAATGGAGGGCGCCACGGGCGCTTCAATATCGTCGGCCTTCTTAACAGGTTTCTTAATTAAGAAGAAAGGATGCGTAGGTTTAGAATGCTCCTGAAGTAGACTCGCCCTTGCCATTCGTCGCTTGAATAGGGTATAGGTTGTGTGTCCATGCATGATTTCGAAGATAGCACATCCGATATGTTGGCGAGAGGACTCCCCGGATCCGTATTTCATTACTGCAAGCCTTGACATGGGGACAACACCCTGTTCACGCTTTTTCCGAACACGCTTCTTGGTCGTTTCTTTGTCATTCACATGTTCTTGCATTTGCGCCTGCTGCACAGGGGAACTTAATAGCTTTCCATTCGGATTAAGCTGCAGGATCTTTTTTTTCTTCTGGGAAATCTCATCAACATTATCCATAAGAAGCCGGCCCTGTCTATAATCTATTGGTGTATACTTCACTGTTGCTTCTCGAAAGGAATATCGTTTCTGACATTCATCCTTGGGAATGTTTGAAGAGGATGTGCTTGGGGCACAAGTCGGTATTTGCAATATTCTGGACCCAGATGTTAATGGAATGGGGGGGTCTGAAGCACCACTATCTGCGATTTGAGGGTTTATGTGAGCTGTCTTTCGACGCTTCCTGCGATCGTGTTCTTCGTTTTCGTGCTTTTGAGCCGAACAGCCATCAGAGGTGAGAGAAGAGGCACTGCCGCTGGTTTTGGTGGTAGTTGAATCATTTGGGCACGAAGACGCATTTGGGCAAGATGGGTGATCTGGTAAAGGAGAATTTCTATCTATATCCAGGTCAGTTTCTTAAACTCACGGCCGAAAATGGGCTCTCACGCTTCTGAAAAAACGGGTGGAACGCCTTTTGCTCATGCGGGCCCATGACTCCTTCAACTGCAGCCATTGCAGCATGGATATCACCACATCACGATCCGCCGCGTGTCTTCAAAGATACGACGTCGGCGGAAATCGTGGAATTGAGGCGCGTCGGTCGCGTCCAGCGCGTTAACTGGATAACTAACTGACCAATTAGCTAAAAGTTAGCTAATGAGTCAGCTGAGTCAGCAACCGTGGCTCGTGTCGGAAATGTATTCCACCGTTCCGTCCCGAAAACCAATTCTAAAAAAACGTTTCTACGGAGAAAAAAGTGAAGCAGTTTGGCAGTGAGACGCAACTGGGTCGCCGTGGTCATGGCTCTGCAAGCTCCCTCACTTCTGGCTCATCTGCCACGGCCCTTGGGTGTAGGCACTCCTAAGTGCCAGTTTTCAGAAATTTACAGTCTTACTGGTGGCAAGAAAAGAAAGCGATACGAGGTTGCGGCCGCAGTGGATGGGGAGAGCATAAACATATACAGTGTATGCCGTGTTTATTTTACCTTGAGAAAAGAAAGCTGATTTTTGTCAAAGGTTCAATTTCCGAAATTGATCTCCTCGTATGCCATCCCCCCACAATCTTCCGTATCCTGCCCGCCATGTTCGGTGAGAGAAAAAACCAAAGAAACGTCTGCTGTGAAGAGGCACACGTACTGTGCTATGGATCGGCCAGATAGGCAAATCATTTGCTTTGTGGAGGAGTTCCCAGCCTGTGATCGAAGCTTAGCCAAATTTTCGACCATCACCTTCCCGTTAGAAGGTTGCAACAGCCCAGTAGTCTACATGACAATAGCCCCGACGCAACAACAGGAGACATTTGATGTTATCGTTATTCATAGAGATGGTCGAATACGTAGACTATCTTCTGATCTTAAAACTGAAAGATGGAGCATCCTGCCTGATCCAATCAAGCTATCTGGAGAATTTGAGGTTCACGCGGGCTTCGCCGTCGGATTTGATGAAGCTGAAAAGACGCTCTTTCAGAAAAGGCAAGATCTTACTGCCTTAATATTGGGTGACCGCCACGGATTTCGCTCGGACACTTCCACTATTTTAATGCTTGTCATGCATCCTCGCCAAGTAAAAACCATCTTACCAAGCGAAGCGTCGATTCATATCTTTTCGATTCCTTCGATTAATTCTGCAGACGGCTTTGCAGTCATCGGTCAGCAACACCTGAGACATGTAATGACGGTGAAGTTGCCAGATTTACAGGGACAAATTCCTTTAACCGCTAGAAACATTACCTGGAGTGCAAATTTGAGCCAGTCAGAACTTTCTTTATCATTCGATCGGGGTTATGTAAGTTATAACATCTCGCATTATTCTCCCGAGATTGATAGCCATATGATTATGGACAATGCTGCTTTTTCATCCATTATCCGAGTGTCTCCTCGGACAATCATGGGCGCCAGTCACTCAATGGTTTCGATATATGATTCAAAATATCAATCACTCCAGGCCGATTTTTCTCTTCGGGACATTCCACAAGTTACATCTTTACGTCAGGGCGAGGCCGCCTCATCTATGCAATTCGTAACTCATTTTTCAAAGCTCGGTGCTGTGATAGCTTTGTATGGAAACAGTCTTCTGACCTTTGATCTGTTAACGGTGCAGAGCTGGGGTGGACGCTCTAGGAAACGACAGAGGACTGGCTTGCTTATCGATTCAATCGGAAAAGGGTTCCACCTCGATGATAATGAGAGTAAACGACCCGTGCTGGATGAAAGCTCGCTCCAATTCATGAAACCAGTTGGACTTACACAGAAAGATATTGCTAGTAAATGGGCCGACTTAAAATCGGAGCTGGAATCGGCAGCAGAAGCAAACGACACCACCCAGTTCGATAAACTTATGAAATCGAAATTTTGGAAATCCTTGAAACAGGGAGTAGAGGAGAAGCCGAAGGGTTTTCCTCCAGCACGAGAGTATATCGACCTTGAAAGAATCGAATTCTTACTCTCTAAAATCTTTGCATTTCGTACTGCCGACGACGCAGAGCCCCATAAACTTATGGTTCACTTTCTACCTTACGAAACTCTACAATGGCTAGTCAATTCACGGCATTTGACTCTAAGTAACCTGAGAGCAGCTCTCCGCAACTCCACTCCCAACCGCATTCCCCATGCTATTCCCGATGGGTCTTTAGTTGAGGCCCTGGCGCATGTAGGACGGTCAATCAAACTACTACTGCTCGTATTACGCAGCTCCATGCAGTTGAATTCCATGGAACTAGCCCATTCTTTGAAGATACTTCTGGACACTGCGCGCTCCCATTCAACTAACCATACTGACCCGCCCAAGGCACTTACGGATTCTCCCCAAAAACGTACTCCGAGCTGCTCGAAAGAAACAGCATCGGCTGAGACAAGCAAGAAGGCACGCGGCTCTGAAGTGGTTTTGACGGATGCTGTATGTGGGTTGAATCTCGCGCTTATCAAACTCCATGATATACCGTTGGATGCAGTTACTCAGTCGATTCGATCCGTCTTGCCTAACTCCGATATACTTTCCATAATCCACCATCTCCGCCATTCACTCGCAACGGGTGGGTACACATCTCCCTTCACAGAAGACCCGCCACCCTCCTTCGCCAGCCCTAAGATACCCCTGCTCTCGCTCTCTATAATTGTGGATTTCCTGAATGCCTGTATTGATGCGATTGGACCCAGTGGCTGGATTTCAGCTGCTGGTTTTTCCGGAGAAGAAAGTGGTGCATCTCTGATAGCGGACATGAAGTCAGAAATATCCGCTGCACTCGCCGGTGTCGAGGAAGCAACACATCTCAAAGGCACTCTACGGGAATACATTCGCTGCTGCATGACGGCAAAAGATGAGCCCCTTTTTAAGAACAATAAAAGCACCAAACAAGGCAGCCAAGGAGAACAATCGTCTGATACATCAAGGCCACGTGTCAAACGCAGAGAACGTGTCAATGGCGCCGAGATTTTGGTATACGATGATATTGCAGACCCGTCTAGACTTCCACATACCGATACGAAAATGCTGCCACTCTCCCTAAAAATGACAACAAACGGCCAGGGTGGTGAAGCTGGCGAAGTTTCGGGCAAAACGAAGGTACTCAAATCGACGGGAGAGGTGAGAAATCGTAGTAAACGTGAATTAGGCCTTTTGAAAAGCAAATCTGTTGGGCAGTATTCGTTTGAGCGAATTATTGTATGAAATGAAATATACATGCACTTTTCTACTAGGACTCGTCTGTTTGTATACATAGGTTACATGGTAATCACCGGTATTACACCAATATACTTTTTCTAGGACTCAATTGTTCAATTGCAAGAGAGTATGTTTTTTCAGACATCTCATTATCAATTGTAGAAGTTAACAATACCAATCATTCATCCGCTGGGCCAACGGCAACCAAGTAAATGGCTACTTTTTGTATGCACTGTACATTGGAGGTGGCCAAAGAAAGTAAAGCGTTCATCCTTCCACAAAGCATCAAGCAAGAATATACTCCGGAAAACATTTCAGAGCTATGAAACCTGCAGCATATCTCACATGGAACTATATGTACCAACAGGGGCTGCACAAACAAAGAAGTTTCTGGGTCCTGGGGTCTTTCTGTTCGATCTTTCGCGTACGTCCAAGCCTTGAATCCACGAATTCCTTTCGGAGACGACCAGCTCTATATTAAATATAGTCTAAGGTCTCATTCGTGCAGACAAGCATTAGTGTTGGGGGGCCAAAAATAAAGACATGCACCATCACCTTGACATTTAACACAAAAAGAGCGTCAATCAGTATTACAAGAAGTATAGGCCAGCCGTAAAAACCAGGTTCGTCAATTCGTTTCAAAATATGCCAAAATATATTCAATGTCGAAGGCGGGAAAAAAGGAGAGCCTTTAACGCCAAGCGCCACCCTTGATTTCATTCCAGACCATCATTATGCAATGTAAATCGAGGCAATGAAAGTGCGTCAAATAGCGGTAAATATTATAGTCACCGAGAAAGAGGAAATATATAGATTTGGCATTGGATAAGCGAATGAAAAGAATCGATCTGCTTGGAGAGTTAAGCCAAGATGAGAAATCACAGGATGGACTTTGTTCGTCGTTTAGGCGGAAAATGCATAAAATGAAAGTGGGTAGAGAGGCCTGCACTTTATCTGGAGACGGAGAGCTGGGCTCTCTCTTTCATACGCTGCGCTTGCGTGTCAAGGGCACGGGCCATTAATTTGATAACTGGAAGGTAGCATAGTTAGTTTAAATTCTCTTTGGGTATGTTAAATGCAATTGCTTACCAGGCCAAACCCCTGCACGGTCCAGTAGGTAAGCTATCGACAGCGATATTTTGGTAGCATATCCACCGTCCACCAAACTAGGCAGGCAGTCCCATGCCTCTCCGGCCGTCGAGCAAACACTCGGGGCTCTATCTTTCATTTTCAACTCTACCCGATGAAGAATGTCTTCGACCTTTTGGATCAATTTGTAATCCTCATCCTCTAGCAACATGATTGCTGGTACCTGACTTAGATCGGCGGGTGGCTGACCAAGAATACCCAAATATGGTCCAACACGATCTTGAACTGTGCTAATCCATTCCGCTAGTATCTGAGCACAGTCGAATAGGCACATAGCACTTTGTAGAGGAAGCTCTCTCGAAGTAAACTCGATGAAAGTATTGCCAAATTTGTCTGCCATGCTAATCGAGTCAGCAGCGTAGAAGGCAGCTTTACGCAAATGACGTTCACTCATAGTTGGGTTTAAGCGACGGGGGGTGCCTTGGTATCCCAGAGTATTGTCATTGGAAGCAGAGCCTATAGTATTGAGATCGCTCAGCGACTCCGGGGCAAAAGTGGAAGTTGGGCTTCCGTCTGGCGGCTGCAATACATCCGCAGCTTGCGAGAGTTCGTTGACCATGCCGTTCCAGTCACGCTGCCAAAACGCTTCTCTAGACCGGCCTAGATTAACGTATAATTGAACGTACGCAAGATCCAGAAGAGGTATACTGTCTGCTGATAAAGGGCCCGCGCCATAAGGATTTGGCCGTTCCAGGCTGTGGCTCGGATGGTTACTCCAAGCAGTCTGCCAAGCTCTAAACGCGGGTTCGAGATGCAAATGTAGGGCTTCTGTTTCCTGACTTGTCCACTGTTTTCCCAAGTGCTGCTGGCGGGTCTCCCAGATATAATTATGGAGGGCAAGAATCAGAACCAAACAGCCAAAAGTGCTGGGCTTCAGATCGGCAGGTGAAAAGCCGTCCATTTGCATGCTGGAACCTGTGTTTTGGCCGGCTACTAGAAGAGTTTTCAGAGCGTCTGAAAATTGGATAGCGTTTTGGTCAGCGTGGATTTTGCCACCCAGTGCCTTCCATGCCTCAGGGGAGCTAGCCGCCCAGATTTCCTCCTCACAAGGAAGAGTCAAGCGAATTTCTGAGTTAGTAAGAGTTGGCGCATGATTATATGCCGACACCAACAAGCTTGATAAAGTAAAGATAGCATATAAGGTTCGCTTTCGCTCCTCCATCACCTTCCATTGTAGCCACTCCCTCATCTCTGGAAAGGCATTAACAGGTGCATCACCAGAACCAAGGAGATCTGAGAGCTCTTCCGGGGGACGATGCTGAGTTAGTTTTGCCGCCTTTGCAAGACTTAACAATGATGCACAGTGGGTCATTGCGATATCTGCTGCGGTTTTGTCATCACAGTTATGGCCGTAAATGACATTCAACAGCATCGCTTGGACTAGCCACAGTGGGGTGTTTTTTATCGAGTCCTCCCTGCTAGAATTCGCGCGATTCAAACCAGCCATATCAGCCTTCCGCCTTTCTTCAAGATACAACTGAATCATTTTCTTCGCAGACTCAAATAGCCCCTTTGAGGTCGCAGTCTCAAATTCATATAAAGCACCAATGGCTGCCATTGATAGTATCAGACATCCGCTACCACCCGAAAGCCTTGAGAAATTTGCATTCCCATACCCTTTGCCAGCATTGAATTTACTTGGATTATCAGGGGCCTTGAAGTCCAGCGTAGGAAGGTGAAGGAACGGCATATGAGGATGGAAGTAATGTATATAAGCTGCAATATAGCGTTGTAGATCGTTGGTACTTGGCAGGACGTAAGGGTTGCTCTCAAACATAGGTGACCGTAAACTTCCAGGAGTGAAAGACGAGCTAGTTGACGGTTGAGAGTACCTACGGCTAATGAAAGTTGATGGCTGCTGTAGCGTCGTTATTAGGGCTTGACGTGTAGAGTCGGTGATTGCACTAGAGGGGAGCGGGAGCCCTGTCTGCATGAACGACGGTTCAAACCCTGCGGAGTTCTGAGACGTACTGGAGCCCGGAAACAAAGTATTCGAGAGGTTCGATAATACTGCTCCCCCCATGGATGCGATGGAGGATGAAGTTGGGAAGGAGTGGTCTGGAACTTGAGTTAAAATTGACTTAGGAGAGAGAGTCTCTCCCTGCACCGAAGGATCATGAAAGGTAGGTTGGGAGAAATCTAGACCGAATGGGTTCGACGGGTTCTGTGATGGCATGGAATTTGACCAAGGAGCACCGGACGATGTTATTGTATGGCTCGAACTCTCTAGAAGGGCTTCGCTGATTCCAGTAGGGCTACCTGTACTCATTGCTGAGGGAGAGGAGTTATCGATGGCTGATTCATTGGGGCCGCTCAGCGTCATAGTATTATCAAATCCATTGATCCAATCGTACTTGATATCGTCTTCGAACATGTTCTGAGTTGAGGCCATGTTTGAGAACGCAGGAGTAAAAGGTGAGGCGGGAGTATCCAGAAAAGGGTTCGGTGACGCAGAAAAATGCAGCTGAGCCGGGTTAATAGTACTTCCATGGCCTAACATAAGGTCACTAAAACTATAATCGCCGCCAAAACTACCATATACCGGAGCCGTTCGAAGAGCATCGGGCAAATTCAACGAGAGAGAGTTAGTATCCAGCTTGCTCAATCCGTTTATCGTGGCATGGCGAGCATCCGAAGGCATTGCACGATATTCAAGTCCTGGCATACTGGGAACCGAGCCAACAGGTTGGTGGCTGGGATGTCCAGAGAGAGGTGTTTTCGAGATATCCATGCTTGGAACCATTCCCACGGTAGCATGATCTACGTGGCTAATTGTATTCGCCCGAGGCCGCATGGTATTACCTCCATTCACAATCGAATTCTTCCTCACACGAGTAGAGCTACTTGTGCTTTCCCGGCGAGCATTGCGAGGACGCGACGAGGGAGTAGTAGTCATATGCAGTTTCTGTTGATGTCGCAGTAGCAGATCTCTTCTCGCAAAGCATCTTGAACAGTCCGGGCATTCAAAGGGCTTCTCCTTCGTGTGGGATCGCTCATGGCGTTTCAGATGCTCTAAACGGGCGAAAGAACGAGTGCAAGTCGTACAAATATGAGGCCGAGGCTTATCGGTCTTGGGAGGGGGTAAATCGGGAGCAGGTACTGCATTTTCTGGCTGGGGTACTAAAGCTGATTTCAGCATCATGCTAAATTCCAGACCATATATCGATCTTACCAGAGCCACCATTCGCAATTTCGCTAATTGTTACGAGCTCATTGGTTTTCGGTTCGGCCATCTTATTGGGCGGAAGAGAGACCTATATCTCACACAGCACAAGACTGAATATTATTACGGATGCACCGAGAGCCTTAGGAACGTGTCAGATGAGCGCGATCGTCACATTCGAATGATGGAAGAGGAGGGATCGCCACTATCAAGCAATTCATTAGCAACCAGGACAACGAGGCGGGAAAGCAACACGAACGAGATTCGAGGCAAATGAGTCGAATGCTAATAATACTCTAGGCGAGAGCGTAGCTTATATAGGGGCGAGCAAGTTATCCCCAGGCCGCCCATGAACCCCTGTTGAATATCGGTTAGAGTCGCGATGGTATTAACAGGAGTCGCCTCTAAAGGGCGAGGGAAGAGAGGAAAGTAGCGGTAGGGGTAGGGTGGCCAGTACCTTCGATTCACCGCGATGCGAATTGATGGAAAGAGGTTGTACGTGGACGGAGAGGCAGTCCGGTGAGAGAACAAGGAGCTAGCTGGGGCGCTGGGTGACGGTGCTGGAGGATCAGACGCTTATGCGCTGCGGAAGGTATGGATCAAGGCTGTTCAGCGGCAAAGGATGGGCGACGTCAGGAGCAAGGCGTTGAGCGCCAATTGCCGGCCGCATGCATGGAGATCGCTCTGACAGCTCGCACGGATGGCTGGAGGCCTGGTTCACCAGTTGGTTGCAGCGGGTGGAATGGGGGAGTCGAGGAGTTGAGGTCCGATCGCCTGGAGCGACGATGAATCGGGCGGGAGAGCGAGCAGTACAGAGTACGGCGTTATGTTACCGTCACAAACACAGCTAGAGGATCTTGTATTATTGGTACTCCGGGCGGCGCAGGGACGGCGGATAAGCCACGACCGTTCAAATTCCAGGCACGTTTGCTTTAGATGAATTCCAAACCTGCCAGACGCACCCTCTGGTGGCTCTGGTGACTAACCGAGCTTATATAGCAATAGGCAACAGCTAAGGCAATTGCCTCTCCGACGTATATTTGCGTACGAGTACGGAGTATATATCCTCTCGGCGAGATGGTACGGTACAGAATAAGTGGTTACAGTACTACGGAGTATGTCCATACGATCCTCCCGCAGCTGAAGTGTTGCTAAAGCTACGTTTAGATGCCCGTTGCTTCAGCAATATACCTGGACTGTGCGCTGATAAGTATTGGTAGAGGCCTAGTTATCTGATGCAAAGGTCTATCCTTTATCCCTATTGGGAGAGATGCTGCAGTGGTGCTTCGGTGGAATAGTCTCTTGCACCTGAACACGTCATTTGACTGGACTTCCCATGCATACCGAGCGTGACAGAACAGCTAGTTAACTAGCCTAGCCTGTCACAATGGGCGTAACGTTCATACCATACCGTGGCGTTGCGGTTCTCCCTTCACAGGTCGACAGCAGAATCCCCAACCAAGCGCTGAGGGTCTCCAGAGGATTCGCTGAGAAGAGCTATGCTTTGAGCATGCAACTCAGCGCGGAATTCGCACAAGCGCTTCGAGGGCGCGGGAAGCACACGTAAGCTCCCCCCAAATCCAGTGCATCCATACTCCGTACCAAGGCGCACATCATCAGGTCACTAATAACGGGACTCCCACGATTGGCTTCTCAGGCGGGCAACTCCGGTGCAGAAGAAGAATAGTGAGTGTCTGCCGCTGCCAGCCCTTCATTGGCCGCCGATCGTCCTGCTGCACAACATCGACGCAGTCTCCAGCCACACGCCCGGCCATGATATAGTCCGGACAATATGAAGCAAACGTTTCGAACCGCTGTCGATCGCGATATGCGTGAGCTAGCAGCTGAGCGAGCTGCTCTCCTACGGAGTACTACTGGCGGCGAACTGTTGGGCGGATGGGGGAGGATGGTACGGAGTAGTAGTGGTCATTAGGCTTCATGGCCATCGAAGCTCAAGGGGTAAAACTGTAAACGTTACAGGGCCAGGCACAGCTAGGCAAATTCAAAATTGCAACAGGAGCAGAGGGAATATGGCTGGACGGAGGGTCAAACGCACGGTTCCAAGTGCCGCCAGCGGACAAGCACACGCTGGCTGGTCGTCGACTACTGCCAGCCGTCAGCCGTCAGGAAGGACTGTCTGGGGGAGGCCCGTGCTGGGGCGCAGGTGTGGTTGGACCGTAAGGCCCGTACTAGCGCAGTATTCATGGCGCCGGCACCCGTAATGTTCCGGGCTGCAGCGCAAGCGTGACTCCGTACCGGCGCATACGGGCGTCAGCTACCCACCACAGCCCCAGTTTTTCCCCGGCCTCACGAGAGACGCGGCTCCACCATGCAGAACACCAACCGCCAGCAGCTGACAAGGCAGGGGCCGATCCTCTGCCGCCGCTGGGCAGCGCAGGCTCTCAGCGCGTGGGCTCAGGCACCTCTCCACGCCTTGCATGCAGCCTGCACGTCAGGATCGCGATCGAATCCAGTCGTGGCTGGCGCTGAGCACCACCAGCTCCATGCCCAATGGCAGCCCGGCACCATGTCTTTCTAGAAGAGGCCTCTTTCTAGGCGCTTGGCATTCCCTTTTGACAAACCCAAAATGCCCGTCAAATCAGGACATCTCTGCGATTATCACCGGCTGTTGGCTGCCAACACTGACTCGAAACACTGCTGTTTTGGAGGAGCAAGCTCGTCTGTCTGCGTCGTCTCCTTTTACTGGCCCTGGACGCACCAAACGCCGAAGGCCGTTGTCGGTGGCCAATCGTCTGAACCGTGGTACAAGCACTCACTTCATTATCCAATTTAGGTATCGACTGGCGGCAAAAGTCGCGCCTGATTCGAGGAAACTAGGCGATGCTGTCCCGAGTAGATGGATAGCGCTCTGATCATCGGCTGGGTTTTGGGGAAGGGCGTACTTGGACTAGAACTGCTTTTCAGGAGTGAAGGCATGATAGAAAGTATGCGGGAAAGCTGTTACCCGAAAGGCCACTGGGCGGTGGGGGCAGCAATCTTGTTGAAAGCCCCAGGAGCTATTGTTCAACATCTCAACGGGAACAGTCCAACCGTCTACGCGCCAGTATACTCATTAATATGCCCCAGTGCTACAGGTTCTTAGTATCTATTTCACGGCATCGAGAAACTTGATATCTACCCAGTCCGTTAAAAAAATTTTAACTTCTTTTTTATCGTTGAAATAGAAGAAACCACTATTGGCGGACTGACAATACGCTTGCCTACTTAACCAGCCAGTAATACTTTAGCCATTATTATTGCTAAGATGGCTCGAAAACTGCTGCCGCCTTAGGACTACATTTTGTCTCCGAAATTTAAATGCACAGTTTGTGTGGAGGATGTGAACAGAAGCCATTTAATTATTATTATTTACGAATAACCTACCATATGACGTCGAGCACAGTTCCTGTAATACAGGGATTGTTGGGGTATTTCTACAGGGTTTAACCGGTTCGTGGGTAGCGGGAAATAAACGTGTCTGAGCTTGGTGTACGGAGTATGATTTGATTTTGATAATCAGAGACTGTGTGCATGATAAAACAACAAGGCAAGGACCAGGGCCAGGACCTAAGATAAAAGGATGGAAAAGAGATTGCAAGGACGCAACTTTACTTGAACAGCACATAGCCCTGAGGATAGTTAACTAGGTAGTTAGCTACCTGATGGGATTTCTATGGATGCTGTAAGTAGTTAAGTTTATTGTTGAAGGCCATGGGAAATAATAATAATACTCAGCGATGCGACAGCAAAGTGCTCCGTACGGATTACCAAACTTCATGCCATGTTGTCCTTTTGCTCGGCTTGCAGAAGGACAAAGCCACGGCCAAGCAAAAACTGAGCAGACTTGGGCTAGTAATACTCCGAACCCTGCAGAATCGCATACGACGAAGACGGCCATTTTGGCGAAAACGAGGGACCAGGAAGGTCTTGGCACTCGATACGAGGGATCTGTCTCGACTCTCGACAAAGGACAGTCTGGACTGTTGTCCAAAACTCAAACAGTTCGCTTCTGCGACCAGTCAAGAAGTGTTTTTGCGACGAAATTGGGTCTTTCAAAATGCCCTTCCGTAGGCAGAAACATTCATAAGATTGACCGGTGGTCACCAACAAAGCCGCGGGAGTCGGAGTACCGGATCGTGATCCAAAACTCCGGCAGCTAACCTGTAGTTACGGAGGGCGATGGCTAACGCGCAACTAGACTTATCAGTGACTAACAAGAAGGCGTATATCAAGAGCTGGCTCTTGTTACTCCGTACTCCGTATAGTTTTCTCAATCACGACTATAGAGTAGTTCCCTGGCTATCAGATTCCGCGATCACTCCCAAGCCTCGGGCGACCCGGTTCCGAAAGACAATTTCCTCTCGCCACATCATCACCTCTATGAAGACATCAACTGATCAGCTAACTATAAAAAAGGCGGCTTTGTATACGAGGTCCTGTCACAAAAGACCACGTGGAGCAGTACCAGGCTCCAGCAATAGCTAGTGGCTATTAAACATCCTGAATTTCCTACAAGATCACAGAGGGAAGATAAGGCATATAACCATCTCTAAATACTTCCATTAACTACTATGGCATCAACCACGACGGAAATATCACCTATCCCCGGGTCAATGCGGGCAGCTGTACACCGTCGAACGGGAGAGCCATCCAAAATCCTACAACTGGAAGATGTACCAGTCCCACCCTTACCCACAGAGACCTCAGTTCTTGTACGCGTCTCCCACGTGGCGATCCATCCCGGGACAGTCATTCTGATGCATCTTATTCCTTCGTTGTTTCGTCGATTCCCTGCTATCGCGGAAACGGACTTTTCGGGAACTGTTGTGAAGATAGGGGGAAACGTGCCAACGAAAGCAGATAAAGAAACGGATTTCCGCTTTTTTCCAGTTGGCACTCCCGTTTTTGGTTCTTTCCAGGTTCCGGTGCATTTGCGCACTGGCCAGGGGGCATTGGCGGAGTATGTTGCGGTCGAATCGTCCAGTATTGCCCAGATGCCGAGCAATACATCCTTTGCGGCCGCCTCCGCCCTGAGCGTTTCCCTTTATACTGCGATTACGCTAGTGGATGCGATGAAGCTGCCTCTAAGGTCAAAAGTGCTAGTCAATGCGCCCTGTGGCGGCGTGGGGAATTTTACGACACAGCTCCTCCGGCATCGCGATCCAGATGCAGTCATTGTGGGGGTATGTTCGACGGAAAAAGTAGCTCTCGCAAAAGAGCTTGGCTGCAATGAAGTGGTTGACTACAAATCTTTTCCGAACAAGGAGCATAAATCTCTCACGGATTTTCTCGCATCTCGTTATGGTACCAGCGAGAACGACCAATTCGACGCTGTTTTCGACGCATACGGCAGCCAAGATCTATGGGAGGCATCTCCGCAGTTCCTCAAACGCGGAAAAGACCACGCTTACGTGACTGTTGGCCCGAAAGTTGGTCGCGCGTTTTCGTGTATGCCCGGCTTCTTTTGGAAAGTATTCAAGAATATGCTCTGGCCATCGTGGTTGGGAGGTGTACCCCGGACGTACAAACAGGTATCTGCGTTTTTGGACACCGATGGTCTAGAGAAATGCCGCGAAGCGGCTGCAAATGGATCAGTCAAGACTGTAGTAGGCGGTGTTTGGAAGATGGAGCAAATGAAGCTCGCTTACGATGCCTTTATGGAGGGCCATGCCGAGGGCAAACTAGTGGTGGAAGTTTGGGATTCTAAACAAACGGTGTCGGGTTGATGAGTTTGGTATCTGGGAGCTGGAGCGCTGGGAACTTGGAGAAATAAGGCGTTGGGCGTGGTTCATGTTCTGTACATCATTACATACCCAATTCTAATCTCACAAAATTTTATCCAGAGTACGGAGTAGTAGTAAGATATAAACATGGGTCGTTTTCCAGCAGGCAGCTGTATTTCATCGCTCGCAGCCATAGGGTGGGGGCGGTTTTAGGTTCAGCGCGGCCTGGCAGAGACAGCCCAAGTTGGAGCTTCACCAGCCACCCCGAGCACCATACGCTCTCACATAGTGCTCTGAGAGACCCAGCGCCTTGCAATAGCGGTGCAGTCCTACTTCCAAGTCATCCGAAGCCCCGAATTCCTCGTTGAACGTGCCCCTTCTCTCCCTTGGCATACTCCTCCGCCATCGTTCCGTTCTTTGTTCAGCTCCTGTGTTTATGGCTCTCTTCGGCACCTCCCCAGAAGACTCTCCCGGTGCCGGGAAGAAATCGTCCCTGTTCGCCGATGGGACGTTTGGCAGTAAATCGTCTGCGCTCTTCGCCGATGACGCCGACTCCGACGCTGGCGACTCCTCGCCATGGAACATGCCTGCCCCCAAGAAAGCCGCACGACGTGACGTGGTGAAGTCGCTCCTCCCATCTACAGACGTGCCCGAAAGTTACGTCGACGCATACGATCTGGTATTAGGGGTGGATGAGAATCGAGGGAGCTCTGGTGTGGGGATAGCGACAGTGAGGGCTATGCTTGGTAGTACACATTTGAACCAGGAGCAACATTCGAAGATCATAAACATCATTACCGCGGGGGAAGAGGCTACGCGCGAGATTGGAAGAAGCCAATTCAACGTGCTGCTAGCCCTGGTTGGACTGGCTCAAGAGGGCGAAGACATGACCCTCGACGCTGTTGACGAAAGACGAAAAAGTAAGCTCCTCCTGATGCACATGCGTTTTCTTTACTGACTATGTCCGGATAAAAGGGCTTCCCCGACCGAGTATCCCGTATCTTGAGAAATTAGATGCTCGCCAGAGTACCAAAGCTGGCGCTGCCAGGCCGGACAGCCAACCCGTGCCGCCACAATCAAATACCATGCGCAGGATGCGCCAAAACTCATATGAAGACCCAGAGTTGGATCCTTGGAGTAGTCCTGTATCACAGCGAGAGCGGCATACATATGACAATCGGCAAAGAACGAATAATATCAATGGTCTTTCATCATCGATGGAGCCTCCACCCAACGACGCCCAAAATAAACCGGCCCCTGTGTTCCAAGGTCAGGTGAGACAAACTACGGATAGTAAGAATCCCGCACAATCTGCCGGCGCTTCAGAAGGGAGCACTACTGGGCTCGGCTGGGGAGAGGGATTCAGCAACCCTCCCAGCGCTGGGTTTGGTAGCCAAGGAGATCCTGTGCTGGGCGGCAATTTTGGCCAATCTGGAGATAATCAAGGAAACTATAATGGGAATAGCCTAGGAAGACCAATACGTGGGCGTGGAATAGCTGGTAATGGTGCCGAAGACGTAATTACGATTAATATGCTGCCGGAAAAAGAAGGCTTGTTCATGTTTCAACACAGGAACTATGAAGTGAAATCGGCGCGAAGAGCGAGCTCGGTTATCAGGCGATATAGTGACTTTGTGTGGCTGGTGGATTGTTTACATAAGAGATATCCCTTTCGACAGATCCCTCTACTTCCTCCAAAAAGGATATCAGGTACGTTCAAAGCTTGCTCAAAGCTCACCAAAGTATACTCACGGTTTCTAAAGTCAATGGTACTCATCTTACAGCGGATTCAAATTCTTTCCTGGAAAAACGACGACGGGGACTCGTTCGCTTTGCGAATGCCGTCATTCGACATCCTGTTTTGAGCCAGGAGCAGCTAGTTGTGATGTTTCTTACTGTTCCAACCGTATGTAGGAACTTTGCTTGCGCTTATGCTGTATTGAATTGCTAACAACCATAGGAACTGGCCATTTGGCGAAAGCAAGCAACCATCTCTGTTCAAGAGGAATTCATCGGCAAACCCCTCCCGCCTGACCTGGAGGACTCCCTTCCATCTACACTAAACGACCTGTTCGAAACAGTTCGATCAGGTGTGCGTAGATCTTCCGAGATTTACATCAATTTATGTAACCTTCTCGATCGCCTTGCAAAACGAAACCAGGGAATTGCGGCAGAGCAATTTCGATTTTCCCGTGCTTTACATGCACTGACCGATAGCACGTCCGATACATATGCCGTCGATACCAATGACGTTCCGTTATTGAACGATGGCATCAATGCGACGGCAAAACACCTTATCGCTAGCCAGGGGTTACTGGAAGACGAAGCTCGAGCGTGGGATGAGGGTGTCTTGGAAGATCTCAAACGTCAACGGGATTGCCTTGTTGCAATGCGAGACATGTTTGATCGAAAAGATCGATACGCGAAGGACAACATTCCCCAATTGGAAAAACGTATTCAAACGAATGAAATGAAGCTACAAGAACTACGAACGAAGCCTGAGGGTACAGTGAAGCCCGGAGAAACAGAAAAAGTAGAAGATGCTATTTTCAAGGTATGTATATATGCTTACTGCACACCTGCTTACCTGCTCAGGCTGGGAGAAGACGACTAACGAGATGGCACTCGTACACAGGACAAAGAATCGATCGTCCAACAGCACGCTCGAGGCGTCCTAATCACGGAATGCGTACGTGATGAATTGCTCATTTTCCAGAAGAGCCAGTATCATATCAGCCGTCTTCATCAGGACTGGAGCCAAGAACGAGTAAAATACGCGGAACTTCAGGCTGACAATTGGCGCAGTCTGTGTGATCAAGTGGAGGCAATGCCTATCAGTGATTAGGTGATGTTTTCTTTTCCATGATGTAAGCTGCAGGAGGTGGTTCTCTCTTTGAAGGTGACGTTCATTAGACGACAGTTTTCTTATGATACCTGCCCCCTTAGTGCCTGGTTATGCATACCCACCATATACATACATTTCTTGCGCTTATTCTCCTATCTTTTAACATACTCCTCGTCGTTATTTGTTTCCCTTTCGGTTCCTGTTCAAAGCTGGCTGTCTGAAAACCATTCGATATATAATGATGTTTCTCATGCGTGGGTATGTATATTGATACAAACAGCGGCTTTTCTGGATATTCAAGTTTCGCTGCCTCAAACTTGCAATATGTCGCGCCGAGTGGCCAACGGCGTTGTTTTTGGACTCTTGTTAGTGATATTCTTGTGGAACCTCTTAACGTATCTTACTACTTCATAACTCTGCAAATATACCTGCAACTCCACAGTCCAAATCCTGCAAACAAGCGGCAGACGGCATTGTCCGCAGTCCGTTTGCCAATACTTGGCTTCCGTCAGAGCCTGCAAGCCTGCCTCATGGCTCGCCATCATGTTTACCTGTGCGCAAGTGCCGCATGCAGCATGGGATCAGCCGCGGTGAAGACGAAGTGCTGAATTCACGATTTCCCTTGTGCCAGGCAAACTTGCAAGCAACGTGGGCAACAAATCTCTATCAATCACACCCCCTCCTCCCTTACGCAGTCTCTATTGTGATTCTCACGACGTGCTTCCATTACGGCTGTTTCTTCTCTAGCGTGGGTGATAGCGCCAAGCCTTGCTTGTTTTGGTGGCGCTGATTCCGAGGCTGGCTAGCTTGTTACGGCTAGAGTGTTTCTCCAGCGTCCCGCTTAATAATAAGCGCATCAGCATCTTGTTTGTTCATTGGCTTCAATTGTCCGACGCCGCTTTATTTCCGCTGAGTCAGCCCTGCATCGCCGGCTCGGCATTGCTTCTTTCGGCCAAGCTTGCTTGTTCGCCTTCAAGCCTTCTTCGCCTCTCTCGCTTGCGCTGTTCGATCGACATCGGAATCCTCGAATTGCCTGCTTTCGTGCGTTGTGGTCGCGCGGCCGTCGGAAAGCCACTGGCAATCATTGCTGAATACGGCGTGTTTCAACACAGCCCACGTGCGATATTAGAGGAGCAAAATATTTAAATGAGTGCTTTCTTCAAAGCAATCAGCATGCTCTCTGCCCGAGGATTGTTCTCTCTTTTTGCCTGACCTTGCTGCTCTCCAGCTAGTTAGATCAATCTACAGCTTTTATCTTCCTCTCGTTCTTCCCAATTTCCAAGAGATAATTCGCCTCTTGAGACATTGCGCCGATCTTTCGAACGCGCCGAACAGATCGACGTTATCGAATAACGCTCATTGATGCGGTTCTTCTCTGGTCATACAAGGAGGTAACTAAAGGATATGCTGAGAGCTAGGCTCGCGTTCCAAGGACCCAACGACAGAGAAGCGTCCCATCGAACTGTGGTGGTTGCCCTAGTTTGCTGATCGAAGATCGACTGTTGTCTCAAAACATTGAACAGACTCCAAATCGCGTAAAGACTTTGGCCTTCGAGGCCCGTCTTTTGTATCCCTCAGGGTAGCGGCCTCCGCACTTGACTCTCAGCGGCCCGGTAGCCATGGCGTGGAGCCATCTCGACATTGACAAGCCCCATGTCGCGTATATTATCCTAGGCGGCTTTACCAGCTTGTTCATGCTATGCTCGCTATTTGTGAAGGAAAAGCTATATATTGGCGAAGCCACAGTTGCCACATTGTGTGGTGTCATCTTTGGCCCTCATGCAGCCAACTTTCTGAACCCCATATCTTGGGGGAACGTTGATAAGCTTACGCTGGAATTCTCGCGAATTGTGCTTGTCGTGCAATGTTTTGCCGTCGGCGTCGAATTACCGAAGTCCTATATGGAAAGACACTGGAAATCTGTAGCATTACTTCTGATACCCGTGATGACCTGGGGCTGGATGATGACGAGCCTCTTTATTTGGTGGATGGTTCCCCCATTGACGTGGCTAGAGAGTCTCATTTGTGCAGCTTGTGTTACTGCCACTGACCCTGTCCTGGCTTCATCTGTTGTCGGTAAGGGCAAATTCGCAAAACGGGTCCCTAAACATCTTCGAGATCTGCTCTCAGCAGAGTCAGGCTGCAATGATGGCATGGCTTTCCCTTTCATTTACCTCTCACTATACATTCTAGCGTATCAGCCTAAGGCCAACAAAGTGGCTTTTCACTGGTTCTGCGTCACGCTTCTTTACGAATGCATCTTAGGTGCCTTTTTTGGCTTCATGATCGGCTACGCCGGCCGCCATGCGATAAAGTTTGCGGAGCGGAAGGGTCTTATCGATCGAGAAAGCTTTCTAGTATTTTACTTTGTCCTTGCTTTATTTTGTGCAGGGACTGGGAGCTTACTAGGCATGGACGATCTTCTCATGGGCTTTTCCGCCGGTGTAGGCTTTAGTAATGACGGCTGGTTCACTGAAAAAACCGAAGAGTCTCATGTCTCTAATGTTATTGACTTGTTACTCAACTTGACTTACTTCGTTTACTTTGGTGCAATCATTCCCTGGCAGGAGTTCAATGACATAGAGATTGGTCTCCCTGCTTGGAGATTAGTTGTCATTGCAATCCTGGTGATATTGTTCCGTCGGATACCCATCATGTTACTGTTGAAGCCTATGATACCAGATATCAAGACCTGGAGAGAAGCTTTATTTGCGGGCCATTTCGGTCCAATCGGTGTAGGGGCAATTTTCGCCTGTATCTTAGCTCGAGCTGAGTTGGAAACACATTCGACTCAACCCCTTGACGGACTTCCTGGAAAAGGCGAACACAATTACACCGTCATTAAATTGATATGGCCTATAACAACATTCTTAGTTATTTCCTCTATCCTCGTTCATGGGTCCTCTGTCGCTGTCTTCACACTGGGCAAGCGCATCAACACATTAACCATCACCATGTCGTACACTACAACTAACGATGAAGGCCCGTCTTGGATGAATCGGTTGCCCCGTATTCAGTCTCAATCTAAGGCCTCACTGTCTTTACGCAAAGAATCTCTCGACTCATCTAGCGAAGGGGTCCCTCAATTTCCTCCGGGGACTCTTGGCCCTATTGGCATACCTGGCAGCCTATTACGACGGCAAAAAGAAGGAGATCAGCCAAGTCAGCCAGGTAGTCGCTCTTCAAGCCGAAAACCCATAAAACGGAAGAAGCTCAGAGCAGGGGGACCAATTAGCCAATCCGCCATTACCCCTCAAAGGAGAGCAGAGCCGGCAACTACTTCCGAATCTACAGACCTTGAACGGGGTGTAGTATCACTGACATCCGGTGGGCAATCCAGTGATGGACTTGAAGGTCAGACGCCGCCTGGGGAGCCAGAAATAGAGGTTTATCAAGAAGGAGGTAAAATTATCATTGAAGATGAAGAAGGAAATGTTTTGGAGACGGTCGACATCAGCCATATTCCACCCGAAGAACGGGAGCAAGAAATTATGGCCCAACATAGACGAATCCGCGAGGACTCTTCTGGGATCTTCGCCAAAGGACGAAAACACCCCCATGAGCGGGATGAAGGGGAAGAGATCAAACGCATCGGCGAAGATCGGCTCTCCCATCCGATGAAGCACCTAAAAAAACATTTTTGGAAGCATGGGAAGAAGAAGGATTTGTTGCCTCCTGAAAGTTCGTTAGAGGCAAAGCCGAAGAAGGAGCGCAAGCGTCGATCTGCACGAGCGTATCAGTTTGCACACACAATTATCGTAGAAGACGAGGATGGAGAGGTCATCAAGAAGTATAATATCCCGGGACACAAGACCACAAAGAAAGAGACCCAAGTAGGCGAGTCATCTGTTGGGGCGGAATCTTCAAGATGGCACTTGTCCCGGATGGGTAGTTGGATGGGCCGTGGAGAGGACAAAGAAGGAGAACAGAAACCAAAAAACGATGAAGAAGCGTCATCCGATGAAGAGAGGCTCAGATTCACTGTTCCTGGGAATGGTGGCCAAGGCCGACGCCTTGGTGGACGTAGAATGACAAAAGAAGATTTTATCAGAGAGATTCAGCAACTCGATCCTAAAGCTCGAAAAGAAATTTATGACGAAGATATCCCGGGCCAGCTGCATCCAGTCACAGTACAAGAGCAAGAAGAACCGCACTATCGTTTCGTTGAAGGTCAGGAAACACCGCTGAGCATCACCAACGAACACCCATCTTCGATAACACCAGGTGATGATAGCACTGAAAGAGAAGACGTACCATCTTATGATGTTGCCGCCTCTTTAGCTCGGTATACCGGTTTGCAATCCTCAGCTGCTGAAAGCCGCCGCCGGCGTTTCGGCGAGTCCGAAGAATCCCTTCCTTTATCACCGATGAGCCGTGGGCGAGCCCATCGACGCTCTGAGGATTACGGAACAATGCATATTCCACCAGCGGAAGTTAGGCACTTGCCAGGCTTGCCGCCACCGCAGGTATCGGCGTCAGGAGCGGTCGGGCTGGACATGGATAGCGAAACCCCAGCAGAGCGGAAACGTCGCCTGGCGGCTCTAGGCCAGCTACCAGACACACAAAATGATGGTGGGAATGGCCGTCGCGCTGATAGTGACAGCTCTGATAGCGAGGATGACGGACGACCGCGCCCTGTAAAGGGGAAAGTGTCCTTCGCTGATGGAACTAGGCCGGCGAAAGCCAGGACTAGCGCGATGATGCTGTCGTCCGCGCAAGCTGGAAGTAGCAGTGACGTGGCCGAGCAGGGTTCTTCGACTACCGGCAACGGCAACGGCAACGGCAACGGCAACGGGAATGCTCAAAGGGGCCATGCGTCGCGGATTTCGTGGGGAGGCGAGAGGGGACGATCTTGAAATCCGCACGTCACCCAACTAATAGTTATGCAATGTATAGTTATATCCCAGTTGCCAAGGTACGTAGGAGCATACAGAATGCTGAATACAAGAAGTGCTTATGAAGGCTCATATACGGAGTAGGCTGTAAATAATCTGTGTTTTAATATATTTTAGCATGATATCTTTGTTGGTCTTAGATTAGTTACTGGTTCAATTATGTTATTGATAACCAAGATAGTGTTAATGAAGTTTAAGTTTGATAGTCCATTTGAGAGGAACCGTCTGTGGGATCTGCATATATATTTAGCAGGAAGTGTTGAGACTAGGTGGAGAAAAAAGGTTGTGCTAGTGAAATGCTGGGATTAAGCTGTTGGCATGCTATCATAATGGATTTTGCTGGCTCCTTTATGTTTCATCCCTGAAAGCCACTGAAAAAGAAGATCTGCTTAATGAGCATTGAATAAATGTGACGCCATATATTCCTAAACATATATGATAAATTCCTCATGCATAGAAGGGTAAAAATGTGATTATTTAAAATCGAAAAGTAGAATCGTAATTCAAAATTGCCTTGGCAAAAGGGTTAGAAAGGAAAAATAAAGCTGCTTCATCCCGAGAAGCGGGAAATGATGTAAAAAATGGAAGGCAAAAAAAGGTGCAAAGCCACGCAATGTTGTCAAACGTCACAAAACACCTCCAGGTAATTGAATGGCTCCAGGCTGTGGCCGGGCTATTCCTCCGCCACCTGCATCGACATTGCCACTCCCCGGAGGAAACCCGATCCCGCTGCTCGAATACATGCTCGTTGCCGTGCCATCACTTACTGGCGTTTGTCTTCTGAGCATAAACATAGGCTTCTGGCCTTCGCTAGCCAGTTGTTTGAACAGAATTAGTGGCTTTTCTTCAAGGCTAAGGCAGCGCTCTTGATCGCCATAAACGATATAGAGGGCGTAATGTCTCCAATCTTCATGTATATTATATTTTTTAAGGGCAGCAGGGAGAACTTTGTAGCATGGGTCCTCCATGGAAACGCGGAAAGATTTGAATATCTCAACGCTAGGCCCCGTGGAATCGTTTCGATCGCGCGAGCCGGGTTGGCCATTGCTAGAACTAGGGTAACAGGGAGTAGAACGGTCTTGACGTTGCTGTGATTGTGGATCTTCTGGGTGGTCATAGGGCCGATTTGTGCATTGAGTCTCACGGGAGTAGGACCTGGATGCAAGGGTCTGTTGTGGATAGAAACTTGCAGGCGATGTGGGGGATGGGATGCCCTTCGGCGAGGGTTGGCCGCCGTTCATGGAAGCCGTTAAATGAGTTGAAGCAGCAATTGCGGCAGCAGATGGATCCAGAGAAGAACTATCGGTGTACGTCCGTCCTTCGGGTATGGATTGAGGGATATGTGTGGGAGAATTAGTCTTTGGGGTAGTTCCCCCAGCGAATAGTTTCTTTGAGAAAGTCCTAGAAAGACTAGCAGAGCCTTTGTCTTGCGAATTCGCCATAGAAGGAGAGACTGCAGCCTGGTCATGGGAATATTCTGAAACTAATGTTGATCCCCCATATGATGCAGGCTGATATGGTAATGGCTGCGACCTGTCTTTGGCCATTTTGAACACTGGTAACAACTCTTCTCGCAACTTCCTATAATCGTCTGCCAATTTTCGTAATTCCGTTTCTGCCGCAGCAAGTCTTTCGTCTCGTTTGCGAATAGTCCGTATTAGGAGAGCAACATCTTCTTGAGTGGCTACTTCTTTTGCGTTGCTCTGTTCGGCGGCTATCGACGGACCAGCTATTAGTACCTTGAAAGAAAGCAGCTACAACAACATTTTAACTTACACAGAGGGACATAGTGATCTGGATCAAAAGACACCCCTTGTTTTACTTTAATCTCATATACACTCTTCAAGAGGGTGAGTCGGTGGCCGACACTCGACATTCCTAACTCTTTCAACTCATCATGTCTTAATGCCACGAGGGCTTCCCCGACAATATCGTTGTCTGAAAATACCAAATTAGACTCTTTGTATGAGAAACAAGACCAATTTTCACTCACCTATAAAAGAATCACGGTACTGTTTTAGGCCAAGGCCTATAGCAAAATTTGCACACTCCTCAGCGGACCATTCTATTATGGACGACATTGGCGAATTATGGTCATCTGCTAGATTCCCAAAGGTGGTAGGGGTGTTTTCTGCGGATGGAGGCTCGGAATCTGTTGGAGAGGCCTCAGAGTCATCGACAAGCCGGGGCGAAATTACCACACTGCGTTCGTACTCGTCGTCAGCATCCGAGTCTGCATGATGATATGCAGTAGGAAACGCCATAGTGTCTCGTTTTGATATTTCTTTCGATGTAGAGGCTCGCTTGCTGGATAATGCTGACAAGCGATAGGTGAAAGGTTGCAAAGTCGCAGTTCTCCGTTCCACAATTAGACGAGAATGCTAACGAGGGATTGGCGTAAAGTGGGTATCGTGACCGCAGAAACCAACGTCGAGAGTGTATATAAGGCCGTGAGAGTATAAACTTTGGAATTCGAAATCAGACTAGAACTCGACTGAAAACAAGCGTTTGAATTGACGAACGCTGGGGTCAAGCGAGGGTAAGAAGAACAGGCAAAAGGCGGCCGATAGAAAGAACCAGGCGCCAATAGAGCATTCACCAGGAGGCTACTCCGCTCATTGTGTATAAGGGCACAATAGTAGAGCCCGAAATTACAACACAAGAGTCAATGTGCCCATTGACGGGGGGCGGGTTTTTGCGGTTCGACCGACGGTTCGACCGGTAACGATTGACGGGTCGAGGGCCTCGGGGCTGGCAGGATCAGGGTAACAGCGAGACGATCGATTGCAAGCGGGGATGCAAGGGAATGGCCGGCGGTCGTGAAGCAACTCAGACGTCGCTGGAGATGGCGTTTTGGGGGAATTGCGAGGGCATCCCACGTGACTGTCTCTCCACCGGCCGAATCGGGGTTTCACGTGAGTTTGGCGTGCCGGATACAGCCTAGCGTGCAGGGGACCAGGTGGGGGACTGATCCGCGCGGGTCCTAGGCCTGATACGGCCTAGCGGGCCCGCTCCTTGACGATTTTGAAGGATGCCGAGCCGCACGATGTCATTCTTCCGGTGATGATGTTTCGACGTGCGACATGCGGAGCGGGTGTGAGATGAGTGATACTAACTGCCACAACTAAATACAGCGGAAATGAGAGCACTCGTAAACAGCCACGGCACGCGGCCGTGGGGCTAGTAACAGTTGTGAGCATTAAGGAAGGTTCAAGGCTGACCCGCAAGTTACAGAGTAGATGAAGCAGAGGAGAATATTACCGGGCTCTCCGCATTCTCCCGCAGCCCGCGCCAAAAGCGGATTAATCATTAAACTTGATGTATCCCCCCACAGCGTTGCGGACAATAAGCTGGCAATAGTCCATGCACGAGAGGATTTTCCTTGCACCGTCGCATTCCATGATGCACTCTGAGCTTTCCTCAGAGCAGTGATCCCAGTCCATTTTTGCCTTCCCAATCCGACCCTCTTGGTCGCAAATTTCACAGCAAGTACCCCATTCCACGGTACGGCTATCGAAGTCGATTTTCGGGGCTCGGAGGGCCCCCGCGTAGAACATAAGCGCACTGATGACGTCCGATTTTTTACTGTGCGTTACCGAAGATTCCGACTCAGATGAGCTCAGCTCTTCTAGCTCAGCAGTGCCGCCGCTGAGGATATCCAGAAATCGAAAAGGCGCCGTTCTTAACTGGAGGCCAGTAGTCACCGCATCCTTCCGGTTAATCAGTCGCAATGTATCATGCACTGCGGTACTGCACACATTATCCTCCGCAATACGTAAGGTTCGAAGGTCTCCCACAGTCTCATCATTAAGACCACAGACGGAATAGGCGAATTTGACAAATCCTGTGGGGTACTCCGCTGCCAGAACGAAGCAATCCGCACAAACGCGCTCGCACGAGAATAGGTATATGAATGGCCCGAACTCACCACAAGCTACACAAGTAGCATTGCGTAACATGTCCTGCAAAATATCACATGAGATCCAATTCCCGGCCCCCAACGCCACGATGGATTTTACCACATCCGGAACGAGGGTGCACAATGTCTTGTAATTCAACAGGCCGTCAACTACCGTTTTGGCGTATCGGCAGGTCTGGCTGAAGTTGGTCAAAGATTGCAGGTCCATATCCGAGAGAGCAAGGCGAAGAACCTCGAGAGGAAGAATATCGAGGTTTCCCAGGGTCGACGTCCCTACACCGCTATTACCCGGAACTAATTGACAGCTAAGTTGGCCCACCTCGCATGTCGAATTGCGGGTGTCTGGGGGATCTGGATTCCCGGCAGCTGGCTCTGTTAGCTGAACTGATGTAACCATGATTGTAGATTTTTGAAACAGGAATGAATTTCTTTTGGCAAACAAAACCTCTGAATAATGTCTCTTGACTATTATAACATTGGATACGTGTGAATTCCAACTTGTAGGAATTGAATTGATTTGGGTTAAATGACGTGATGGCTGACTGTGTTGCACGTGCTTCATGTCCAAAAAATAGTATGTAGCAGTTGTGAATTATACCACATGTTCAGGAGTAGTCCCCATCTGTAGAACGACAGAACATTGGCACATCACTGTTTCTGATTTGGAAGTTCCGGTCAATAGGAGTATGCGCAATTACTAACTCTTCAACAAGACAGCGCTTCAAGCGAGGGTGCAGGGATCCATTGAAGAACACTGAAAGTAAATTTAGTCAGAAGTGTGTTTGTAATAATTCAAAAGTGTACATCCAACTATTAATTGGAACATATTTTTCCAATAAAGCCTTTTTGAAATTCAGGAAATAGTTGAAAGCACTGCTTTCCAATAAATGCAGGAAAGTGTGGCCAGTGCCCCTAATTTGGTACACTGTTATAAGCATGTGTCCCTGTGGCCCAGTGCGGAAATGTAAAATAAGATCCTTTTCGGCTAGCCAAAACATAGGAAGCCATTGCTTTTACTATAAAACTGCCAATTTTGAGAAAGAAAGAAGTTTATATTTGTTGTTAAATGCAGTGACTTTGACAAGAAGAGGCAGAAGCATTCGCTGGGGCAAGGAAAGGGGCAACTTGACAAGGGCTATTGCAGCAGTTAGGGCAGCGCCCAACTACCTCAGAGTGTAGGATCCATATTGATCGCCTGGAAATTGCACATCCTGAAAAGACGCACTCAGAGTTTGTGACAGAGAAGGAAATGGTTGGTCCTTGCGAAGCGCAAGGTCGCTGGTAGCGAAGCGCCTTCTGTCTCGGTTTTGACTGTCGACGTCGCTTAAGGTTTGCGGCTGAATCATGTGAGTCGCCGTTAACTAAGCTCCGGCGGCTGTTGCGGCTGCTGCGGCTGTTGGCGAGCGACTGCAACGAAAGCGTCGGATGCAGATTAATCGGGCGACGGCGACTTTGGAGGCAATCTCTGCGCTGGCGGGCTCTTCCTGCACCCGCTTGAGCTTGTTTCCCAGCCTGCTGCCCGTCCACCGCAGCCGCTCCCGGCGGCGGCAGCCAACCAACACAACCCTAAATAGCCGCGCCACGGGCCAATCAGCGGCGGCGGCCCTTCCACCGACAATGACGTTCGCTGGCGGGAATTCCTTTTCGCTATCAAACGAACAAGCGAAAAAGCGACATCGCACGGCGCGGGGCAAAGCGAAGCAGTCACCCAACGAGCCATGACGGCTCGCAAGTGATCTCGGAGCTTTCCTGTTCCTTTCTTTTCGTCTTGCATCCTTACCCCTTCTTCCCCATCTTTTTCAGAAGCATGGTCTTCGCTGGCCCGGACTACACAAGGCACCATCGGCTCTAGCGAGCTCTCTATCTCCCCGCCCCATCTGCCTATTCACTTTCGCCTATTCACAATTTACCTACTGTTCCAAGAGCGTTGACAACCATTTCCTCCGCGACAGCTGGTCTTCGCCCCAATAATTCCTCTTTCGCTCCTTTACCACCAAAAGCCTTCGAGAGCCTTCCCCTTTACAATGCCGACGCCCAACCCAAACCCTGCGATCTCCTCAGATACCATATATCGTATAAAGCCCCTCCATGATACTCAATCGACCTCCGAAACGGCCCAACTCTCTAGCCTCTCGTCTCCCACCGACGTGGCGCTGGCCTTCCTTTCGACCACCTCTACCCTCGAAGACCTCCACACCTCTCTTCTACACTCCCTTTCCGCCTCCGGCTGGACAGAGCGTGTTCGTGCCCTCGCCCTCGAACTTCTCCGCTCCGGCCGTTGCACGCACTTTGAAGACGTCGTCGACAGCATCGTCCAATCCGCCACCGCCCCCCGGCCGCCCGGCGACGAGGGCCATACTCAGTCTGTCCTCGGTAAGAGGAAACGTGCCAAAGAAACAAACGGTATCGCGATGAAAAATGGGGCGACCAACGTCAAAACGGAAAACAGCAGTGACGCAGAGGGAGACAATGACGATGACGGTAACGAACAAGGCAATGCCGCCGGCAAGGATATCAACGGTAATGCCAAGATGAAACAACTGAACGGCAAGCATAAACCTGACACGACCCATGTTGGCACTGATGAACTGTATACACTCCCTGAAGTCGATGTTCGCATACCTCCACACATAGTCGGAAAAGGCGTCAAAATTTTGCATGAAGCTCTGGGGGAGATAATCATAGACTCGGTAGAAGACGATGATGAAGACGGTGAAGGCGAACTTGATGAGACACAGAAGGCTTCGTCAAAAGCAATGGCGGCTACAAAGCGATAGTTGGCTTTTTCATAATCCCTTTTTACGCTGTTTTCTCTTTGGTTGTTGGTGCTTGCATTTGCTGTGATTGCGGGTCTTTGCTGCATGGTTTTATTCCATACAGGCCATTGCATAGATATCCATAACCCTTTTCTCTGACTCCTCTTGTGATACATACTCACGATTGGTTTAAGTGTACATTATTACTTAATGCGACATCTCGATTTACAGCGGCATGGGCAAATTCAATTAGGCATATCCTTTCTACCAGATTCTCAAATTTAACCATTGACTGTCTGGCATTGAGTATTTTATAAACTAAGAAAAACATCAATCTAAATTTCGATCGAGGAGCGACCAAGAAACTGGTATAACGTCGTCATGCACAAAATTAATATGAACCGGTATTCCTGCTCCACCCAATATCATATGTTCTCAATCCTGTTGAACCTTAATCGCTGTAGAGATATGAAGACAGACTTTGAGAAGATAATATGAAAGGAGCCTACTGCTAGATAAGTCTTTAGTCATACAGGCTGTCATCATTGCCGGCGTCACCGAAACCGGCCTGGGCACTCTCTTGTTCACTTGGGAATCGGAAAAAATTGCTCCCACTCGAGTTCTTCATACTTTGTGCAAATGCTTCATACCGTCGGATTTCCGTATCGTTTACAGAGCGGCGAGCCATTTGCATGGCCTCCTCAAAATGAGCGCGTGTGAGTTCTGGAACTGGGTCATCAACATCTTCATCCATAGTAACATCTTCACCAGCGGCTTCTCGTTCTTTTGTCCGTTCAATTTCCACAGAGATTGCTTGTTTGATAGCGAGCTTAGCTGCACGTTGTGTAACAAAGCCGAGATCAGCACCAGAAAATCCATGGGTCTTGCTAGCAATGAATTGCAAATCGACATCTGGGGCAACAGGTGTCTTGCGGAGTTGTGCCTTCAAAATCGAGACACGCTCTGACTCGTTAGGAAGAGGAACATAAACGAGGGTATCAAGACGGCCGGGACGGCACAAGGCATTATCGAGTTGCTCGGGACGATTAGTGGCACCGATGACAAAGACGTTCTTCTTAGATGTCATTCCATCCATTTCTATATAAGGGTTAGCCAAGTTAGTAAATTTAGGAAATATAGCATACCTGTAAGAAGTTGGTTAACGACACGGTCAGAGGCGCCTCCAGCATCACCCACAGACCCGCCACGAGATTTAGCAATGGAATCAAGTTCGTCTAGGAAAACAACACATGGAGCGGCCGCTCTCGCCTTGTCGAAAATATCGCGGATATTACTTTCAGATTCACCGAACCACATACTCAACAATTCAGGGCCCTTAACAGAAATGAAATTGGCAGCACATTCGTTGGCGACGGCTTTCGCAAGTAAAGTTTTACCAGTTCCTGGTGGGCCATAGAAGAGAACACCTTTGGAAGGAGAAAGACCAAATTTGAGGAATTTCTCGGGGTGGTCGACTGGGTACTGGACACTTTCGATAAGCTCTCTCTTGACGGTCTCCAGTCCACCAATATCTTCCCAGCGGACGTTGGGAACCTCGACAACGGCGACTTCACGAAGAGCAGACGGATTGGAAACACCAAGTGCAAATCGGAAGTTCTCCATTGTCACGCCTAGGGAGTCAAGCACCTCAGCGTCGATCGTATCTTCGTCAAGATCGATGAGGTCCATCTTTTCACGAATTTGTTGCATCGCAGCCTCTGAGCAGAGAGAAGCAATATCAGAACCAACATAACCATGGGTTTCCGCCGCGATGGCCTCAAGGTCGACGTCCTCGCCAAGCTTCATATTCTTGGTGTGAATTTGAAGAATCTCTAGACGACCAGTCGGGTCTGGAATACCAATGTCGACCTCACGGTCGAAACGGCCGAACCGTCTAAGAGCAGGGTCGACGGAATTGGGGCGGTTGGTTGCGGCCATGACGACGACATTGGAACGGGCCTTCATACCATCCATGAGAGTCAAAAGCTGAGAGACAACGCGGCGTTCAACCTCGCCGTTGGTTTTGTCACGCTTGGGTGCAATCGAATCAATCTCGTCAATAAAGATAATAGCAGGAGAATTCTTCTCTGCCTCTTCAAACGCCTTACGCAAGTTGGATTCGGATTCACCAGCCATTTTCGACATGATTTCAGGACCATTGATCAAGAAAAAGAAAGCACCAGTCTCATTGGCCACAGCACGAGCCATCAAGGTCTTACCAGTACCGGGGGGTCCAAACATGAGAATACCACGGGGAGGTTTAATACCAATCGATTTGAAAAGCTGAGGGTGGCGAAGAGGCAGCTCAACCAGCTCTCGAATCTGAGCCATTTGTTTGCGGCAACCACCGATATCATCATAGCCAACATCGTTGAGGTTGCCTTCTTCATCTTCTCGCTGGATAGGCTCACCCTCACAGTGAATCATTGTGTCCTGGGCAACGATACCGTACTCTGGTGGATCAACTTCAACAACTTTGAATTCTACTTGACGCATACCACCACGGACTGTAAATAAATCGCCTTGTCGAACCGGTCGGTAGGCTTCACGAAAATATGGGGCAAGGAAAACATCGAAAAGCGATCCAGTAAGACCTTCCACAGTATCGGCAATTGGTAGAACAGCAATGCGTTTTGCCTAGAGAATAAAGTAAGTCACTATGTAAGGAAACCAAAAGTGAGAAGCCAGCTCACGTATTTAATATCGGGGCAAGGATGGACAGTAATGACGTCCCCGTGCTTGACACGCAGATTGTGTCGAACAACGCGGTTGATACGGGCACTTCCATCATCGAGCTCATCATCTGCAAGGACAATCAAAACAGTATCTCTCCGCATTTTTCCTTTTACGAGAACTGTGTCTCCACGGAAGAGCTGGAGTGTCTCCATGGTATTGTTAGAAAGAGCAATGACGGAGTTGTCATCGTTAACGGCATCGGTAACACTGTGAAGAAAGGAAAAGAGAGTATCAGTATCCCGGTATACCAGCGGTTTGGAAATCAGTGGAGAGGTAGCTTACATCAACGAATTTGGCTTCTTCTTCTTTTTAAGGATAGCCGTGGATGTATCAAGTTCCTAAATGATGTCAGTGACCGGCAACAACAAAAAAATCAACAAGCGGAAGCCGAGCCGAGTAGGATTACCTCTTTCTTTTCAGCGCCTGAAGGGTCACTAGAAGGAAGTTAGCAAGACACAGCTAGAGACAAGCAAGTTAGGCAGATGCGGTCTTTGCAACTCACTTCAAGTTGACCTTGTGCTTCGACGGGCCGTGATCAGGCTCTGCAGACATTTTGACAGCAGTATGTGTGAACCAAATGCTCTAAGAAAGGCAGGATGCAGAATAATGAGGTTGTCGAGAGGAGAATGGCCGAAAGGATGAGATATCAGAAGGCAGTGATGAGGCCCGGGTGCAGCTCTCTGCCAACCGCTGGAAATAAATCACAGATGCGTCGTGCAGCGATAATGGGGAGTCAATTGGGGTGGGAATGCAGCACAGATGGAAAACAGAGGGCAAGGACGAGCGGGGGTGAGAGGAGCAAGAGAGAGATGGACGGTGATGTTGCGAGGGTGAAGGTGGCCGTTTTGGGCGGGCGAGAGCGCCAGAGCTCCAATGGCGCTAGCCGCGTCGGGCTAGGTTTGTCTGGTTTGGCTGGGTGACTCAGCGGAACAGGCCGTGCTGACCAATCACGCGAGTAGGGCGGCCTGGAAGCTGCTGGAAGGCGATGGACGAGGCGAAGTCGTGGGACAGCAGCCCATCAGCTGCACGGCTTCCGGCGTGGCTCTCCAAGGGTTGCGCCTGAGGGTCGTGGGACAGAACCCGTAGGCAACCGCCGGATGACGCCTTTGCGGCGCGGTTCGCCAGGGACGGGGTGTGCCATGGCAAGGCAACATGTCCACAACTCCCAGCCTTGTTTTCTATTCCAGGCCTGAGCTTGTTATTGAATAGCTCACCATTCCCTGCTGGTAAAACACCCTCTGTGTTGGAATGCCACCCTGCCCCTTGCTACCAATCACGGCGTCCCTCCAAGCAAGCACGCTGGAGTCCATCAGGCTGATAGCTATAGAAACAGAACAAACATTCGTTCTGCAGCCGATCTGCACAATGCAGCTTCAATCTACTAGGATATCGCCTGATAAGTGCTTCTTCTTTCTTGTGCAAGGACATCTTTAAGGCGGCTCCAGGCACCAGCAGATGGACCCTGCGCCAATCTCGCCCTTACTGTACTGTCGTCTATACCCCCCTCTTCACTCTGCTGCTATCATTCAATTTACTCTTCTAGACCAGGGCTAAAAGAAGTTTGCCTGAATGCCATAACAAATATATTATCCTTGCTTTGACCACTCCTCAATGGCACTGCGCCAGTGGATGCTATATCCTGGATATGATTGCTGGCACTAGCCTTTCTAGTGAATATTTAAAAGGCAACACATCAAGCCTAAGATCTCTGGAGATCGCATCCAAGTGAACCTGAATCTCTCTCACAGACTGAATTTCCAGGTAGCAGGCAACAAGCAACTATGGAAAATAAATCTGCACACCCTCAAGACTACATGCGCGCTCTCAAGAACATGATAAAAGAAGACGAGCTCGAGGAACTCCTTAAGGTTTCGACACCTATCTTCCTTTTCGGACCACTGATGCTTCCCCAAATGCTTAAATCCGTGACCGACGCCCAACCATCTTTAGATATTGCCACAAATATGACACAGGCTTGCCTTCCCGGCTACGAGCTATGGGTTTTCGAGGGCGCTGACATCCCGGTTGTCAGAGCATCTGGAAAACTGGGCCAGAGCGTCGATGGCCTTGTGGTGTTCGGTCTATCTGCAGAACAGCGGAACTGGATATATGAGTTCGAAGCCGAAAACGCGAAGCATTTGACTCCTGTTTCGGTAGAAATCTGTACACGCGATGGGGTTCTGCGGACAATTGATGCAGCTACATTTGTTTGGAAAGGCCGCATGGATGGGTTGGTGTCAATGGGTGCTAAGTCGTGGAAGATTGACACCTTTCTACAAAGTGAACTTTATCAGAACGCTACACGAAAGTACTCGTCGTCGTAGGGGCAAATTACTCTTTCTGAGCCTCTTCTTTCCCACAAAGCTTTTTCTTGTGCAAACTGCTCGCCTTTTCTCAGCTAGTATTTGATGAAATTTGAACAATCTTTCAAAGCCCGAATAACATTCATTACATTTTCGATTAAGGGGTTTGTATTTCGCGATTGGGAGTACTAAGTCTACTTCCTTATTGTTTGGTTCCTATGCCCACCGAAAAAACTAATCATTTTCTATATTCAGCGATAAAATGCCATGCAGATCCATTTCCTTCCTGGTGGATGAAAGTAAAATCAGACGTTTTATGTCCTTACAGCTACCGCAACCTTTCATACATTTCCATGGTAGCCCCTGCCAGTAGCTATTAGTTTGCTATCTTATACTTCATACATTCCTATTAATTCACTAAAACGGGTAATTGGGTTGGCGAAGTCCGAAGGCCACAAATCAACAGACACGTGTCGCCAGAACTCAAACAACTAGCACATGCATAAATGCCCTTTTACCAAGGGAAAATGACTCGCTTATAATTTGAGAGCACCGTCTCAATACTAATATTATAAAGAGGACTTGGTGCCTGACGATAAAGTAAAGCCAAATCTTCTTAGATACAGCTTCGCGGTGGTCCGTGTATGGGTACCTCGATGGAAGAATACTTCGCTAATAATAGGAAGGAATTGCTAAGAGTTTGAAATGGGTATAAGCGGGGAGTCAAGGCTCATGCCCCTGCAGAATTCTTATAGATGCCGGGGCGCCGACTGAGAGCCAGTACTTGTGCAATGGAAGTGGTTGGATCACCCCGTCCAATGGATTTAACCACCACGGTGATCATTAATGAGGCTGAAAACTTTAGCATGCCGCGCTGTGGTCTCGGCGGTGGATCGAAGTCGGAGATAGGCATCGCGATGTCCGGATTGTCTAGCTGCAGGAGATGAAACCGAAGGCCAGGGATCCGGTTCTATGATGGTTGGCATTGTTCCTTCCAAAAAAGCAAGTAAAAATCAAGGCTATTTGGAGTAAGTATTTTTCTCTTAGTGTTGCCCTGGTCACTGCAATTAAGATAGATGTCGACTGTAAGGGTTAGACACCGTTGGTGTCCCAGGATCACGCCCGCGTAATCACAGTGCAAGACAAAATGTAAAGTAGCAGTTGTTTGTATAAACCGAAAGATAAATTTGAGACCAAGTTCTCCTTTTTTATGGGCTGTTTTTAATCAGTATCAATAAGTTATAAAATAAGTCATCGTTGCTAATATGAAAAGAAAAAAATAGAAGAAAATAGCCGGAGAAAAGAAGAAGAGGCCTTAAGATGAATGAAAAGAAGAAGAAGAAAAGTGTGTATATAGAATAATAGTAGCTTCTCACCGGTAGAACGAAAAAAAGGCTAAAGGTGCAGCTCTAAATAGCAGGGTATCTCGATTCGCCTCCAAAAGTCCGTCTCTTGAATAAATCACGATGTCTGTTCGGGAGCCTTGTCATTCTTCGGAACAGCAGCTGACTCTCCCTTTTTTTGATTGCTCTCCGCTTGCTCTACTCTGATTTCAGGCCTTGTAATCGGTGTACCGTCTATTTCAGAAATGATGACGCTTTTGGCATTTGAGAGGCGACTTGCGTGGCTGAGGTTTAAGGTATTGGGCTGGAAATGTAGCTCGTTTTGGGGCATAAAGGAGTGCGGCGCTTGAGAATTCATATCTGGAGTGCCCGGGGGGAAAACGATCGAGGTGGGTGATTGCACGCTGCTGCGGTATGAATCTGTGTCTGTAGGTGCGTACGCTGAGCCTGCTGTAATCGAGCTGTGTAGGTATGGGCTGTATTGATCGGATCTTTGCCGCAGAATATCCGCTTTAAGGATTAAGCGGTCGATGAGGACGGAGTGGGCTTTTTTCAGCGTCTTCTTGACGAAATTCGTGGACAGGATGTTGCATCGCATGTCAACGTCTTCGCGAAGGTACAAGCCCTCCCGGGGTGCGTCAGTGAGGCCCAACTCGACGGGCTCTCTTGGTTCGCCGGGCATATTTCCGCCAACGGTCCATTTTTCTTTGATATCCAGCCCCGTAGGCGCATACACATGAGTCTGGAGGCCTCGAGGCAGGTCGTGAAAGCAGGCCTTATACGAGATGTTGCCGCAGATGATGCCGCCGGGTAGATAGTGGATCTTATCGGTCAGCTCATACCAAATACAGTGAAATTCGTCAGCGGGCGCCGTGGCCATCGGTTTGCATCGTTCGTGCTTGATGACCAGGGGATTCAGCTCGATCATCTCGGCATGCTGGTGCAGGGTTTCGATCACGGTTTCGCGGGAAATATACGGGGGCAACGGGGTCACCGTCGTAAAGACGCTTCGCTTGGACATGAGACTCGTCATGCTGGCGGGACGGGTGTCGACTGGGCGGGGATGGAACACGGCGAGGGCAGAGCAGGTCTAGCAAAGGAGAGACAGGCTGTAGACACACACACTTCTAGAAGTATGTAACTATATAGCGCACAGCGTAGAAGAAAAGACGAGAAATCCTTCCAAGGACGAGTGCGGCGGAGTAGTTAGCCCCCATGCACTCCGCGCCGCCGCCGCGTCCGTCGGCTTTAAGTCGATCGGCTATCTGCTTCTTCTTCTTCTTACCCGCCGCGACAGCCTCAGTTAGCTAGTTGTATTGGCCCGGTGCCGGCTCGGGACTCTGGCGTACGTGGCGCGGGCGCTGGCAGCTTCATCATCATCAGAGGAACGTTATTATTATTATTACGGAGTATTGGGCTTCATCTGGTGGGCCGGCCTGGTGCTATTTTAAGGCAGCCGAGTGCTTAGCGTTGACTCCTGGGCTCATGGCATGCAGGGAGCACAACTCGTTTCAAAGGGGCTCCATGAAACGGCTGGCTTGGGACACTTGTGCCGCATATGATCGCCGGACGATCGTCTGTCCCTTTGTTGCGCGAGAAAGATCGGAGCGCACGTCTGACCGGGGAAACAAAGTGTGTGGAGAAGGACTGCTATCTATCTATAGAAAAATTCAGGCAACGCGCGGCTCGTCTCTAATAACGTTATTAAAGCGACGAGCTTCATGTGAGCGTTGCCGTCGCTGTCCACAAATCGCTTATTTTCCAAGCCGTAGCGGCCATGCTAAGAACCCCGATTATACCATCCGGGACTCCAGCCCCGTTCTCCAAACTCCAGTGGACGCAGAGGGGAAACCACGCCAGATTATTGATCAGGCTCTTCTTCCAAGCTCGACGTCTCGACGCTTCCACGCTCTGCTCCTTCGCGTCCAGCACCCCCACCGCCGTTCCCGCTTGAGCGGCTTGTTTTCGCTGTGCGAGAGACCGCTCGCGCCAGAGACGCACAAGCTCCAGCACCACATGGCCCAGCCAAGCGCGGGTCGACCAGATATACCATTTCCCAATGCCGCCCCAGCGTTGGATGATCCGTTGCGGAATGACCCCCTTGGATGCCAGGAACGCGACGTTCTCCATGAACTGATATACGATATTCACGAAGACCTGCGCGAAGGCCACGCCGCGGAGTACCCCGTCGGCCGGGGGCGACTTTACCGTTGCGGAGCCCCATTCCCACAGAGGAATCAAGCCAAGCAGTCGTAAGGCTGTTCGCGTTTCTGACATGAGCGCTGCTAGCGCAAGGAGCGAGGGCGTAGGTGCATCTGGGCTGTTGGGTTGCGCGTTCAGACTCGAAAACCCCAGGCGAGAGCGAAGGCGAGAAAGGATGGTTCGTATTGGCGGTGAGAAAAGGGCATGATGGAGGATGTCAGCAGAGTAACCGACCGTTGCGAAAACAGCTTCTTCGCTGTAGGACGTTGATATTAAACTGTGGAATATGTTAGAGTAAGTCGTTAAATTGCCAGGGAGCAAGAGACCCGTACCTGCTTAAGCGTAGTGCCGTAGCATCTACATTCGACAGCACACGCCCGACAGAGGCTATATTGTTCTTCGCCTGAGTCTTTGGGAAGTCTGCAGCTTTCTCCGTTCCTCCGTTTGTTAACGAAGGCACCGTTGGGGTGGGGTCAGGGGCGTCAACTGTGTCGTCCATCTGGCTGGAAGTAACGTTTGCTTACTCGCATTCCCTGTAAAGAAAGGAGATGCATGCTGTGAAGGAAAACAAAAGTCTCCCATGCCTCGAGTTCCATTATTCCTCTGCTTCACCAACACGAATGCGGCTTGGGCCTTCTCATGTGAGCCGAGGATGTCGGTCACGTGGGTGGCTAATTAGCTTCTTAACCGGCCGCCAGGGGTATCTTAGGCTGCCCTTTTGGTGAAGGAGGACCGAATCACTACTGATAATATGAAGGAAATTGCATCAAGGAAATACATACATAAGATATCGAGGCCAAATTAATTGCATGATTCTCAACTCCCAAGAAAGAAAAAAGAAATCCCAGCCCTGAGCTATGATACTGTCCCTTCCCGCCTCCAGCCAGTTAGAAATCGCTATCTTCGGTGTTGCCGTCGGAGCTAGTATTGCTGGTGAGCAAGTCAGTAGAGCCGTAAGTAGCACACGTAGAACTGTGTGAATCTTTTATAGTATATCTGGTTTGATGCTTTACTTATAGGCATTTTCGTAGTAGAAGTGTGCTCTGGAATGCCTGGAAGATGGCCTGTAGGCAAACAGGGGTACCTAAAGAACAACTTCTCACAAAAGCAGTACAGCAAGAGGGCTAAAGGAAACGTGAAGGGAATCAAAAGTAGAGAAACAGTCCACCATCATCTTACTTTTATACTAGCAGTCCCAGAATGTTCAGCGATAGATCAGAAATCCAATGTGAATGCAGTTCTAGTATCTGTGCTGGTATAGTAAGGCAGTATCGTCTTAAAGAGAACGGCAGAGTTAGGATGAATGAGAACCATCTAGCCCATGTAGAAGGTGAGTTGCCGCTGGGGCTGGGGCGCTAAAGACCTCACTGGAGTCCAAGAGCACTGCTCCAGTCCTATATTTCTTCTTTAAACCATGAATTTGGCGAAAATGTCGATTTTTCAGTAAATGAGAAAGGGCTAGAAAAGGAAATCTAGTCGCTCTGAACAAGCCATCAAGGTAGGGAGCGTGGGGCGGCAGGGAAAGGCAGATCTTCTGTCAGGGTGTTGGGCATAGCTTTGGCAGCATAGAGGATTGGGCCTGGGCGGCTAGTTGCAAGATGCTGAAATCAATACAGCAATGCTGTATTGGCTTTGAAGTTGTTGTGCATTGTGCTGATGGAGTGATGTTGTTCCAGAGGATGGCCGGGGGAATTAACTCTCGTAGGGCTAGTTTATTTAAGGCGGTTGTCATGGTAATCGCCGACGGGGCAGCGGAAGCGCCAAGCGGCGGCCTGGGGGCCCAGTGGCAGCGCTGCAGAGACCACACAACGCAAGGAGAGCAGGGAGAGACCTGGCTCAGGGCGGCGATGCAAGCGGCAGGATGTGCAGTGGATGGCGTTGCCACTGATGGGCAGACAGCAAATAGCAGCCTGCTAGTTAGTTCAGCCCAAACGCCCACCAGACGCGCCCAAAGGCGGGCTTCGGCACAGAGCAGAACAGCACGGTGGTGCCAACCACTCAGACAAGGCTCGCTGCAGGCACTTGTCCGGTGTCAGCGAGCCCATGCAAACGAGCCCAGTAGACCTCAATGTACAGAGTAACTAGTTAGTTAGTTAGTTAGCCGGTTGGCTACTCCGTAGTTGTGTCGTGAAATCTCCGGGTGGCAGGACGTGCGGCACTGGCGCAACCCAGACCCGGCGCTGACCTCGGTCCCCCCATCATAAACAAACAAGCTAAGTCAACTCACTAATCGACGCGAACTCTCCCCTTCCCTTCCCCACGTTCACGGCCTCGGAGAGCGCATCTCGACCTCTTCACCTCTCAGCTGCACCTCCGCTCGCTCTCCAACCACCCTCAATCGCGCCCTGCCCACGCTCTCCCTGGCCCTCCATTGCACCCGTCGTCGCCCAACATGTCCGTCAAATTCGAGAAGGAGGTGAAAGCCGAAGTCAAGGCCGTGGCCCAGGCCGGCGAGGATCTCGCGCATAAGGTCGGCGAAAAGCTGACCGGCGGCAAGACCCCGAATGGCTACCTGGCGGTATGTTCGCTGGCGCTGTTTGCGGCTTCCAGCATCCCAGAGCTGAGCTAACCACGATGCGCATCGAAGGCATATCTCAAGCACCTCCAGGAGAACCCTCTCCGCACCAAGATGCTCACCTCGGGCTCTCTCTTCGCGCTCCAGGAGCTGCTCGCCTCATGGATCGCCCACGATCGCAGCAAAAATGGCCATTACTTCAACTCTCGGATACCCAAGATGGCTGTCTACGGCGCGTTCATCAGCGCCCCGCTAGGCCACTTCTTAATCGGCATCCTGCAGAGGGTTTTTGCCGGTCGTTCTAGTTTGAAGGCAAAGATTCTGCAGATTCTAGCCAGCAATCTCATCGTACGTGATGGATTTCTTACTGAATGAGAACGGCTGTGTGTTTGCTAATGAATACCATCTCTTAGATTTCCCCGATCCAAAATGTCATCTATCTGGCATCAATGGCCCTTATCGCCGGTGCGCGTACCTTCCACCAGGTCAGAGCGACAGTGAAGTCTGGCTTCTTCCGTGTCATGAAGGTCAGCTGGATCGTCTCGCCACTCTCGCTGGCGTTTGCCCAGAAGTTCCTCCCTGAACAGACCTGGGTGCCATTCTTCAACATTGTTGGCTTCATTATTGGCACCTACATCAATGCCCATACCAAGAAGAAGAGACTTGAAGCCTTGAGACGCAAGGTATGAGCTGTAATTTTCGCTATTCCTTATGGCAGAGCTGATTCTTTGTCCACCTTTTAGCAATATGGCTCTGGCAAGAGCTCCACCGGACGGCCTGAGGACTACCCACCACCGCCACCAACAACAAGACCCAACTACTAGTGTGGCTGCATGCACTAGTACACCCTGAAGATGGGACTTGACGTTATGGGGAGCATGTTCCCCCGAACGGGGATGATTTGGGAATAAGCCACCCGAGGGCTCGTCGCATTTGTGGCCATCTTTTGTTACTGCATTGTCAAAATACCCGAAATGGCTGTACCCAGAAATAGACCCTCGCTCGCCCACATGAAATCACAATCACGCGTTCTATGCAAAGAAGTTATTTTACGATGTCATATACATTTCTACGTCCATTCCCCGGATTTTCACTGATCCTCTGGTTATGTGCGCTGAAGGGCTGGGTTTGATTATTTCGCATAATTGGTTATTTGGAATTTTCCTTTTTTGATTCTGTATCTTCTAGTATTCTGTGTATGAGCTTGATAGTTTCAATGAGTTTTCAGTGACATTCCTGGCCTTGTTCTCCCTTTAGGAGGCTCAACCCCTGGCAACTCAATTGAAGACAGCCACGTTAAGTTACTAGACATTGCTTTACCCAGCCAATAAAATCGCCATTTCCAGCTCTCCAGGCGCACAGACAGCTATCGGATTCGTGTTGATACTGAGTTGGCTCGCGCTTGGCATTCAGCAAGCAACAGCATTACATAATCCACTAAGCGGGGGAGTCGACCTTACTCTAAGAAGAATAACCGTCGAGGTTCATTTCGCAATACAAACACGTCATTTGATTTTGGGCTCACTGTATAAGCTTCTCTGTGTTGCTGCTTGTTTACAGGAGCTGTTGTTCGCCATGCCTACATATACCTCAAACCAAAAACAGCTCATATCACAATTTGTCGCATGCGCAAGCGTTAAGGATAGCATTGCTGCTAAGGTATGTCTCTGAGATGGGGTTTGACGCGTTTTGGGCTATGAAGAAAATGGAACTCCTGTTTCATGCCACTGAGGGTTGGGAACTCTCTTACAATTTCTGGACTGTGCTAATCTCTCTCATCAGTACCTCAAGAACAATGGATGGGTCATTAATAAGGCAATGGATGAGTACAGCACCCTTTCATATGCTTCTACTATTTGGTCCCGCATGGCTATGTTTTTACAATCCAGTCAAGTAGCCCTGCTGTCTAATTATGCTTTTTCTTTTGAACTTCTACCTTGTTCTGTGTTCAATACCCCTAAGCCGTCGTTTTGGTATTTTGGATAGGTTTTGTCCCCGTCTTTTAAACTGGAAAGCTGGAGCCCAAAGCAATATAATCATGGTGCATCTTTAAACACACATGGAAGGACACCCAATGTGCTCTATTTATCAACATGATGATGGCTTCAAACCAGCCACCTTGAACACGACGATCATATTCATGCTGGATCGCCTATGTTTGAGGCTTGCAATGCTGTGGCTGCGTTATCTCTTGTTACCTTATTTTGGCCGTGTTTTAGACCAGTGTTGTCCTTGACTTTGGGGGGATATTTGCCACATCCTGTACCCTTCTGTTACTATTGTTGAACTTACCCGCCTGACTGCTACGCGTTTACTAACCCTTGTCCCTCAACTTCGTAGCTACTTTCAAAGTCATCCTACAGCGTCGAAAGCCACAGAAAACACATTAAGCAAGCTATTTGACCGCTATCGAGGTAAGACTGAATTTCCCAACAATTTGTGTTTCCCAGTTGCTAACGATTGTACAGATTCACCAACAGATAACCCTGATGGGATAGGCATCGATGGGGCAATGAAATACCTCGCTGATATAAAGGTGAACTTGGATGAAGTTGCCTGTTTGGCAATATCAGAGCTCCTTCGCTCCCCATCAATGGGTGAATTTACTCGCCAGGGCTTCATTGACGGCTGGAAAGATTTAGGGTAAGTTTAAATTATATCTTTTACTCAAAATATAGCTTTTCTAACCTGCGATAGTGCCGATACCCTGAAAGATCAAGCATTATTTGCTTCTAGTCTCCGAAAACAGATCCCCACCGACCCAGTTCTGTTCCGGCGGGTGTATCGTTACACATTCATTCTTTGCCGTTTACCTGGACAGCGCCATCTCACACTGGACATTGCTGCTGAGCAATGGCGCATCTTCTTCACACCCGACAATGGTGGCATTTCTTGGAGCACACAAAAAACACCCTGGCTAGACTGGTGGATTGAGTTCGTGGAAGAGTCTTGGAAACGGCCGATCAACAAGGATTTATGGGAGCAAACGGAAGTGTTGATGCGAAAAACCGCTGAGGATCCGAGTTTGCGATGGTGGTCTCCCGACGGGGCGTGGCCTGGCGCTGTTGATGATTTCGTGCTGCTTGCAAAAAAGCGACTAGGGAACAGCGCGTCGAGTGATACAATGAAAGTAGAATGATGGCAGCAAGCATACCGAAAACAAAGGTACATGACTTATGAGAAGAGACCATTAACAACATTCGCATCAGGGCAAACGAAGAGGGAAGTATTTTTATTTCAAACTTACCACTACCACAGGTCATTGAACCACAACTTCTGGATATAGTTTACTATGGCCGTGTATATTTTTTATGTTAAAGGTCCGGCCTAGGAAAGCTCTGGTGGAAAGACTATTTTGAGATTTCGAAGGAAGGAAATGAGAAGTTACAATGTTGCTGGTCAAAGAAGCTCGCAAATAATTAAACTAACAAGAATAAAACCAATCCTCAACTTCAAAATTCCAGTATAAACAATTGAATGCCCTAAATAATCCAAAAAACTGCATTTCTTGTGATAGCTCTACTCAACTTCAAAATCGTGGTGCAACTGGATAGTATGGCATCGTGTGTGCTGCAGGTCTCTGGGTAGCGTAAGCCCCTTCAAAATAGCCAGGTTGGAGAAAAGAAGTATGAGCGACATAGGGACTGTCGTTCTCTAAAAGAAGTCCATATTGGCAATGCGCACATTTAGACACACATAGCAGCGTTCCTTCATCCTTGGAGTTACGAACATCTTTCTCTTTTTGCTTTCCTTTGTCCTTATCATTATCCTTGTCCTTGTCCTTGTCTTTGTCCTTCTCCTTTTCCTTTTTCTCATTTTCTTTCTCCTCCTTATCTTTCCGTCGAGCTTCATACGTTTCAACAAGTTTTGCATATACGTCTGGATAGATTTTTGATAGATCTCCGAGCTCGTTCAATGATAGGTCGACTGGCTTCTTCGTTTCGTTAACCTTTTTGCTCTTTTCTTGCCCATCGGAGCCAAGAGCTCTGATCGCCTTGCCTAACAGCAGGTCTTCCTCTGTCTTGCTACAATCCAAGTCAAACAGTTTGCTTTTCGCCCTAAGTCCTGTAAACCTGTCCTTCCAAAGTCCACTCTGCTTGAGAATAGAAAGGTTCGTATTTTCAGTGTTTTCGGGTTGTTTCGAGAGGAAATCTTGTACCCATTTCCGGAGAACACGGAGGTCTTCCTCATTACTAATTCCTTTATTGTAAATTTCTTCGAGTACTGCCATTGGATCCGAGTGCATCTCACTCAGTAAGTATAATTTTTCGAGAGCCTTATTTCGTAGCTCAGAAAACGCCAACTGGCTGCCAAGAGTGAACATCTGAATATCCTTCAGCAGATACGCAGGATCATCGGCTTGAAAAGTTGAAATCGATGGTGGCCCACAGGAAGTAGTCGCTGTTACGTAGGGTGTTGTAATCTTTACTATTTCTGGCGGGTAATCCTGATTGAGAAGAAACTGGTAAAAGGCAAAGAATATGGGTTGTGAATTGGCGGAAATTTCAAGTAAAGCATTTTCCTTGGAGACTTGACTCTTGAGGGACGCGAACGATGCCAATTGCTTCTTAGGAAACGGAATTGCATAGTTTGCATAGTGAAGTTCGACAAAATCCTGAGAGGCTAGATGATACCGTGTACGAAGGATTGGCGTAAAAGAGGACTTCTCGGACTTCACGGTATGAAGATAGTGTGTTTTCGGACTATAATTTATCGTTAGAAGTAATATTTTATCTGTTAGGGTATCTGAGGAGAATGCGCACTATATCTCGACATCTGCTTTCCCTCCTTTTGCGTCTTGCATCTTCAATTCTTTTAGTGTTAACATGTGCTCCCAGCAAGGAGCTTTTCCAGGCATAGAGTTTCCAGTCCATGCGCAAAAGGTCTCCTTTTTTGACTTGGCCACGCGGCGTTCATGGTACTTTACCTCGGGGAGGCGACGTTCACAGTCAATGCGTAACTCACGGATATATTCTGATGAAGTCTCCACCGGCTCGGGAGGATGTACTTCCATGGTCCTATAGAGCAAGGTGCTAAATCCAAGCCCATGGCCGTATGAGCGACTCGGGCCGCTTTCTGCTTGACTGTCGCAACAGACCAGGAAGTACGCATGTATCATCTGATGAATGAGGCATGGAAGGATGCGTTTGAGGAAAGCTTTGTTCTGCAAAATGTTGCTTAACCGAATTGTGATCCTTGTATCCCGAACCCCTGGCTTAGAGGTCATGCCGTGAGTAATAGAGTCGAGATTTGACCAGGTAAGGTAAACTTGATCTTTGAGAACTCCACGGAATAGGCCATTATCAAGGGCCTCAAACACTTGATAAGGGAGGCAAGTAGAATCAACTCCATGGGTTGGGCATTTGGGGAATTCCAAAGGCTGGCGTTTGGAGCCTTCGAGGGCATCAAGACAGAGTTTCGTAGCGACTGTCTCGCTAAGGGCAAGACCTTTTGCAGCCGGGACGTTTCGAACTAGAAGACCACGGTTTGACCTTTCTTTTTTTGTGACTTCTTCGCTATTCTTGCGGCAGGTACAGGTGGGAACGTGAGGCATTGCTAAGGAGTCGGTGTGTCGACCGCGATGGAGGATATATGAGGTGTTGAGAAGGGAAGGTTTGAAAGATGTGCCGTTAAATATCTAAGTCAAGAGGTAAGCAAACCTGTTGAATATCCGATCTTGAGGTAGACAAATCTGTCCTTCTAACTCCGGATTTGATGATATTTTCCATGCCCAAAGGAAGATGTTTGCCATCGGGCAGTTAATGTGGCACAGAGTAAGTAGAACAGCAAGGCCCGTTGCATAATGGAATGCCAGATAGGGATACACAGGCACGCATGCCTCGAATTCTTGATAGGAGCTGCAGGTATAAAATCTAAATCTGTTGGACTATCCGCTACCAAGGTGTTGGGTATCTCTCGTGGTAGCAATGAGGCTGTAATGCCGAAAGCCCAAGGAAAAATGCAGCAAATAATGCTAGTAAAACACGACATATGGCTAGACTGATGGCATTGTTTGACACCAATCATGCATGTACCCATTGCCAGTTCATCCCTGCAGTAGTAGATTGTAAGTAGGAAATTCACACAGTTTAGCAAGGGCACAAATAAGATATCATCGATCGAAGTACCCAGAAAGATATGGAATTGCTTTTGTCCTCTCTAGCTATGTAAAGTAAACCTAAACGCCAGGGAACGCCAAACTCCAATGCATATTCCCAGAGTTGCAGGACGAATCTAGGTTGTCTGAAATAATGTATCCTCCTATTTGCTCGTTAGTAACATGGATTCAGAACAACAGGGTCGTTCAAGGCATACTTCTCTTAAGTACTCTCCAATATCACCCTGCCTGAAAGCTGTGATTCCTGTTGGATCTAATCGACGGGCCTCGGCTGTCGAGCGAGCCGTTACGCCAAAGCCCTGGAATTAGATCAGCTTATTGCATGATGATGGAAAAAGGACGAATGTCAGCAATACCAGAGGAGTGTCATCCATCGACATTACTACAACCCCTTGATGCTCCGGGCAATCCTCGCTCCAACGCCCAACATGCGCCTTGACGACATTTCCGCCGTACAGGAAAGGCATCTCGCCATTGGGCTTAATCCACACCTTATAGCGTGCATGGGGCGCGATCGCATCCAGAGCTGTAATGTGTAGTCTGAACTTCCCTGTCTTGGTAAATTTCCCAAGACATGTACCGACGGAGAGAAGGTTCGGCCGCGCGATGGATGTTGCAAGGTTGGCTATCGACAAACGAACATAGTACACTCGGGATCCGTGTAGGCGGAAAACATATCGCTCGTCATCGTCGCCGCCCTCTGAGGAGGAAGGAGGAGCAATCAGGTTGTTGAGAGAGCTCCCAGTGTAGTTTGCGAGCTTGGAGAAGAGCGTTTGCGTCTCGGACTCGGTGAGGGGACGCATTACGGAGTATAAATGCTTAGACACGGCCGATTCCAGGTAGTGACAGTGAACTAGATACAACTGAGAGCCTAGAGCATGAACCAGCGTGGGCTGTCGTGGTTGAGCGTTTCGGTTGCTCTTCAGATCGATTAATTTTCTTATCGGCAGAGTCTTGGCGCGAAAGTCATCAAAATTTCTCTTCGCTAGGGCGACAAGCTTCGGCATCCACCACGGCGAAGCGTACGGAAAATGGCAGCTCATGCCGCGAAGAGAAGGCGGCTGAGCCCTGCTAGAGAGCCTGCGGCCGCCTCTGTGCTGAATAATTTCTACGCCAATGCCTCACAATGGGACCTTGAGCAAGACTACGAGCGGCGGCCGAGGAAAGGCAGCAAGAAGGAAAAGGAACGGACGAAGCTACCAATAAAGACTGCGGAGGGCGCAATACAACATGTTCAAGAGCCTGATTATTCGGAAGCTGAATCGCTAAGCCTCTTAGACTCAGAGGAAGAAGCTGAGGATGCCACCCCTGCGCCTAAAGCGATGGTCCAGGAACCCGTATCTCAGGTCCCAATAAAGCTGCAGATAATACAAGCAAAGGAGAATCTAGCCAAAATTGCAATGCTGATAAATGAGGATCCGGAGGAACACCTAGAGTTATTTAAGAAATTGGCTGAGATGGTGAAATCGGCACCCTTACCAGTGATCAAGAAACTTGCGTTGGCTACTCAGGCTGCAGTTTACAGAGATGTCATCCCTGGGTACAAAATAAGACCAATTCGAGATGAAGAATTAGCTGTGAAAGTGTCTAAAGACGTCCGAAAACTCCGCGATTATGAGCAGGCACTTCTTTCGGGCTATCGTAACTATATTCACCAGTTAACCACATTTTCGAGGTCGGCAGATGATGAGGGCCTCAAATCGGCAGCAATCAACTGTGCGTGCAATTTGTTAGCTGCTGTGCCCCATTTCAATTTTCGACAAGAATTATTAAAGATCTTGGTCTATCAACTTTCTCGTCGTCAAGTTAACGCAAATTTTGTCAAGGCGCGCGAAACGCTCAAAAAAGTGTTTGTCGATGACGAAGATGGGATAATATCCATGGAAGCCGTTGGCCTACTTACCAAAATGATGAAAGTCAAGAATTTCCACGTTCATTATAGCGTCCTAGATACCTTTTTACATTTACGACTCTTATCAGAATTCTCCATGAAGGGCTCTAAAGATGGTATCGATAAGGATGAGGATGAGAGTATAACATACAATGGCAAAAAAATCAAGGAGAAGCGGGAATTCCGGACGAAAAAAGAGCGAAAAATGATCAAGGCACAAAAAGGTGCCGCAAAAGACCTGAAGGAAGCTGATGCTCTAATAAAACATGAACAGCGTGATAAAATGCAAGCGGAAACCTTAAAGCTTGTTTTTACTACGTACTTTCGAATTCTGAAGCTTCGAAACGACTCTTTGATAGGCAGCACATTGGAAGGCCTAGCTAAATATGCTCATTTGATCAACCGAGATTTTTTTGGTGACTTACTTGAAGTCCTCAGAGAACTTATATCGGAATCCCAACTGGGCGCTTCCGTGGACGATAACTCAATACAAAATAACGAGGATGATCTAGATGATCCTCAAAGAAAAACATCCAGAAATTCCACACGAGAATCACTTCTTTGCTCAACAACCGCATTCGCCCTTCTTGAAGGTCAGGATGCAAACAAAGCTGCTTCCACCCTCCATCTTGATCTCAGCTTCTTCATCTCCCATCTTTATCAATCTCTTTATCCCACCTCCTTGAATCCTGAAATCGAATTCAATCCAAATACTTCTCTACGTCTCCCTGAGCCGGGATCTGTTGTATCCAGCACTGAAACCCAAGAAACAGAAACCAAAGTCAATTTCCAAACTCCAACAGTTCTTCTGCTCCGATGCCTTCAGTCCATTCTCACCGCGAAAGGCACCTCTGCTCCGACACCGCTACGTGTAGCTGGTTTTACCAAACGCCTCATGACTGGGTCGATTCAATTGCCTGAAAAATCATCATTAGCTGTTTTATCGCTGCTAAATCGTGTTGCAAAAATCCATGCCCGGAAGGTCGCACCCCTCTGGAACACGGATGAACGAAAGGGAGATGGTGTTTTTAACCCATATGCCCCTGATGTGGAGGGGAGCAATGTATTTGCTGGCACAATGTGGGAAGGAGAGCTGTTACGACTTCATTTTTGCCCGCAGATTAGAGATGCAGTACGGGACATTGAGAAAACAATAATGAACCTCAAATGAGGATTTAGAAATGTGCGCTTTAGAATAGCTACTACTAGAAGTTCGTTTCTTGAATAAAATATACTAGCTGCTGTAGAATCGTACATACTAGCCCCTCGAAAGCAAAATCTCATGAGATTATTAGAAGAATACTTCGTAGGCGACCGAGTGAAAAGTCTCAAAAGCCATGTATTCGTCGTCAATTCACATGGATTTCAAGTGCAATCCCAATTTGATGGCAAACCTAATCAACCAACAGTACATACATACAGACTTTAACTCGGGGACCTGATAAACCTCTCCGTTACTCTTATGTCTTTGGCCCAGTTCAGTATGTGTAAAGAAAGGTAAATTAAAATCAATAACATGTGCAAATTTCAAGACAGACGGAGACCTGTAGCTAGTTTAGTTAACTAAGCTAAGTACTTAGCTCTGTGGGTCAGTTCCGTATGCCTGATGATGATACCAGTTTCTTGTGCCTCCCCAGGTTCCATCGATTCGAGTCGGAGGTGTTGGGTTTCTCAATACATTATGCTGCCAGGTTTTATTATTGTCATTATTTCGACGGGTGTTTGGATTCAAGGGCAGAATAACGCGATCGGAATGCTCTGACGCTCTATAGCTCTGGCTTGATCGAGTTCGACGGTGGTGTGTGTCACTTCCGCTATTCACAATCATGGGCTTGCTCAGAGTTTCAGAGACTTTGGCTGGCGGAAGCGGGTTTTTCAATGGCTCAGCCGGACTTGATGTCGCAGCAACTGTGCAAACTGGGCTCTTTTTCGGTTCTTCGAGAATGATGGGCTGACTCGGGTTGCGGCGAGCAGCACAGAGGATAGTTTGGTTCACTGCATTATTTTCACTACCACTGGCTGAACCTTTAGCAATCGGGGCCGGAACGTGAGATTTTTGTTTTTGAAGAACCGATGCATCATCGGATGTTTCATCGATACGCGAGTCATTGAGACGAATCGTGGAATCGCTTGTTTGGCGCTGCTGGACGCCCTTTCGGATTGGGCTACCAGTATTCTCAGGGTGATAGGTGAGAACATCTATTCCAGTCGATGGCGGTGTTCTAAACGCAGCAGTTGGAGTAGGAACCGTTTCTTGCGCTCCAGCATGACGATTTTGAGCGCGGAGAATATTAACGTGGGCTGTCAATTGCTGCAACTGGAACGTTTGAGCCTGCAGCTCTGCGCGTACCAAGCCAAGTTCTTTTGATAAATCGCCAACCTGGTGGCAAAGCTTTTCCAGCATTTCTCCTTGAATTGTCATATAGTCTATTCCATTCGAAGGCATGGACGGACGGCATCCCGTGCCAAAGTTCGGCTGGGGAGGAGGTGGTTCCATATCGTAGATTGAAGGTGAATAAGGTGCGGAAAGCCTGTGCCAATTGCCAGGCGCGTAGTTTGGCTCCAAAGCTCCAGGGGTCGGGCTCACTATTGGTGCGTTAATACAAATCATCCCGTGCATACTTGGGACACCTCGGTGCTCGACAACTTCAGGGAGTCGTTGAGTAGCGTACGTTCCTTGTCTTGTTGGGCTTAAAGCAGGGCCACCCAAAATTATTCCTTGAACCTCCTCTCTTGGGGCCATACCAGCTTGAAAAAGAGTACCACTATTAGAAAGTTCGTTATTGTAATGGCTTGGCACCGGGAAGTGGTCAGTATTCTGAGTGTTCTTCAAAGGTGTTGGCAGTGTAGGCGTTGATGGAGATGATCCATTTTGATGTGCATTGCGCGTGTTGGCAGTAGATGAAGGAGAAGAATACAACACGTCTGAATGTGGTTTGTTTGTTGATAGAGACGACGCTGAGTCAGGAGCAGTGGGCACATTTTGTCTAGGGGGAAAAGCCCGGGTGACGCAGCCAGCTTCTTTAGTACTATCATCATTCGCCAGGGAAGCATCTTTGCAGTGCATTTTTTCTTTCAAGTGACCGCTATTCAAAGCACAGTCCACATTGCCCACAGTGCCTGGATGTGAAACCTCTGGAATGTTAAAGGTGGCTTTGAGTTGGGCCAGAAAGGACTGTTCGCTGGTCTTTCTAGCAGATGGCTCTGAGAGATGAATAGGGGGTGGGGCAATGTATCCAACGTAAGCGCTTGTAAACCTCTCTGTTGGACTCTGGTTTCCAAAACAGATGCCTTCTAATGCCTGCTGCTGGTCTGGGGGCTGAATTACTTCCTGGCTGTTCGTTGACTTTTCAGAAATAGTACATAGATTGTTTGATATGCCGTATCCTATAGTCGAACGACGCATTGGACTTTGTGGAATTGGTGGCAGCATTCTCGTTTGGCGAGAAGATGTCTTTTTGGGCTGGTTACCAGTGCACAATTTCGGATCATGCAGCCCAGAATGAGTAGAACCATCCTCGTGCTGGGCAGACTGTTCACCAATCGATGTTGAACCTGGAAACCCTTTCAATCAGCAAATGTCTCAATATCATGATGATCAGGAGTCATACTTACTTGGATCTGTAATAGCCCGACGAGTTATGTCTGCATAAGATAACTTTGCTGACGGCTGAACACCACTCGGAGGAGCCTCAACACGTTTGCCTTCATTTGGTAGATCTACAGATACCTGGTGATGTTTCATACATGGTAGATTCACAACAACAGGCCCACGATTGAAAGCATCTGGATGCTGCGAGACTGTTTGGAAATTGTGTTCCTCCATAACTTCAGCAGCACCAGAGGGAGTCAAGATAGGAGGCATGGAGCATGTGAGCAAAGGTCAAGAGCTCACAACAATGATACTCCTGATAATTGATTTCAAAACAAGATTCAAAAACGATTGTTGATATTGAGACAGTCTGGTTGAAAAACTGCCATGTATGCGAGAAATTTGCTGTTGTGAGTATTGCTGGTCTTGTAAACAAAGTCCGCGTCCATATCGCGCTAACGCATTTAGGAAACAAGAGGGATGACATTATATTGTGTTCCGGTGCACTCCTATCATGATAGGCTGGCAAATTGTCTCTGGGAGCAAAATCCATGCCTTATGTCTGTGCAAAACAAAAAACCAAATTTCTAAGCGATGCATTTACTCAAAATTGATATTGAGTTTTATTGCAGAAGGGGGGAAGGGATTAATGCCTACCAGTTTCAAGATTCCCATATGTCATCACTTCCAAAATGAGAAACAGGGCCAAATTTTGGAGATTAGAGCTTACGGCCTCGAAGAAAGAAAGTACTCAAATGGATAGAACCAAGGTGTTCTATAGACGAATGAGCGGAGAAAAATGTTTCATTCAAAAAGCCAAGTCATGTGTATCACATTCTCTAGACTGACCACGCATTTTGACACAAGGCACATATTGGGTATATCCGGAGATCGAAAAGAGCAGCGTATACATCAAGGTTACAAGAACAAACGAGAGACGTGATATTCAAACAGGGCCAGGAAAATCGTTGATCATAACATGCGCCAGTATTATCATACTGCTAGAATAGCAGCAAAACATTCTTTTTAACAAAAGAAACAACGAAAATAAAAACACAGCCAAGATGCTTCTAGATAGGCAGACATTGATCTGCTACCCAAAAGCGCATGAGAGTTGGTTGGAAAACAACATTTGTCTTTCTTACTATTGGGGTCTATTCCCACGGCGGAAGGACCCAAACAAACCACCAAAAAAATTGATGAAAACTGCACGCCATAGAGTTCTGAAAAAACTCTCCTTTCTGTAAGTTGTTAGTGATGTAACGGACTTATTTGCAGTTGGTGGACGTTGAGGCTCGTCTACTTTCGTATCATTCGACGTGCTCGCTTCGGCAGCCGTAGTTGGTTCTGGTACGGATTTTGCAGCAGTTTGCTCTACAGTTTCATTGGCTGTCGAGGAAGGTTCGCTTTGGTCGTTTGTGGGAAGCGTAGCGGTAACTGCAGCAGCCACACCAAGTGTAGCAACTGCACCGACCGCACCGACAGCAATTGCAGACGGGCCAGTAGGGTTTGAGGATTTCGACGTGCTATCCGCCGGTTCAGGAGCTTCCACAGCTGCAGAAATCTCGGCAGGAGGTTTTGTGTTGAGGTCTTCAGGAGCGGTTTTGTCAGTAGAAGTGCTATCGGGAAGAGGTGTGGTTTCCGTTTCCGGAGCGGGTGTCAGTTCAAGGGCTTGCACAGGGGTAGTATCTTCTTTAGAAGGGGCGTCAGAGTCTGCTGAAGGAGGAACCGGGACGATGTCCTCATTGGGGACAGGGGTATCTTGAATTGGTAAATCAACTTCTGGAGCTTGCGAACTTGGCTCAGCCGTCAAGGGCAGTGGTTCAGGTTCAGAGGGAAGACCCTTTGGTATCGCCAAGGTGGGAAGATCTTCCTTGGGAGTGTCGATTAGGAGGTCCGACGCAAATGGAATCTCAGAGGATTCGGGAATTTCTGGCTCAGGTTCTGGTATTTCACTGGTGATAGGAACGATGTCCTGCGGCATGGCAGGTATGATGTCCCCATCTTCACTTCGCTCAGGCGCGTCTTGTGCATCTTTTCTCTCTATTTCCGTTGGATGTATGGCAGTCTTGACTGGGGTATCGGAGGTTTCTTCAGACGGCGATTCAGCTTTGTCGGCCTTCAATTCTGGCTTCGCTTCTTCCACAGCTATTGGGGAAAGTAACTCAGCCTCAGGTTCGGAACGTGTTGACATAGATGTCTCCTTAGATTCACCAATATCTGCGGATGCTGCGATGGCTGTGGCCGCGATAGCTGTGGCTGCGATGGTTGTCGCTGCGATGGCTGTGGCTTTGGTTTCTGTTGTGCCACCATCCAGAGTTTCGGTGAGTACTTCTTTGGGCGACTCCCCGGGAGCAGCTATCGCAGATGCTGCCGTAACGGTGGAATCTTCTTTGGGCTTCGGGAGCTGTGAAGGTGAAGCATCGCCCTCCGGCTGCTTCGCATCAGTGGGCTTAGAATCAGGGGCAAGCAAAACGTCTTTGCTTTCGTTTTCGGCCGCAACGGGGCAAGTGTCCTTCATGTCTGGGTGTAACGCGTTGACTTTAGGCTCGTCCAAGGGGATCGACTCGGCAACAACAGGGGCTTCTGGTATAACGGGTGGGCTTTCTACAGCCGACTCGGCTTCTTGTTCGACTGAACATCCTGGTTCTGGCAGAGCTGATAAACCAGGTGTTTCCACAACATCCTGAATCCCGGACAATACGATAGGTTCCACTTCAGGTAACAAAGGCAGCACAGGAGCGGGCTCAGATTTCTCAGTGATGGTCGGTACCCCTGTGCTATACTTGGCAGCAAGTTCTGAAGGATCATCGTCAACCTTTTCTTTGCCCTTTACGTCCTCGACGTCTGTATCGGTGGAGATAAGGGCGCGGGCCTCTGGCTCTTCAGTTGACGGTGCAGGGGCCTTCGACAACTCGGCCCCGAGCTCTGAAGAAACATTGGCGATAGCATCATTACCACCGTTCTCTCCGGGCTTTTCAGTTAGCTCCAAAGAATTGTTTAGCGGTTCCTCAGGGACGATCTGTGGTGCAGCCAAAGACTCAACCGGGGTGTCGTTGCCTGCATCCTCCTTTGGTGTCGGCTGGTCCGTAGATTTCTTTGGAATTTCCGGGGCTTCAGGGGTTGCAGCGACCTCATCCTTCTCAGCAGTAACAGGGAGGAAAACGGCAGTCTCTACTGGTGTATCTTCAGAGCAAGATGTAACCACAGGCACTTCCTTCAGGTTCTCGGCGGGTTTCGTGTCTGCGCTTGCAGCGGGGTCGTCCAACTTAGCGTCGGTCATATCCTTTTCCGGTTCCGTTGGAGCGACAAGGCCAGTAATGACGTCATTCTCCGTTTCTTTGGCCTCATCATCCTGTGTTGTCAACTCGAGAGGCTTCAAAGACTTGTCCACATCTTCCTGTTTCTCAACAGGCTTGGACGTTGTCTCCTTAGAGAGCGGAGCTGTTACGGCACTAGTGATAGTTTCGGAAGGGCCATCATCTGCGGGAGCGGGATCCTTCGAGGCTAGTTTTGTCTCGCCGGTGGAGGCCGGCTCAGCTGTTATCTTTGAAACAACTTCAGGTAGCGGCGACTCTGAAGGAGCAGCTTGCACAATAGGAACAACGGGCAAAACGACTGGAGTTTCGGCTGTTTTATCTTCAGCATCCTTGTTATTTGAAAATTCGCTTGCAGCGTCTTGTTCAACTTCGAATCCAGCTTTTCCGGAATCCTCGAGCTTGATCTCGGGAGGTGGAATGGGGGCGTCATCCTTCTTTTCAGGCTCGACAGGCTTTGAGGTTACAGGCAAAAGATCAGTTTCAACTGGTACATCAAAAGTCTTGTCAATTCCATCTTTGTTAAGCTCGCTCACTTTAGGAGGTGCTTCAACCTTTGCGGTTTCCAACGTTTCCGGCTTCAAAATAGGCTCTGGAGCGGTTTCGGTTGCAAGAGCTACAGCTTCCGGTTTGCTGAGAGGCTCTACTGGAAGCTGTTCAGCTTCTGGAATGGCTTTCCCGGGTGGCTCCATGGAAAGTTCCGAGAGAGTCACCTGGGCTTGCTCATGCCCTTCTGGCTCGGGCTGTTTGTTGTTCTCATTCACAGGCTTCTCAATAAAAAGTGCTTTATCCTCGGACACCTTATCGCTGCCTTCACTGCTGCTTTCTGCTTTGAGCAGTGATTCTACGGCTTTATTCGTTTCCTGATGCGCATCAGCGTCAGAAAAGGCGGTAGCCTGAGTTACATCGGAAGTCTCAGTCTTCTCAGCGACGGGAACGTCGGGTTCCTGGGTGCTAGGTACCTGCTTAGATGCATCATCCGTGATCGGATCTGATATTCTTGCGTCCATTGGCTTCAATTCTTGTTTCGACTCAGCTGCTGCTGGCTTCAAGGCATTGCTATCAGCTGATGAAGCTTCAGGAAGATTTTCAGAAGCAACTGCGGCTTTAGGGTCTTTCTCAACAATGGCGATTTCTGGAGATCGAGTCACTTCTGAGTCTCCTACAGCCTGACTTTTATGTGGGGATGGGGAAGACTCCAGCTTCGCTGTCGTGTCGGAAGTAGCGGTACTGTCAAGCTCGGCCTGTGAAGCGTCCGCCTTAGCAGACTCTGATTTCTTTTTCTTTTTTGAACCACCACGCTTTTTTTTGGGCTTGCCATTCTTTTGGGGCTTACTAGGGTTGTCATCTTTGGCCGAGTCATTTTCAGAAGGCGCTTTGCTTGGCTCCGTCGCTTCTTCTTTTGACGGCTTCGATCCGATAGGCTCCAAAGCTGAAAGCTTTGTTGAGGCTGAAATATCTTTCGTTTCAAGTACCGAGGATTCAGCAGGCTTGTCGATAATTGTGGGCTGTTGGTCTTTGGTCTCTGTCTTCTGCTCCTCAGAACTAACAAGTTTGGCGGAGTTTTCCAAAGCTTCATGCGATGCGGACTCTACTTCTTTTGCCAAAACACCGTTAACTACTGACATAGAATGTTCATCAGCAGCAACAGCATCTGCATTGATGCCAGCCTCTGGTTTAGAGTCAACTACAGGCTCGGATTCTAGGACCTTCTTTACTTGTACTGATTTTTCAACGGCTTCCTCCTTTCTCTGATCGCTAGTCTTATTTTCGGCTACTTCTTTAGTAGTTTCAGCCATGGTCCTGTCCGGTGTGGCCGCCGCTTTCGATTCTTCCGATGTTTCCTTGGATGGCGTCCTCTTTACCAAGAGTACGTTATTCAGATTTCCTTCTGCATCGGTGTCTGGATCGCCATCGGATTAGCGTGAATCTCCAAGAGGGAACGTCAAATACGCAACGTTGATGGGAAGGCGACTTACTTGTTGGTAGCTCGGTATTGCAAACCCAAACGTTATCCGCACCCAAGCGAAATCGGTATTCGTACTCGCCCTCTTCTAGCTGAAAGACCTTTGAAAATTCATATTCTTCCTGACCAGTAGGTACGGCATCTCCTGTCAATGAAATGGACTTGGCATCAAGCTCGACAGGACTCCAGGCGGGTTCGGTGAAAGATGCGACGAGAAAGACTGGAGGAGTCGAGGCAGGACGATGGATCGTAATTTTAACAGACTGCTTTAACGCCCCAGGCATGACGGGTATGTTCGTGAGCTCGTTACAGATACAACAGAATGGCAAAAAAGGAGCACCCTTGTCTTGCAAGGTGCTTTAGGATCTAGTGTTACACAGGCGCAGGCTTTAAACGCGAGAGCTTGAGCAGGAATCCAAGGCAAAATCAAACAAACTGAAACAGAGCACGCCTCCCAACCTGCGGACAGCTCAGAGCAAGAAACAGAGACTGCTTGACTGCTTCAAGAGCACAGCACAACGCGCCAGCAAGGGTGAGGGGAAACAGCAGACAAGCAGTGCAGTAGGTGAGGGGGAAGGGCACGGCCGAGCCAATTAACGCACGAGGAGCTCCGATGCAGCACAGCACAGCTCTCAGAGTTAGTTGAAGGTGAGCGAGCAGGAGGGAGAAAAAGAAAGCGGCAGGAAAAAAAAGCCAGCAAGCGTGTGGATAAACAAACGGATCAACCCACCAGCAAAACGCCGGGATGCCATGCGCCAGCAGCCGCGCTGTTCCCGATGCCGTTAGCGTGCTGTCCCGTTGGCTCCGAGCACCGCTTGGCCACCGCCTGTGATTGTCTTGGGCGCCGGCCACCACCGCCCGCAAGGTCGCCGCCTTAGAGAGAGACACCTTGCGCAAGCTGTGCGTGGTCTCTGTCGAGTACCTAGCTAGTACATAGTCAGTACATATCTAGTTAGTCGTGTGGATTGTCGCCTACTACTTAGCTGCTTTCACCGGTGCTGTGGGCTGTGGCCGCGCAACACGCGTGTCCCCTGGCCGTCAACCACCGGGATACGATGTCAGCAGTCTGACCGTGCGGGGAAACAAGACGCATGATGACCCCAAAATGCCGCTTGGATGCGCATCGTTGCAGACGGGGAAGCCCAAGCTAATGCCGCCCGCGGGACGGCCACTGGCTGCCGTGCCGGCTCACCGCTTTTCCGCCCGCTGTCCAATAACCCCGCCATATGTATGGAGTAATTGGCGCCCATTAAACGCCCTGGCTTTATGGTTGGGGAGACCAAAGACCAAGGATCAGGTATATAACTATGTAACTAAAGAAGAGAACTCCTCCGCACAAAGTACTCCGTACCTCATGCAGAAAAACAACCCCTTGCCTTTTGCATATTCTTGTCAGCTAATTTGTTAGTGCAGTTCATACCCTATTAAATTGCAGAATCACATGCTGTAGACATGGTACTACAGAGCATATGGAGTATCGCCAGCAGATTCACAAATGGCTTGACCAAAGGGGCCTCAAAAAGGATTCAAAGGTACCAACTACCCTCTTGTAGCTTATAACTAAACCATACGTGCTGAAGAGTGTGGGCTATACCTAGAAAGTATAATTCCTTAACAGTAATTTTATTAAACAGCCTTTCAACCTCAGAGCTGTGGTATGGAGTGCTTGCTCCCAATTTGTCAATGTACCAGGGACCTCTATTTGACCACCATCTTGAGTTTTTATCGACGTGATGGAATCACCACTCATAATGCCATTACATCTCTGGTGAATCTAAACCCCGGCGCCTAGGCGGAGATTGAGTATGTTTGAAAATGCAAGAAATCGCGATTCCCCTCTTTTATTGTAGAGTAAGTGCTTGTAAAGGGATACTGTAGTTTTCCACTAAGTATATTCTTAATTTCTCATAGGTACAAGGCTAAAATATAGCCTATCGACTTTTTAGGTATCAAAGACTTTGTGAATGAAATTCCGCAAATAGATAACTCCATATAAAAATGCCCAAATAGGGTTGGCGCAGATAATGAAGCTAATGTGGAAATACTATCGTAGCTTGCCTATGCTCCCAAATCTCACGGCTGAAGCACTTCTTATTATGGTATGTAGCAAGGTGACGTCGTTTTGCAACACAAAATGCTCTTCGGAATGTGCTTGGATTAGCTTTTTCGAGCCATCGGTTTCGAAACGGCCAGCAAATCGGGTGAGCGTATCAGCCGGGCCGAGAAGGTTGCCGAAGCTCACAGCATTGACCAATCAGGGGGGTATCGAGTGACATCATGAGAAAATTTGGTTCATTTGCACGTGATATTACTGATTAGTTACATAAGCATCAACTGCTGCTTTGTCATCAGCCGTTTACATTTGTTGATTGGAATAGAATGGAACTGGCGATAATTTGGACAACAAACTGGCATGGAATTGCCAGGTACTGCAGGAAGTGTATTGTGATGATTATTTGTAGAAGTACTAACGGAATCTAGTAATTATGATATATGACACAAAGCCAGAGCGCCCCTCTCTCAACCTTGCATCGCCAGAAGAAAGACGCCACGCGAACAAGAGAGACAACGCTTCGAAAAGAAACACACAGCAGCCCTAAAAGATCTCCAGATCCTCAAATTCGACCACCAGCCCATTTGTTACACCTCCTCCTCCTCCTCCGCCGGCGGAACCCCTGTTGTCCGAGCCCACTCCGCCCACGAGCCGGCTGCCATTCCGCGCCGCCCACATCGTATTTTCCATCGAGAAGTTCGCCGGCCGGCTCGCATAGACCCCGACATGTACGCTTTTATCCTCCACGTTCCAGAAGAACCACGTTACTTCTCTGAGCTTGCGCCATGAATTGCCAATCGCATCCGGCGTGCGTGCCGCGTGCGGGCTTATTAGGCCCGGTATTTGGTACCAGACCCACAGCGAGTGACCGATGCGTTCGAGTTTGATGCGCAGCGAGGAAATGGATGTAGGAGTGTTAGGCGGGGCGAGAGGCGAAAGGCACCAGTCGGCTCCGTCGGCCGTGGCACTTACCGAGGAGGCGTTGACTGTGCCGGCGGAGAATTCGAGACCGGCTTTAACCCATTTGGTAGGGCCAGTTAGGAGGCCAGGGTACGGCGGCGGTTGTGTTTGGAGTTGTGGTATAGAGGAGGAAGCCTGCTGGCGAGGTGGTTCTTGTTGTTGCTGTCTCGGAGCTGGACCGGCAAAAATGACCAGACCGCCCTGGTCCCATTCCATCTCCCAGTCTGCAGACACCGTCACTTCAGCGATCACAAATGGCTGTCGAAGAGATGTGAAAAGAATTGGGGCCGTAGTGGTCTCACGGTCCGGCGGTTTTCGCCACAGATCGGTGTTGGGGGCAGCCGCGAGCGTGAAATAGTCCATGCATTCTGGCTGTGTGAAGTCTGAGGGCAGATTCAACGCCGTAAAACATGACCCGTCAGGAGGCATCTTCAGGCGAGCCGACTTGCCAGCGCAAACTTGTTCTGAAAAACACGCTCCTTTAGCCACAGCAAGTATAATTTTGCCAGGAGAAAAGACAATTATATAAACGATAAAATTGCTGAAAGGCGTCACAGCAGCCTCACTCTAAGCTGGGCATGGATTGGACACAGTAGAGAGATAAGCTCCAGCACCACCGCAGCATCCAGCAGGACATTGACTTGATTGAGAAATCAATGACATTATTATAGAAACAAAAACGACATACGGTGGCTGATAGCTGGAAGGTCAGCTTCAACGGGCCGCGTGATGCGCTTTGCCGCTCCAGAAGCTGGCTCGCTTGGCGAGGCTGAACTGGAGCCCTAGGACGAGGGCCTAGAGGGATCAAAGCTAAAAATATCGGGACGGAGCCGATTTAAAGAGCATAGCTGGAGCGATGAACCGAGCGCCGGCGCAAAGAGCTACCTGCAAGGCAAGGGATCGCGGAATTCCACAAAACTAAAACATCCAAAGCAAAAAAGCAAATCGCAACCAGAGAAACAAAGTTAGCCACACCGAAAGCGGCGCCACGGCTGCAGGACAGGGGCCCATCCCCAGAACCAGATCGCCTGGGCAACACAACATCCAGAGAGCAGGTCTATCGCCTGGTGCTGCGTGCGGGGCGCGGGTTGGCTGGCGCGACGACAACGACGCGAGCGCTGCGGCGACTTACGAGGCCATCGACCCGCCGTCGTCGCAACCCGTACGAAGGGACCCGTTCCGCCGGAAAACAAAGCCATCATCGCATCTGTATTGAGAGGCTGAGGGGGGCCAGGAAGCGGGGAGTATGTGGTCGATGACGATGGTGTGCAGGCGGACGACCAGGCCGAAGTATATGTATGTAACTAAATGGAGTGGCGGCGACTGGCGGCGTGAGCTCGATGCGAGGATCAGATTCGGGCGTGAGATCCGGCGCAGTTTGTATCGAGACAACTAGAGAACACGCCGTGCCTGGCGCAGCTGAGCGGTCATGGCGGGCCGGGCGAATCGAGCGGAGCGCTCTGGTCTGTTTGTCGGCGAGCGAGGCCGCTAACTAGTTAGTTTGCCACCCCGGCCATGCAGAGCGTCGAGCGCGCAGTCCCGGCCACGTATCAGGGTGGCGCGAGGAGATCGTTGCCGTCGGCAAGGACAAGAACGCAAGACAAAGCCCAATAATGTTGTTGTGGTTCTCTCCTCTCGAGCTGTCCATCGCGACGGCCAAACCGCCCTCGACGTTGCCGCCCGGCGGAGTCTTCGACGCCAGCGCTGCGCTCTCAAGTGCCGTCCCACCCTCACACACCAACCGCTTTGCGCCCTGCTGTGCCACGATGCACATAACTACCAGGTGCATGGAAGAATGACAGGCCTGGCCGTGGCGCTGATCCTATTTAGAGATGGTCACTGTGCTACTTGTGTCATCACTGAGATGTCGATACTCAAGAGCCATCGCTGGCGCTCTTTTGCACAATAACTGCCTGCCTCGGCGTTCATATCGCGGGTAAGTATCAGGAACGGTTTCAGGAAAGTCGCGGGTAGGAAATTGATTTCTAGCCCGGTTTGCATTGTACCATACTTCACAACTCTGGCGTCATGCATATCCTGCACTCCGGGAAGCAACCTGCCGGCTATATGCCTGTGCTTGCCGTCCTTGCGGTCTTCGAATTCTGCAGTGTGGATCGAGCTGCACAGCGGCTCATGACCTTCGTGATGTGGAACAATTGTTACTCCACGAGTCGGGATTACGGAACTAGTTAGCTGCTCGGCGAAGTATCATTTCTTTGTCCAAGTCCGGTCGCAACCTACCAGAGTGCCTCTGCCCATGTCGGTGTGTGAATATCGGAGATTTGAAGGCAAGTATAAAGGGTCTGCAGTGTAAATTCAGCCTGCTGTCCTAGCTTTCCATTATAAGATTAATTAGTTCGCCTCAAATTTGGTCGTTCTGCTTCAGGCATGGAACCCCGGGAATGCATCCTGCTAAAAACACTGTATACAAATTGGATTAAGCTCCCGCAGCCAGAAACCCCCAGGTGCAGCTCAATGCCAGAAGATTCTCCAGATTTGGATTTTTTGCTTCCCTAAAAGGTAATTGCAATGGACATCTGGAAGCGTATGCGTGCCATATAGAGGTCAAAGCATATCACAATGAGTAACATGTCACATCAGAAGGCGTTCAAAAGAGCATATGACCTCGCCGGATACGAGAACGTATCTTTTACTCCAATATCATTTGGCCTGAGGTTAAGTTAAGCAAAAGATGGCGAATCCGTCCAATCTGCTAGCTATTCGTTAGTGGATGTTCAAACAAATTGCATAAAACGACCCGTAAACTCCCGCTGCACATCCTTAACATAGAAAAATTCCAATCTAGCTCTAGCCAAGCATGCTACATCCAATGCAAGGCTACTTTGATTTCTCTGTTGCCACCGAAAGCGCCACACCCCCATGAGCCGGTGCAGATCCTCAAGTATGGTCTCTTTGCTGCAGTTGAAAGCGTTATATACTTTAAGTATCTCCCTATCCGCATCGCTAGGAAAGGAGTCTAGTACGACTTCTGGCGAATCATATACATCCATGGAAAGCATTGTCCGCAGTCGCCACGTATGAGGATGCACGGCATGCACTTTATTTTAGGGGGATCTTCTCCGGAGTTGTGCTCCCTCACCCCCGGGCCAGGTTGGTTTATAATAGCCGTGATTTCGCACCACGTATAATGTAGAATGGTGCTCTGGGGGGCTTGCGTAAGAGGAACGCGGTAGAATTTTGGGCCTTCACTTTTTTCTTTTTTTAGAGCTGGATCCAACTCTAGTATTTCTATTTGCTGAGATAGCATATGCACCACCTGATGTTCCACCTAGTGTTCCTAGATAGGCCAATTTGTTGCAAAGATATCCTATGTATAACTGCCTTGGTATCAATTAACAATTCAATCACTAGTTATTTATTATTCGGCATCCCTATGGGCCGTAGAGAAAGTGTGATTGGTTGTTCCTCGGAAAATATGGGAGCGCGGACAGAACCTGAGTTTTCGCTTAAATTGTTGAAAGTAAGCTAAAAGGATGACATATAAGGCGTCGCCGCTCTTGGGTACTTCAGCTCCCTTTGGTATTAGATAAAAACATTCGCAGACTTATGAACTGCCCAAGATAGGCCGGCGGGGAATAAAGAAACTGGTGAGTGCCTATGTATATCTGATGTCTATTTTAGGTTATTTCATCACCGAGTAAGAGATTGGAGAGTGAACACTCTAGACACACTCTAGAAACCATTTCAAGTGCTAGTTTAACTAGCTATAATCGGAATTTTTTAAAAATGTGTCTCTCTTCTCTTCCAAATCATTCGTTAATTTTGAATTTCTGAAGGGTTTCAACGGCAGGGCTGCAGTATCGTGGAGTATGATGTCTGCGTTTTGCAGTAGCTCGACAAGACCATGGCAATCTATGCTTTTTGATGACGGTGGCGTTCCTCAGGATCTATCAGAAAGGCACCTTGCACTCATTTGATCCAAGCAGGCGGAAGGAATCTTCACAAATCAGCACAGGCTGGGCGAACCCGGCACATGTGATTTCGTGAAGGCTGATTCCGGCACAGATGCTGAGGCAAAACAGGGATTCTCTTTCACGTAGCTGACGCGACTCTCCTTCCAGGGGCTGCAGCTTCACGAAACAGGGGATGAGCTCTTGTTGTTTGCCTCTTACGGCGATCCCGCAGTTGGATGAAGTCGAGTTTGGCGCGGCGCTGGTGGCGAGGAATGGAGTTCCGCAGCCAATCAGCAACAGCCTACAGGGCCGTTAGGGGGAACGGAGCGGCCGCCTTGTTGCTTGCCCAACGCCAATGCTATCAAAGATATGGATATGCTTCTATTGTTGTGCTCAAAATCTTGAATTGACGCGCGCCTTGGCCCCATTGATACCTGAGAGTTTGGGTAACTGGACCTTCGTATTCAAACACATTCGAGAGAGGAAGTGCCCTCCTTACAAACTCTGTGCCACCCTGTGTACGTTTTCCAATGGTCTGCTCAAGGTGCCAGAAAAAACTCCACAAGACAGAGCTGGCCACTCCGGCGGTGAAGCGAAAAAATGATATGTTCTATGGCTCCACATTGTCCACCATGGGCGGGGGAGGGAGCGGTGGGGGAGGTGGCGATAATACCAAAAAACCACTGGGAACTTCGGGATATGCAGGCGTATCAAAGGTGAGGTACATCGGCGCTCGAAGGATTATTTGCCATCTCCCTAACATCGAGTTCAGAACAAACTGTTGAGCAACAAAGCTAAGAACCCGTACGCTGCTTACTCCAGTTCCTGCGACGCTTGCAAGACAAAAATAGAGGCTGGCAGAAAGTACTGTCAGCGGTGTGCTTACTCAAAAAACTGTATGTTTTCAATACCTGATTGAACTATTTTGCCCAATACTAAGTATCCATATTAGCATGTGCGATGTGTGGGAAGAGTTTGAGCACCACCAAGAGTACGCAAAAGCAGCCTGTGATCCAGGCCCAGAAGTTTACTGCTAAATAAGGCCTTCATTTTCATTTGTGTGGCTAAGGGCATATTCTAGGCGCTTGTGGGTTAGGGGTGTTTAGTGTTATAAGCAAATTAACAACAGTATAAGACGTCAGAAGGCACCATTACAGTACTTAGGGAATGTTTGCTGTTTATCAAATCTAGTATACAAGAATACATAGCAACGAGAGCAGTCTGTTGCACTTTTCGGGAGGATGAAACACTCGTCTTTCAGGCTTGTTCGCTTTAACACTTTCATGTATCATGATAGCTAGCTTATCGCTCTGCTAGCATATTTTTAATAGAGCTCCAGTATTGCGAATTCACGTGCTTTTCGATCTCCTCTTTAGCGAGCCATTTGAAATCCACAATTCCTTCGGTATTGGCTGACAAGTCAGCTTGGCCCGCCATGATGCGGCCTTTCATGAAAAATGTCTTTTCTCCAAGAAGCTGGTTGCCAGACTCGGGGTCTTGCTTTGGTTTGCGATTGTTGAATACATAATGGCCAACCGGGTGGTAACCAACCATCCAGGTGTTCAAGTTTGGGCCTACAGACTGAGAAATACCTCTTTCGGCAGCCTGCCACAAGACAATAGTCAGGCAATCATAATACTAAATAGGGGTCTTGAAGAACCTACCATTCGTAAGCTTTCCTTTCCATCTATTGTCACGCTAGGAAGCTTCCAGTATCCTTCTTTTGCCTGAACGAGGAGGTATAATGTCCTTTTCAATAGGCGATCCAAGCTTTTTTGGTCACCACTTTCGTCTGCTTTAGAGTATCTCGATAAAGGCTTCGCCATTTCTTCTTTTTTGCTTCCCGCGTCGCCCGATTCTGAGGTAACGAACCCTTCAGCGTCTGCCAGTAGTGCTTCTACCTGATGTTCAGGCTCCGATTCGACAGCCCCGACAAGTAACTCGTCATTCCACGCATCTTTAGAATAGGCATTATAATTGCCAATATCTCTTGCTGCGGTTTGTCGGTCCTTATATCTACGCTTCCATTCAACGTCGGCTGGAGTGCCTCGTTTAAAGTAGAAATATCGAGTGAAGGGAAGTGCCAGGCGCTCGTTAAGACGACGCTGATAGAAGTAAAATGATTTCTCAAAGGGCGTTAAGTCTCGGGTAATTTGAGGAGTGCGTGAAAGAAGTACGCCTGCTTTGATGGTATACGGAAATTGAGACGTTGATGTAGCGGTTGTCGGTCCTGTGGCCGGGGAGGACGGAGGGGGCGGTAGGTCGGAGGGCAAATCTATAGGTGAAGAGGTAGTAGTTACAACAGAGGAATATCTCCGGCGATTGAGATTCTCTTGACAGCTTCTACAAACTGCTCTATCAAGTGTCGATTTCGATGCTGAAGGAGAACCGGTTAGCTTTCAATTGAAGATGAATAAGGCAGAAGGGGGCGTACATAGTAACTTCGCTATACGGCGAACGCCATTAGATCCAGCCGACATTCTCCTCTCGTGCTGGTGCAACCACCTGCTAGTATCAAAGTCTTTGCTGTTGTCCTGTCCAAAAAGTTCCAATAGGCATTAGGGCTAAATTTAATCTTGGCAATTTAGTTCCCAAACAGCCTAGCGCAAAAATGATCACATAAGCGGGGGACTTCAACCCTCTAAAAATTTCAAAAACGAAGTTCTTCCTTCACCACGGCACCGAATCCTTATCATCAATTGCTTCGTTTCGTTACGGCAAATTGACCATTTATAGTGCCTAGAGAAGCAATGCAGTCAATTTTCGCTAGCGGTACCTTCTTCAATGTCCAAGGCGTACTGTTAGATAGTCACTGCGTACAAATGCCATTTCCGATTTGACGGCACTTGGTCAATGGTATTCGATAACCCATGAACCAATGGTATTTGAGAGACCTGGAAGTAAAACTCCAGAGATGCTGAGTTCTACCTTAAAGTCGCTTAGTCGCTTTAAGGCTACAGTGGCGTTTTCATAGGAAAGAATTAGTGCTAATCTATTTTTGTACCCACAAAGATATTCATCGTAGATTGGTAGTTAATATATATTGCTCCGTGCCTGAATTATAGCAATGGAGAATTTGATGTACGAGGAAGAAAGGTTGTAGCTGTATTATTCTCTGAATACCAGTATGAGGGCCTTAGGCAGCAAGGCTATGTGGCTGCACTCTTGCAATCATCTGCTTTGTTCCATCGCCCAAATCACCAACTTGACGTTTTCTTGTCTGAACACCAACTATGAATCATCAATTCAAAAGATCCTGCCTTCGGGGCCCTTCAACTACATTCAGTCGTTTGAGAGGCAAAGATGGATGTAACCAAATCCACATTTAATAATATTCTACCTTCGCTTTTAAATGATATAGCCGAGTGTTGCTGTGTTGCACTAGATCTAGAATTCTCTGGCATATTCAACAATCAAAATCGCAAGCCAGTATCAGACACAGCTTCAAGCACTGGGAGAGACCTTCAATCAAAATATAGAGAAGTCAAAGAGGCGGCAGAAAAGTACCAGGTGCTGCAAATTGGATTGACGTTCATCAAGGAGAATGTGGATGAGGGTTTGCGCATTTTCTTTGCCTAGCCAAACACGCATTTGCATTCAGCACCTGACCTTCAACGGAAATAGGGACATATACAGTCCGACCCTATAATTTCTATCTCGATCCGATTCTCGACCCAAAGTTAGGCTTAGAGAGAACATGGACTTATCAAAGTGACGGTTAGTCGCCTTTCCTTTTGTGAGAGCTTAAAGTACTGAGAAAAGAAAACCAAAAGCAATCGGTCTCTTATTAAAAAGCGGATTTCGAATGGAGGCGCCCTTCACAGAGGGGGTGGTGTATATTTCCAGAGAAGAGGAAAAAAATGCAAAGGCCAGGGTCCTTGAAAGAAATCACCGGCTGGCGTCCTTGGACGATATACGTCTTACCGATCTAGACTCGCAATATACGATATTCCTTCAAGAGGCTCGCCGTTTACTTGATGGTTTTGTTAACGAAGTAGATGTGAGACTCATGATCTCGCGATCACGACTGTGCTAATATTCTTAAAGACATCCTTCTATGTTAATATTCCTGGTCCTGAATTGAGATCTGCCACGCCCATAACAATAACCAATTTTCACAAACGGCTGGTACATCAGCTTGTCCGTTCAGAGTATCCTGGACTTGTATCTATTGGAAAATCGAATTTCATCCATGTTATCCGATATAATCAAAAGAGAGAAGAAAAGATCCTGGAAGAAAGATTGATACATGTTCGAGAACGTATATACAGGCAAATGGGGTTTCGATGGGTAGTTGAAGCCATGATTGGTGGTGATTTGTCAAAACTCCCTCCTCGATCATTTCTCAGTCCTGATTGCGAACATTCTGGCTCTGGTCAAAATGTCATTGCATATTCGGATCGCTTGCAAGAAAAGTTGAAGGCTAAGAAGTTGGTCATGGTTGGTCACAACCTTTTTACTGACCTGGTCAATTTCTACAGTTGTTTCTTTGGGAATCTACCAGACACAGTGGAAGAATTCTTAAGCATCATCCACGGCCTATTTCCCACTGTAGTGGATACAAAATATCTAGCCACCTTTGATTGTGGTTCTGACTTGCCATCATCGACACTTGAAGAGATTGATGAGATGTTCGCCACGAAGGAGATGCCTGTAATCAGTAAGTCATTTCTTCTATTTGGTTGGAAATACTGACAGCGGTTGAAGCTGTCGATCCAAAATATACAAAATACATAGGTCGCAAAGTTCCCCATGAAGCTGGTTATGATAGCCTGGTAACAGCCCGGGTATTCTTACGGCTAGTAGCTCATATCAATACCCAGGAAGCCGATGCTCCTTCCAAGGATTCGTCTTTAAATGAGAACCAATCGGTAGACAAAACAAGGCTGCATTCAAGTATTCTGCGTCCATCTCCTGCCAAGTACGCAGATAAATTAATGCTATCATCAATCTCAGAGGAAATAAAGCGCAAAAAATCCGAACCAGTGTTAGTGTCAAAATTGGCTTTTGCCCACAGGACAATATATGATACACTTGATCAGTTGAACGATGACGGATCGGATTCAAGTTTTTGTGAAAGTTCTTTTGAAAATTCGACCACTTTCACGACTTCAGGTGGAGACCGCATGATTGAATTCAAAATTGAAAAGGGGGAATTGTTGCCTCGGCTCGATAATGAATTCTGGAAGATCTATGGGAATAAGCTTCGGGTATTTGGAACTGCGGAGCGATTCTGTGAGCTAACAGCGTGAAGTCGTTTTTTTCCCCTCTAAAACAAGTCCATTTCCGCATTGAAACTGAAAAAGAGCCATTAGAACTCCGTCATGCAGGTCGAGCTCAATTATTATCTTGTTAGTCATCACTTCGATATTATCTATGAACAAATGCCCAAGGATCAGACCAAATAGGTAACCGGCCTTTGCCTTGCGCATGACCAAAGTACGAGTAGTGTGTTAGACCTCAACCAGGTGCAGGAGCAAATGTTGTCTTATCAAGAGCCCACTATTGATAACTATACTAGTCGTATGGGAAGTGAGCGGGATTATAGATCTATTAGAGCATCCTTTAAAATATTATAGAAATATTTCCGCTGGAGTCTGATTCATATTATTATTATTACATCTGCAGATCACGAGAAGATACTAACAATCGGGGCTTTTAACACACCGGTTCAGGACATATTACGCCTGTTAGATCCCTGGGTTTTACTATTTAATCATCCGATCGTGGTCGAATAGTCATAAGGCGGTGATATCTGCTCGTTATGTAACAGAACTGTTCACTGTTAGTTTACTGTCGGTAACAGGTGCAGCATTTCATCACTTCCAACTGCTTTGCAAATTTTACTGCTGTGTTCCCATTCTTGTCCTTCATAGAAGCATATATGACTGTCTTCAGTAAATATTCAGCATGCACACTGCAAGTGTGCTTGTCTGCAATGCAGCCAAAGGCAGCAAAGTCTAACTATTCACACTTCCCTGCATCTAATTGAAATTTGGTTCAGCTGATAAGTCTTGAAAATTGGGAAGTGCATATGATTTTTTCTCGGAAGTTCCATGCAGGAGGGAGTTCATCAAGATCATCCAGAAAAAATCTGAATTGCACTTCATCTGGCATTTTGGTGCGTATTTATATCCACCCGGACCACTCCAACCTCAATTAGCCACAAAAACAATAGTTTACCTGCCTTGTAATCATATTCAAAAGGGGTGGCTGCATGGTAATGCAATATTGGGTCCCCCTTTCCATCACAGGCTGACGACCAGCTCCTGGGGTGAAGAGCTGCTCGATGTGCTTTGTATAGTTTTCAACTTGTTCGCCTAGGTGATAGCGCAACTTGCGGGTTAGCATGGGGTGGAAAGGCACTGTGGTGGTCTGGCTGCTTGGCCAGCTGATGTAGATGTGCTAGGGTATAATTTGCGGCGTCATCATTGTAATGAATCAATGGGATAGTGAACAATGTGCTGTTTTCTGCTGTAAGCAGGCAGCATGTCAGCATTGCGAAACCACAGAGGAAAGGAAAATGACTGACTGGGCATTCTGGGAATTATATTTTGATGAGCAGACATGCCAGATGCCATTAGGATATCAACACCTAGTTTGGACTGATAAGTAGAACGTAAAAGTGTATCACCCTGAGGGTCACAGTAATCAATGTCAAGCTTAATCTTCTCTGAGTGTGGGACCATCAAAAAAAAAGAAGTAGACGGCATCCCTTTGGTCGACTTCAGAAACGGCCATAACAACCGTCCCCAGTACATGCATCCAGGTCATCCGCTCATCCAGGCCCCGAGCCACTTCCCCTAGAAAATCTGACGAAATGAACAAGTGGTTGGCATCAACTTCCTCCTAGCCATTGTCTAACGGCTTAAAGGCTTCAGAGTCCAAGTCAGAATCATCGCAGAGGACTACGGCTCCCGCCACTTTTGACATGCTGTGTATGCTGGGTATCTTACTCTGAGGGTTTCTCGAACTGTCTGAGGAAAGTTTAGTGGAGCTTTTGGAGTTAACTGCCGGATTAGTCAGTGGGCTTGGCATGATCGTTCGATCCGCCGAAGTTACGGAGTACCTCGGCGCATTATTATCGCTCATGCACCAACTTCTCCATATTCACCTTCTTGGATAAAGAAACACCTACCCAACAACCACCCTTAGTTATAGTCAAACGCCTTCGCACGATGTCTGATGATGGAGTATCGTCCACATCCCAATCACAGCTTCTTTCGACCTCCACTCTACCCCAATCACGTGCGTCCAGCAAGCAGATCCAGCAAATTTACAAACAAGCTTCTCAACTCTTCCTCACCCGCAGACTACAGGAGGCTCTTTCGGTAATCGAGCCACTAATAACTGCTTCACCTGACCTGGCTAAGCAGGAAAATACAAATGGAACCAGCGTCGAGACCGGGCCGTTTGCGCCCATCGCCATGGTACCAAGCACTCTGCGAATCAAAGTCTGGAATCTCTATATCACATTATTGAGTTCCATTGTCGATCTGGGGCCGGAAGAGGGCAAAAAGGAAATTGGTCAGAAGGAGTGGAAATCACTGGCCTCCAGGGTCCGCGACGGAGAAGTCTGGGAGGCTGTAGTTCAGGTTGGCTACAAAGGAAGAGAAGGTTCCGTCGATGCAGATGTTGTTTATAACTTGTTCGTGCTGGAAATTGACTCTTCCTATATACATTCGCTAACTGCTTAATCTGCTAGGGCAACCCTTCTTCTAAATCACTCTCCAACCCAGACATTGAACCAAGAGCGGCTCGAAAATTATCTAGCATCGTACGGCCGTCCAGAATTGAACTTTGATTTTATCGAAGATTCATCTCCTACAAAACGAAAGCGAAGAATAGCTTCTTCTAGGGGTGCAGATACTCCGAAGGATTTAACAATTCGAGTGAGATTACTTGAATTGTTCACTTTACACATTCTACCTCGAAACGACGAATGGGACTACGCAAAAGAATTTATCAACCTAAGTGAAGTACTTGACGATGAGAGAAAAGAGACTTTTCTTCAGACCTTGGACAATTTGCAGCAAAATAAGGAACAAGATGCGCAACGTGCCGCAGAGCTCCAGAAAGAAAAGGAAGAGGAGCTAGAACGACAGCGCCGTCGGCAGGAGGAAGAGGAGGAGGAGGAGGCAAAGAGAAAATTAGAGGAGCAGCAGCGTCAGAAAGAGGTGCAACAACAAAAGCGAGGAGCCGAGGTACAAGCAACTAGTGACAGTACGGTAAACGGCCACACGAGAATAGCCAGCGAAGTAGATTACGGTATCGAGCACACTAATCCAAATAGTCATCTCAAAACTCCACGGGGAACAAAGCCAGCCATAAAATCCTATTCGCGCTCACCAGAACCCTCAAAACGAAGCAAGAAAAAGGAGCAATCGAAACCTGGCGCCCTGAGACAAGTCCAGCATCTGAGCAGCTTACTGATTACCCTTTTGAAACGTATGATCAAATCGATGTCTTTGAGTCCGATGTTCCTTTTGCGAGTCGTTCTGGTTGTGACGGGTATAATAATGGCGTTAGGACGGCCGGATATTCGTGAACGGATACGTCGAGTTACCGGTTCCGGTTGGCAGAAAATTCGGGGAACCGTTGGGATGGGCGTCAAAGTGAGCTATATATAAATGAGAGAACATTGCTATATCGTTGGGGGTTGTGCAATTGTGGTTTTTAGTGTTCATTTCTATATCCTGTATTGTATATAAGAATATTTCTTATGTTTCACTTGATACCTGCTGCCTGGCAATTTCTCTCGCTGCTTCAACCAAGTGACTGTGTTTTTGCTTGTATGAAACACTTTCTATAGGGAGTATAATCCAAAATATCAATGGTATAGTGACTATATGGAATAGGAGGCTGTCGGCCAGTGGTTAATAGTTCACGAAGTCACCAGTGTAAGAGTGCGATCCACTCAGCCTAAAGGATAACAATCCATAGGATCTTGCAGCCTAAGGTACTTCTCATATGGAGTCAACTGGCTGAAAGAAAGGTCTCAACAAGGGTCTCATCAGATTCTATGTTCTCACTAATAGTTGGATGCTAGGTAGCCTTTGAAGATGTTTCCAATCGAGAGAGCCGTATCTTCTCGAAAAAACAATGACCTAAGGTAAGACTTTAATGAATGATATCTGAGTATTTACAAATATCAGAAAAAGTTCCAACTCATTCGGGCCTAGTAATTGAATTTTCAATTAGATAATAAGGCTTGGTTATTGTGGCTTGAAATTTCTCTAATAGCAAAGAACTTGCGGTAGTCTATCGAAGCTAATGGTATTCTAGAATCAACAAAATTAAGGAGTAGCGGTATTAGTACTCAGTACGGAGTACTCCGCAGGATAACAAGACTTTAATGCAGGCAAAAAAGCTCTACATTATCGGCGTCTCTGTGGAGCAGGAATGGATACACTGAACACCCATAGATAGTTATCTCAGGGCTCATTTATTAAATTTTCGGTATCCCTGCTGATATGCATTTCAGGGTCACTCGCCCAGCATGCCAGACATACCACACTCGTATTGTGGCTGAAATACCATGCGATGCCATGCGGTATCCTGTGCAACTGGATGTCGCGATTTCGAGATTGTCACAGCCACTGGGTAGGGGGCTAGCAGCAGGATTCAATTGAGAATACACTGCCAGATAACCAAGCTGAGAGAAGAGACAGCAGTCATAATTGTCCAGTTAAAAATCTGGAGAGGCTGCAATATTAGACGCAACATGATAGAAAAATGTGCGCTGAAGGTAGCTACGTGTCAGAGGTCAAAAGTGGCTGCTAGCAGCTCCTTGTAGGGACGGTGAAATTTTCAACGGTCCCAGTGACTGATACGGCGAAATTTGATCGCGAGAGCAGCATGGTTTCAAAAGGAAATGCTCCCCTGAGAAACATGACCTGCAGTTCAAAAGCTGCGCAAATGCTACCCGGAGCAGGGATAGCTGCGGGATAATCGATTTCAGATGCGGTTGGGCGCGGAGAAACATGCCTTGCGAAAATGAAAAGAGACGGACCAAGAAGAGACACATCGCCAGACACGATGCGGTAGTGGAACATTAGCCCTGAGCCCCTGATGGATGGATGTCGCATCGCATTATTTTGTTCTCGCAAACACACGGCACGGTCGTCGATCGCTCGCATCGCGATTGAGCACGCATGGGCGGTGACGTCTGGCGCAACGGCGTGGGGCTTGGCGGTGGCTGACATAATCCGGCAGCCGTCGCCGGCGTTACGGTGGTCGTCGGCAAGGGCCGCAGTACTCCGTACCGGCCAGCGGAAAAGCGGCGCGACGGTACAACACACCGTGCTTAGTCAGCCATGAGTTAGGCAGCCGGGCCCGAAAACTCCCGGGCTTGGCGGCGGCGGCGGAGAGTCAGCGCCCGTCGCCGCAAACAACATGTGAGTCTCACATGCTGGCCCGCCGCACACCAACGCGCCGCTGAGCGCGACGGCGGGCTGACCGGCTTTAAGTACTCTGGGGCGCCCGCGGGGCTGGTGATGTCGACGCGCATCGTCGAGCTCCGGGCGTGCGTGGACGGCGTGTCTGAGCCTCGGAGCTGTGGGTGCTCCATATCTTCTCCAGTACCTAGTCAGCTGGATGGCGCTCCTGATCGCCTGAATGCTCCTCCCAGGCCTCTCCGCCACTACTGGCGTTGATTTGGCCTCTCTATCTTTATCGATTTCACGGCACTATGTCTCCCGCACTCGCTGTGTTGACAGCTGGCATGGATTCTTTTTGGCGTTCCGTTTTGACTTTGAGCTTGCATGGCTTATTGCTACATCCCACCCTCGCCCTCAGTCTAATTATTTATTCTTGCCTACCCTAGCCGCTGGCAATGTGGGGAAGCAACTGTTCCGCCCATCCAGATCTGATAAGCTGTGCGGCCGGGCCATGCTTCGGCTCGACTCGCAGCCTGCTGTCTGGGGCCTCACACGCCCCGCCACTGGCATCCAGGGAAAATGTTTATACTATGCCCACGCCAATCAAAATTCGTAGTAATTCTCTGGTTCATTTCCAGTCCGTCCTCTCAGCATCTCCCTTTCCAGAAAGTTTCTTTGGTCTGACTAGAAACCCGCGGCGTTTCGGGTACCCGGTGCTTGTGCTTATTGAAAAGGATCCATTTCCCACCATCCTCGGTACATTCACTTGCCCCAATTGACTCACCTTCGACTTATCTCTGGTCAATTGACCGTGTGTTTTCTTCTGCTTCTCATTTTCCTTTCTGTTTATTCAAGCTTGCGACCTTGATCTCCTCTCCTCTTGTAAAATTGCTTGCGGCGCATTTGAAAATAGACAATTAGCACAATGGCTTCAAAAGACCGGAATGGCAAGCCTGCATCTGCAGCAGTGAATCTGATCGGTGAGAGATCATGCGCATGTTTATGTCGCCTTGTATGCTAACAATCTGGCAGCTGGTGGTGGTGCCGGAATGATGGAAGCCCTCGTGTGCCATCCGTTAGGTATGCGCCTCCACTGGTGCTTTGAGAAATTCCACGCAGTCTGATTGACTCCCATTTCTTAGATACTGTAAAGGTCCGAATGCAGCTTTCAAGGAAAGCGCGGGCCCCTGGCGTGAGTAGCGGGAACATGACCCATGCTACGAAGGACCCCTCAACTAACACGAAGCTTTAGGTCAAGCCTCGTGGTTTTATCGCTACCGGACAAGAGATTGTGCGGAGAGAGACAGTTCTGGGATTATACAAAGGTCTCGGTGCAGTGTTGAGCGGCATTATCCCGAAGATGGCCATTCGATTCACCTCGTATGGCTGGTACAAGGAAATGCTTGCGGATAAGGAAACGGGAAAGCTGAGCAGTTCTCGTAACATGCTGGGTACGGCCGATCCCGTAGACTTTGTCTTGTTCACGATTGTTCGTGCGCTCACAGTTGAATGTAGCTGGTCTTGCTGCTGGTGTTACGGAGGCAGTCGCAGTCGTCACCCCCATGGAAGTAATCAAGATCCGATTACAAGCTCAAAGCCACAGTTTGGCTGATCCCCTCGACACGCCTAAGTATCGCAGTGCCCCTCACGCTTTGCTGGTAGTCTTAAAGGAAGAAGGATTCGGCGCCCTTTACCGTGGAGTATCGCTCACTGCGCTCCGCCAGGGTACCAACCAAGCCGCCAACTTTACCGCATATACTGAATTGAAAAAGTTACTGCAAGAATGGCAGCCGGAGTATAAGGAGCTTCCCTCCTATCAGACGATGTTTATCGGTCTCATTTCTGGCGCCATGGGCCCCTTCTCCAATGCACCGATCGATACGATCAAGACGCGATTGCAAAAGACACCAAGCGAACCCGGACAGTCCGCAATGTCGCGCATTGTTTCGATCTCCCGCGATATGTTCAAGCAAGAAGGTGCCAGGGCATTTTACAAGGGTATCACGCCCCGTGTCATGAGAGTTGCACCCGGCCAGGCTGTCACATTCACGGTGTACGAGTTCTTAAGAGAGAAGCTAGAAAAATCCACCCTTCCCATTGTTGGTGGGAAGTATGAAGAGTGAACGAGAGCTGAGGCAACGACATTACCCGGATTGTGGACTGTACCTGGCCTCTAGATCACGATTCCTATATATGCCGTGATACCATTTCTTCAAGTGCTTTTGGGAATAGAGATAAATACCGATTTCTTTTGCTGCGCTGTGTATATACCTCTTTTTCTTTTGTTTTGCATTTTTCCATCTTGGAGGTGTTTTGAGTGGCTGGCATCTTTTGGCATTCCCAGATACCGTTCTCACCGGATAGACTTTTGCTGCCCTTTAAAAAGCACATGTACATTGATGAGCCGATATGATATGTATAAGGGCATTTCTAATATAGTTCAGAGAGCTATGGGTTCGTTGCAACGGGCTCTGTACTCCGTATCATGCTCTATATACTTTTGCAGGGCGCGGTTTGCAAGGGGGTGGGGCTCCTGTGACGCATCACAAGCAGGTTGGCCTGCCCCTCAACACCACCCGCAAGCTGCATGAACAACCCCCATACCTTCCACTGCTTGTCAATACTATTCAGCCATGCAGTCTGGGATATCAGGTAATTAGGAAAGATCGCCTTTTGCTTCTGCAGTCCATATTATACTAATCGCTTTTTTCTATATGCAGCGTCTTCCGATTTACACGATGCCTTCGCGTCCTTCCTCTCTACGCCCTCGCTTTTCTCCCTCCCCATAACAATCGAAAACGAACAGCTTGTCCCTTTGCAACCTATACCGTTTAGTTCTATAACTGATGGCGCTGCAAATCTCGAGTGTTTCTATTCTTCACTCCCATCCCTGAAGGATGTCATCCAGCCGAAAACCCCTCTATACATTCTTCTCCGCCGGTTTCCGCCAGAAGATTCTGCGGAGTCACAACTGATTGCCCTCACGTACATTCCCTCGAACAGCCCCGTACGTGCTAAGACGCTTTTCGCGAGCACCCGTGCCACGGTGGTTCGCGAATTAGGCTCCAAGAAATTCTGCGATACTGTTTTCGCAGCTGACGAAGAGGAGGTCTTGAGCGAGAGTGTCTGGAGAGAAAGAGAAGCGGATAAGAATGCCGCGAGGGGTGGAAGCGGAAATGGCACTGGTGAAGGCGCGGATGATGCTGAGAGAAGGAGACAAGCTGTTATGGGTGAGCAGGAGAGAGAGCTGGATGCGCTCCGACAGGCGGAGAATGAGGCGAGAAGTATGTCAAGGAGGAGAGATATTGGGATTGGAGGCACTGCGGGCACAGATGGACCAGCCGATATCAAAGGAATTGCGTTTCCAGTTGGGGAGGGAGTGAAAGAAGCCCTCCAGGGCTTGCAGAATAACGAAGGAGAAGCTGTTTTACTGGTAAGTCTGTTTCCTTTTGAAGTGTGCTATCATATTTCTATTGTATTTTCGCTAAACTAACTAAAAAAGGGCATTGACATTCCAACGGAGACTCTCACACTTGTTTCCATTGAATCGAATGTTACTCCTGGCTCGCTAGCTGGTTGTATTCCTAGCTCGAAACCTCAGTATACCTTTTACCGCCATCCAAATTCCTCCGCAGTCTTGTTCATCTATACCTGCCCATCGTCATCTGCAATAAAGGAACGTATGTTGTACGCCAGTTGTCGTGCGGGAACATTGGTGGTCGCTGCGGCACAAGGATTGAACGTTTCGCACAAAGTAAGTTCCCATAGGCCCGATGCAAAAGACTTGCACTATTCCATAATCACATCCTTTTGCTGAATACTGATATGGGCGGAATAGATCGAGGCATCTGACGCTGATGATATCACCCAGCAACGATTGGAAGAAGAGATTTGCCCTCCGAAAGATGAGGGGCCCAAGCGAGGCTTTGCGAGACCAAGAAGACCAGGGCGGTAATTATAGAAGAGTTTGTCGCGAAGAATTCAATTTTGCCGATTTTAGCCTCTAGAACGTCCTCTTTCCTATAAATTCTGCAGTTGTAGCAGGACGAGGATTCTTTTCTTACATGTTGTTTGTACCGATTCTTCATTCATAATCAAGAAACAAACATTCGTAGCCGCATAACAATCTCCAGGTAGATTATACAGCACACATGATGCTCAGTGTTTGTAGTCGACAAAACACATCGAACCCCGCCACCACAAAAATCAATCGGTGGGGCGGGGAACCGATCACATCGCCGTTGACCGATGTTGCTTCCGCTGGAAGAATAAATCCGTTCTCGAACTACCCAAGTTGATAATTTTCGGGCACCCATCCCGGTCCTTTTCTAGCCGGGTGCACTCAAAACAGTAAAACGCGTCGCTAATTCCTTCACCGCCACACACGATGCACTTGTTTTGATAATTACCGAAGGAGCATTCATCACATACGCGAACGAGTGTAGTTGGTCGGACGTAGGAATCACAGACGGGGCATTTGCCGTCGCATTTGTCACAGAGACGGCCGATGGAGATGCCGGTTTGCTTGCGGCACATAACAAGATCGGGATGATGGCGAGACATGATGATCCCTCGGTGCTGGAAGGCTGTTTGAATGAATGTAGTACAAAGTGCTAGATGGGAAACGAAGGTCTGGCGGAAGAATTGGTTGTTATCAGCTTACTTTAATGTGAATGCTTCTCGGAGCTTCCAAGACTTTTATGATTATGTAATCGAGTCTAAATGGCGATCTTAACTGACGAATCAATCGGCTTGGCTTGATCATCCCAGAAACAACCTAGTCCCAAACCTAATCCCCATCTTTCTTCGTTGAAGATGCACTGAGAGGTAGATCAGGAGCTCATTCAAAAAGATGGCAGAAGGGTAAGTGCATGTAACTCTCCTCTGCGAATACTTAGCCAATCATTGCAATATAGTTCGATTGCCTCAGCCGTTGCGTTGCCTGATCCGGATCCTCCGAGTCCTGACACGCCCTTGAAAAGAAGACAGGCGCCTTTAGAAGAGGAAAATCATAGCAAGCGGCGTCGAGTGAGCACTACGGAGGATTCCAACAAGTCACCTACAGCACCGGAAAGTAATATACAGGGAGAAGAAACACTTACGCGGCGAAAAGGGGGTGCAGACGATGAGCGGAAGAGGGGCAAAAGACTCTTCGGCGCATTACTTGGGACCCTTTCACAGACGTCATCTACAGCTGCACAGAAACGACGCGCAGATATCGAGCGAAAACAACAAGCAAAGCTTAAGAAACAGGATGAAGAATACAATGAAGAATCGCGGCGGAAACGTCAAGAGCTAATGGCTCGGAGAAAGGAAGAACAAAGAGTATACGAAAGAGAGTCGGTATGTCTTATTATTATCTTCTTCGTGAGGTAGACCTATTATGCTTATGGGAATGCCCAGATCCAAACCCGACACGCAAACATGCGAGCGATGGCTCATTTTCTCCAAACCAAAACCAAACCAACGCTGGTACGCACGCCAACAATTTTAGGAGAGTCATACGCCCTGTACTAACTCATCTTAGTACTATAAGCCATGGCAGCTACGCCCTGAAGACGAAGATGTTATCAAGACACAGATTGAAGAAACGCAGGCTGTAATCGAGAGGGAAATTGAAGCGCTCGACCGTCGCGATGGACCCGTGCCTGGGTCGCAGCACAAGGAGCATAAAGAATCACCGGATGAGGTGCAACCGGCAGCTGAGTCCACAGATACCGGGTCTACGATGAAGCCATCTGCTAACAAGGTTCCAAATCCGGATATGGTGGGTACTGATACTGACCACGATGAAGCTCCAGACACCCAGAAACAGCCTACTACTAACGATGAAAATACCATTCCCGATCATAGTACGGAAACGGCTCATACTAGGCAACATGAGGATGACTCAGGGGAGGTTGTCCTAGAGGACAAAGAGGACACAGTGATTTACTAGGTTAAACATGAAATGACCCATGTCATTCCATATTATTCGCAAAAATTTTATCAAAGGGTCCTGCATCTGGATTTCGAATTACCATCTTATTTCCGCCCTCCAGTGCCTCGTTTCTTTGGCTTTCTATCCACGATATCTATAGGGAATTTTGCAACTCTTGCACTTTCATCAGTTCGATTTCGATATGATTTCAAACTACTGTATTAACACGTTTGTTGTTTATTGCCAGAAATTTTGTTGATAGCGCCAAAATAGCATACGTTCCTAATCAAAGTGGCCACTAATAACAATTCGCAATTATCAATTGCATCATCCAAAATGCGCCCGAAGCACTCCGGTCACGTGTTGTCAACCTCGGCCCGGCGACATCAAGGCCGGGTATCTGTCCAGAGCTCTGTGCGTAGCAGCTAACTACTAGGTACGGAGTATTCCGCAAGGATTTCGGCCTTCAGGTATGGAGATACGGTGATTGTAAGAGCGCACAACTGAGTCAATAAGATTTATAACCTTTCAGTTGCCTCTCATCCTTTACTATCCGACCTCTAAATCAGTCATGGCAGTGGATAAGATAAACGTTTGGAGCGATCCGCGCATCCAAAAATGTTCTACTTTCCTTAATGGAACAAGATATGGTGGGTGTGACTATATTGCGATATATCTGAGGGCGATTGTTCATAAATTGCTCCTTGATTGTCCTTGCCTCTGCATAGCTTGAAACTGATCATTGATTGACCAGGATATCTCCTTGGAGTGCCTCCGAACGGAGACTACCGGGCAACAATCTTTCTGGTTTGTCAACCTGTGATATCTCCCGAATATTCATTCTTCTCCCCGCCCATGTAGTCGTTTCCAATGCAATCCGCTTCTTGCATTCTTTACTTTCTGAACGTCAATCTATAGATCCATGGCTTTCCCGATCTTTCTATGGGATGGAGGTATCAGATTCCCACTCTGTTGAATATGGGACTTCGTGTCGTGGTGCCGGATTGTCTTGGTTATGGAAGAACAGTGCGAGCCTATTTTATTCTTATGTTATATATGGAGCTTACATGACCATAGGAAGCCCCGGAGTTCTCTGAAGAGTCCGCTCCTCGCTATGCATTCAAACAATGTGCTCAAGATATGAAAGAGCTAGCACGACAATTGGGCACCTCTCAAATAATCCTTGGGGGTCATGATTGGTTTGTTTCTCCACAAGTTCCCAAAATCTTTCCTTGTTCTACCATCGCCTTATTGACCTATATCTTATAATCTAGGGGCGGTTTTGTCGTCTATCGCATTGCACTCCATTGTCCAGGTTTTGTCACCCATATCTTTTCTGTCTGTACTCCCTATGGACCTCCGCATCGGGAATACGTCCCTCTTGACAAACTGGTCGCAACTCGTATTCCTTTCTTTGGGTACCAGCTTCAGTTTGTAAGTGGAGAGCTGGAAAAGAAAATCAAAACCAAGAATGATATCCGCCAGTTCTTGATTGCGCTATTCGGGGGTCGGACACCAGAAGGAGAAATCGGTTTTGATGTAACGAAGGGAGCACTATTGGACAAAGTCCCAAACCTGCGGCCCTCACGCCTTTTGAGTGAGGAGGTATTCTTTTATGCCATAGTCATCTCTAAATGGATATGAAACAAATTAACCTAATTTTTAGGAACTTGATTACTATGTGGAAGAGTACTCCAGAACCGGAATTCACGGGCCATGTAAGTCTGGCCTAGTCCCAAGGCCCTTGGTTATGTTTTATTAATCTCTTTAATAGTAAATTGGTACCGGACTCGTGAACAAAATTACAAGGAGGACTTAGAGCTTATTGGCCAAAAGTGGGAGGTCCCAGTTCTCTTCATTAGAGCGACGAAGGATGACGCTCTGCGTCCGGAGTTATCAAAGAACATGGGAAAATATATTCCTAATTTGACACAAGCGGAAGTCGATGCCACGCACTGGGCACTATGGCAGAAGCCTGAGGAGTGCAATGCAATTATTTCAAACTGGATCGAAAATGTGGCCTTCGGGGGACGCAGCAAGATGTAGTAGGGTAGCAAGACCTCTTGAGTGTCGATACCTGCTGTGCAGCAAACGATCAGGCGTAATCTGAACAAAGTGTAGTTCTGAATCGTGCTCTTTACCAATAACCTAAAGGTTGATATATATGTGCTAGAATTTTCGTATAAAGTTACACTATATATTATGTACAGACATCTCTGGTTATTTTAAAAACTCCATCTTCCACCAGTTAGCTATCCAACATAGTATTAATAGGGAGATAGGAGATTCAGTAAAAATTTAGCCCTCCAGAACCCGAGTTTCGATAACAACACCACACTTTTCTATTCGATCAGTGTACTCCTCACCTAATACGGCTGGAGTTAAAAAGCCTCCAGTAAGCTCTGTGCCAACCCTTTCACTGGAAAGTAGGACCATAGCCGCCTCTGTCACTAGCATGCCTGTCATAGGATACGCGGCTCCCTGATATGCAAGCCTCCCTAGAACCCGGATAGGCTTGTTTCCAGAAATAGCAGTTGCTACACCGCGATATTCAACATGGTCTGAAACTGTATCTTCTTTCGAAGGGCCCTGCCCTTGCTCGGGAACGAATCTCCGCGCCAGCCATCGGACTGGCGGAAGCATAAGGCCGACAGCAACGATTCCAATACACCAGTGTAAGATAACACCCAAGAGAGTGTTCCGAGCCTTTGTAAATTCCTGGAAATGAAAATTTGGCCCGTACAAATCAGGCATTAGGGAGCTGCTTCTGTGCACTATAGGAGTATCTATCATTGCCGGAATAGCCGTGGTAACGGTACCAATATCTTTAACATAATGCGCACCAAAAAGCCTTCGCATAATAGGTGTTGATGGCATTTTATCTGGCTTCGAGGCGGAGAGGCAATATGGGTCATTTGTAGCCCGAATCTCCTTCAGCGATAGGAAATCAAAGCTAGCTAGAACAGAAGCAGCAGTTCCTCCACTTATACCGGCGCCCCTTATAGGAGAATTAGAGGTTAGATTGTTTCTCTTGTGGCATGAGATAGAATATTACGCTCACTTCAGGTCATAAATGGATAAGATAACGTCGTTTGCTTTAACTCCAAACTGTCGTTTGATCAATCTGACCATTGACCAAGTCACGAGGTCCGCTGGTGCACTTTCAAACCCGTCTGTTGGTATCATCTGGAGTCTCAAAGTTGGTAAGGAGGCAATGTTTATGTAAATAAAGTGCCACTGACAATTGCGCCCGTCTTCTTAGCCACACCATCAAATTTCTCAATCATTTCTTTCACCCATGGAATCTCTCCAGTCCTAGTAGTAGCAAGATTGGCTGAGGAATTTCATGTAACGACACAAGGAGGCTCACACGTCAAGGTAATGCGTGCCATTTTCCGCGCAGGCTTTTACCACTGGCGTTGAGTACAAGCGATACGGGCCCACACAATTAATTAAAACCTTCGTTTTCTTCGCAAGAGAGTCTAGATCAGAGCCGTCAAGCTGAACAGGAAGCACTTCTAGAGGCCGAAAGGATGTGTTAGTAATAGCTACAGTAGTTATAAAATACAGCGGTTTGTACCTGGAGCTTTTCTATCACTCCCAATTGTTTCTAACTCAGCAACAAGCACCTCGAGCTTTTGGGCTGATCTTCCGGCAACAGCCCATCCTAGGTTCGCAGGGAGGTTTTGAACGATATGTTCAGCACAACACCTTCCGGTGTATCCAGTGGCTCCTAAGACCACGATATCATAATTTTTAGAAGAGGGCATCGCTTTTGTTTTATTTTTGTCTTTGGGTAGTCGGACGGTATCGAACGCTTGCAAGGTTCGAAATGCTCAACCAACCAAAAGCCCCTGATGCCGCCTATGAAGTCGTAACATCTCATTGTTGACTAGGTACGGAGTACTCCGTACATATAATCATCCAACTTTAACTATCGGCTGACTAATCAATAGTTAACTAGTTAGTTAGGTATGATGTCATATGATGAACAAACATCAACTACTCCGTATCGATATAATGTTGCTTGTCTAGATTCTGTACCATATCATAACTTCTGGTGATCTGGAGAGGCGCTAATAATGCCTCCTTTCGCATAAGCTGGTTTTAATAGGTCATGGAAAGTTTTGATGACATTCCACTTCCAGTCAGCACTCTGCCTGAAACGGTCTCTCTAAGCGATCGCTCGGCAGCTCCCCCTGAGGCTGGCAGCAATGGCATACCTGACATTGTTATTTTACACGACAGCGATGAGGCGGCGTCCCAGAAAAAGGGGAAACAATCCCCACGGCCTGAGTCTTCTGAGCCAGGACTGAACTTGAATACCGCTGAAGATGTTCCCCCTGCCTTCCCACAGTTACTATATCAACGGCGAAGCTCAATAGATATGCACATTCCCGATGCAGACGGAGACGGTGCTGACGAAGAGCCAAATATTGCAAAATCATTCCAACGATCCTCCTCTCCAGCTGCGGCTCAGCTAAGCCGTGAGGCATGTGATGAATATCCCGGTGATACCGGGATCTCAACAATGCATAAATTTTCCCTATATGAGACTTCTACGCGATATTATATGGTCGGAATGGACTTGCTTGATAAACGCTTTCGCATTTTGAAAATTGACCGGACTTCTGGGCTGGATGATCTTACTGTTGCCGAGGATGACACCGTGTATACCAAAAGGGAGATGAACCAACTTCTTGACGCAGTCGACGATGGAAATAAAAGTTCAGGCGGCTTAAAACTGCGCTGTAGCGCTTGGGGGCTGCTTGGATTCATAAAATTCACCGGTGCATATTATATGTTACTTGTAACAAAACGCAGCCAAGTTGCAATGATTGGAGGTCATTATATCTACCAGATTGACGATACAGAATTGGTACCATTAAGCTCACTTAGCGGCAACAGGACTAAATCGGACAAGCACGCGGAAGAGGCAAGGTTCATAAGTATAATGAACAATGTTGACTTGACGCGTTCATTTTACTTCAGCTATTCGTACAACATTACTCGAACGTTGCAGGAGAATATTGCTGCGGAGCGGAAAGCTCTTGGGGAAGGTATACAACGCGCACTTCACCAAAATCACAATTCAATGTTCGTCTGGAATGACTACCTCCTGAAACCCGCCGTATCTTCTTTGAAGAATGCATACGACTGGTGTCTTCCTATCATCCATGGCTATGTGGATCAATCATCAATCTCGGTGTATGGAAGAGTTGTGTTTGTTACACTCATTGCTCGGCGGTCCCGATTTTTTGCTGGCGCTCGCTTTCTCAAACGTGGTGCCAATGACCTTGGTTATGTTGCTAACGATGTGGAGACCGAGCAAATAGTTTCGGAGATGTTAACTACCTCTTTCCATGCCCCAGGGCCCAAGTTATACTGTAATCGACAGTATACTTCTTATGTTCAGCACAGGGGAAGCATTCCGCTTTACTGGACTCAGGATAATACCGGGGTTAGTCCAAAACCGGATATTGAGCTGAACCTTGTTGATCCGTTCTACTCTGCTGCGGCACTTCATTTTAACAATTTGTTTCACAGATATGGTGCTCCCATATATGTCCTGAATCTTGTAAAGTCAAGAGAGAGAGTTCCCAGGGAATCCAAACTGCTTGTAGAGTATACCCGGGCGATTACATATCTCAACCAGTTTCTCCCAGATGATAAAAAGATTATCTATAAAGCATGGGATATGAGTCGAGCGTCGAAAAGCTCGGATCAAGATGTGATTGCAACACTAGAAAAGATGGCGGAAAATATCATTCCACAAACGGGATTTTTCCAAAATGGAGACAATTCTGAAACAGGTTTAAAAATGCAAAATGGTATCGCTAGGACGAATTGCATTGACTGTCTTGACAGGACGAATGCTGCTCAGTTTGTCATTGCCAAAAGAGCTCTGGGGCATCAGCTACATGCTCTCGGAATTATCGATGATACATCTGTCGCCTATGATACCGATGCTATCAATATGTTTACAAATATGTGGCATGCTCATGGCGACACGATAGCAGTTCAATACGGCGGATCACATCTTGTGAATACAATGGCCACATATCGAAAGCTGAACCAATGGACTGGCCATTCAAGGGATATGGTGGAAAGCTTTAAACGCTTTTATAATAACTCATTTCTTGACGCCCAGAGGCAGGAAGCGTATAATCTCTTCCTGGGGAACTATGTATTTACTCATGATCAGCCGATGCTCTGGGACCTTTCGACGGATTATCATCTCCACCATTCGAGCCCTCGAGCGTGGGCGAATTCCAATAGACACAATTATATCAATTGGTATACACCGGAATTTTTGGAAAAACGCCAAATGCCTCCGACGATGTTTCCTCAAGGAGTTTCAAAAGCCCCAATACGGCTCTTCGATGACTATTGGCTTGAATATTATAGACCATTGGCAGTCTCCTCCTTTTCAAAGGTGTTCTCTTTTAAAATGAAGTCTACACTCCATAATCTTCCTTTTAGGTCTACTCAACAAGGCCGTTACGACTTAAGTCCATTTGTGGTTCGCGCCGACCATGAGACCGCGGATTCCCGCGAAAAGAAAACTCCAAGAAAGAAAGCGCTTGCCATTCAAGAACCACTTGAGAGGATCATCGAGGATGCTCGCTCTAGTACCTCTAGCAAAGACCGTGTTACTTCATCCGAGCCACTTCGTCTTTGGCTCCAGCAACCGATAAGTACCGAGAACGGGGCACCCAACCAGAGCAGCATTATAAAGACAGAACCATTTCCTCCACTCCTGATCTCCCATAACTCGGATTCGTACTTGCCCAAAGTTCAGAATCAATATAGTTTCAACCAACTTATCACCGATTCACTAAATCCTAGTATATCCACCTCAGAAGCTGTGGAATACGAGCGATATATAAACCATCCATTGAAAGTTCCATTGGTTGTCACGTCGGAATCGCCAGTTGAAGCAACCGCAGATAACAAGAGCCATGACCTAGCCGAATATGTGAATAAAGTTCTTCTAGACGATGCTGCTCTCGATGCTGTAGCGGAGGACAATCTCGCGGATTATATTGAGTTCCTAAACGTTGGAGATGAAGGCCTAACTGTCATAAAAGAAGATTATGATAAAAAGCGGTATAAACGGTACCGACAGTGGTTGAGAGGTAAAAGCTTGTTTAAGCAGGGAATCGACTTATAGATATTGTATGCTGTACTGAATGCGTGAATATGGCCTCGAGTTTGATACCTAAGATCTCTCCATGTATGCCTGTATGTCCATACATTTTTGCTGTTTCACAATATCGAGGTCAGCAGCGCATTAGACTTTCAACACGACCTATCGCTAAGAAGATCTATAAGCCTTTCGTCACTGCTCATCAAGTTTTGTAACTCGTCTTGAACATAGATTTTCTCCCCAGTTTCATCTACAATGTTACTTTCTTCCAAAGTGATTTTCAATGCCTCAAAGCATTCCGTGATTTTTGCTTTTAAAAGTCCGATAGTTTCTGCAGTTATACTGCCGCTGGATTCATCCATCTTAATCTGTAACCAACAACCACACAAGCTAGCAAGGATATCAGCCCTCCATTTCCATATTCTCGGCCACGCAGAGAGTATCAACTGCAGCATACTATCTATCGCCGCAATGAGTAGAGGAATATAGGCCGTTCCGAAGGGGTTCGTTAAGGTTGAGGTCAGTATTGGGATAATCTCTTGAAGGTGCTTGATAGAATCGAGAGCCAGTTCTCGAATTGCGGTAGCTAGTTGGTTTAGCAACAATGTGGAAAGTCGAGGGTACGGGAATGAAGAGATGTATGTATCCTCTGAGGGCCGAGACATGCTGATATGTGAATATGACGAGATGATACCTTGCCGTAGAACTTTTGTGAGGCATATCAATCGGGACTGCGCCTCTTGCGCTTCCGTTTTGCGATGAGAGGGTGCTGGACTGTAAAACTCTTTTGATGGTGGCGATAAAGGAAACCGAGTTCTGATGACGGAAAATAGAGCAGGGTAAGCAAATTTAAGGAGATGGATGGACTGTTCTTCGGGAGTTATGGTGGGAAGAGACAAAAGACACGGCGAGAGAGCATCTTCGAAGACTGAATCTAAATTTGTACGCTTTAAAATATCGGATTTCGTTTGCTCTAGCGGAATTAAAAGTTGATATAGTATCCTGCATCCCAGTGCCTTGTATGGTAGACTTTCATCATCAATGAGAGATAGAATGGCCGGTACAAGCAAAGGAAACTGTCCTTCAATTGTTGCCCGATCAGAAGGCTAAATACAGTTAGCATCTCTAGATTGAATGTAGTATGCAAAAGCCTACTGTATACTGCCCGACAACCCATGACAAGATAGTAAGAACAAAATTATTGGTATACTTCCAGGGTTTCGATCCCTTTTCAAACAGGCTAGGATCAAACTTAGGTTGTTTAAGCGGGTGCATATCCTTCCGTCCTGCAGAAGTGAGAGCAGGTGTTCTGGATTTTGAGAATGAAGGCTTCACGTAACGTGCTAAAATCTCACCAAAGAGAGCAGGAAGCTGTTGATCTTTGGCTCGATATGACTCCTTGTACTCATTCAAGAGCAAGGTCGCTGACGAGAATGCTGTTACTGAAGTCCACGGATCCTGTAGATCTGTAAAAGCCGCCAGGGTAGCTATGACTTTAACATGATCTTCAATTCGATTGATACTGAGTAGTTTCCAAATACGTTTCAAAGCTTTCAGACCTAAGGCGGCTTTGATTCGAGCGGGCTTGTATCTGTCGAAAATATCTTCCTTGGCATCATCTAGCGATAAACGTTAGTTGCAAAGCGCCCTATATGGATTTCAGATGGATTTCAAGGTACCTGTAGATAATTGGGATTCTTCCCATGCCCCTTCAAATGTGTCAGAGGGTAGGATTACAGCACTTATCCAAGATATAAGAGCATTTGCTGCCTCAATCTGGCTGTCAGGGAATGGATTTTCAACAGTTTCTAAGAACAATTGTGTAATAAGGAAATTTTCACTGATCTATTCAAACAATTAGATGAGCCGAATTTACCGTAATAATTAGAATACCTACATTAGTATCAGTATCCAGGTTATGCTGGGTGCGTATATCATTCCACAAGTCAGCTAGGCTGATGCCAGGTATTGGACAACTGTCAAGGCTGAGGGAGAAAACATTATCGGTATGAATACGCTCTAGCTCCTTCTTTGCCGCAGCTCGATAGGCTTCCATTTGCATAAAATGACTAGGCACATAACCACCCCAACAAAAATCGGGCAGAGAGATATGAGGTGCTCCGGCGGTTGACTGGAGGATGGGTGGTAGTCCTGAGGAGATTTGTATTGGCTAGTCAAGATTGTAGTTATGTACAACTTAATCAGCTCAGCGCGCATCAATGCCTTGTTGTTGGTGATAGCGAATCGGCTGTTTCCCCATGTTACATTACAAATGATATAACCAAACCTATGATGATATTTGCAGATTATTGGAGGATGAATACTCTTCTTTTTCAGATTAACCATACTATATTTTAGGCACTAAGTATTGTACAGCACTTAGGTTGCTAGAGTACTAGAGCATCACTGCTTCGTCCTTTTCTTTTTCGGGGCTGTGGTCAGTTCTAAAGAATCTTTTCGCCGTTCCACCTCTTCTATGGCACCTTTGCCGTCGCGCCTCTCTGGGTTTCGAAGCTGCCATTCAATGACCATGTCTAATGCCTTAGACATCCACGGACCAGGAAGTACTCCGAACGCAGAGGCAAGTTGCCGGCCATTGACAAGGGGGCGTAAAGCGTCTACACCAAGAAGATCTTGCGCCTTCAGGTATAGTAGGAATTGCTCGTACTCCTTGAAGACTATAGGGAATCGTAGGTTAGCCTGCAAAGAGAGTTATCAAGATTTGGAGTCAAACCATTGGCTGCTTCTTCCCCTTGCATGACTTCTAGGAGTATAGCTTGAATAACGCAAAGCCGCCAGTCTACCCCTATTTCACGTATTGTCCGCCCGAGCTGCCAACGCACATCCGCCAAAGTCTCACCAAGATCTTGTTTCAAAAATGAGGATTTAAGATCAGTTACCCTTTTATAATGGGTAGCGGCGGCTTTTAGAATAGTAAATGTTTTATTGTCAGTCCTCAAGCTATCTCGAGCTACCATTGCTGCTCTCGGTGGCAAATCTTTTTTATCAGGCGGCGTTTCCTTCTGGGGAATAATTGCCCAAGGTGAAAAAGCTGCTAACATCCACGAATGATATATATCCTCGCCATCCCGAAGTAAGAGAGTGCGTATGTTTGTGCGAGTTTCCTGTGAAATTCCGATTCCCATGTAATCATTATCTAACAGTATCATGAGGGCACGTTTCGCCTTCACCCAGGATGAGGCATCCACAGTAACATCATCCTGATGATTGGAAAATATGGTATCATATAGGTGAAGACGGTCTATAATGCATAAGGCCGCGAAGGGGCTAGGACCTGAAAAAAATAAGCCGGGGGCTGTTTAGCGGAATTACAATATACCTTGCCTTTCAACATTTTCTCAATTTCAGCCCCAATTCTCTCTTGGCTTATCTTTAACCTCAGACTTTCCTTAATATCAGCATGTTGCATTGCTTCCTCGGTATCTTGGTCAATTCGATACCCAAGTCTGCTAGAGAAGCGAATCAATCTTAAGACACGAAGCGGGTCATCCTTGAAAGTCTGATATGGCTCCAGGGGGGTGCGAATTATCTGACATATCATATCTGATATACCTCTGCCAGTGAGGTCTTCAACCGATGACGTATGAAGGTTGTAAAACAGAGCGTTAATCGTGGCGTCCCGTCTAAGAGCATCTTCTTGCGCCGTCCCAAACTCCATGTCGGGGTGACGACTGTGGTCTGAATAAGTTTCTTTTCGAAGATTTACCAAGTCAACTTCCAAGCCGAAGATCCTGGTAGCAACTGTTTCTAAATGTTTTGATTTCTCTGGATTCGCCTCGATTTTATGTAGGCCCCCAATCACGCTTTTGAGAGCATCGTCGGAATGAAAACTTCTATATTTTTCCAAGTGCTCGGGTATATCAAGGTACTCTTTCAATTCCGCCCCAAATTTGTAGCCAGTCATGGTACTTATGCCCACATCGATATCATGACTATCAACACCGAGCAGCTTGTCTCGAACCCACCCACCCGTGAATCGTAGGACCAAATCATCTGTCATGGGCGGGTGTCCATTGTGCAAGTGTTTTTGCTTTATATATTCCACCACATCCAGCAAAAGATGCCGTAAAGTCTTTTCAATTTCAGTAAGTTCAATGACTGGCGGAAAAGGTGCCGGGATCTTGCATGCTGCTGCCATAACGTCTCTTCTGGCTGAGCTGGCGGGGCTGTAGGAGGTGCGCCGGCGTTTGGCTGGTGGTTCACAAGACTGGGTTCGTCTAGCTGTCGTGAGCATAAGGTGCAAGTTAGAGTGCTGGATCTCTCGTCTGATAGGAATACTGGATACCAGGTGCGTGAAGGCTGTTCTATTTTGCGCACGGGATATAGTCAATGAGACTGAGAACACTGGTGGAAGAGCTCGGAGGGGAAGGCGAGGAGGCATTGACAGCAAATCACAGTGCAACAGCCTACATGGTCAATAGTGTTGGAGTGCAGGTAGGCCGTTGCAAAAGCAGTCAGCTAGATGGTTGTTTGTTGCAGGGTGTTGGGCTGCTGAGAGCAAGTTGACTCACCACTGAAGGCCGCGATGCCTTTTCCTCTCTCTGCCAAACTCCAACAAACAGCTTTCAACATCCCCCAGGCTGTTCCCCTGCGCACCCACGACTCCACGACGGCTCTCTCCACCACATCACCCATGAACTGGCAGACGCAAAGGCTTGCACAATCCTGTGATTTCCAAATCGTCCATGACATCACCAGACGATGTACCGCCCCTCAAGCCGCCCCCGTCATTCTCGCCCGTCACCTCCATCTTACCCTCTAAATCCCGGTATTCAGACAGCATCCAGAGCCCCCAGCCATTCACACATTCCCTGTCAGAATCTGCTTTTGACCACCGCTCACTGCCGGACTTGCAGTCCACAACGTCCCCGGTGACCTCAAGAGCGTCGTCCCCTGACCGTAGGCTATCGCGCTCGGCATTACGTCTCTCTCGCTCAAGCAGCGGTACGCCCACAGGCTCCCATACTGACGGAATTGATGGCATCCGGTCTTTAATAATACGCGCCTTTTCACCTACAATTGGTGTTTGCACTTCCCCGGATACAGATGCTTTAATACAGCGCAAGGGGTTCAAAGGCGGGCTTCTGGAACTATTACGGCCTTTTGGGGAAGAAATACCAGGAAAGGTAGTCATTCGAGATGGAGTTGGATCTAGCCGAAGTTGGGATGACTTTGGTGTGCGGTTCACGGACCTGATAAGTCACGAATCATTGAGCAGGAAGCGGGATGAGATTCATCTAGCTGCTCAATTGGAGCAAATTTTAGAAAAGCACCTAGAAGCTGGAGAACTGCCACTGAGTACTTGGGCTCGTAGCAGTGATCCCATATCGAAAACCTTCACTCCGCCGTCACCGCTTTATAAACTTTTCCTCAGACGCCTCTTATCTTCCTTCCCGGCAGCGCCTCATGAAGCTTTCGAGCACCCCGTGGCATCCGTCATAGCGATCTCCTCGCATACCCCAGCACCACTCGAGTCACTACGGCAACTCTATGCTAGAACTAGCCATGGCGATTGGCGACCTCCGCCCTGGGTATATCCAGAGTACTTGCGATATTATGTCCTGGTTCACGATGAAGACAATGATGACATTAACCAATCGACCGCGTTATTTGATCAAATGAAAAGACATTTTGGGCTTCATTGCCATCTTCTTCGACTACGGAGCCATCAATGTGTAATCACGGATGACGATAGCAGTCCTTTCCCCACGCCTGAATGGCTCAACGCCACGGAGGACCTCGTTTGCATGGGAAAGCAAGGTATATTAACCCCGTGTATTTTGGAAACTTGGGCTAAACGGTGATAGAATCCCTAGTGGACGTTGAAACCGCACCGCTATATGTGTTTGAGTCTGATGTGACCGCCATAAAATCATTTGTTCGCGAACTGGTGGCCCAATCTGTGATTCCTCATATGGAGAATCGGGTTGCTTTGTGGAACGATCAAGTCGCATCGCGAAGGCGCGGGATAAGTGGGCGTTTTATGTCAATATCCAAACGCTGGACTGGCTTTGGTTCAAGTTCTAGGTCATCAGGTTCGCCGTTTGGCGGCGGTTTATCGAATAATTACGATTCATTTCAAGGGTTTTATCAGCCAGATTCTTCTGAAGCTATCCTTCGGAAAATGGCAGATTACTCATTTATGTTGCGGGACTGGAAACTCGCAGCATCTACCTACGATCTGTTGAAGACAGATTTCGGAAACGATAAGGCGTGGAAATATCATGCTGGTGCACATGAAATGTGTGCTTTAGCTTCTCTATTAAACCCCTTGTCATCAGCTAGCAAATCCAAACTTGAGTCTATCGAACAACTTTTGGAAACTGCCTGCTACTCTTACCTCACTAGATCTTCTGACCCTCACAGCACTCTTCGCACTGCCATACTTGGAGCCGAGCTTTTAAAGTCTCGCGGTGGCTTAGCATCTGAAATTGCTGCCAAATGGTCCACCAAAGTGCTCGAAATGGGCATCCTTGGGAATTTTGGACGGCTTCTCCTCTTCGAACGGGTATCTGCTTGTTTCGCTTCTAAAGTTTCCACAAATGGTACGCGATGGGGTACTCGACGAAGAAAAGCAGGAATGTGGTCCTTTTCCGCCGCTGAAGGGTGGTTTAAACTGGGCCAGCCCCAGCTTGCTTCTCACGCCCTGGAAGAGGCCGATCGCCAGTATGGCGATGCGGCAGAAGATGGGGTGTTTTCTCTTCCAGAGATGCAACAGGCTGTTGACAACCTCCGTCTTGCAGTAAAAATGGGATGCCTTGAGGTTCGCGGAATAAATTGTGAGGACCCGGAAACCCTAAAAGGCGTTGATACAGAGGAAACGCAGGTGAAATTGAATTATCGTGGCCATGCTCATCGCAAGTCTATAATGGGTGGTATAAACCCACTCGAAGCCATTCCTCCTCCCTCCCTGCGTCCCCTCCGCTCAGATGACGATGCTGCACGCAATGACGATTTCGAATAACTTTAGGGATTCTTTCGATGTCTCTTTTCTTTCTTCCCTGTCAATATTCGTGGTTTTCCCATATTATAGATGTTCCCGGGGCGTTGATGACTCGGATCATTACATGATATCCATGGCATGTTTAGTCGGTTTTTCATCGTGCCGTAGACTCTGAAATGGATGGCGTATGGTCAATTTGATAGCTTTACTGTCACTTCTACATGCCTTCTAGGCCTGCATACTTCATACCTATTTATCTATATCGACATAACTTTCTACGGGGTCATTATACTCCATAGCTCATTTTCTTTCAGCGGTGCCCGCTAATACCATCTGCCCCCAAAAGTAAAGCACCCAACCTATTCCTCTAGGCAACCAGTCATCGCTCATGCCTCCTGCATTTTGCTTCTTTGTCTTCCCAAATGCATCCTTTGCCACAAAAATATCACTCAGAACAAACATTACAGCTCCCAGAACTCGTTGATGTTGCAATGATGGGGTGGTTGAAATGGCGATTGCCAACATTGAACTGATAATGGTCGCATAGATAGCCACCAGCGGTCGCATGTCGCTTGGAATGGAGAGACTGAGCAGATTGCCACTTGTCAAGCGAGCCGAAGAAGGAGACGTTGACGGGTATATAACACCAAGCCACTTCGAAATCACCATTGTTGCGGCAAATATGGCCAAAAAGGTTGGCCATGCCATCGCTTTTGGCGCATCTCGAACGAATGCCAAAATATAGGATATATGAGCAGCAGCGAAGGCAACCACTCCAAGCTGGAACGAAACCGAGATTTGGTTTTCTGGCGGCTGATCCTTCGAGTTGGCCGGCGTTTGCGACCGTTCGGGCGGATAGTATTCTCGTTTCGAGGGAATCAGGAGTATATCGCCGACCAAAGAACAGACAAGACCACAGGTGATGAGGGTGTGATAGGACGAGGATTCGGCGGAGAAATGGCGCAGCGGCCCGCTTACAAAGGCGATCGAAGAGAGAATCTTGAAGAGGGCATGGCCAGCACGGATAGCTCTGGCTTCAGCAAGGACGAGCAAAGGTAGGGATCCAAGCAGTAGATATACTGAGGAGGCTGGGGGCAGCTGAAAGGACATGATGCACAATGTAGCTGGCGGGGTCGAATTCCGTATTGAAGTCCGTATATTCGTCACGACAACCCTGAGCAGGAAAGTCAACTCACCCGCATCCACACAGACTCGCGGCGTTGGGGATTGCTAAATAATAATAGCAGCATCTTCGGCTAAACACCACCAGCTCAATCACATGCAAGATTGTCTTTAGGTTGGCTAGTACTCCGTAAGGTAGTTACTCGTTAATTAGTTCCTTGGTAGTTAAGCACTGATTAGTGGCCCTGCGGGGTGTTTGTTCATAATGATATCTTCCACTGTTGAGATTTGAAAAAAAATAATGGACTGTGGAGTGCTTTTTCCTACCATAGGGTGTTTGTCCTTGCTCTGTACGGAGTAACTAGTTAATTAACTAACTAACCAGGCAACCTGCAAACTTTCTTATCCTAACAAGGCTTATTCCCGCCTTATCAGCCCAATCTAATCCCTTAATCCCGATAGGCGAGAATTTTGGCTGTAAAGTTGTTTACTTGCTTTGCCAGCCATTAATTAGGAGCTGGGTGAGTTTGGACGCTGTTCGGGAGGCAAAACTGGTCAACGCCCTACTGTTTGCAGGCCCGAAAAACGTGGGGCAGAGATACCCAATTGTCATTGGTATCTAAAGAGTGCAAACCTTTCAGCGAGACTCCTGTATGCTATATACTAGATTATCTTCAGATAGATCAACGCTTAGTTGTTACTCAGGCTTCCTGCGGCTCTTCTTCTCTCAAGTCAGGCAATGAGATCAGAGACAAACACACCAAACAATGCCTAGGCAGCTGAACCTTAAACGCCGAGAGCTGGAAATCTTTAGAATATAGAGTACCTGACGCCATTTAAGACGCTTCAGACGAGAAGGTGGCTACGTGGTTCTATTAGGCGACTACTAGTTACGGGGCATCAAGCTTATAATCAACGAAACGCGCCGTCGACGTGATGAGCGAGCTGCTCAACTTTCTCCTGTCAAATGACGACACGTTCAAAAGGTTCAATATGCTTCTTTAAGCCCTGGATTTAACATGAAGATAGCTAACTTTGCGATAGACGTCTAGGATCCCTCTACTCTGACTTCCCCCTTCAAAATGACCCCGATGGATATGCGATAAATATAGCGGAATGGCAAAAGGCTTTAGCCAAAGCGGCCAAGGTTGGCCTCATCCCAGCGCCCATACGAGGCGGGAAAAAGGACAGCATCCAAACAGGAAGACCGCACCAGAGTAACTTGTTAGTCTTGAGCACAAGTAATGCTTTAAGCACGGCACTGGAAACGCGAGAATGGGGCCGGCCAATTGCTTTACAAACCGTTATTGTAAGTGACGTCAAACTTCTCCGTGTACCTTGACGCTTTGTTTTTGACCTGGCTAGGATGAATCCCTCCGAACTAATAACATGATTCTACTCTCCGAATTTCTATCCTCTCCTACCAGTCCTTTCAAAAAGAGCTGGATTCAGCTGCCTAGTGCTCCTTCTCTGTCTCAAGTGTTTGGATGGGGCATTAAGCAAGCCCGTGGATTAATTCTCGGTGCCGATTACGACCATTCTGGGGCTTCTAAAGCTCTCATAGAACAAGATTTGGTTTTGGTGGAAAATGTTAGGGTGAGGACCATCTTTCTCCATTGCGTTCTTTTCAGTTCATCCTAATTCCCCAGTGCTCTAGGACGCCGAAATGCGACTGATGAAGCATGCTTTAGCTCATCAGAACTTAGCAGTGGATCGTATCTACTCCAAAGAAATGTTCATGGAACAATACAGTCACGTTATGGGAGAAAACAGCGAATTGTCTCCAGTTGATTTCGAGGCACTTCTTGTTTTCTTGGCTCGGGATCAACAAGCTATCTTATATGATGGAGAAGTACGTATGATTCGCCCAGAATTTCTGGAAGGCGTGGCTAACGTTCTAACAGACAATAAAATTTAGAGATACGAGCGATGGATCCAGGTCCATTACCCAAGAGGATCGGACTATAGCATCTCTGAAGACACTAATTTCTAATTTAACCACACAGACCTGGAGCCTGGAAAAAAAGATTGGGGAGCTTACAGCTGCAGCTCAAACTGCCCTCGGTAAAAAAAATAAAATCTTAGCTCTATCAGCACTTCGCTCTAAAAAACTCGCTGAAAGAAACCTAAAGCAGCGGACAGATACTTTATATCAGCTAGAGGAGGTTTACTCAAAAATAGAGCAAGCTGCGGGCCAAGCAGATATAATTCGGGTTATGGAGGGAAGCACGAGTGTCCTTCGTAGCCTGAATGAGCAGGTTGGAGGTGTCGAAAAGGTTGAAGATGTGGTAGAGGAACTGAGGAAAGAGATGGCTAACGTTGACGAAATCGGAAATATCATGAATGAAGCTGCTCCTGCAGTAGACGAAGATGAATTAGACGATGAGCTGGAAGCGATGGAAGTGCAGGAGAGAGAAGAGGAGCAAGAAAAGGAAGCAGAACTTACTCGGCAAAAATTGGCAGAGCTCGACAAGCTGCATGCTCTAACGCCAGAAGAAAGAGCAAATGCCAAGAAGAGGCAATCCGACACAAAGGTATCGTCAAAATCGTCGAATGCGGATCTGGAAGAGAGCATTAACAAGCTTTCCCAGATGTCAATGAGCGACGGCCGCGATGAGAGAAAACTCGCGGCGGAGTGACTCCGCTTTGCTACAATTTCATTCCCCGCATTTTATTTTCTACGGGCCCATCTCGATTATGATGCCGCGAGGTTAAGCAATTCACTTCACCTGAAATTTAAGTCAGGATTCCTATCGGGCAGCCGCATCTTCGACAGCAAGGGGTTGGCTTCCGCATTCAGAGTTGGCATGTTGGTCTGATTTTTTACTCTCAATGGTGCTATCTTGGACCATACTTTTATTCGAACCCTCTTTACCGTCAAAACTCCGACCCCTAGCTTTTGGGAGAGGTTCGCTACGGGTAACCATTGATACTCGGGAATTATCATCATTGCCCGTTGGCAGAATTTCCGAATCTTTGGAACTCGCCCCGGTTTCATGGTGCTTCCGAGCGTTGTCAATGAGTATTTTGAAATCCTCGCCATGGGCGGCTGACCAGGCAGCTCCATCAAAATCCTTTCGCATGATTGTATTTGTTTGGGTACGAAGATGTGACGCTTGGCCTTGACTGCGTTCCCATATTTCCAACTCGCGAAGCAATTCTCGTTTCGATTTTGGGTTTTTTGAGTCGCAATTCGCATTCCACAGATTTAACCATTCTGTGTGTCGCCTTTGAAGAAGTGGTTTAGGCCCCGAGTCAGCTAAGCCCATGTCTCTTAGCTTTTTTCGAAGAACGTTATCCTTCATCATAGAATAGTTTATGGTGGGCAGCCGTTCACAGCGTGGATTAGAGTGGAGAAAACTGCACAATTGTTAGAATGCCGTTGAAAGTGCTCTAGACTGGAGGCATACCTTTTTCTTTGGCCTAGCTCATTCTGCGATGAAGGTCCGGGGCAGTTGTTCAAGTGTGAAAATACAACTACTTCCTTCATTCTGCGATGGCAGATTGGGCAAGCCACAAGCCCGTCGTCTGGCATGTGTTAGAATAACTGGCAATATGGACAATATATAGAACTCATACTTTTCTGGCATTCATCATCTTCACTATCTTCAATAACAACCGTGTCGTCTTGTTGTCTACTTTGCGACGTAGTTCTCCTGAGGCTCCTTCTTGTGCCTTGGGCCACATCTCCCTCAAGCTCTTCTATCCTCCGCTTTTTTGGAGTTATGCCGTCTGGAAACCCCTCCTCAACACTCTTCGATGCATTCCTAGCAAATTCTAGGGTGCCTTTCCTAGCTTTCTTAAACGAATCCACCAGTTCTCCTACAGCCCAGTTCTGTCTTAGTTTCACTTCCTGATCATCAGCTCTGCAGGCGGGACATTTTCCATGCGTGCTGAGGCATCGACGTATACATAAAGAACAGAATGTATGGCAGCATGAAGTGATTACTGGATTCTCAAAGAAATCCTTACACACTTGACAGCGGAGCGCCGATTCAACGAGAGCGAGACTGGAGAGCGGCGTGGAAAGCCAGTCGGAGGAGTCGTGTATATCAAAAGACGCATCCATGAGGTGTAAAATCGGGGCGCCTGAATGCGCAGACTTTCAGGAGACCCGGGAAATGACTCTCTGGGGAAAAGGAGAGCGGAAATGTAGCTCCGTTCGAAACTTTAGATCGAAATGAACGTCGAGCCAGTGCCAAGACATTGACTAACTAACTAACTACCTAATGTAGTGACTGAACGCGTCGAAAGATTTCGACGCGTCTGCCTTATTGAGCTTTCACCCAATAACTTTCTCTCTTCTGACCAAGTTATCCTGACACCAATCACTCTATATACCGCACTCTAATGCCGTCAGATTATAAAACACATTTGGCGCAGAGAGTTCTTGATGGAGAACATGTCAGTATCAGTCGTGAATCTCAGGCTTGGCTTGCTTTGCTCACCGATATTGCAAGGTGACATACCGATCTCTCAGCAGAGACCTGAATGTTCATTGCAGCCATGCAAAGCGGTGTGTCCAATCATAGGAAATATTATAGAAGAGAAAGCATCATGCTAATCCGTTGTAGAATGCTCTATGAGTTTCATCGCCATGAGAATTCGAAAAAGCCGAATTCTGTATATGCTACATATATCTTAACTGGACTACGTCAAAACAAAGGTTCTTCCTCTAATCGAAGAACGGCGCGGAACGGGGACAATGAGATAATTCAAAGCAGCCCCTTTATCAGCAGCCAGCCCGCCATCGAGGAGGACTGTAACCAAATTGAAATACCAGTAACATCGATTCTACTGGCCAATGAAGATGAGTTACAAGGTACGGCTATACCTGCTATTCGGACGCCATTTTCCGTCTGCATTCACTAATTAATCTAAACAGAGGCGAAGGGCAATTTCCAAAGCCTATACTCAATATTTGTGTATAGCGTACAGGCTGCTAAAGTTGATCTAAATACTTTGGCAGATATCACGCAAATTGTATCGAAACAGGACCCGTTGCAGTGCGGCCCCACTCTCGGTATGATACAGAATAAAAATGTAAAGGTACAGTACCTTTCTTTTCTTCGAAATGGTTAAAACCCTACTCACCGTAACATACCTATATAGCGAAGAACGGGTACTGTTCCACCGCCAGCTCAAGTAACTGCACAGACCCCTCCAAAATTTAACAGTCAAAAGCCCACTGTTACAACGCAGGTAGAAAAGGTACAAGAACAAAAACCAGAGTTAAAGACGGAAGGAAGGGCAAAGATCGAGCCACGGCATACTTCTCAGCTCTCAGAATCTCAGAGCTCTGCAAACCAGCCTCCCAGGCCTTCGTCAGTGAAACACGCCGGGTCGGATTTTTTCAAGGCTTTTGGAAAAGCTAGACCAAAAACTATGGGGCCATCGCCGGTGGCTCCCAAAATAGAACCGGTATGTCCTAGCCGATGTTTCTTGACACTGATGCGTGTTCTAATCGGTGGCCAGGCGGAATTGAGCGGAACTGGAGATGGTACGTACTGGCTGTTTGGATTAGTTGACCTTTTGCTTACAGTACAGTTGTTATGGGGGGTGATTCGGACGAAGAAGAGAGCGAGGATTTGTTTCTAGATAGCAAGAAAAGCACTAATGATAATTATGGGCAATTGAAAAAAGAACGAGAGGCAGAACTGAGGAAGATGATGGAAGGTAGGCGAAGGTCCTCGCAACTCGGGGGGAGTTGTCAAGCTAACCTCCCGACAAGATGACGATGATGACGAGATGCCTGACGCTCCGCGAGGAGAAGCGTCAGAGGAGCAAATGAGTATGGAAAAGACAGCGACGGCAGAACGGCCAGCAACAACAGCCGAGCCGGCACCGGCGCCCACGATCACGCACAGCGGGCGGCGGAGAGGAAAGCGCCAGGTGGTCAAAAAGAAAACATTCAAGGATGCAGACGGCTATTTGGTCACGAAGGAGGAAAAAGTGTGGGAATCATTCTCTGAAGACGAGCCTGAACCCCCAAAGAAACGGCCAGCTGTATCCACAGCGGGAAAGCCCAAGGCAACCCCCAAGACCGGGCAGGGGAATTTGATGTCTTTTTTTGGCAAAAAACCCTAGAATCCCGGCCGATCAGGCGTGCAAGCATGGCGTGTTCATGTACGAGTCAAGGGCAGCAGACCAGGCCCGCGCATTGCCAGCCTGGGATCAGGGCTTGCTAGGAGGGATTGGCTTTGCCCAGATATTTAGGAAGTTGACTGCTTTATCTAACTACTAGTTAACTACTAGCTAGTCGGCCAGTATTCCAGGCATCACGGAGTTACCACACCCTAAGCCACGCATAGAGTTACTCCGTAACTACTCCGTAGGTTAGTTAGTTAACTAACTAACTTCCTCATTATCCCGCCACCCGCCAACCACTTCTTTGGTCCGCCTCTGCCGACAACGGAGCCCTGTTGGAGGCGACATATTTCCCCGCCGGCAAATCCTCGCCTGCCGCAGGTAGCCGTTCCATTTCACCGTCGGCGACCCCATCTCAAACCCCATACTCACTACGACCGATCCCGACAGCCACAGATGAGGCCACAACAGCCGCCCCCGCCCCGCTCCGTCCCCAGCGCCTCCTGACAGCCTGAGATCCTTCAAGTCCACACGGACGCCGATCCGTCCTGCTTTTGGAGATGGTGGGCGCTGTTTGGGGTTTGGAGAAGGTGAGCGCTGTTTCGGGGCTGCCGCCACTTCTTATATAAAGGGCTGGTCGAACGGTCTTGAGCAACAACACTGGCCCACCCCTCAAGTGAGCATATTCTAAATCGCCTAGCCATATCTACTGCATTCAACAATGGCTACTCTCCCCGAACCCTTCGCCTCCATTCCCCGCCAGTCCCTCGTTTTCGGGCCCTCGCCCATTCACCTCCTGCCCAACATCACCGCCGACCTCAGCAGCCATGGCAAGGTGCAAATCTATGCCAAACGAGAGGACGTCAGCTCCGGCCTTGCCTATGGTGGCAACAAGACCCGAAAGCTTGAATACTTGGTTGCCGAAGCTCTCGCGCAGAAATGTACCTCCCTCATCAGCATCGGAGGAATCCAGAGCAACCACACGCGCCAGGTCGCTGCTGTTGCTGCGCGAACTGGTCTCCGTGCCCACCTTGTCCAAGAAGAATGGGTGCCCTGGTCGGATCCAGGATACGAGACCGTGGGCAATATCCAACTCTCGCGGCTGATGGGTGCAGACGTGCACATTGAAAAGAAAGCCGGGTTTGGAATTGAGCATAAAAGCTCGTTGAAAGAGCTGATGAAGAAGTGCGAAGAAAGTGGCGAGAAGACATACTATATCCCCGCAGGAGCCTCAGATCACCCATTAGGTGGGTTGGGCTTTGCCCGGTGGGCATTTGAAGTGCGCGAGCAAGAGAGAGAGATGGGAATCAGATTTGACACTATTATTGTCTGTGCTGTGACGGGATCTACCATGGCAGGCATGGTGGCTGGATTCAAACTGCTAGAAAAGATGTATCCCCAAGAGCCAAAGCGCAAGGTCATTGGAATCGATGCCTCCGCAAAACCTGCCGAGACCCGCGCCCAGGTACTCCGTATTGCCAAATTCACCGCAGAAAAGATTGGTATGTCGCAGGATGATATCAGTGAGGCAGATATCATTTTGGATGAGCGATACCATGCAGGAACTTATGGTGTTCCAGATAGATCCACCTGGGATGCTATTGAATATGGAGCAAAGAAAGATGCATTTATTACAGACCCAGTGTATGAAGGTAAGAGTCTGGCAGGAATGGTTGACATGGCGCGCAAGGGAGAGATCACCGGAAATGTACTGTATGCTCATCTCGGTGGACAATTGGCCTTGAACGCATATTCGCAGCTTGGACATGTTCCACAGTGACCGTCTTAGCCATGACGGTCCCCAAAACACTTTTTTTCCTTGCACTGTTCATAAACGATGTACCTACGGCTGCTATGCATGCGAGAATGAAGACAAGGAAAGTAGCAATGCAAACAGCTAAACAAAAACCGAAAGCCAAAAATTGTTGATTCCAGTTCACCTTTCGAGCACTTGATTGAGCACCGTGCGGACCTTGAGGGCTTCAAATGCCTGGTAGCATTGATCCTTTCTCTCCTATGATCTATCCTAGCCATACCAAAACAGTGCTTCATCGCCCTAGTGTCACCCGGGCTACGAAGTCAATTGATAGCAGCCAAAGGGGATATTAACCGTAGCAAGTTAGCTCGTACTAACCGTACTCCGCCAGTGCCGTAAACAAGAAATCCAATATATTTGGGTAACTGTCTCATTTTCGAGCACATGTATAGATAAACTCACAGCATTGATAATTGTATTAAATTCTCTGGGCAAACGATCCCATCTGAAGTCAAGTACACCCGATGTCATATTGGGGTTACGGTGATCTTCGCTCGCCAACGCTGTCAACCGCTCTAACACGGACCCCCGCGCGGCACATCTGCGGCGAAGGATCACGGCGAGCACAGCAAGCCCAAAAAAAACAGGTGCCAGTATACGGAGTATAGTCAACGCCGTGCTAAACAGTCCCCTGCAAGCTTGACGAGCTAACTGTCGATTGCGCGTGGGTTTGGCTTTGCTCGCCGGGCTGCCGAGGACGATCGACGGCGCATGTTGGCATCACAACCCAGCGATCCCTGCGGACGTCTCGCTGCAGCTGACCGCTGTTCGAATATCGATTGAGCCGGCGCGCATGTCAGGTGAAGTGCCTCCGGGAGATCGATCCTGCCATGCTCATTTATAGGCCGTCTGGTCTTTCATCATATGCGCAGCCGCCTTTGCGAATGCCGTCCAACCCATAAACACCATGAAGCTGTTCTCGCGGCAACTCACCCTGCTTGCAGGCACTCTCTGCGCTCTCTGCGCGCACGCGATCGCAAACCGCCAGACGGTATGGGGAGATGAAGCCGAAGATGTCTCGGGTGCTTGCCCGGATTATACTGAATATGCCGCCATGAAGCAGTAAGTGCTCCCCCTCTGGCGCCATGCCTTTTGTTTTCATATCAATTTCTAATTGATCCTCGCCTTTCTAGCCCACCATACAGCGAAGGCCCTTTGAAGCTATCCTTCCAGCGGCCGGTTGAGGCCTGTCGAACGTTTTCTTCACCCTATGTTGAGAAAATAATTCACGACATCACCTCTCGGATGGTTGATAAGGACCTTGCCCGGATATTCGAAAACGCATTTCCCAATACTCTAGATACGACGGTGCGGTGGCATGTCAATGGGAGCCAGCCGGTAAAAAAAAGGAATAGCCATGCCCTGGCTGTTTGGGAGGGACCACAGTCATTCATCGTTACTGGGGATATTAATGCCGAATGGCTTCGCGATTCAACAAATCAACTCGCGCAGTACCAGCAGCTGGCAAAGAAGGACCCTAACATCAAGAATCTTATTATTGGAGCTATAAACACGCAAGCTGAGTTCGTAATTCAGTCGCCGTATTGCAACGCCTTTCAGCCGCCACCTCCTAGCAAGTTGCTTCCGACAAATAATGGCCAGGACGATGTTGTACATCCGGCTTATGAACCTTCAGTTGTATTTGAATGCAAATATGAGCTTGACTCTCTAGCAAACTTCCTATCCCTTGGGAACCAATTCTACACAAACACCGGCTCAGACGCGTTTCTAACCAACAGATGGTATATGGCTCTGGACACGGTGCTTAGCACTATTGATGCGCAGTCCCAGCCCACGTTTGATCCATCTGGGGACTATGTAGTCAACCAGTATACATTTCAGCGGACCACAAAAATTGGCACAGAGACGCTCAATTTACGTGGAATTGGAAATCCACTGAATAACGAAACAGGTCTGGTTCGGAGTGCATTTCGCCCCAGCGACGATGCCTCGATTCTTGGCTTCCTCATCCCTGCAAACGCTATGATGTCCGTTGAATTACGGCGCACTGCAGACATGCTCCAGAAGGCGGGTGGAAAGAAAGAGCTCGTCAATAAGCTCCGCGAAGTCTCGAAGAGGATTGAGCAAGGTGTCTGGGAGCACGGAGTCGTTAAACATAAAACATTCGGGGATGTTTTTGCGTTTGAGGTCGATGGATATGGCTCTTCCATCCTGATGGACGATGCAAACCTTCCGTCTCTACTAGCTCTTCCTTTGCTGGGGTTTGTCAACCAGGATGATAAAGTGTATCAAAACACGCGCAAGATGATTTTGTCCAAAAAAGGAAACCCTTACTACTTAGTTGGCTCTGCGTTTCACGGAATCGGTGGCCCACACAGTACGTATTTCTTACCTGAGTTCATTCCAGACTTGAGCTAATCAAGGACTGCAGTTGGCGTTCAAAATGCATGGCCTATGTCCGTTCTTGTCCGTGCTCGGACCGCAATCAGTGACGATGAGATCCGAGAATCAATCAATATGGTTCGTGATTCTAGTCTGTTGGGACTAATACACGAGACTGTGCATGTAAACCGCATCAGTCAATACACGCGCAGCTGGTTCGCGTGGGCGAACAGCGTTTTTGCGCAGACCATTCTCGACCTTGCAGAGAGGAAGCCTTATCTTCTTTTTGGGAAAGATGCGAAGCCATACCACATCGCAGATCTCCAGCTCTAGACACACGCTGATTCATTGTGTGGCAGTTTCAGATGGGCTAAATTTTTTTTGAATGTCAGGATGGACACCATTCTCGACGCCTAAATTAAGCGTTCAAAATGCGTCTTTCCTTAGTTGAATGCTGGATGGACCCGTATTTCCGCGCATTGTGCTTCAAGATTCCCCTATATGAACTACATCCTTTATGTCTGCTGTAATGAATATATAACCGTCTGTTTGGACGGTATCTTACTTTACTTACTTTTCTGAAATACTTCCATACTATTTAATAAGGGCTCTGGGTACGGAGTACCATGTCGAACAACTCGGCGTGAAGGTCACAGGCATCATTCGGCGGATGTGGATTGAGGCATGTTATATGTAACTTACTAGTTATCTAAAGATATTTAATTAATACCCCTTTGCATAAATTCAACACAATATTTCCAAAGCCTGGCCAAAATCCTTATACTGTAGCTTTCAATTCTGATGATAGTCAACTACTCCGTATTCCGTACGAAGTAGTACTCGAAGCTCAAAATAATTGCCTCGTACTCCAGACTTATGTAAACTTTAAAAAAAAGTTGTTTCCGATGCCAAGACATTGAACACTCAAGTTGAGGTGCAAGTGACAGCGGCCAGTTTCCCGCAACCACCATGGCATCACATAAACGGGCTGATTTCTGGGACGTACCTTCGAGCGAAGAGGATGAAAATGATGCGGGGTACGACTCTGAAGAGGTTGAGAAGTCAAAAGGCAGAAGCAACAAACCCAGAGCCACTGGCGCGTCGTCGGCATTGCGTCGGCCAGCCAAAAGACGAAAACTTTTCACTCGACAAAGTGGGACATTGAGTGATTATCAGGCTGAAAGCTCAGATGATGATGGGGATAAATATGGAGAACCAGACGTCCAAATACAACCTACGCAGCCTGAAGAGCCAACGGAATCAACCAACGAACTAACCCCTCTCACACCTAACTCGGCTACACCAGCTATCTCTACAAAAGATGCACCCTCGATACGTACCCGCAAGGCTAAATCCAAAAAGAACAAAACCGGTGTGGTCTACCTCTCTTCCCTTCCGCCCTATCTGAAACCATCCGCCCTCAAATCGCTTTTGATGGCACGAGGATTTAGTCCTATCACAAAAGTCTTTCTTACTCCTTCCGTGCGCTCTTCTTCCGGTGGCCACGGAAAGCGCAGTAATAAGCGCCGCATGTATTCCGATGGCTGGATAGAATTTGCGTCAAAGCGGACTGCAAAGATTTGCGCCGAGGCCCTCAATGCAACCATCGTCGGTGGGAAGAAGGGCGGGTGGTATCACGACGATGTATGGAACTTGAAATATCTTCGGGGGTTCAAATGGGCGGATCTGATGGAGCAGGTACAGCGGGAGAAACGCGAGGCGGAGGCCCGGCGAATGATGGAAGATTCGAAGGCAAGAAAAGAGGAGAAGGTGTTTCTGGCCGGAGTTGAAAGGGGGAAAATGGTGGAGGGGATTAGGAAGAAAAGAGAGGAAAAGGCGAAGAAAAAGGGCGATGCAGTCACCCCAGCCGTGGACAAGCCGAGGAGGTTATTTCGACAGAACGAAGTTCGAGAGAGAGAGATGGATAGTAGTGGGAAAGAAAGAAGAGTGGATGCTGATGTGCAGAGAGTCCTGTCGAAGATATTTTGAAAATAATCATACTATGAGAATCATTGCACTTTCATAGCCCTTGTCCGTCATGAGTATCAACATTAAATAGCCAGAAGGAAGACGCCACCATGATTTTTGTCAATTCTCCCGCATTGGGAGACCGAGATCAAAACACTAACAGAGTCCCAAATGAGTCCACCACGCCTTATACCCCAAAAGCGCTTATTGATTGTCCTCCATATTGAGCTCCTCAAACTCGTCCAGCAGCTCCTCCATATTAATTTTCGGAATGTCATCATCGTCGCTATCTCCGTCAACATTCATTTCTACCCCATCCATATGATCTGCATGAGTTTTCATCTTCTGCTGAGACTTATACAACGCCAGTGTGCTCCTAAGTTCGGTATCCTCCTCGATATCACGCAGGAACGTCTCGAAGTCCTCTTCCAGACGGTTTGAATTTTGGTGTCTATCTGACGATGGTTCCTCTTCCTCACGATCTAAACGCTTCAGTCGCCAGTTGCGGCTCTTATGCTTCTTCTTCCTTGGATAGTGTTTCTTAACCAGTATAACATCAGGGATTGTAGAACTGTAGGTGTTGTTTTGTTCCAAGGCCTCAAAGTTTTCGTCGTTGAAGTTAGTTCCTGTCAAGTGATATCCCATTACAGAATCACCAGGATGAAGAACACCACCAAGGTGTGTGCGGGTAAAATAGGTAGTATCATTGGCGCCTAGGTCTGATGCTCTGGCAACTGTGGCTTCAGCAAGGTAGAAACGACCGCTTGACTGGCCGATCGGTTCAATATCCATAACGATAAATTCAACGAGGTGTTGGATATCTGCTAAGTTTTTGAACGGTGATCTCCAGTATATTGGTGAAGGGATATCAGCGGTTTGAAGAGTATTAGGGTCGAGAAGGTTAACAGACGTGCCAACTCGATAGCAGAGAGTAAGAGGTGAGATGTTCCCTAGTGACCTAGCAAGTTTTATTGGAAGTGCCACGAGGTCATCTTTGCATATAGGGATCAACTCGACTGAAAATGATATTTTATACGATTTTGTCGACGTATGGATATCCATCGAAATGAGCTGTTGGGATTTCTTTACACGGACAGGGGAAACAGACGAAAGGAAATCCACCAGCTTCTCTGCATGGTTCCTTTGTGAAAAAAAGAAATCCAGGCCATCCTTAACCTCCTTGATATTGATGGTGTCCTTGTGCGCCCCGTGTTTAAGGATGAGCTGTTCCAAATGGAGGAAAGTTCTTTTATGGGGCACCTTTTGCCGAACCTGGACAGAGGCTCGCCATGTATTCGCAGTATAAGATTTGGCACATTCCGGACACTGTTGGGACGCAACGACGTATTCCACCTCAAATGTCTGTTGTAGAATCGTACCCTGGAAAGCTTCCTGCTGAATAGTGATCTTCACTTTAATTCGTTTCGAATGTGGCTCGGTCCAGAGGAAGCTTGCATCAACGATCCGAACCTTCGAAAGACCTCGTAATTTCCGAAGACATAATGCCAACAGCTCTCTAGATTCTAGGGAAGCACTGACCCACTGACTAGGTGGTTGTAGCCATCGCTCGCAGTCCTTGCACATATGTAATGTAGCTTCTCGCTGAATTCCCTGGGATATATCGATGGTGAGCTTGATACAGTCTTCGCATAGCGCGCCCGCAGCGGTTGTTCCATCTATCGGGGCACCGCAGTTGCAGCACAGAATACTATAACAATCGTTAGCCTGTCGAAACCGTCTGATACACATCGGAGGGTATGAAAACGCACGTTGCCGCTTGCTGCTGTGGCTGAAACGACACCTGTTGGAAGGGTGCCGGAGCATCCAAGTCCATCGACATGGTGGCAGCAGGATATCGAGACGAGAGGAGAATAAAACCTAAAGGGATACCCAAAAGCTGTGCTGGTTGATCGAGACGCCGGCGGGGAGTTTTTGTATCGAAATTCTCTTATCGCCATTTGCACTGTTTGCATGCTGAGTCAGCGTTTCTTTGTGCATCCGAAAACGGCAAGTACCTCGCAATTCCACTGAAAAAGCTTTTTAGCCGCCGACGCTCTCTCTTCCCGCTCGTTTCTTTCACCAACAAGCCCTCTTTTTCGCTGACAATGAGTCGCCTCATGCTGCGAGGCATTCAGTGCTACGGCTGCCGCAGCCATGTAATTCAATCTTTTCTCGCAATTGCGGACATTACTTTTCCCGCGCCTTTGTACCACAAACCGTTCGTTCGAACTCAGCCTCAGCACCAGAGCAGCTTCTCGTCGCTACGCAGTCCGCCCGTGCGTGGACAGTCTGCGGCTCATAGCGTTGCCTCCAGGGAGCCGTCGGATGACAATGGCAGCGAGCAACAGCTCGACGCCGCACCGCAGTCAGCAGAGCATGTACCCTGGTATTTAAAAGAAGAAACAGCAGAGGCGCCACCTCACCCCCTGAGGCAGCGCCAGGAGATACCGCCATTGCCAGACAACCCTCCACCGATACTCGAGGGGCTCTTGCAGCACATCTCGATGGACATTGGCCTCGATGATCTTTCATTGCTAGACCTCCGCGGTCGCGAGCCTCCACCAGCGCTTGGAGCAAACTTGGTGATGATCTTTGGAACTGCTCGAAGTATTAAACACCTTAACGTTGCCGCCGATCGCTTATGCCGCTGGTTGAGGAGCACTCATAAGCTCCATCCCACTGCAGATGGCCTCTTGGGTAGAAACGAGCTGAAGATCAAGCTTCGGAGAAAGGCTCGCCGAGCAAAGCTAGCAAGCAATTCGGGAACGCCTTATGAAGACAAGGATGATGGCATCACAACTGGATGGATATGTGTAAATGTCGGTTCTGTTGAAAATGGAAAACAACGTGTTACTACTCAGAAGCGCGATTTCGTGGGATTCGGAAATACCGTGGAAAGCGCCCGCATTGTGGTACAGATCCTGACTGAGGAAAGGAGAGCTGAGCTTGATCTTGAAGGCCTTTGGAGTGGTAATTTTCCTCCGCGCTCTGCCAGCGAAATAAGGGCTTTCGAGCACCAGTTTGAAGCCTTTGCTGAGAAAGTAGCCATTGGCACGTCAAATGGGCCCAACCCCACCTATCGCGAATCCAAGACTGTACACGGAGCTCCACCAGGCACGGACCATGGGCAGAGGAGAGGTATTCACACGAGCCGTTGTGTACAGCAGATCAGTGTTGATGCAACTGTACTTGACCCTGGCCTTGTACCACGACAGGGGGACGATCCTCTGGGCCCTATTCCGACTGGTCCTACCAGATCCTCAAAACCACTATCGCCTGATATTGTCTCATTATTCCAACATTTAGTTAAACTTCCAAGGGACGAAGCACTTCGAGAACTTGGGTCTGGCCCTGAGGATAAGAGTTCTACGCTCTTCCTCCGCCTATTCCACCAAGCTTTATCAAATATCAGTCAAGATTCTAACGACCACATTCTAGCAAAACTAGAATTGTCGCGTCTTGCTGTTAAACTACAACACCCTAAGTATAGCAAGACGAATCTATTCGATGCCTTCAAAGATCTAGCTGCTTCTGGTAGTGACATACCAGAGATAATAGCACTGAAGACAGTGAAAGCTTTACTTTCATTTACTGAAAACGAGAGTGATATGGCTAATGCCGTGAAACGGGTTTCCAGAACTGACATTGACTTCGCGTTGAAAGTCCTCAACCATATGAGCCTACGTGGGATGGACATTTTGAGCCGTGAAGTGTTCTCGATGCTTTATGCGGCTTCTGGTTTCCAGGTTCCGGTGCGCCCCATGAAAGAACACAATAACCCCAACTCTATCGAGGTTGAAACGTCCATACCTGTCACTGCGGAGGAATTTGATGAGGTGCGCCTTGTCCAGGACCGCTTACGCAAAATCATGCACGCTTTCGACGTTAAGTTTGGCCCCGAACAGTTTCTGAGCTTGCTCCGATTCCATTTCCACCATGGTAATTACGATCAGTTCTGGGCAATATGGCGAAAAATGTCTCTGCTTCAGCTCCCCCGGTCAAAAGAGTTTTACGTATTGCTGTTCCGTCTACATGCTGAAAGAGGGCACCAAGCAAAGACATCCGAATGCTTGTCGTCGTGGATCCCAATGATGGCAAGAGAGGAGCCGCCTGTTCGGATAGACGCTGAACTTGCGCGTGTGATCATGGCTTGCTTACTTGTAGCCGATCCGTCCATTAAGACACGAGCCGATTCTGGAGACCGCAGCGAGTATTCAAACCTGTGGAGTCGATGCTGGGAGCTTGTGGCCGCCAGCAAAGCGGCTCAGGCCTGATTGTTTTCTTTCTTATGTTTTGACACCAGCTCCCCTCTGCTCCTATTTCCAGCACTGACGGCGTGACTTCAGTCTTTCTATTACTTTCTTTACTTTCATTTCCTTCCTTCATTTTCATACTACTATGTGAGTTGGGTTAGTTATTAGATTTCGGGGGAGTTTTTCATCCAGAGGACGGCATTGGCGAAACTTCAAATAAATTTGTATGTACAATAGGATCCCTAATATTTACTTTCTTTTCAATCCAGCCTTGACCATGTGCACCATACTTACGCGTAGAAGCGGCCTGCATCACTTGGAGAGCACGAGCTGAGGCAAAAGTTGCGAACTATGCAGGGATTAGAGTTGCCGCGGCTCGCGACAACCACAGATTCTCACCAGCCGCTTCACCTGCTCTTTCAATTCTTCGAGCTCTCGCCCGCCCTTCTGTTGTACAAGCGGAAAAACAACGATGCTGTGTGGTCAAGATGGAGTACATGTCAGCTCTCCAGAATGACATCGATGACTTCAAGCCGTCGCTCTTCGGTAAGACAGTCCTTGTCCCGCTCCATCTCTTCCTACGACACCTGCTGATGCTTCAATCACGTAGAACTCCTCTCTGAGCAGCAGCTCTCTGCTCTGCTTCCTCCTTCTCTCCGCTACCTCCTCGCCGTCGCAACCCACCGCCACCCACGCTACCTCCTCCGCATCCTCAACTCCTTCGACGAAGTCTACGCCGTACTCTCCCTACTCATAGAAAAATACTATCTGCATACTTTCGGTGGCTCGTTCACAGAGCATTTTTACTCTCTAAAGCGGGAGCGCGTTCTCGAAATCAAAAATGGCGAGGTACCGCGGGCGCAACTGGGCGCTGCTGGACCAGTGCGCGAAACACTTCAACTGCGCAACTCGGATATATGGAGAAACCTGATGGTGATGGTTGGTTTGCCATATTTGAAACGAAAGCTGGATGAAGGCTACGACATCCATGCCGCTCCGCAGGCGGCGTTGGCGATGGGTGGTGGACCGAGATATAACCCAGCCGACGACCTGCCACATAACCCAACATTTCGACAGAGATTTCTATTCTATTATAAATGGTTCCTGCGAAATGTGTATCCGTCGATAAATGCGGCGTATTACTTTTCCATCCTAGCCTTTAACCTCGCCTACCTCTTCGACAACACGAAATATCCTTCACCGTTTCTCTGGCTGATTGGAACACGGATCAGGCGTTTAGGCCCTGCGGACCACAAGGCGATCGCGTTGGCAGCTATGGCCAAACCGCCAACTACTTCTCGCTCACGCCCGGGGGCAAGCCGCCTAGGCATGCTCAGTCCGCAGAATCTCTACCCTCATGTCCTAGGTTCTTTGAAATTTTTTCTTCCAGCGTCTATATTTGCTCTTAAGTTTCTAGAATGGTGGCATGCAAGTGATTTCTCGCGGCAGCTAGCCCGCAAAGCGACTGAAGCTCTCGATCTTCCAGCGCCCGTTGTATCAGGCTTGCCACCAGCTCCTCAGCCTAAAGTCACTCTCCCATCTGCTTTAAAACAGCCTAGCCACGGTAAACTTACCGCTCTACCTACCCAGACAGCCCCTACCGCCCCTACCACTACAACCAAGCGTCGCCAACCTCCGATTTCGTCAACGTCCTATCTTCCCATCTTTACCGTTCCTCTTCCACACTCAGACTCTTCTGAAGATACACAGAACATGTGCCCAATTTGCCTCCACGCTCTAGTCAATCCCACCGCATGCCAAACCGGATACGTCTTCTGCTACAGCTGCATATTCCGTTGGTTGAATGGGGAACATGATCGACAGCTTGATTTTATAAATGGCACCGGTGGCGAATGGGACGATGACTCGGATGGTGACGGAGAGGCTATCCAGGAACAGCCTGGCAGTGAAGCAGATGAAGAGAAGAACGCGCAGACCGAGATGCCTGCCAAGAGTAGAACTGGCAAATGGGAGACTGGGAAAGGAAGATGTCCGATTACGGGAAGACGGGTCCTTGGTGGGACAGAGGGGTTGAGGCGGGTACTTATATAGACGCGGCGTTTTTCAAGAGCTCGGGTGAATGTAAAATCAATATCTACGGAGTATGTACTACTGCTTTGTAATGTCACTTGCAATTTGCAATAACCATTGTATGTAAATCTATATACAGGCTGTGTCTGTTATATTCAAATATAGACATGACCAGAAAATATATATATGCGTTTGAACGCATGTCAAGCACAAAAACAAAAAAGCAACTGTTTTCAGACAAATGAAACACAGCCAGTGTATCCTTTGAAAAATATGTAAAATAAACGCCATGTGTCTTTGCTGCAAAGACGTTTCTTGTCGACAACTCCGTCAAAAAAACCCACCATGACTCGGCAATGCAAAGATTAGCCCCATCAAAGTTATCATATACCTAGCCACCACTTTCCTCTCTCATAAACAAAGAAACTAGTGGCCACCATCGGAATCACCTTCATATACCCAATAGTCAATCCAACAAAGAATCCTCTGAAGCCCTTTTCTCTAGCGATCACTTTCGCTGTTTCCAAAATTGTCATGCGGCGGCCGTCTCCTACGGCTCCGGCAACCTGCATTCTTCGCCGTATGACTTCCAGGGGGTACGACGAAGTTTGAGAAACAACGCCGGATAAAGCACCGGAGAATAATTCTGCGGAAGCCTTGAGCTGGACGCGGTGCGACCGAGATTGCTGGTGGCCGGATTCAGTGGGCCGCTCTGAATTGGGAATAGTGGTGTACGGCGCGAGGCTGGGGGAGCGCAGCCAATCGCCAATAGTGTCGTGAGTCAAAAACGACATCCCGGCGTAGGGCAACATCCCCATGAGGGTGGGAGTAAAGCCACGGTAGAAATTCGATATGCTGCCTTTCGAAGGGGCGTGGTGTTTTAGGGCCGAGGCAGCTGTCGATGCGGCAGATGATTCTGCTGCCGTTTTTAACGAGGAAGATGGTGCTCCGCTATTTTCGCGGTATATCTGAGAGCAAATTCTTCTCAAGGACGACTTGGAATGGTGCTTTGTTTCAAACGCCAACCGCACACGAATAAGTTCTAAGGGGTATGTGCAAAATACAGAAGACATGCCCGCTAAACTGCCGCTTATTAATCGACGGAAAGGAGTTTCATGTTGTTTTGTAGGAATTATGATGGCACGAATCTGTTCGTATGCTAGAAACTTAATAGCAGCGTAGGGGAAAATGCGCAGAAGTGTAGCGGAATGGCCCTTGAAAAGGCCCCGTATTCCTTCTTGTTGGTTTATCGTTTTAATCGCCGAGGCGAGGCCAAACCAACTAGTGGAATATTTTGCAAACTGTGGGTTTGAAGCCTGGAAAAGAATTTTTACTCTATCGAGAGGGCCGACAACGGTTTTTGCCTACAGACATGCCAGATCGTATTAGCTATTAAATCACGAAGTCTGGAATCCCCATGAGATCCTTCTTGATGAGACTGCCTGGAGGTTCTGGGCGAGAAAGAGAAAATTGCCTGCGTAAAACACATACCGCGCACCCTGCCAAACCTCCGGCCAGCCCGCTCCGAAGGAGATAGTCCAAGCTCCGCCTATCAACCTCCTTCGAGCGGTTTCCAAGCGGTTTTCTCATAGTTGGCTGCGCCATTGTGCTCTCGGGGGACTGCACAGTAACATTCTGTTCAGCGTTGGCCATCGCCGGACTTGTCATTGCCGGCGTTGAGATGTGCGTAGTCTGCGACACTATCACCGGGCCTCGGGACACCTCCTCCATCAGAACACCGCGGACCGATCTAGTAGAGGCGAGATATGAAATTGAAGAGCCAGGAGTAGAGGACAGCTGGTCTGCATTGTCTGGAGCAACGATGGGTATTCAAGGACTGAGGTTTCGGAGTGCTCCAGCGGCTTACACTGTGTGAGACGCGGCGGCTCTCCCACACAAAAACCGGCCTTAATAAATAAGTTTAGGCGGTTGGTCGCGGGGAACAGGCACGTGAGCATTTCGTCACGCTTAGTCAGCCGAATAATGCCGGCGCATTTTGCCGCAAACGCTCTTATTGGCTAGAGCCTATTTAAGGTTTAGGAGCCGGCACCGAACGCCGAAAGGCACGACACATGATATGGCTGCGCTCAGTCCATCAAAATTTAGAAAAAAGGCGATCAAGATACAGCCTGATGAATTAAGGGAAATATGCAATAGTTATCCGAAACAGTCTATCTCCTATAACCGCCGTGAGCCAAAGAACTCCAATGCCCACAGATCCATTTCTCTCAGACACACAAGCCCGCCAAAGTCGTCAAAAAAACTCCTAAGATGCATGGTTTCGCTATATCTTATGAATCCAAAAGATATCAAAAAGTTTCCAGACTTAAAGTTACTGAACCCAGCCCAGAGTGCGGATGTGTAAATCCACTCATATGGTCCGAGCTTTCAAAATGCTGCGCCAAAGTATGGATAGAAAAAATCCCCATATGCAGTATGTCAAACAACGCGATAAAGAGGCTGGAGAGTGGCCGTTTTGTAATTCCAGTGGCCTATAGAAGCCTCATCCAAATCTATTATGAACCAGAAATAAAATGCAAGTTCGTCAAGTCGTTGAACCACGTCGACGCGCTGTAGAGCACGGGAATCAAAAATTGTACCGAGTGCCTTGCCTGGTAAGGGTCTTTCCTTGGCGGCTAGTTGTTTTTGTTTCAATAGTCTGCTCCGTCGATTTTCGTACTCTCTTTGCCGGACGTTCCGCATCAATATGGAGGTGTCCATTATCTCTCAAAGCTGTTGTGTTCTTCCACCTTAGACAACGATAGCTGTCGCGATCCTCATTGGATTTCGTTCGTGTCGACATTCGAGTTGGAGGCTCTTCGTCGGACTCATCTTTGGACGCACTTCGCGACAAGTACTCCTTTCGGTTAGTCATATGCTTCGCAATATTGTCTTTATTCAGTAGCAGTTCTTTGCGAAGCTTCGTCTCTCGAATGCCCCGGGTATCTAGCCAGCCAATAAGTCGGTCGAGATCCTCAGGGTCGTCATAGTAACCCCATTCATTAGCATTGACCACGCTCGTAGAGCCTTCCTCTATCTTCTTACGATGCGCAACGGTCATTCCAAAATCCTTAACATACGATTTACTTAAGTCGTCTGGAAGATCAATAAAGCCCTCCCGTTCCATTTCGTCGGGGCCCTGAACCCAAATTCTCCCATTGGCGTAAGCGGCAGAGGCTGTTGAACTTGTGGGAAGACCTGCGTATGGCATGCCATTTCTCTCAAACCAGTAATAGCGATTCCAAAATCTATCTTTTCCAAGTAATCGTGTCCTTGGACAATCAGCTTCTCGTAAATCGTTATCAAGCACCGCAATGTCTGACTCGTAAGATTGAACTTTGGCTTTGAGTTCCTCGATCTTTTTAAGTACCCGTTGGTACTGTTTGGACACCTTTGGTACCTTGGCGGCCATTTCTTTGCGAGCTCGTTCCTCTTCTTGTCTTCGTTTACGTTCAAGTTCTCGGTCTGCCCCGCCTCGTAGAGATCGTCCAACACGCGATTCCTCTTCGTCCGAGCCACTAACAGATTCCGAATCATCTTCCGTTCCTGGAGACTTTGCCTCCGCAATCTCTTCGGCCTCTGGAGCGGGCGAAGGGACTTGTTCCGGCTCCAGCTCTTTTCGTTCCTCATGTAGCTTTCGTAATTCTTCGAGACTATACACAAGTCAATATTTGTAATGAAAGAGCTAAGTATCAAGTGTACATACGTTGCTTTCCTGGCCCTTTGTAGTTCAATTTTCTCTTTCCGAAACTCTGTCATTTGGTTGCTGCATTCTTCAAGGTAGTTTTTAATCGCTTTTGTTTCTAATGTAAGCATGCAGATTATCTGCAGTGCTTGTACACGGAGGTTAATATCGAGGGTAGCGTATTGTGAGTGAGCTGTTTCTTGTGTTGGCTCAGCATCAACAGGGGCGAGGTGGGTTAGGATCTCATCGCAAATTTTCTGCAGTCTTGGCCGGCCAGACAACTGATGAAGGAGGCCGATCATAACAAGCTCCCACCCACCGCTCTTGAAGTCACGTCTTCGTAACCGATCAATCCATCCATACTCTCCAAACATTTCGGCAGCTCGATGCAGTTTAGCGTCAGCGGTGGTAGCCTGGCCGGATAGCTTTCTTTGCGAATCAAGAATTTCGGCCTTCGCTAAACTACTTCGAGTGGTTCTCCGTGTTGGTTCTGGCTCTGGCTCAGGTTCTGACTCCTCCGACTCTTTATCGGAATCTTCCTCAGGAGCTACCGGCAAAGCTATTTGAACTGCCCCTTCTTGATTCCTGTCAGAGTTCACAAGAGTCTTCAGAACCGCGCAGTGAATTTCCACGAAAAGTTCACAGTTGACTTCATCCGAAGAGAAACGCATAGCCTCGACAAAGTCATCAAAAGTAAAGGAGTCCAGTTGGAATACTTCACAATAAACATTCAAAGTATTCCATGTTTCCAACACAGCCCCAACGGATTCTTTCCTAAGGCCAAGGTCCAGCTGCTCTGCAAATTCATCATTTACCAAAAAGTGGAGGCTAGGACGGGATTCGTTGTCAGCGGTAGGAGGTATGTCAAGATCCTCAATAGGATACTTGATGGGTGGTGGCGGAGGGGGAGGAGGGGTGGTAGGAATGCTTTTGGTTTTGATCAAGACAGCAACATCGGAAGCAAAATTCAAAGGAATATCGGAAGGAGGCAGTGGTGGTTTAGAATGGCCATTTTTGGGTAATCGAAACGAAGGATTTCCATTTAGTGATCGTCTATAAGCCTCATATTGCTCCTCTTTTGCTTTCGCCAGTTCCTGGGGGGTTTTGGCTTTTTGCCCCTTGCTGGCGGGTTTTAGCTGTGGGCGTTGAGATGCGAAGAACCCAAACAATTTTTCGTCCTCTTGCTTATCTGCAGACACCTTTGCTTTCTTTCCGGCTTTGTTCCCATATCGAAGATGCTGTGGAACCTCAGTGTCGATTCCATAGAAGTCAGCAAAATGCGGTTTCACCAGCCAAGGTGCACCGTTCCACGATTCTCTTGACACAGTATTCTTGATGAATGACCTGAGCATTTGCTTGGTGAATATCTTTCTATCGCGCGCCAAATGCTCGTCATCAACTAATGCTTCCTCATTCTGGCGACTGGTAAGCTTCACGAGATAGCGAGATGATGCCCTTCGCTCTACAGTTCCGTCTGATCTGCGAAGTTCTGGAAATCTAGCCTTTTCCCGAACTATCCCTTGTAAACGGGAGCCATTGGTTAGTAGAACGGTGACCCGCTCGCCGGGATAAAAGTCTTGTTTGAAATCCTAAGTTCGGTGAGCTCTAAGTCTCCTCTGTAATTATAGCCACAGAAAGGGCATAGATACCTCATAAACCTGATCCACTGTAAAAAATGAATATTAGTTAGGAGTTTTTAGTTTGACCTTGGTGAATACATACCAAGACTATCCAATCTAGAAACAGTTGAAAATTGGACCTTGCGCAAAACGGGGTCTTTCAGAGCATCAGGGAAAGAGTTGTCGACTTCTCTTGAGCCTTCAGCCTAACAAAACAGTCAACTCTGGCCATCCCAGGGGAATTACCACCACGCACTTCGCTTCTGAGAGCTTCAAAAAAAGTAAGGGATGAGTGGCCGGTGATTTCACAGATGAACCGTTTCTATTTATTGAGTTAGTATCGGACTTATCTAATGCGACCAATCTATAGCCAATTCGGACGCAGGAGCAACGACGGTAGACAGCCAAGAGGGGGAATGAAAGAACCACGGATGCAATACCTGTTTGTAGAAGTTCATTCTACCAGGGGGTCAATAATGTTCATCAACAGTCTTGCGGAGGCAAACGACGGCTCACCTTTGCAAAAACGGCTCATAGTTAAGAAACACCTCGTTGGTCTCTGGAATGACCCAAATCTAGGTTGTGTCAGGCACAAAGACATATAGTGGCTAGATAGACCATACCTCGGAGCTCTCATCCTCAATTGTGGGTCGTGGGAGATATTGCACCGGTTTGCGCTTGAACAATACCTGGGTTGCGGCTGCATGTTAACAGTATTGCGACGCACCGGGTTCTTTGTGGTATACGGCACCATTGTAGGATAAGTCTTGGACAGAGAAAGGCTAGGTCACAGGCAGTGCGCGGGTAAGGCCAATGAGCTGGTACGGGCTGCGCGGTGGTGAACACAGGGAGCACGGTCAGGCAACTAGAAAAGCAGTGAGCTATAGCTTGTTCACCTAATGGGAGAGCCTTTTTTTTTCGCGTTGACGAGCTGATGAGCTCGGGCTAGGGGCGGCGAGACGCGTGGCTGGGCCAGGCGGGCGCGGGAGCTAGGGAGGGCAACAGTGGGCTTACCGTGCAGGCAGGACATTACGCGTAGATGGGCGGGCTTAGTAGGTGAAGATAGGGCAGCGGAGTCGAGGGCAGATGGGCAGCGGAGCACGCGGATGGCGGTGGTGGTCGTGGTGGGTGGGCGAGGGAGGAGGTCGAGCGAAAACACAATTTGGGCGAGTGAGAAGATTCAGAACGGCCGGGCATCGACGAATCGGGAATGGGGGGGCTTTGGTTCCTGATGCGGATTAGCTGCCCGCGCTTGTACCGGCGGGTACGGTAACTAACCAGCGCCCTACCTAGTTACCTAGTGGGTTCTGCGCTGCCCGCGCGCCGGCCGGGCGACGCGGGGCGCGGGCGCGGCCTGCCAGCCCGGAGCGCATATGGGCCGGACGACAGGCAGCCGGTTTGTGACGGATGTGCCGTGCTGTGCAAGCCGAGCTCGACACACAGGTGTCGCGGCAACAGCCTCGTCGGCCGGGGAGGGGAGGCTGGTGACGTCTGGTCGAGAGCTCCAGTGTGTATGTACGGTAATGGCGGGTACCGTGGCCTCGCTAGTGTGCCGCGCGGGACGTGTGGTGGTCGACACAGGCAATAATCCGGGCAAACAGCGCGCCGACCACCACAGTCACATCACCGCCAACCAACAACCAAAACAACAAACACCTCCCTACGCGTCCAGGCCAACTCAATCGCTCCCTAGCCCGCCGCCCACCGCCAGCCGCTCCCGCTGCCTGCAGGTCTGTCGCTGGCCCTGCTGCTGTGCTGCCGCCCCGAGCCAGCCCCCAACGCAATGGCCCTGCCAAGCCCCTAGCCGGTCGGCCCCGGCGAGCCCTCGACTCGACTCTGCCCGGCGCTGCCCCTACCAGCCTGTCCGCGCCAGCAGCCCGTCTTCCCCTACCCGCCGTGCCTCCGCCACTCCACGCGCTCCCGCCGTATAAGTACTTGTTCTGCGCAGAATTCGCTGCTCTTTCTGCCTGTATACTACTTCCGCTACATTTCCTTCTGGTTGCCTATATTTCTTCCGTCTATCCCAGCCTGCCTGGCCCCTGCCTCGACACACGCTGCTGCCTCTCTCTCGCTCAGCGAAGGGCTTAGCATCGGGGCCCGAAAGCTGTCCATCCGCCAACTCCGCTTTTCCGTCGCTCCCGTTTCCCGTGGCCATCTTCAGCCTGCCCGGATGCTCAAATCTAACTTTGCTGTTTTACCCGTCCCTAGTCGTCTTGTTACCCTTCTAGAACAAAATCAGTTTCGATAGAATCGAACGCCCCTGCATCTCTCCCTACGTTTCAGGACTCTGAACCGGTTTTTTTCTTCCTTTCACGAGAATCTCTTAGTTGGTTGCGCAACATCTACTACCCTTCGTTTTTGTCGCGTCATCGAGCTTCCTGTTACATTCACTAGATATGCATCTTCAGGCCACTCTTCCCAAGAAGCCAAGTCATGATGGTCACAAACATTGAATTTGATATAAAAAAGGGAGCTTTTCAAGTCTCAGATCTCAAGATCTTCTAGGACTTTCAATTTTAGAGCCCTTGGCTTCCGAAAACAACATGTGGTGAGACAATCTTCAAGGCTGCGGCTAGGATCGACAACATCTAACCAACCTAACCCCTCAAGTCCAAAAACACCTTCAAAAATATCTAGAAGGGTTTATTGGCAAAGGAGCTTGATCATTGAGAAAGGGCCTAGTAGCCAACCTCACGCCTAAGAAAGATATCGTTATATATCTTGAACATTCTGTGTCACAGCCCCTAAAATCTCTGGAAGTTCCCCATTGTTTGAATTGCTACCCCCTCAGAAGTTTAAAATCAATCATGCCATTTTTACAGCAACTCATATGTATACATTTCTACTGCAAGGATTATTAATACACCCATAGATGGCTCAAGCTGTGAAATAAACTACCATAAATCCAACCCAACTCCCTAGCACTCCAAGTGCTGCGTATGAGCTGGTAAACATCAGTGGTAGGAACTCCATCCTGGTCCCAAAAACCCATCCATGTACAAGAGAGCAGTATAAAACTAAGGGGATCGACACTGAATCGTACAGCAAAGAAAACCTATCAAGGAGGAATACCCTCGGGCGAGCCGGCACAGGGGCCAGGCGCTCGAAGGTAAACAAAAACAATACAAGCCAAAAGACAGTGTACACTGTCTTGATCGGAAATTCTGCCACCGTGAAAATGAGTGGGAACAACGAGACATGCCCCGCGACGGCGAGTGGGCGGAAGGCTCCAAGATAGCGAAGATCTTTGAGTGCCAAAAGGCTGAACGGCAGAATGACAAGTAGGATCGCCTTCTCATGAACATGCCATCCGAAAAGGAAGGCAGCGTAGGCGCAAAGGGTGATAGAGCCTACAAAATTTTCCCAGGTTGGGTAGAACCATAGTTTAAGAAGGGGAACCTATAATAATCCTGTAAGCTTACAGCTGGAACAATTTTCCTCTCTCTTTCCTCCTAATAAATTGAACACTCGACGGGCATCGTACCAACTGAAAAAATAAGGTGAGGGCGAATGTGTGTTCCTTTTTGATCTCCGGCAGAATAGCAAATGACGTGTCTCCAACTAGCCCTCTTGTTACACTCACGAGAGCGTCGGAATTAAGAGGAATGCCTATACGAGGCGCAACTGACCCAAACATATCAATAGCTACGCCATACTATAACAAGAATGAGAACTTACCAGGAATAAGAAGTCGGTCAATAAACGAATACATAGCCCAGATATTTGGAGCCCAGTATGCATGGCACAGTCCTCTCGAGAATGGGAATAGTCTTTCTTTAATCTGGTTCAATTGGCCCATGTATGCAAAGGGTCCGAATGCCACTGCAAAGATGACAGTGACGGCGAGACCAAGTTTGACAATATTGCCAAATCGCGGGCGGAATACGGCTGTTGGGTCGAGGCAGTAAGCTCTGAGGAGATACACAAAGTATGCCAGCGAAAGATAAAGGTATATGTGCTTCAGGCACAGCAGAATCGCAAAAGCTATACCGCTGTAAAGGAGTGTGGACTGCTTCTGAGCAAACACGATGGACAAAATGAGAAATCCATACAAGAATCCGTTGTATTGAAAGTGGATGTGGTCAATAATCAACAAACCTGGCGAAAGGAGGATGGAGAGACTGGCTGCATGGGCCAGGTGTTTGTTGGAGCTGGGAACCGACTTGATATACCTGGATCGCGTTGGTTTAGCCACTACGACCTTATAAACTTAGAACGAACAAAATAAAAAACGGACCAGTTCAGGGCATAGACCAAAACGAGTTCCAATACAATCACGGAGCTTCGTTGGAAATATATTGCCTGCCAGGAATCATAGTTGAGGTTGTTGACAATCAACATTGGCGGGTCGACATAAAATGCCACTTTTGATAGCAGCCACTCGAGGCCAGCAAAAAAAGGTGGGTAATCCAGAGTCCATTCTGAGGTTTTCTGTCCTGAACATCAGTTTCCCTCTTGTTTCGAAGTCTTGGGCCAACTTGCGTACTTCGTAATACCACTCTTTGACAGGTAACGAGTGAGTAATGGCAAGCCAATTACGGTGTACCTCAAAATCAGTGGACTTGCTAGAAGAAGTGAGTAAATTTAGCTACTCGGTGAGGCTTCTCATCCCTTGTATACATACTATGCTGGGAAAAGGAGAATCTTAAATGCCGCAGCCACAAGGGCGCATTGAGTTAAAGAAGGGTATAATTCGGCCATTGAACATGGTTGAAAGCAGGCCCGAGTAAAACAGCAAGGGTTCTAGGGCGCAAGGCGAACAGAGAGCCGTTCCGACAGCGTCCAGCAACGCTGGATGGATGCGAAGCGTTGTGACGGGTTGTTGACCAAAAATACCACGTAAGGAATGGAGTACTGTAAGCGCCTTACCATACCACGTGACAGGTTTCATGCAGAGCACCAGCCACAGTTTAGCATGTTTGATGTGGCTGAAGCTGCGGGAGAGGACAAACTGGCACTTCAATATCAGGCGAAACGGGCGCCAACACTCCAAGAAACAGCAGCCACAGCAGCAGTAGCAGCAGAAAGGGGAGCTTGTTCCTTTGTGTGCTTTTATGCGCTCTGCTTCTGATGCTACCAGCTGATTGTAAGTTCCTTGCAGTCTGCCATAAGCACACAAATATACATATACTGCAGTCCGTTGTGTGATTATTACAGTAACCATCAAAGCTCGGCGTATCTCAACCCTTTCACTTGTGCAGGCAAATTCCCTAGAAAATATTTCTTCCTCAACTGTTCATCATATTCTCTCGATATAAAGAGCTGTGTATTGTTTCCATATAATGACCTGTCTGCTCTTGCCGACCCCTTGACACGTTCGTTTGGAAGCTATTTCAACAAGGCGGCATTCTAACAGCCACCATATCAGATAAATTCGCGGCATTGCGCTTTTCTTCTCTCTTTTTCCCAAGATGATTTTTCCTGCTAGCATTGGCCGCCTTTTGGCCTTGTCTACTTCTCTATTTGCATTTTCTCAGGCTGATACTCTGGTGGAACGGATAAGTTTTGGCACTGGGAAAAGGTATTTGACATTGAGAAACAAAGTGATAGATTATATACTGACTTTCTTCTAGTCTTTCTTCGGATAAGTCCTCGTTGCCAGGATGGCAGGTCTCGGGGCAAAATTTTATCCCCGAAGTGGTAAGTCTTTGCCCTCCCGGCTGAGCAGCTAGAGCTAAAGATGTAATAATTATGGTAGATGTCGGATAGAATAATACTAACACCACCGTATCCTGGCAACAAAAGAGGTGCTATTTGGGGTCTTGAGCCGTGAGTTGGATTTTGTCTCACCTGTGGTTTCTTGTCACTGATATATATAGCCTTCATGAGTATGAATGGACTGTCGATTTTGAGTTCAGAGTCAACGGAGACGAACGGGCTGGGGGAAACATCCAGCTCTGGTATGTGAAAGATGGGAAATCAAAGGTGGGGACGCGTGATATCTATAGTATCCAGCGATTTGATGGCATGGCTATCACAATTGATAGTTCTCAGGGGGTGAGTTCAAGTCCTTCCCCGAAAGCGCATTAACAGCCTCCTTACATGTATCAAAGAGAGGCATGATTCGCGGCTTTTTGAACGATGGCTCCATCGATTTTCACAGCCACAGTCTTGACAACTTGGCCTTCGGGCATTGCGAATACAGATATCGCAACCTTGGCAGGCCTTCCCACCTCAAAATCAAACAGACTATGTTCTCGTTCGATGTCTCAGTGGATGGAAGAACCTGCTTTCAGACCTCTAAGGTGCGAATGCCTCTCACTGCAATGGTGGCTTTTGGTGTTGACTCTTCCTCAGGTTTCCCTTCCCAGTGGGAATGACTTCGGTATCAGCGCATCTTCTACCGATAACCCTGACTCTTTCGAGGCTTTCAGATTCCTCCTTTCTATCCCGCAAAACCACCACAGCGGTAACACTCGGGAGCATAGACCGCCCCCTCAGAACAATCCTGCCCAGGGACATGTTACCAAAGCGCAGGTGCCTCATGATGGCCTTGCCGACATTCATGCTCAAATGAAAGATATTCAGACTCGCCTTCAAAGTCTGACTGGCACAGCAGAGAAACTATTACATGATTTCGCTTCTCTGTCTCAAAAATTCGATGACCGCAACCACGAGCTCACCCGTAGCTCCGCGCATCGCGACCAAGTCAGCAGTGTAGATCAGAGAGTTATGAGGGTGGAGAGAATGATTGAACACATTCAGAAGGATCTCGCGGGCAAGGATTATCAACACCATTTCAACAAATTGGAGGAAGCTTTACATCATTCACACTCCGGCGTCATCCAGAACCTGCATGACTCTTCTCATCGTAAGTTGATATATTTAAAGAGGAAGATACAATGCTAATTTACCTTCTCTAGGTATCCTCTCATCTGCGCCTCGTATGGGATTCTTTATTTTCTTGCTCGTGGCCATACAACTTACACTCGCCGGCGCATATGTGATCTATAAGAAACGCCGCTCTGCTATGCCCAAGAAATTCTTGTGAGAAAGAAAGAGCAAAAATAAACCCTGCGTGGCCTTCGTCATTCCTCCTCTCTTCCCCCGTTTTCTGAATTTCGTACTTCTGTAAAGGTAATAGAATGCCGGACTTTTCAATTTGTTATACATCATTCTTTGGCTTGTCGGCGAATGCAATGTAACTACTCCCCAGGTCGTTCTAAATCCAGCAAACATCTTCTGTAATATACTCGTTTCATACTGGGCGTCGGCAATCAATTTACGCGTTACAAATAACTCGCGAATGCTAGAACTTAGTATTTGACTGGAATTTCTTTCAAATCTGAAGATTAAACAATCGATATCTATACAGAGCCACTTGCAACGCCCAACTCCCTTGCTTGACGAACATGCCGCTCTTCCACCCGTTCCTTGTGCTGCCTGTTTTTAAGATGAACTTCAAAATTATCAACTGTCAAAGCAGGACCGGGAGTGTACAGCTTTCCAGGGCAGTCGTGGCATCGAATTCTTGGAAAATATTTGTAAATTAGCTTCTGGCCCGGATGGGTTGTTGCTGCATTTGGTAAAGGAAGGTTGCTTTGAGGGTCGACGGCTGTGTAACGCATAGTGCCCTCGAAGGAGTCGCGAGGGTAATTTCGTTTAAGGTTGTTGAGGCCACGGATAAGCCATGGAGGCGGCGGAGGCTAGAAATGGTGGGTTAGTTAACGTTGTCGAGTATTCGAAGCCCGGGAATTTAAAAATATCTTACACCAGGGACACCAGGCTGAGGAGGGTGCGGAGCATCAACAACCCCATTTAACTGAGACGGTGTTGGACGTTTGGGGGTGGCCCCTGGTTGAGCCGTTGGCGGGCCCATAGGGGCTCGGGGAGTGGGAATTGCAGGGCGGACTGGGGTTGTTACTGCTGGAGCCGCTGGTGAGCCAGTATATCCGGCTTGTCTTGCCGTTAAATTTTTAAGAAACTGGCGGAGTTTGAGTGGATTGATTTTAAGTCTAATGATGAGTTTCTCGGGGGATTCGGAGCTTTCCTCACGATAGTCTCTTCTTCTTGCCGCTACCCTAGATTCATGAAGTGATGATGTTTCAGGTGTAGCAGAACGAGCAAGATGATTACGCATAGCTGTCTGGGCAATCGCTGAAGCTGTTCGTAAATTCCGGGTCCTTGCGGTGCCTTGAGCTAGCTGGGACAAAGCAGGAGAACCTGCGGAAGACTCGTCGCTTTCAGACTCATCAGACTCATCTAAGCCATCACGCTGGGCGTTAGCACGACGGCTTCGACTGGTGCCGGAGCGTTTAAAGAGGCGGCTGTCTTCTATCGACAGCGCGGCTCCAGGTATAACGGATGATACAATCATCGTTCGAATTGTGCGTTGTCGGTCCTTGAGATCAGGGAGAGCAGGTCCACCACGACGATTAACAGATCGTTTTTGCCGCCTTTGATCACGAGAAATCGACATCTCTGTTTTATCAAGACTAGCTTCGCTGAGTTCGTACAGGTACGGGGCATATTCCTTGGCGGACTGGAATGAGCGAAAGACATGGTCAAGGGGCGATGGCAATAGCGATTCTTTGAGATCCGGTTCCTCAATGGGTCGTCCGTCGAATGGATGTGATATAATATACAAGCTTCGTGTAAAGAGCTGACTTTGTTCTCGGATAGAATGGGCAATGGCAGTCACAAATTCTCCAGGAAAGGCAAGATCCCTCGCCATTTGGGCTGCAAACTCCTCCGGTGAGTTGTATGGATTGTTGATATCCCATTCGAATTGATCTACCAAAGTATGTTGTCCAATGGTTATATTAAGCTTGATCGAAACACGCATTTCGTCGTTTTTATACGCGAAGTAGGGAAGATGGGGGTCTAAAGGCTCCTCCTCAATGAATACATGAGGGTGATAATCGGTTATCTGATCCTGGATGCTTTGCGCAATTTGTCGCACAAGGGAGCCGCAAGTCTCAAGTGGAAGGCCAAAATCTTCAACTAATTTTTCAGCAAAGACTTCGGGTGAGGTTAGGCGATCGTGGAGATTCCAGGTAAAGGTATCCCGGATTTTAACTTTATCCCAATCAATGTCCAGACGAATTGGAACTAAATCTTCGGCTTGGTCGGCCTGCGCTTCCATTTCCTTCCGCGAAACTCGAATATCACGGGACTTCCTCCCCCCTGGCTTTCTCCTGTTAGATGGATATAAGAGTTGCGGATGTTGTGATTTTATATCGGTTCTTGCGTTACCAAAACCTTCATAGCCCGTTCCAAAAAGAGCTGCTGGGTTCATTTGGCGCTCATGCTGCAACTGTAGGTAATAGTCGCGCTCGGCCCGTTTCTCCTGTAGAATATCCCTACGAGAGGCTTTTCCAGCCGCGAGGGCAGTGTGGAGCCATTCACGGTGAAGGTATTGCTCCAGCAAGACTTTTTCCAACGGCGTCTCACGAGGTCCAGCAACAAGCTCTACGGGCGGTGATGTTGATCGCTTTAACGAACCGGTCCTAGAGCGTTTACGAGGTAGCAACGGTCCATCGGAAGGGTCATCTTCTGTTTCGGCGGATGCTGTTTGAGGTTCCTCTTCCTCATTGTGCGCTTCAACAGCAGAAAGAGAGGATTCTAGCTTTTCTTTTCCATCTGAGGGAAGTCCTGGAGTGTTGCTGCCGGATCGCCTCTCTCCATGCTCCACTTCAAGGTTCCCACCACTGAAGGACTCTATATCTAGTTCTTCTGCCATGCCGTCCGATAAGCGCCGAGGTGGGGAATGGTGACTTTCCGCCAAAGCATTGGGAGAAGCCATCGATACGGGGTTATAGTTTGTACTTGATTGAGCTGTGTTGTATAAGCTTGATTTGCAGGGTCACAGTTCAGATAAAAGAAATACAGGCATAGCATGGACCTAGAGTACAGATGCATCTCATCAGCTTATGCACACATTCCAGATCAATTTGAACCTGGACGCGTGCCCCCCAAATGACAGTGCCGTCCACAACACACCAGAGTCCCATCAGTCGTCACCTCAGGTGTGCATGAGTTGTGAACAATGGGACAACGGAGCAGAACAATGAACAAACAATAGAATTCACTTACCTCGTTCTGCGACAGACGCGATGCTGCCTTGGATCGGCTGTCTGGGCTGGACCCAAACAGAAAGAAGCTGTTTGCCGCGTGGCAGCTGGGGACTCGGCGCCACTTTTCTGCCAGATACTTATTGCAAGGTGCCGGCTGCTGGCTGCCGTAACGAGCGTGTACCAGAAAGGCTCAGGTCAACCCTGGCCCGTAGATCGTCAGTCAGTTGCTTGATGGACAATCCCGCCGCTGGTCCTGCTCGCGAGCCTCCAAGTCTTTGCGGTTTCAGGGAGAAATGGCTGACTCAGCGGCATCAGATCACGTGGTAGATGTTCGTCGAGTGGCTACTCTGTACGAAGTACTTATGGAACTGAATTACGAGAATACAAAGTCGAATTCCATATCAATCGGTTGTTCTGGCTATTACAGGTACTACGGCGGTGTAGCTCAAGCTTCGCGCTCAGAACGGAGTACATACATAATATCTCGTCGCGTTTCAGCCTGAGAATTGTGGGCCAGCAAAGAAAAAAAAGCAAACATCGCGATAGTCACGTGGAATGGGACTGAGTCGAAGAAATTTATCAAGCCCAGTACTTCGTCCTGCCTGGTGATCCTGAAGAATTTACTTCAAGATACCATCTGCAACAACCAAGCGGTGGTCGGAGCTGATGAGACCGTCGTCGAATTTGTTTGGAAGGACGCCATACGCTTCCATAGTCCACGGAGTCCCACCCTTGTTTCGCGGCCCGACCAGAATGTAATCAATGCGACTGGGCTTTTCTTCATCTCCAAACCCAGTGTAAGTGATTTCGTTCCCATAGTGGAAGTAGTGCTCAACCTGCTCTCGAGTGTCCACGAATGGAGAAGTCGTGCCCACGAGTGTCTGATATGCTTCCTGGTTAACCTCGCTGTTGAAGTCGCCCGCGAGGAAAACACCGGAAATCCTGTCCTTGCATTCGCCGGTGAGGTATTCGTCGACTTTTTTCAGAATAAGCTTGGCAGACTCCCTGCGCGAAGTGGAACCCTGGTCGTCGAGATGAGTGCACATGGCGAGGACCCCTTTTCGACTTTGGCGATGGCGGAAGACACCGATGGTGACGATACGAATGGATGCGGCGTCCCAGCCCTTGGACGGCACTTTGGGAGTCTCTGACAACCAGACAGTTTCCCATTTTTCCAGCTCCCAGACCGTTGGACGGTAGAAAATTGGAGAATATTCCCCGGCCCTCTTTCCATCGTCTCTCCCCACCCCGATAAATGCCCATGTTCCACCACGCATTCTCAACCCGGCGTCGATATCATCGAGCTGGCCGTGCAGGACCTCTTGGAGACAAATGAAGCTCTCCGGGTTGTACAGTGTCTCGACGTGAAAGAGGTTGATGATGGGAACGCGGCGCAACTGCCACGGCCTCTCACCCTGAAAAACACCGCTGCTGGCATAGCGGATATTGTGCGTAAGAACGCGAATGGGCAACGGTGGATGTTCCTTCATGGTCAAGTGCGGCGGGGAGACTTTGGGCAGTTGAGGTTGCGCCGCAATGTGAGAGAGGAGAAAGTGACAGACGAGGAGAAACGTAAGTGAGGCCCACATGTTTGCTCTTGGAGACACAGTGCTGTGTTTCTCCCCGCCTGCTGAGCGTGTGTTGCTGCAATAATAATACTTCTCTGGCCATCATGTGATGGCTAGATATGCAGGGCTCATGCTGGCTACCTCACCTTAGCATGCGATGATCTGCCTTCCTCCTACTGCTCCTGACGTTCCTACTGTTGCTGGTGAGAGAGCGCGTCGTGGGATGTAGAATAAGCACGTGGCTGTAATTCAAGTAGTTATGTCATGCGAGAGTTTCTTAGTGCATACCTAGCTACTAGTTTACTTGAGTTACTTCGCCCACCGCTAGTCCGGCGCCTTCTGTGCAGCTCGCGAATTGCTGTGGCTGATTCCCCCTCCCCCACTTCCCATACACACACAACCCAGCCCACTTCTCCAGGGCTCTCAAAAAGCGCACACGACCGCCAATCGCCTTGTGCCTACTTTGATCTATCCATTGTCCGCTGCTAGAGCTTTGGCGAAGCACCCCGCCATCGCTGCCCTCCGTTCAAAATGGCCGAATCCACTGAAATCGGTACGTTCGCTCCTCCAAGCGACCCGCTTTGAGAGCGCCCTGACCTGGTGTTTGTCGTCGATTACCTATTTTGGGCTACCTACCAGGAGCTGTACTTTGCTGAGCTGTCTGCTCCAAGGTCAAAATATACTACAGCGCTGGTATTTATGACGAATATGGGCTGACACACGACACCACAGACTACACTCTCAACAACCCAGATACCCTCACCAAGTACAAGACTGCCGCCCAGATCTCTCACAAAGTCCTCGAGGCTGTCACAGGTTCTGCTCTCCCTAGTGTAACGCTCCGAAGACGGCTTGCCGCCTAATCGTGAGGGCCTTAAAAATCGGAACCTAGCTGACTCCGGGCATTAGGATGGTGTGTTGAGGGCGCAAAGATCATAGATCTGTGCGAGAAGGGTGACAAACTCCTGGAGGAGGAAGTGGGAAAGGTCTATAAAGGCAAAAAGGTTCCAAAAGGCACGTCTGCTTTGATATTATGCTGCTTGCTACTTGCTAATACCTCACTAGGCATTTCTCATCCTACCACTGTGTCTCCAAGCTCCTTTGTGACCCCCTATACCCCGCTGTTATCAGACACAGAAGAAGCCGCAACGACCTTGAAAGCAGGCGAAGTTGTTAAAGTTCAACTGGGAGCCCAGATTGACGGTTTCGGGACTATTGTCTGTGATACAATCATTGCGCCGCCTGCCGATGGATCAAAGGACAAGATTACAGGTCGCGAGGCGGACTTGCTCCTAGCCACATACTACGCCAATGAGCTGCTCTTAAGACTCATGGTTCCCCCAGGCCTCCTTGCCACTGGTACTGATGAGGAAAAGCTGAAAGCTGCAGCTGAAAAGCCCCCCACACAAACAAAAATCTCTGCCTTGTTAGAAAAGGTTGCAAAGAGTTACGACTGTTCTGTGGTAGAGAATACTACCACATGGTTATTCGAACATAATGAAATCGAAGGGAAAAAGAAGATCATAGTGGCTCCAGGCACGGGAGTCAAGGGAGAAGGTGCCCCTGAAGTATCTGAGGTGTGGGGGGTGGAAGTAGGCCTTAGTCTTGGGTCTGGAAAGGTCAAGACACTTGAGAACAGAGCCACACTGCACCGACGTACCACCACAACGTATATCCTGAAACGGCCCAGCTCCAGACAAACCCTCTCTGAGATTGTCAGAAAGTTCGGTACTTTCCCCTTCAGTCTCCGTCAGCTTGAAGATGAGAAGGCAGGTAAAGTTGGAGTGGTCGAATGTGTTCGGGGCGGCGTTGTTCGCCAATACGAGCCCGCTGGGGAGGCGGATGGCGCTCCAGTCTCTAGACTGCTTTCTACTGTTGGTATGTTGGATAATTCGTAATCGCTCGTGGAGTGCCTGGAATGGCACCACCACACCCGGTCTCAGAAAACACTGACACGTCGTGCAGCTATACTCAAAAATGGCTTGACAAGGCTAGCAGCTCCTCCGGCGCTTGATCTGACCAAAATTGAATCTGATAAGAAAATCACGGATGAGGAGATCTTGAAGATTCTCGAGAAGCCACTTGCTAGGTCCACAGGTGCCAAAGGAAAGAACAAGAAGAAGAAGAAGAAGCCCGCCAAGAAGGCTGTTGAGGACGAGGAAAGTTCAAGCGAGGAGGAGTAGATTGCTCGTTCGATCATCCCATACAGGGAACTGCCTCTGTAGCCCCTTTGTGGCCGCGGCACCGCTTGAAAGGGCCTTTGACGTGGTGTATGGGTGTTCTATGGAACTTTCGCTCTGAAAACAGACCCTGACCTTTACAGGTTATGGTTTCCAGAGATACTGTTAGATAAGTTTGTGCTGGCTTCGGGCCAATAAATATGACTCCATTCATCTACCGTCAATTCTTCCTGTTCATACTCTGTAGCAGCACAGCGGCTGGCAAAGAGATAAGTATCACAGGCGGCCAACCGCGGGCGGCTTCTCGGCGGCTACTGTAGCAACACATAGATAGGCAAGTGAGGCAAGCCGCCATAGAAAACCAGTGGCCATTGGCCTTACTCGCGTGATGGCAGGGACTTGCCGTGTTGTTTCTTTGTTGAGGCCACAGAACGTACGCGCTTGCTGTGCGGTCGCCTAATATAAATTTTGCTTCAGCTTCTCTACTGCTCCTACCCTCCGCAACGCACAACCTCCGTTTTCACGCTCGAGTCTTTGTTTCTGCCACACTCTATTTGTCTCTCCAAAAATTACATTCTGCTCTCAAGCTTAGTAGCATATTATCTCTGCTCGCTTCTACATTTACTTGACCCCTCGCTCTCTTCTAATATCAGCCTCCCCAATCGCCTACTGATCGAACATTAAGCGGTTTGATCTTCTTTCTCAGAAATTCTCTATCCCTCTAAAATTCCGCACAAAGTACAGCCTCCAAAGCTATCAGACATCTTTGTTCATTATTTGAACCACCTGCCCTACTTCTCTACTCGCGTTCCATCTCCTGATTCTTCAAGCCTTTTTTTTCAGTCGACAATCAACGGCTTTACAACGCCATCCAGCCTTTTCGTACATCTTTCACTTAGGGTATCTGCTCTCCTCCTTCACTTTATCATCTTCTATCAACTTTCCTTCGAGTAACCCTCGAGTCGAGTACTCAAAACCGGCACTTCTACCTTTGATTTGTTAAATTTTTCCGCATCAGAACCTTTTCTTATCTGAAAGAAATCGCCTTAGTCAATTTCAAGCTTGATAGATCGCCACACAGCTCATTTAACTGCCCACAATCCTAGAGCCCCTGAGCAGAGTTCTTCGCAGGAGAGCCGCTCAGATAGCATCAAACACGCGAGTTCACTACGAATTCAACAGAATTTAACAGAATTTAACGCGTCAAAAATCCCACTACCTTTTATCCTCTCTCAGCCTGAGAAGGTCGGTGTTCTTCTGTTCTCTGTTGTGTTGAGTTGAGTTTGGGGTTTGGCTTCGGAGCTCGAACTTCACTGCAAAAACGCCATCTCCAATTTCTCCCTTTCAAAACTTCTCAACTCCCGCCCACGGCCACAACCACACGCGGCCAAACTGTCTTTACGACCACAACGCGTGGTTTGTTCATTGCCAGTTTGCGAATTTAATTTCAGTGAGTCTTCGGACATTGTCGAATTTTACTGCCCTGAACTAATACGCTGTAGGTTAAATCTCGCAAACTGCAAAAGAACTTCCTCTGCAATGGCTCCTAAACTTCGTTCTCGCGCTCGCACTGCCAACGGTTCTCGTCAGGCTAGTCCTCTTGATGTGCCCCAGAATAATACTGCTTTCGCTGGATCCGATAATTCGCGTCCAAAAAAGCAACGGAAAACTAGTGCAAATACAAGCGTCCCTGTAAACAGCAGTGAAGAACCTGAACGTCAGAAGAAAAGAAAGACCAGAGTCGGCCCCCAGGCTACTGGCGATACTTCCCCTCAGCCTCAAGACGAGAATGAAGAGTTACAGGCTTCTGTACCTGCTCCAGGTCGCGTTCCAGCTGCATCTTCATCTTCCTGGCCAGTCACTGGATGGAAAGAGCCTCGTCCTGCGAAATTAAAGCCAAGTTTCTATGAGGTCGGCGGCAAGCGGACTGGCATTTTTCAAAGCCAGTTTGCTCTCGGTGCTCGTCCTACAAAAACCAACCTCCGAATCGCGAAACTCTTAGATGAGGATGATGAACCAAAGTCGGCCCCCAAACCCAAGGCCAAGAAGGCCTCTAGGGGTCGTGTCTCGAAATCAAGGAAGTCAAAGAAATCAAGCAGCAAGTCAAAGAAGTCCGCTAAATCTGACCAAGCCCTTGAAAATGCGCTCAGCAACGACTCGACTACCACTACAACATCTAGAGCCGAGACTGCGACCCCCGGAACCACCTCCGCGCAGGAAGACCTGCAATCCACTACCGAAGATAGTGAGCCAAATGCCAATGTCTCTGATTCAGAGTCTGGCAGAAATCTTGAAAACAATGATACTACGCCCACCGATGCTATAGTACCACCCATCCCCGTCCAACTAAAGTGCACCAAAGAGAGATTTAACCAAGTCATCGGATCCGCCATTTCCAGAGCCGACGCCCGCAACGATAGCAAAGTTGCTGACGGCATTCGCATAATGCTACAGGCCTCCGCTACAGATCCGTTTCTCTTGAAGATCATGGACGATGTTGTCGCGGATCCAAATACCGGCAACATGACAATCTTCCAAACCGCACTACGGGACGCTATCAAGAAGGCCAGATCTGAACAGCCCACTGCTGCTACTGCCCAAAATAAGGGACGGGAGGATTCAACATCCTCTCTCTCGACTGCCAAATCACTCGAAGCTGATGCTTTCGGAGCTCCAAGTTCAGCGGCATGCAATGTCCGCGGTCCTGACGAAGACGACGAGGCGCAAGCCTCCGAATCTGAGTATGAGGGTTGGGAACCATTACAGGACGAAGGCACTGGGGTGGATCCCGGTCAAGGCCCAAATGCGCGCCGTCGACGTGCCCTAGATCCAGCTCTGCTTGAACTTGCCGCAAAGAAACGGAAGCTGAGGGTCAAGAAATTCCCCCAGTATCACGTTGAACCGAGTCATGTTCGGACTGAAATCCTGCCGCAGCATCAGCCTTCTCCGAAGCCTGTTTGCCGAACGGAGGATGACGACGACGATGATCTGTTTAAGGGGCCTGCTGCTCAGCATGCATCGACTGCACGACCGGCCGAAGTCGATAATATCGACTTCTGCCGCAAATGCAACGGTACAGGCAACCTTTTATGTTGCGATGGCTGTGTGGACTCCTTCCATTTCGCCTGTCTTAAGCCCCCTTTGGATCCCAATTCCCCACCTGCAGGGCGGTGGTTCTGTCCTGCTTGTGAAGGAAAAGGGCCCTCAGCGGCGCTAGAAGCAGCAATGGATGCGGTCCCTCATGCTTATTTCAAGGTACCGTCTGAGATTCGTGAGGAGTTTGTGGGGGTACAAACCGAGGACGACGGTACGTACCAATTGATCCGGCAGGAAGAACTTCCGCCGACTGCGAAAGAGGTACGGAAGCTTGTCGGGAAACCTCTCGAAGAGGCTCGTGCCAAAGTCTACGTCGAGGTAGATGCCCAAGGGAACTTGGTCTTCTGTGCCAAGTGTCACCGCTCCAACTGGGGTAGTGAACGACAAGTGATCCAGTGTGATCATTGTTCCCTGTGGTGGCATCTAGACTGCCTGGATGAGAATTTCTCACATCCTCCCCTGCAGTTCCGGGGGAGCGATAATCCACGGCATTACTGGAAGTGTCCCAACCACCTGGACAACATGCTCGACAGTATCCGCGAGGGTGCTCGACTTCGTCGACGCCGTCGTCACCAGGAGCATGTTGATATCGAGGTCCTCCCGTCGGCCTACGATACCGAAAGTTTCCGTGGCGAGGAAATTTACGGCAAAGAATACCGGGTGGCCGAGCGTGGCCTTATTCAAAACTTCATTGAACACGTCAAACGGGAATACGCTGCAGACAAAGCGCTTCAAGCCATGAAGTCGGTGGAGGAACACGCCCAGAACCTACTTGCTCCCAGCGGCGGAGTATCTGGGCCCTCCAGCGAGACTCGCAATGCAGGCCCGAAGGCTGCACCGCGAAGTCTACGCACTGACGAGCGTGAGGGTGCATTGGCCCTTTTGGCAATGTCGGGAGCCCCTCAGCCAACTTCGAGCCGAGTAGGGCAGTTGGTTTTGCAGCTGGTTACGGATTCGCCGGAGACGATCCGTAACTCGACAAGTGAGACTGAACTCCTTCAGTCTCTCCAAGGTCTGATCGGCCAGCGTCTTAAGGACCTGGCTGCGACTTCTTCGACTGATGTTACCAACTAACTGGGGGTTTCAACTCCCCAGCACCCCCTCTCCGGAGCGATAGCTACGGCCTTAACCAAGAGGGTTGTAGTTGGACCGGGATAACATCATGTTTCAGATGCTTACATACTTGTCAACCCCCATTCTCCGTATGATGTCGAGTTGGCCAGGAGTTGAATTCGCCTGGAGACACTATATGCCTCCACGTAAAGAGCAGAGTGAAGAGAAAAAAAATTTGTATTGCGATTCACTACATATGGCGTCCTCGAATCATACCGTTTGACGTGAAGAAGAATAGCAGTGACTTGTGGGCTTCAGTGACATTGGCAGACCCTGGTTGCTCGTTTTGCTAGACGACAATTCACAACTAAGCAGGGCAGTTGTGCTCGGCCTTGTTTTCCCCGTCCGAGATCCTCGTCCACATCGTGAATACAGCAAAACGAAAAGTGTACAGCGATTTTGTGGCATTTGCTTAGCGATGGATTTTTTATGTTTTTGCATGGCGATCGGTGCATTGGGTTAACGGAGTTTGGATTTTATTTGCTTGCCTTCTTGTTTAATTGATCTTCTGGACCTGGGAGCGACGGACCCAAAAGAAAAACACGCCAAAGAAGAATAGATGGCGTTGGGCCTTGGATCTTGTGGGCTTCTGCCTGTATTGTTTTGTTCTCTGCTTCTACTTGCCTACTCGGTGCTTCTACTTTCTTTTCCTCCTTTGTACTGCCCCCTCTCTCTTCTGTGCTTGACTTTGCTGGTGGAGATGGTGTTGGGTCAAAATGGCATATGCACATCTCCTGGATTACCCTGTCTCGCAAGAGATACTGCGTGTATACGGGAATGTGTGTATGTCGTTTGTGACCCTCACGCTCTAGGGCTAGTCTTTTTGCAGACCGGGAGTGTAGCGATGCACAATCTTGTACAGAGTCAAGTCTAGTCCCATTGTCGCGCGCCTTGTATACTCTGATTTCTCCTTTTTTCAGGGATTGACTGGACTAAAAATTGCATCCTTTGGCTGTCTGGGAGGGAAGTTTGCTATGGCGTACCTGGTATGGAGAGATATTGTGGTGCAAGCACTGAACAGAAACCAAAAAAGCCTTACGAATAACCACTTGCTCATTAGTTAACTAAGCCTTTGGCGTTTAGAATCGCCTCTATCTGGTCACCGATGTGAGGCATTTGATCAGGACACTCAAGGCCATCAGCTCAGCCTTTTTTCATGCTCAACGTTGGTGGCGTCTTCTATGCTTTCAACGCCCCAGCTGGATCCTCAGCCCCCCACATATCATTATGACCCGTTCTACTGAAATCAAGGGCAAAGGGATTGGGAATAACGGTAGCTAGGAAGCCGATGGTTTCAACCCGTCCTTCGAGCCTCCAAAAACCCGATCCTCCACGGCTCCAACTAGGGACGCAAAGAACACTCACGGGTGTCTGCTTCGGCCACGCCCCATCCACCCCAAGGAATTCCCGAGAATAGTCGACGTCCGGCCTGAACGTTATCAAGAAAGACTCGATGCAGAATACGAAAGCGGGAGGCTAACTACTACTCGGTATATTGCTGTTGCTCACAAGCACCAGAAGGGACTGGCGGTACTGGTCGATGTTTCGTTTCTCTTTTCCCGCGCGATTTAACCCGCGCGGATCATCTCGACTCGAAACAATCTCTTATTTTAAATCGTCGAATTGAGTTCGCTGTTGAAACTGGAGACATGGAGCCTTCTCCGGGGGCCCCGTCTTACACCCTTGCGGCCAACCCCTGCGCGGCGGTCATCGTCGCTTCGTTCCCAACTCTCCAGTCCAGTTCTCCCAGCACCGCCATTCATCTGGTTTCCTTCCTTGGTCCTCCGAGATAGCCTTCTATATCGCCCCTTGGATACTCAGAAAATGCCGGTTCGTGAACGAATGAGGCGGATCTTTTCCAGAAGTTCCTCTGGCACATCTTCTCAGCACGCCAAAGCAAAGCCCACGACCGTGGTGCTGGCCGGAATCAAGGCAGTCAAGGTGACGCCCAGGATCGGCAAAGACGGAAAGCCTTTAATTGAAATCTACAAACCGCATGAAGTTCCGCGATCAAAGTATCGCGGTCCAGTCGACGAAGAACACTCCCGGGCCCTGGCGGCGTATTCCATCCCATCTGCTCTCTCTGACAGACCTCGGTCACTGGTCTCGGATTTCTCGCCCATGGGCACTCGAGCCCCAACACGAAGGAACAGTATCGTCGGCCACGATGCAGTGACGGGGAGGATGTTAGAAGGGCTCGCTCGTGCGTTGGACGAGACGGAGCGGAATAGCGCATCAAACCGACATGATAAATACTCTGCTCGATTCCAATGATACCGTTGTCGTTCGCCATTCAACGCACCAGCAGCAGATACGATTTATCCTATCACTACGTTTCCGATGAATGTCTCTTTCGGGAGCCCTGGGAGAACTCTGACTTTGCTCTTGCACTCGCTTCGGTGAAATATACGAAACGATATAGCAGTTTGGGCATCACGACGAAACAGCAATATAACAAGAGTGACTGGAATTGCATTTATAGCTTGGTACTGGTACTGGCGCCCCGGAGAACATGTTTATTCGATTTAGGAGCTACGGCTATATGTTTAGACGGTGTTTCATGGTATATGCATTAGATGACGAAAACAAAATCAAGAAAATGGCGGCATGAGCCATAGGCCAAAAAATTATAAGAACTTTGGTGTTTGTACATAAATTATGATTGGTGACAAGCAGCAAGTATGAAATGGACTGGATATGTTCGACAATAAACGCATCTGACAGGGATAGGCTCATGGTATCGATGAAGTGAAGTTCATTTCTGTTCTGAGCAGACAAATCATAACCCGACAAATCAGAGCAGTATAAATAATGTGAAAGCCAGAAATAGGTCAATGTACAGAAGTTTTTCATCATTTTCGCTTCGGAACCATACTGCAACGAAATAAATCAAATATCATATTTCCGAGGTCTCAACAAATCTACCGCTTTTTACGACTCGATCTGCCACCCCCGGCTTTGCTCGCTGGCTTTTCTTTAGTTACTTTTGTCCCTGACTTCGCTGGCCGACCTCGGGTAGCTTTCGCGACAGGAGGCGGCGATTTTTCTTCGGATCTTGACGCTCTCCTAGTTTTACGAGGCGGCACCGCTGGATTATCCATGCCATCGTCATCACTATTCTCACCATGTGGCTCCGAATGTTCTGATATCTCGTCGTCACCGTCTGGTAAAGAAGATAGCTCTGATAATTCTTCATCAGAATCAGATTCGGCGGGCTTGGGATTCTTGAAACCAGCTTCCTTTTTTTCTACTTTGTTCGTAGCCCATTGATTCATCTCCAAATCTGCCTCGTCACTATCTTCTTCAACATAACTAACTTCTGCTTTCGCTAATCCGCGGCCACTCCGTCGACGAGCAGCATCAGAAGAGGCGCCAGCCTTTTTCTTTATGGAGCCATCGTCGCTCGTCCAATTGTCTTCATCTCCTTTCTTCCTCCTTGTAGGCTTAGTCGCACTTGAACCAGGGAGTGATTTTTTCCGAACTGGAAGGGATCGACTACTTTTTCCTTTCCGTTGTTTCTTGACCGAATCAGGTTTATCATCGCGGGCGTTCTCGTCGTGTGTCAATTCTATTTTCCGTTTCCTGTTTGGTTTCGGTTTCATAAAGGATCGAACTACTTTTTCTAACCTGTCGTCAACTTCTGGCGGCAAGAAGTTCTTCGTGGTAATCTCATGAGCTTCTTGATGGCTGCTCAACGTTGCAAATAAAGAGCTCGGCAGCCTCATTTTGCCTGGGTATGTCTGTAAAATACTTGCAGCGCCACTTCCACTACTCCCACCAATCTTGTGCTGTTGCGAATACAATTCTGCAAACTGGCGGATGGTTGCTTGCGAGAGATCGGATAGCACATGGAGTCGCGACGATACAATATTGTCTGAATCTGATATCGCATCCTTAGTTTGCTTGACACGCTGGGCAATGTGAAATATTAAGGACAGATTTTTCTCATTCGCAATAGCACTGAGATAAAAAAGGATATAACGCGTAAATTCAAGGAGGTCGCCAGTGATAGTCTCGGAATCACTAGACTCGGGCGGATAGTCAGGGTGGTGGGCAAGTAGAGAGAGAAGGCGCGCAAAAAGTGATTCCATTAGAGTTTGTTGATCGGAGGACTTGCTGATGCTTTGTGATTGACGTGAGTAGAATGCAGTGCGTGAACGTAGCCATGTGAGTGTACTGTCATGAAGGCTGGCATTTGGCTCAAATGCCAGTAAGAAGGTGATAGTGTACCAACGAGAAGAGAGTTGCGGTTGCTGAACAAGTTTCTTTTTTAACTGGGATATGAAGGCCATTCTGACTTGGATTGCTGGATCCATTGCAACCAGAGCAATGTGATTGAATTGGCTAGGGCTGAACAACTGGTCACATAGGGGGCGTGCGGCACACAATTTAAGAACCGATTTTGCAGCGAGAAGACGAAGTCTCGATTTCTGATTCGGCGGCGTATCTTTCTGCCTGGAAAGTTCACCATTATTGACAATGAGAGTATTAAGAACGGTGAATACAGGAGAAGCGTATTCTCGAAATTCATTTTCATTTTCTTCGGTCATCTCTTTCGACCGAACTCGATTTACTAGGATTCGAAGAGCCCATTCTTTTGCTGAAGTTTCTTCGTCTGACGTATCAGACCAAGCGTAGTCGGAGTTCGGTTGAGGGTGAAGGTTGGTTAGTAATATTTGCTTAGTCGCTATATCAAGAATGGTATCACTTTCCTCGTCGACTTCCCGAGCAGCGAGGAGGTTCAGTTGGGAAATAGTCGCAAGTTTAGTTAGAAAATGTTCGGATCCATATGAGCACTTTTGAATACATTTCCTGATCAGATCTCTGGTATGCATTTGCTTCTTATCAGAGGCTGCCATGAGTATTGTAACTGCATTTTTAGCGGCGTGAGGAAACGAGCTATACAATGCGTAGTTGCATAGTGCCACTAAAAATTTCCGTTCTTTTGGAAGTTTGCTGGGAAGTTTCTTGGCAAAACCTGCGCATGCCTTAAGGATCTCTTCAGCGCCTGGCTCGTCGGGGCGGTTAGAGGTGGGAGCTTGGGTTTCTAGATCTTTGCACATTTCTTGAACATGTGCTTCAAGAACCTCTGGGTTATGTGTTGAGATCTCCCTCAGCATTTCATGCGCTATAGTGCCCAGTCCAAACTCGTCTGTCCTTGACAGCTTCATTATGGCAGGGACATGACTTTTATTGAAAATCAAAGCACTACTTCGATAAACCAGCGGGAGCAATGTACTAAGCATAGATGAAGTTGCCGATGTGCTGGATTGAATTCGGCCTGAAAGTTCTCGGATAGCTTTTGCAACCGTACGGTAATCGGACGCGGCAGCCATGGCAAATCTGAGGAGTTGATAGCCACGGCGATCGTGCATTTTTGCAAATTTCCATAAGTCCGCGGATACCAAAGAGGAATCCGGGAAAGTTTTGGATAGCATATCGATAACTTTTGTGAGTCGTGCTTTTATTTCTTCTTCATTCTCATCCATAACGCCTCCCTACAAGCATGTAGTTAGCCGCTGCTAGGACGACAAAAATGGGATTATTCGAGATAATAAGGATGGTACTAATGCCGATATCTGAAGAAGAAACAAAAGACACACAGAGCACTCACATTGTAATCTTCACAGGCCTGAAGGTAGAACGTCAAAAATGTTCTCATTTTCAACTGCCGATCTTGCAAGGCAAAGAACACAGGCTTTGATTTTTCATCCAGATTTTTCGCTAATGTCAATATTCGACGTACACGTATCGTATCAGGATCGCCTTGTTCATCATCTAAGGTTTTCGTTTTTTGTGACTGGCTTGACTCGGCTTTGGAGCGTTTAGCCTTGATTGGTGGGTAGGTTAGGGGTAATAGAACTTCGAATATAATATGATCAAGGAGAATATGGACTTCGTCACTGTTCGTGTAAAAGGCTTCGAGGATCCGCGAAGGCGCATCCTTGAGAACTAGGACAACCTCCTCATTATTTGCTTCGATTTCACCGGCGGCCACGGCCCACATCGTGCCTAAAATCGGCATAGATTGCTGGCGCACTGCATGTTTCCGATCTTTCACGCGTTCTGCTAACGTGGAAAGGAGGGAGTCTGGTTCTGAGAGACCGCCATCAATGCCGAGCTTTTTGATAACATCATAAAAGGTAAATGTCCCCAAAACCTTGACAGCCGCGATTCGAACCTTCTCATCAGCATCTATTAAGGTTTTCCTTAGGCCTTCTACTAATTCTTTTTCGTCGCCGCCGCTCAAACCTGAGCCGCCAGCTGTTGTCAGTAGAATTCGACCTATAGCGGTTGCCCAAGCTGCACGAACAGAGGCAGATTTATCATGTCGTCTAGTTAGAAAACTTTCATACGCAGATGAATGCGCTTGTGAAAAAGGTTTGGGTGACAGGGGAGTTTGGAGCGTATTGGGTGATGATGAAATTTCACGTTCGTTAGACAATGATACGGGCGGATATAGGGCTGGGTCCATAGATGCGGCTGGAGGTGGGCCTGCTACTCCAATTCCAGAAATCATGTCCCCGATTGTCTGTGTTGCAAGCAATCGGAGGGCCATAGATTCAGCAGAGAGCTCCGCCTCCAGCTGGGGTATCACATTTTGCAACACATCAGGGCAAGCCCGCCATAATTCTCGGATTAAGCGGTGCGCTTTGTCCAACTCTTTGATGTTTTCACCTTCGTCATCAGATTCGACGGGGTCTCCATGTCGCTGTCGCTTCGGGTTTCCGGTTGCGGCCGCGTCGGACGCATCGATGATCACGTTATTGAAATATTGGCTAACATAGCTGGTCATCTTCTCCGAGCATGCGCTGCAAATTGCTTTGGCCATATTATACGCAGGAGGGTAGTCCTTCATCCATAAAGTGGCCTGTTTCGTGTCAATAACTGCATCTTTCTTGCTCTTGGAGCCTCCCGATCCATCGAATAGTCGAGGGTCTACACGGAGGAATTGTGCAATGATCACGTCTATCACCTCTGGCGCAAGGCTGGATGCCTCATCAATTACCGGCACAAGAAGCCTTGTCATATCATACTCAACATTCTTAGCCAACGGCTCACCAGAGGAAGCTTTTGAGGACCCGGAAACGATATCAAAGCAAGATGAGAAAAGAGGAAGAATCAAGGTATCAGGTGCATCAAGGTCGGTTAATAAAATAATACTTTTGACTTCAGCTAACGACGAGAGAACATAAACGTGTTGGTCGTTATACGCGTTTGAAGGATTCGCGAGGGCGGGTATTATTGAAGTGATAATCATGGTGAAAATGTCCTACGTAGGAAGAGGAAGTCAGCTTCCATAGATCTGAGACCACAACCTAGGCAGCGGCATACCTTTAGTTGATTCGCAGTAAAGGGAGCATCAGGCGCGCAAAGCCGTAATATATCCACCACGCAACATGCTGCCCACGCCCGCACTCCTTTATCCCTGTGCCCTAGCAGGTGCCCACTGGCTAGATCCTGCGAGACCTTCGTCAAAGAATCTCGATCCGTTTCCTCCTGGTCAAGCTCGCGCAGTTCGGCCGCCAGCACTTCCAACCTCCGGAGCAAATCTGCGACGAGGATGGCCTTACCCGCGCGCCATGAGATGGGCTCATTGAAGCGAAGCCGACGGAGTCCGCCGGCCTGTTCTTCCTCCACAACTTCTGGGGCAGGCTGCCGCGCTTGTCGCGTGCGCGAAGGCATCGTGGAAGCTGAATCCGCTGCCAGTTAGAGAAAGGTGTCAAGCAAGCATCAGCTCACTGCTCTCCAGATCGCGTGTCGGACCGATCGCGGGTTGCCAAGAGCGACTGTGTCATGCAGCCCGGCGAGGTGATAACGAGGGCACGTTCTCCGTAGCTGATCTGGATCTGACGCCCGTCTCCTAAAGCTGGCGCAGACGGCGCGATCAACACGAAGCGCGACGGCGATGCTGACATAAGCACGCGTTTGCAGGGTCCTTGCCCAATCCGGTCTAGTACGCTAGAGTGGATCATTAGTCAGCAGGGCATCCGTTGCAACGGCCCGCACCGCTAACACACGTCACAGCCTCAACTTTGTGCTTGAAGCCCGATAGATATACAAAAACTTCAATCTCGGATTCTATTAAACCATATTCATTGCATTTGCTAATAGAACAAAAAGATAGAAATCACAGTTCAAAAGAGATACACAAGGGCCCAAAAAATAAAAATAAAAATGCAGCAAAATTCCCGCAGAACTCCTTGTCCGATGCGTACTCCGCACAATCAACGGTTCGTCTAGGATCTATAGTCTGGGGCTGAACCGACTCATTGCCCTGATCTTTTTTCCATAAACATAAAACAACATTGGCACTGGAATCATCGCCACCGTCAAAAAGGCAAGAATCGACCCAGCCCACTGAACGCCAAGTTTATGGAACATTTGTGCTGCAAACAGTGGGAAGGCAGCACCAAACCCACTGCGGATGAGTGTGTTCGCAGCAAATGCAGAATTAGTAAAAATCATATAAATATCGGTAAGGTAGTTAAGGCCCTGCAGAAAGATAACAATGAGCCCGAATCCAGTCGGTATTCCGGCAAGAACCTGTGGCACCCATGATATCGTCGGAAAGGAGGTCCACGAAAACCAGAAAAGGCCAGCAGGGAAAACAAATGCAGCAATAATCATAGGGGGTAGGCGCTCCTCGGGAACGACGAATCCGGTTTCCTCCATCTTACGGGCAAACCTGGTCTTCGTCATATAGATAACAAACATACTTCCAAAGAGAATGCCAACGAAGAGCCCAAGAAAAGGAAGGGCCGCTACGCCGGGATGTTTCCAGCCACGGACCACTTGAAATGAAATCGGATAAGCAAAGAAGAAAAGATAGAGTATGCCATACGTGATGGCGAGGTATAGCGTGATCAGGAGCAGGATTGGCTCCAGAACTAGCATTTTCAGCGGGCGATAGAAATATTTGACTATTATTTCTTGCATCGTTGGGTGCGTATCGCTTAGGGCAGCGCGCAGACTCAGGTTCCCTGTTTCCTTCCTTAGTCGCCTAGCACGATGTTGCAGCAGAAGCGGCCCAAACGTTTCCGGGATAGTAAATGCGGCGACGCAACCGATGACGACGTCGAGAATAAGGGTCACCCAAGCCGTCCAACGCCATCCCAGGCTGGAGTGGACAATGAATCCACCAACAATAGGCCCCGCAATCGGACCAATGAACGTAGATGACGCAAATGTGGCCCCAGCTACGCCACGGTTAACAGGGTCCCATAAATCCACAAAAACACCGCCCACTATGGCCATGCAAGCAGAACCAAATACCCCCACGAAAAATCGGCAAACTAATATCGTCTCAATATTCTGAGCAAGTCCAACTGGAATCTGGAATAGCGCTGAAATAGCAAACCCGATGAAAAGAGGTCTCGTCCGGCCATATAACTCGGAGAGCGGTCCGAATACTAATGGACCAAGAGCAAACCCCTTATCGTGTAAGTATGTGTTATATGAGAAGGTTTGCTTGAAGTATTACTTACTAGGACCACAAGGCTTGTTGCCAGGGTAGTTACTTCAGTAGAAACATTAAAGACTTTAGCAGTAACCCCAGTTGCTTGACTAAAAATGCTGCTCGAAAAGGTGATGCAGAATGTTAAGGTCGACAACATCATGGTGATGTACCACTTTTTCGCCATCGACCAATTCATCGGGTTTTCTGGGTCTGAGGGCCCATTCCAGTCGACCAAACTTGACTCCCTTGCCTGAGCCATATCTTGGATAGCATCGTTGTGAGGATCAGGAGAGGCTTTCTCAACATCTTGGCAGTGCATATTCCCCGGATCTTTTGATAAAGGCGTACTCAGTGAGAATTCTGGCTCAACCTGCGTAACTACACTGTTCAGGCTACCGCCTGAGGCTGCACCGTGCAAGACGACGTTGGGTGCAGAAGGTATCGGCGTGCTAGCACCGGACTCAAAAAGAGGTGAGGAGTTCTTGATATCCATTACGATGCTCCTGGGAGTATAATGGGAATGTGAAGTGAGTTATAAAGTCATGGCCAAGGGTCGGTTTATTCGCTTAGATATGTCACAGATGGGTCCGATGAGAGGTTCCGATATAGAGGGTACGCCGGCACCAAGAGGCTATCGAGATCAAAGATCAAGGTACAACATGGTATTGGCAAAGTATTTATCAAAATAGGAAAATATTCAAAGAACAAAAACACTCTAAAACTGATGGCGAGAGAAGGGATTGGTAATCATCCCTATCAGGTCAGTAGCCGTAACAGACAAAACCGAAGGGCAGAAAGGATGACACGATGTTGCGATATCTATGCATCTATGAGGACCATAAGCTACCTGTTGACTTTGCGCACCGTAAGCCGAGGCTGTCGGTGCGTGGCGGGGACACCGCCATCTGGGGAGGGGCTAAACGGATGAAGCGGCACCTGGCGAGATGTTGCAAATCCAACGGACGGATTCATCATAACTAGCGTTAGTTAGTTAGCGTAAATATGCAACAGATGGAAGACCTCAGCGGTTTGTGACTGCTGCTGCTTTGGTGAGTGAGGTCGAATATGGCAAACGGCAACAATAAAGCGGACGGCCAATCGGTGCCAGGAACCGATTTAGGGTTTAGTTAGCATACACGTGAAATGGGAGATTGCTTGGCTTTTACAAGTGTACAGAGTACGGAGTACGGAGCAAGGAGTAACTACGGAGTACTCCATAGTCCACTACGCAGAACTCCAGATAAAATAATTAGCCCCGTGCTAGGCGCCAGGGCACCAACAGCAGATGAGTGGGAAAGAATACCATGCCAAAAACGGCAAGAGAACTACGTATTGGAATCAAGACCAACAAAAACTTGGAGATAAATAATTGTCAATTGACAATGGTAATGTCGAAATATTTACAGCTTCCTGAAGTGAAAGTAGAGAGTCCCCGATCCCCTCTGCAAGGCTTACTCCTCGTCCCCGTCATTACCACCGTTGCCACCGCCGCCGCCGCCATTTCGGGCAACATCTGTGTACATCGCGTTAATTCCCGTATGAACTTCCGACAGGGGGTTTTTTAAAACTTACCAGTAGCGAAGAGAGCATAGTTGTCGGCATTGTTGAAGGCTAGCCGTGCGCTGAGTCTTGTCGAGCCTGCATATCCATAGGCGTGGTCACGAGTGTGAGGGTTGACAACAGCAGAGGCATGGGCAAACTCATGAACAGTAACATGCCCGTGGTCTGTATCGTGACCACTGTTGACAACAGCAGGGACATTATCATAGAATCGATCGCAGTTGGCAACCACATTGTTAAAGACGTGGGTGTAGGCGATCGTTCCTGGGTTTTGCAGGCAGAAGCCAATAGGATCTCTGCAGTGGTACTTTGTACGTCCACCACTAGTGGTGTGTTCCCTTGCGATAGAGCTGAAGCGTTGTGCAACTTGCTGGCGAGTTCTAGAGTCGGTGGTTTTGAAGTACTCCTGGAACTTCCGTGCGGACCCACTAGAGGCAGCCCGGGCAGCAGCTTGGGCATAGCGACCACCGAGCCGGATAGCAGCTTCCATGATTTGGCGATCACGGGAGGAGCAGGATGGCTGGAGTTGCGTGCGCTTATTTAATTTTTCAGTGGCACTTTTTACTTTTGCAGCCTCAGCGCCATCCACATTGATGGTCAACTCGTTACTTGAGTACTCAACGGCTTCTGTGACACCAGCAGTTCGGCTGGTTCTGTCAACGATCGAAATTGTGCCTGCAGACTTAATGCTGTATGAGCCGCCGGCTGAGAGATCAGCTGTCTCAGCAACGTCAAAGGTGGCTTCGGCACTGGCACCTGCTGCCAATACCTGAAACGCCTCTGGTGGAAGATTGTTAACATCGTAATAGGCGCAAACTCCAGTGAATTGAACGGGAACACCTGGCGACATGGATTGATTAGGCTAATACTCATTTCTATGAATGGGGACAGTGGACATCCATACCATTCTTCATCACTTGGGCCTTGTGAACGGGTCCGTTGCCAAATGGGGTGTTGATCTTGACGAACGAAATTTCATGTTTGGCAGTGTTGGTAATGGTGGCCTTCACGAGCGTGTTTCCAACTCTGGAGATCTTGACTTCAAGTCCATTATCACGCTGGATCAGGTTGGAGGGGTGAGCAAAAGCCTGGCCCAGAAATGCTACCAGAGCAATAAGAGAGGAAGAGAAACGCATATTTGCAAGGTGGCGGTTGCTTAGAACACAAAATTGATCTGAAAGGGAAGCTGATGATCAAAAGCACCGTTTCTGGCGGCCAGACAGCCCTATTTATACAGGCCAGTGCTCGTCACAGCACGGCCTCCCGTGCAACACATACCAGAGCAAAGATCATGAGCCGGATAAACAGCATGAAACGTCTTGGAAGAGAGTGGAGGCATGTTCGTCGAAAGATCCCCGCTACTCTGAAGAAAAAAAAATAAAATGATAGAAAGAGGAGACTGAATATTAGTCCAAGCCGTGATTATCATTGCCGAGAAAAGACTTATCTCACTCGTGGATCACACTGATCACATCCCTGCCAGGTACTCCGTACCAAATAAAAGGGTGTATGCGGAGTGCATACCACTCTACTCCGCAAAATCGGAGCAGTCCTACGGCCGTCTCTCCTCGCTTACCTGGGCGATTCAGCAGCATAGATCCATGCATGCCCCAGGTAGTGCGTTAAATGTCGTGGAAAAGCAGCAAGTGGGCATGTGTTCCCATCCGGCGTGATTATCGGGGGTACGGAGTATAGCCGCAACGGTCTTGGGTCTTTGCGATCCCGCTAGACGTTTGGTTGGCGCAGCTCAATAATTGACAAGGTTGGATTATGCATAGAGCCAAAATCGGGTGAAAGGACGGAGTATTGGCCCGGCAGATTCGAGACACACGGCATCGGAAGCGTCTTGTCCAGGTTCGCGGAGACGGGAAGCCACAGCAAAGCAAACCCTGAAACTCGAAACAACGTGATGCGAAGACTCCCGTATTTTAGCTTTCCGGCCACCGCCTAGCCATGCAGTCAGTAGTAGTTCAGATCCGATTGGAGCGGGAGGTACTAGTACTAGTTCAGCTTATGTTTTTTAATCCCCCCCGCTCGTCTTGGACAATTAAACCGCATTGTTTTAAATGAAACCCGCCACGAGTCTTGCGCGCACCGCAGCTCAGCTGCAACGCACCCCGCCCGCTCGTAGGATTAGTTAGTTCAGCTACCGGCCTTCTAATGAAGTAGTCATCAAAAGTGGCCTCTTGGAGCGACAAGGCGCCATACCTTGGGTCGAGATTGTCGATAACGTGCTGTGAGTGCTTAGTTAGTCTTAAGACAGTCGCAGACTTGCTCGCAGGCCGAGCCGGGCATTTTATAGCTTATATTCGACACCTACTCCTACTCCGTACTGACCTTGGGGGCATCGCGAGACTTTCGGATTGCGAGAGCCGGATAGATCAACGCGGGCTGTTGCTCATTAGGTGGATGTCGCGGCCCTAGTGCGATAATCCGTGCCGTCCCAGACGCCGTGGAGGCCAGGTAACGTCCGCGGGCAGTGGCGCCGAAGAACGCTTGCAGCAGGGGCGCCGATCCGACTAACTAGTCGAAGCCGAGATTGTAACATTTACGCGCGGTTTCTGGGGAAGAATCTAACCAGGCATCCACTCAGTATGCGCGTACCCACTGACCTACCGCGCAACCACTTGCAAGAGCGAATCGTTTCCGCAATCAATCAAGCTCGATGTTCAGGGTAGCATTGCTTCCGAATTATCGGCTGACCTTAGAATATTCTAGTCTTATCTAGAAAGAAGAGAAGTGGTATCATATCATTATTATTGAGGGGCCCGCTGGAAAAGCCCCCCCCAAAAAAAGGCAGCATCACAGCCCCATCTGGTATCGCTAATACGTTGCTGTACATGTCGCTATCATTTCCATCCTGAACACGTAAAAATGCCGCTTTCTCATCACGCCGAGAATGACCCCCCAAAGGCAATTATGCAATGCATGCCGCCGACTCAGAAGGGGAATGAAACTGCACAAAACACCAATCAAAATTTATACAAACTGTTGGAGCCACGCTCCTGCTCCTATCATTATGACGATGCTGCCCCGCTACTATCGCTGGCTTCATTTGATTTCGCATCTTGTATGTGTCGGACTGCTTTCATTACTTCCGTGTTAGCAAAGCCGGCCCACCGGGCCATACATTCCGCATCCATCGGGTCGCCGGATTGTTGAGATGCAGCCAAGTCATACAGCATGCGCGATATGCACTTATTTGTTTCCGTATAATCGTCCTTGGATATGAGTTTCTGGTGGTAGTATGGTCTCAATGCTGCTCTGACAATTTTCTGCAGGTCCGACTTGATATGATGAGACAGATCAGCGCGACTGGGCGAAGATTCGGCGGAACACTGACGAGAAGAGCCATTCTCCAGTCGACGCAATTCGCGAGAAGAACGACTACTGTTTACGGAAATACCGTGTTGACTCGGTGAGCATGCTGGTGAGAATTCGGGTGACGAAATGCCTAGATCTGATCCGGTAGATAAAGGAGTCGAAGGATCACTGGAGCTTGTTGCATAAGCGGCTGGGTTTGATACTGGCCGGGGTGAGGACCGGCTAGAAGAGACAGGGGATAGAGCGGGGGATGATGCTCCCGGGGAGGCAGGATCCGAACGAGTTCGTGAACTTGAGAGAAATGCAGCGCCTATTCGGTGTGGACCAGATGAATCTTCAACTTCTTTCAAAAGCGACTGTAAAAACGTTGGACCGGTGTCGGCTGGGGGGCTACTGGCAGAAACAGCGGATCGACTCGCTCGAGACGATTCTCCGCGATCTGCAAGTTCTGCCAATTCCTCGGCCCTTCGCGTACGCGGCCGCTTCAGGCGCCTTTCAACCTGGGGTTGTTCTGATTCGACAGGAGAAGCGGTAGGAGACTTTCTTTTTCTTCTGCTGGGGCCTGGAGCCTCTTGAATCTCTCGTGCTCTCTCGAATGCATTCCAAGCTCTAATTTCATCAAAGGATTCAGGTTCTGGAGTTTCAACTCTTTGTCTTGGCCTTGAGGGCCATCCACGGCCTATATCGAGTAGATCAGATGGGTAGTTGCTCGCCCTGCTGACAGCAGTCCGACGTTCAGTTTGTCTAAACCGCCGTTGCCAACTCCTCACTTCCCTCCTATTTGCTGCCGCAGTGCGTCGGCGTTGGATCACTCTATTTACGGCTTCCTCGTCGTCAAAAGGAAAATCCAAATCTAAGTTAAGATGATCCCAGACAGACTGCCATACTCTAGCCCAATGAAGAGCTTGGATGTGATTACGTGTACGGGCTCTCCTGATTTCACCGCGAGTACGGTAGACAGTACGATTTTGAGGTCGAGAATGCTCTGAACGGGGTCTTTGGCGGCCTTCACAGTGGCAGCAGAACCAGCGGCCGGTAGGAACAGAGTCAAGCCCGACACAATAAGTATGTGAAGCAGTGTCGCATCCATCGCATAGCAAAAGTAGATCCTCATTGTCGTCATCGCCGCATATGGGACATGGTTGGGAGTCAGTGTCGTCGACAGGATCGTCGACAAGTAATGATGGATCGAGCTCTGCGACCTGCACACGGTCCTCGACAGAGTACGAAGAAATGATTGCACCTACGATAAACGGGTCAGCTGTTGCCTGAGAGAAGTACGGGTCGCGTTCGGCTTACCTCCAAGGTTCTCAAGTAGCTCAACAGTATTGAAGTTTTGCCGGCAGATAGGACAGCTGTTAGCTCGCTCAACCCATGGCTTGAGGCATTCGTTGTGAAGGTGGTGGCCGCAAGGGATCAAATGGGCGATTTGGTCGGACTCCTGAGAGCGTGTGGCAGTGACTTCGTCAGCGGGCCGGGAGTCAGTCGTAGGTCTTGGCAGGGTGTCTGCGGCGAGCGTCGGGTCGGAAGCGCTTTCGCCAAGGTCTCCTAAGCACACAATACAAGTATCGGTCATTATCGACGGGGTTGGAGGCAAGAGTGCACGCGAAAATGTTGCGAGGCGGCATGAAGGTCAAATTGGGGGCGAGACGCAGAGGTGAGATAAAGAATCACCGACGACGTTGTGGGGGACGAGGAGGCTTTTTGAACCGGAGCTAGGCCACTGCGCTAGGCCCGACGCGGGCTAGCCCTGCATAACGTGACAGCGAGGAGTGACAGCATTGGTGCATACCAGAAACAGCCAGACGAGACAGCCAGCGCGCGCGAGGGTGGGTGGCCGGCAGCCTGTGGTAATGCCCTGCAGGCAGGCTTACCTGTACACACTCCTGGCAGACACGAAACCATCAATTTTGTCTGCCGCAGCTCTGCAGAATAACGATGCCGGTGTAGAGCAGTGGCAGCACGGAACTGCGTGCTAATTTTAGCGGCTTGGTCCGAGGCCAACCCAGAGTCGGCGTAGTCGGCCTAGGCAGTGGGCTAACAGGTTTCGTGGACCTCGAGTGGCACCATCTGCTCCATCTCGGTGTGGAACAGACCACAAATATCTAGAATAGAAAGCATGCACGTTTGAAACAGACCGCAAAACGGTATGGGGTCATAAAGTTATGGTATTTTCTGTTTTGGTCTATCGGCGAACCTCGACCGTAGGGAGGTATGCGCGAACTATTGACATCTCCGGCGAGCGAATCCAGTCATAAGGAATGGTCTGCCCCCTCTTTTATATGCCCCATGATTCATAATCTCGTGCGGCAATTAGAAAGACATTTGAAAGAAGAAATGAACGCCATATCCCGCCTCCCCGTTCACTTAAACCTCAGCAATTTCGCGAAGACGACGAATGGTCGATCTTGTAGCAACGGCGGCAGGAGTGCTGTAGTCAGAAAGACCAGTATCAGTCGTGGTGTCTTGGTGTTTCGTTACGTGTGCCAAATATTGAAAAGTTTTTTCAAGGCACAGCTCCAGAAGGCTAGATCGAATTTCAAGTCACTTACGCAACGGTCCAGGCACCTCCAGCAATGGTCTTTTTGCAGGAGCGGCACTCCCAGATTCCAACGGCTGATCGCTTGACGGTGGTCTTGCCGCAGAATGTGCAGGTGTAGCGGGCGTGTTGCGAAATTTCCATCTTCTTCACCTGCTTACGGAGGGAGGCACCATATCTAACAGATCCTTGTCAGCGTCCAGATTTCCTTTCTAACCCCATCAAACATTTCCCATAAAACGACTGGCGAGGAGGAATCGCTGCTCGAGGTTCAGCGTGGGAAAAGATCGAATCGTACCTGGTACCATATTTACCGGTAACGCCAACCTCTGTGAAAAGCAAAAGTTAGCACACACAAATTGCCTAAAAGATTAGATGTCAGTGGTACGCACTCTTTGTGCGCTTCGTCATTTTGTCGCGCTTCGATATCTGTCTTTGCGGTCAAGAGAAAAAGAAGTGCAGTTCGAGGAATTCCAGATGTGGTGCGGTCGCTCGCTTAGCGGGCAAAGAGGCTTGGCAAGCTGGTACCCAGGGCCACCGCCAAACACACGTGATATTCTGCCATCGGACTATATTTTATTCCGTTTCCAGGCTTGGTCGCGCTAGCACTCATCGTCTTACAACTACTCCGTAATCCGTACTCAGTACTTATCTATTCAGATCAACCGATATGATTCGAATTTGCCACTTGAAAAGCTGGGCTAGACTGCGCGCACAGGGTTTTTAGCGCTATCGGTAGCCGCCAGTCATGATGTTCCTTGGAAGAATATCCTACTTTTTGCTAATATATTTTACATTGGTCGTTTTAATGGGTGGGCTTCCGTATTGAAAACATACTCATCTAAACTAACGAGATCCGGCTCACTGTAGAGAAGATAAAAGTATTTTAGAGTTTCACCTGTCCAGAACGATTCCATCTCGTTCATGATCGTGGGTGTTGGCGACGTGACATCTGCAAGAGCGCCATATGCGATTTGCGTTCGAGTGTGGCGCTCGATGGCGGAGAACATCTCCCAACCCTTGTCTTGCAGGCTTTGGTCCCCGCTAATGCGGTACAAAATAAACACGGACTCAATTGCCTCAGGCCTAGAGCGTAGTTAGAACAGGTCAATCCTAGGGTTTGCGCGATGATGTCTCTACAGCTGGTCCACGCACCTCAGGTGATACTCCTTGTTGTCGATTTTAAGAAAACCAGGTATCAATCCCTGCTCTCGGGCCTTCTTGGCGAGCTCCCCGCTAGTTAGCTTCTCGTCCTTTTCGCTATGGAACCACAAACGGGGGGTCCAAGTGCATTTGGGGTGCAGCTTCTGATCACAAGGAACTGCGGTGAAGAATTCGGGCATAATGCCACTAGGCATATTACGGTAAGCCCAGACGCAACCTTCAGTAAGTTTCCTGCCAATCTCTAGATCTTTAGGAAGACTAAAGATTTTAGAAGCTATTGCTACCATTCCACCCGAAAAGCATGTGAGGTGCTGGCCTTCAGGCTTTAAGTCGATCATCGACTTGCTAGCCGCGAATGCGGTCCCGGATATTAGAATATCCTCCCCAGTAGCAGTCCGAGGGCGGAAGAACAAGTGCGTCTTTGCGACTTCCATGGCGGCCTCGTACATTTCCTTATATTGGGGCATCTGGCCGCCTAACATCATGTATTCCTGCAGCAGTTAGTTGCGGGGTGTATCCAAGCGGAAGAACCCACAATACCTTTGGGAGATATTCATAAAGAGAATCCGACATGGCGCCCAAGGTAAAGCGCCTATCGAAAGTAAATGTCGGCGTGAGGGCATCTATTCCAAGAGGCCACATACCAGGAAGTCTCGTTCCATTCTGGTGTTCTTGGAGCACATTGGTAATACGCTGAACGGCATCAAAGTACTTTGGATCTCCAGTCAATTGGGACAAACGCGTAAATTCCACGGAAAGGGAGCCGAGTTCTGCCAGTATGTTGACATTGCTCGCGTCCTGGGGCCGGTTATCCCTCGACCCCTCCCAAAACCAACGTAGGACGGGCATACGAGTTGGCGTGTCAAACGCAACATAGAGTAGATCTGCCACTTCGACCGCTTTTTGAAGCAACACAGGGTACGTGCCATTGGACAGGTCGTAGGCTGCCAGGAAGCCACCAAGATAACGAATAGTGGTTTCAAAGACGTTCAATATAGGAATTTCCGATTTTGAAAAATCGATATCACGAACAGCAGTGACGGCCTCCTCAAACTCTTTCCTCAATCCCATGATCCATAAGGTATCTAAACTATCCACGAGCGTGGCACCCCAACCACCAAACGGATTTCGTGCGTCACCGTTTATCGGCCCTAGCTCATCCTGCCCCCAAGCCCGACTTCTGTATCCCGCCCATGAATGCAAGAACGCGTTTCTCACAGCAGACCGACGTTGCTCTCGTACGGCCTTTTTCTTGGGATGTTCACGTTGGAAGTCGAATTGGATCTGTGGAATGGTTCTTGGGCCTCCCGTGGGCATTGGGATCAATGAGGTTACGGGATGTTCAGGAACATAGTGCCTAAACCAATTATGGACTGAAGGCTTCGTAGATAAGTGTTTTTTGGAGTGGTTTGAGCTCGTCGAATTGATATGAAGTAGAGCGAATAGAAAACAAAAAGATAGCAGTAAAGTCGTGAGCCGTCTTCGGGCGAGGGCCATAGCAATACTCCGTAGAGAAGAGGGAAACCGCAAATTAAAGCAGAAGAAACACCAAAAACGAGAGACAAAATAACAAATTAACCCACAACTCAACGGTTTTCCATCCCCTGCCGCAGCTCTCGACCATAGCAATGCGTCTCCGAGGTGCCTCGCGCCAACCTGCCTGTTCTGTTCGATTTTGCGTGGAATCCGGTCCATCGAGAACGGCCGTCCAATGAACGTCTTCAGGGGCTAGACTGAGTCAGCACCCGGTCGTCATCATGGCTGCGGCGCGACGGCCAATGGCGGGCCGCAGCCTATTTGCAACCAGTTTAGTGGGCTTGGCATGTTTGCATACCTGCCACATCACCGCCACGTATCGTCATTACATAAGCATGCCGAGGTCCGTCGCTGCATGGATCGCATTTTCAGTCTTGCGAAGATCGATAACTCCTTGACCGGACGTGTGCGCACTCGCCGCTATCATAAGCATCACAAAATGAAACGTCGAGCTCGGAAGAAGTCCCTACCGGCATGAACGCAATCAGGATCACCGAATTTGTTTCCTCGTTGGTCTCTCTTGCTCCCCAATGCGTCCCTTTCCCCGCGGAACCCGCCAAGGGTGAGGTTCTCGTCGCGATCCATTGCGCAGCGCTGAACCATGTCGACCTTCTCTATGCGCAGGGGAAGCACCAGAATAACACATCCTTGATCCGACCCCCATTCACCCTTGGGCTCGAGTTCGCAGGCACCGTTGTCGCTGTCGGGCCTTTATCGTCCGCTGGCGATGCATCCTTCAAACCCGGCGATCGGGTTTTTGGTGCTGGGCTGGGCGCATACGCTGAACAGATCCTTGTCCCGACGCGTGCGCTCCGCCGTATTCCGGACAGTTGGACGTTCGAAGCTGCAGCCGGGCTTGCAGCGACGGCCAATGTCGCCTATGGCGCTGTTGCCATTCGGGCTGGGGTCAAGAATGGCGATTGGGTGATGATCCACGGGGCAGCTGGTGGGATAGGCCTGTATGCCTGCCAGGTCGCTAAGGCTCTAGGAGCTCGAGTTATTGCAGGCATCAGAGACGAGAAAGACTCGGACAAGGTCCAGATCCTAAAGTCCCTGGGCTGCGTTGACGGTATCGTGGCCACCGGAACTACCCCTGGTTGGGAAGCCCAGGTCAAGACTATAACGGCAGGCCGCGGCGTGGATGTCGTTATTGATAATGTTGGACTCGTAAAAGAGAGCATCCGCTGTTTGAAAAACGTGGGCGGCAAGGTCGTTCTTGTTGGCTTTGCTGGTCGAGGAGGCGTTATGGAGCAGATCCCGGCAAACAGGATATTGCTTAAACAAGCTGTGGTAATAGGCTATGTGAGTTGCATCCCTACCACCCCCATAATACAACTACTATGTGCTTCAGACTGACTGGACCTTTCGTCCGCAGAGATACGGAGAAACCGACCGAAACCACCCACAAGAGTCGGCGCAGGTATGGAAAGGTCTGATGGAGATGCTTGATTCGGGTGCTGTGAAGCCAGTTGTCTATACCAAGAAATACTACGGGCTGGAGAGTGTCAGGGTGGCCATGGAGGATCTGCAGGCCAGGAAGATATACGGGAAAGCGATTATCTACATCCAAGACCGTAGGACATCTTCATTGTAGCGAATAAAAGACACAATTCTCTAGAAATCAAGCCATTCCTCTCTAGTTCTCTAAACATTAAGAATCGACGTTGTTGTATGGCGTCATGCCTTCAAGCTCACTAGTTCGCTCCTTCACCAACAAGCTGGAGATTGGCGACAACTCCCAAGCCCCCCAACGTCAGCAAACCAGGTTCGCGCGCAGAGTCACCATCAAAGACGCGCGCGCGTCCGCTTCACTCTTGCGGGCAGTACATGCAGCCGGAACGCCTAACGCGGGCTCCTATGTGGGCTTGTCTCCTGCGCGCCTGCAAATGACATGATTACAGCTGGCCTTTCTGAAGTGCATGGAATCCCATCGAAGCCTCGCTCTCACTTTGGGCTCGCTCCACACTTTGACTCCCCCCCCAAGAATACAAAGTGCCTACACACCTGCCAGTGACTGGGAAAGCTCTGTATTAAGCTGATGGTTCTTCGCCTGCGCGATTGCAATTCTGACACTGCTGTCTCACTTCGTTCTGTGCTGCGTGGCGGATCCCAAGCCCAGCAAGCCGCGGTCGAGAAGCATGGTCTCAGGCCTCCCGCCGGGCTGATGAGAAGAGGAAGATATCGCCGGGCACAGTCTGCATTATACCCAGCCCAGCAGAGCTCTCTCTGCTTCATGACTCTATCCCCACGCACGCGTGCCAATCGCGTCCAAACTTTCGAATGTCTCTGTTCCGCTCCCCAAACGACATCTCGTCTTCTACCGAAGATACATCATTCCTAGACGATGATGACAATGACGACGAGAACCATGACTACACACACCAAGACCACCACCACCGCAGCCACTCCTCCCATACCCAAGATGGAGCTCGCTCGTCCTTCGACGACGACATCTCCGGCTCCTTCGAAGGCGTGCTCGAAAACAAAGACCCGGAGACCAGCATCGCCGGCTTCGACGCCGAGAGCCACGCCACCATGATGACCACCGCGCTACTCGAATACTACTGTCTCACCCGTGCCACCGAGATCCTCAACGAGAAAGCCCGCGCCCACCAGCAACAGCAGCCGCAGCAATGGTACACGCGGGACTCACCCGAGGCGCGCCTCCTGGGCCGCCGGCTGTACGCCCACAAGTCGCAGTTCCTAGCTGCGAACGGGGTGCTGGCGGCGGGCGTGGACGGGGACGACTGGGAGATGACGAGGAAGTATTATCGGGACAGCCTGGACGTGCTGGGCTTATCGGCGCTGGAGGGACTGGACCTAGGCGGTGTGGGCGGCGCCGGTGCCAAGGGGGTGTGTTCGCCGCCTTCGCCCTCGCCGCAGGCCGTTCTGGGCGCCCAGCAGGGGAAGGAGCAGTTGCCGTTGGGTCTGGAGCCCAGCAATAATATCAAACCGGACGCCGATGCTCGCAGGCCCGCGTTTCGACGACTGCTGACGGCCGGGAACGAAGTTGGCTTCCACGACCAACTGCCTACGCCATTGGGCTTTCTGCGGCCGCCAACGCTCCAGTCCGCCAGCTATTTCCCGCTGATGACTCTGGCCGGCGCGCCGTATCAGCCCAGCCCGCTGGCCTCTCGATACACGACCGAATTCGAAGAGCTGTCCCTGATCGGCAGAGGATCTTACGGGGTGGTATACAAGGCAATGCATTACGTGGACGGGCAATACTACGCTATCAAGAAGATTCCACTAAGCCCTAGACGGATTAAGCAGCTACAGGACCGCGGGCTACAGGAACTAGACCATATCCTCAAGGAGATCCGCACGCTGGCGCGGCTGGATCATGGGAATGTAGTGAGGTACTATGGCGCGTGGGCCGAGTACAATGCCGCGGTGAAGGTGCGGTCGCGATCGCCAACAGTAGCGGCGAATCGGCCTCCACTAGCGCTGCTTAATGAGAAGGCGGCGACGACGACGGAAGAAGAGTCAAGTCATGGTATTGTGTTTGAAGAGTCGAGCAATGGGCTCGTGGTCGAAGAGTCCGACCATGGCATTGTCTTCGAGGAAGATTCATCAAAGGATGAAGGTAGTACTACCGGCGACGTACTGTCCAGTTCAAGTTCAGCGAGGCCGCAAGAGAATAATACAAGAACTATCAGAGAGTCGCGAAAGAGCTTTGTGGAGAGCTATGGCGGTGAGGACGAGGATGATGATGAAGTCGAATCTATTGGCCGGCGATTGAGCCACCTACACCAAAGCCAAGCAACGTCAACCAGCGAGTTGGACGGGGACATATTTACCGATGGGGCAGGAGGAAATAACTCGGTGCAGCCCGACCCCAAAACCCGGTTTGGCGGCGGCGGCGGCGGCGGCGATGACGGGCGAGGTCGCGGTCGCAGCGGCACGGTATCCTCGTCCCCTATCACGCTGCACATCCAAATGTCGCTGCACCCGCTGAGCTTGGCGAAATACCTCCGGCCACCCCCAAGCGACGAGCTAAACATGGTGCGGCAGCGCGACTCGCCGCCACAGCACTGCTACCACCTCGTGCCGTCCATCAAGATCATCCTGGGCATCCTGTCGGGCGTGGAGTACCTGCACTCGCAGGGCATCGTGCACCGCGACCTGAAGCCGGCCAACGTGTTTCTCTCCCTCTCGACGACGACGACGACGACGCGGGCGCGCGATGAAACGGGCTGTCCGGCGTGCGAAACGGCCGGTGGCGGTCCTGGCTCTCATTACACGATCCCGCGAATCGGCGACTTTGGCCTGGTGGCGGACACATCGCCCGGCGCCGATCCGGCTGCAGCGTCGTCCCCAACCACCACCACTGCCAACCGTCCCGTTGGAACCGAATTTTATCGACCGCCCCTGCGGCCGCCGTGCAATCACCCCGCCGGCGCCTCGTGCGGCTGCTCGAGCGACCGCCCCAGCAAGCTGCAGGTCGACGAGTCGCTGGACGTATACGCGCTCGGGGTGATCCTGTTCGAGCTGCTGTACAAGCTGGACACGCGCATGGAGCGACAGATGGTGCTGTCGGATCTCACCTGCTCGCCCAACGGGTTTGGCTGGGCGCAGCGCACGGCCGGGACCACGAGTGATATCTCCGCCAAGCAGGCGCGGCTGCCGGCGGATTTCACGCAGCGGATCGACGGTGGTGGTGCGGCGACGGTCGACGGCAGGCAGCAGCAGCAGCAGCACGAAGACGAGCAGCAGGGTATTATTACGGGAGCAAGCGTGGCGGAGCGGATCGCATTCTGTATCTTGAAGATGGTGGAGCCCGACCGGCGGCAGCGATGGACGTGCCGGGAGGTGCGGGAGTGCTTGGAAGGGATGCTGTCATTGGTGAGCCGGCGGGCGTGAAAAGGGGGCGAGGAAGCAAGGGGAAGGGGCTAGATCTGGTTCTATTTTTGTTTTTAGGCAGGATAATTCGATTTATACTTGTTACTCTGGGAGCCAAGTGTTCAAACAAGAAAGAGATAACAGGACGCCCGGGGCATGGCGTAGTTTCACTAAGCATTATTATTTATGAACGGGCGGGCATCAAACAGGGCCGGCGGCGTTGGGTTTGCGGCGGGCGGGAATGGCTCGGCACGGCGGCGGACGGTCGGCACGGGCAGATTGAGTGGTTTCATGTGACGGTGCACGAGGGATACTGCTGGACGTACAAGCAATCCCTGCGGTGCACGACAGACACGGTGATATCACGGTTATGGGATGTCGGCCAGCTTGTCGGCCAGGCCGATGGTGTGCACGGGCCACTGCAGCAGCGGGCGCCAGGCGACGTCGAGCGAGCGGAAGATGGCCTCGAGCAGCTGGCCGCTCCAGCCCTGCGACCACCAGCAGGCGTCGAGACGGCGCAGGATGACGCAGTAGTGGGCGAGGATGACCAGGGCCATGGGGCGGCGGGCCTTGAGGTGGGCGAGGTAGGCGTCGGGCACGACGACGGGCCAGCGGAAGACGGACTCCCAGCTGGTGGGGGCGCGCTCGAAGGAGACGCGCAGCTCGCGCAGGGCGTGGTCGTAGGCGGCGCTCTCGGCGGCGGCGGCGGCGGCGTTGCAGGCGTGCAGGTAGTCGAGGGCGGCGGCGACGTCGGCGGGCAGCGGGCGCAGGCGGGCGGGGTCGGCGGGGCGGTGCACCAGCGGGCCCAGGCAGCCCTGGCGGATGAGGTCCCAGAAGGTGGTGAGCACGCGCTCGACGCCGCGGAAGAGGAAGAAGTCGTGCAGCACCTGGGTGACGGGCTCGGCGGGGGCGCTGGCGGGGCGGTGGTGGCGGGCGGAGCGGGCGAAGGCGAAGGCCAGGGCGGCGGTCAGGCTGGAGAAGGCGAAGACGGCGTGGCAGTTGGCGGGCGTGATGGCGGCCAGCTGCGGGCGGAAGGCGGCCAGGGCGCGGTCCTGGTGGCGCGTGGCGCGCTCGGTGTAGCGGGCGGACGCGGCGGGCGGCGCGGCGGCGGCCAGGTGCAGGGCGGCCAGGGCCAGCAGGCCGTGCATGAGGAACGGGTGCGACAGGGCCTCGCGCGGGATGTAGTGCTTCCAGATGGCCTTGTGCTCGTTGTTGTAGGACAGCGTGCGGTAGGTGTGCGCGGTGTAGTGGTGCAGCAGCTCGAGGTCGGGCAGGTGGAGCGCGTCGGCGGGGGGGGAGGAGGTGGTGGTGGTGGTGGTGGGGGGTGAGAGGGGTGACAGCGGCGCGCTGGAGGAGGAGGCGGTGGTGGTGGTGGTGGTGGTGGTCGTCGGCGTTGTGCGAGCGGCGGCGGCGGTGGTGGAGGACGAGGGCGGAGCGAAGGAGCAGGCGATGTTGTGCTTGCGGCAGTTGGCGCACGGCGGGGGGGCCTCGTCGCACTGCAGGAGTCAGCTAGGAATCGTAGAGCATTAAGATTACGATGTACCTTGATCTTGCGGCGTTTGCACTGCTGGCAGCCCAGGCGCGACTTGCGGTGGCTGCGGCGCGGGCCCATGGTGTGTGAGGAGAAGAAGAAGAGAAGAAGAGAAGAGAAGAAGAGAAGAGGAGAAGAAAGGCAGCCAAGTCGAGTCAAGTAACTAGCTAATAGTAAGCAGAGTAGTAGCGATAATAATAGCAACTAAGAGTAAGCAGAGTAGGACTAAGAGTAACCAGCGCCATAACCTCCCAGCTAAGACTAATGAAGGCAGAGAGTGCATATAAGCTGCCACGCCCGAGCTGTCCGTGAGCTAACTAACTAACTAACTCAAGATAACCAACTTACTACTAGTTAACAGCTAACTACGCATACTACCAAACTACGATGCGCGCGCTGGCGCTGCTCTGGCCCGCGGCGTGCTGCGCGGCGGGCCTGCTGGCGGCCACGCCCGACGAAGCGCCGGCCGCGGCCCTGCTGGCGCTGCAGGCCACGGCGCGGCGACACCTGGACGCCGAGCTGGCCGCCCGCCCGCGCGGCGGCTGCACGCGCGACACGCTGCAGATCCGCACCGAGTGGTAGGTCGTTCATCCATCCCTAAGTCCCTCCCTGGTTAAGTCCTAACTACGAACTATGTACCCAGGCGCGCCCTGCCGCCGGCCGCCCGCCGCCGCTACATCGACGCGGTGTACTGCCTGCAGCGCAAGCCCGGCCTGATCGACCAGCGCCTGGTGCCCGGGGCCAAGTCGCTGTTCGACAGCTTCACCACGCTGCACATCAACCAGACACACACCATCCACAACAATGTAGCGCCCTCCCCTTCTCTGCTCGTCTCTTCGTGGTCCTGACCAGCCAGTTCTCGTTCCTGGTGTGGCACCGCTACTTCGTGCACGTCTACGAGCAGGCCCTGCGCGACTGCGGCTACACGGGCAATCATCCGTAGGTCTCTCTTCACCAACTACCTAGTAGTTATATGTTAACCACGGCGTAGGTACTGGGAATGGGGCTACGACGTGTACGACCCCGCCAACGCGCCCATCCTCGACGGCTCGCCGCTCAGCCTGGGCAGCGACGGCGCGCCGCTGGCGGGCCGCAACGCCACCTGGGCGCAGTGGCCGCCGCCGCCGTTCGCGCCCACGCCCGACCTGGTGGTGGAGTTCCCGCGCGGCACAGGTGGCGGCTGCGTGCAGCGCGGGCCGTTCGCCGACATGACGGTGCACTTCGGCCCCATCTCGCAGGCCGACCAGCGCCACCTGCACCGCATGTTCGCCTTCCGCCCGCACTGCCTGCAGCGCGACCTCAACCCGGCCATCGGCCAGCGCTACCTGGCCTTCAACTGGTCCGTGTGGGCCGTGGCCGAGAGCGCCGACATCATGGGCTTCCAGGCCCGCATCACCGGCGACCGCCGCCAGGGCCACGGCGCCTACCCGCTCAACCGCTTCGGCGCCCACGGGGGGGGGCACTTCTTCGCGGGCGGGATGACCGGCGCGTGTATGCATCTTTAATATTATCTAACTATAGGTATGATCTTATCCTGACAGATTACAGTCTCCGACCTGTACGCCAGCCCGCAGGACCCGCTGTTCTTCCCGCACCACGCGCAGATCGACCGGCTGTGGGCCATCTGGCAGTGGCTCGACATCGCCGCCCGCCGCCACGCGCTGTTCGGCTCGCTCACCTACGAGAACCTGCCGCCCGCCCGCAACGGCTCGCTCGACGATGCCATCGACCTGGCCCCGCTGGCCGCCCCCGTCGCCGTGCGCGAGCTCATGGACGTCGTCGCCGGCCCGTACTGCTACTTCTACGAGTAGCGTCTTCCTCTGTAGTTATTATTATTACTGTAGTTAATATTATTATCTTTAGCTAGTCATTACCATATTATTAGTCATTACCATATTATTATCATATTCCTCCCGCACCGCCGCCCACAGGTTGTCCACCCCCCCCGCCTGCCACCCCGCGTACCGCGCGTGCCGCAGCACCCGCGCCACCAGCCGGCCCTCCGCGCCCACCGCCACGCCGCCGCCCGCCGCCAGCCGCCGCGCCGCCAGCACGCACGCCCGCTTGTGCGCCCGGTGCTTGATCGTGTTGCGCACCTCGAAGTACAGCCACCGCCGGCAGCCCGCCAGCGCCCGCACGCGCTCCGCCGCCGCCAGCCCGTCCAGCTCATCCCGCCCGTCGCCCGCCGGCCCGCCGCGCGTCATCACCCGCTGCTCCACCTCGCTCGCCGTCAGCTCGTACGCCTTGTTCTGCAGCAGCACCGCCAGCTGCTCCGCGCTCGCCGCCGTCTCCAGCCGCAGCGCCGTGCCCGTGCTGTGGTGCCGCAGCGCCCGCCCGCCCGCCAGGAACTCCGCCACCGCCTCCGCCAGCGTCTCCGTCAGCGACGCGTACCCGTGCGCCGCCGCCCCGCGCTGCACCGCCGCCACCGCCGCCGTGAACAGCGGCGTCAGCAGCTCGCTGAAGATCACCCCGTCCGAGCACGCCGGCGTCGGCCGCGCCGTCGTCATCCGCGGGCTGCGCACCAGCGCCGTCAGCCGCGCCGGCAGCGCCGCCAGCTGCGTGAAGTACTTCGACCCGTACAGCTCCGCGCTCAGCGACGCCGCCGTCAGGTGCGCGAAGTCGTGCAGGTCCCACACCGCCCGCGCCTCGTCCAGCAGCGCCGTGCTGGCGCCCGCGAAGTCCTGCCGCCGCACCGCCACGTGCTGCGGCCCGAGTGCCGCGATCGCCCGCGGCGGGATGAGCCGCTGGTGGTGCTCCACCGTGAACCCGCCCGTGTTGATCAGCCGGTGGATGCCGTAGTTGATCGCCCGCGTCGCCTGCCCGTCCGCCCGCAGGAATTCGTCCATCTGCCCGAACAGCGCCCGCTCGCGCTCCACCGCCGCCCGGAATTCGTCGCGGCATTCAGACCGCGTCGCCAGGTACACCACGCCGTATTTCTGCACCGACACGGCCGCCTGCCAGAGGAGCTCATGCGACGCCAGGGACGATAATAGCGCATGTTCGTTGGCTCGCTCGAGCAGAATCCCGCAGCCCTCAAGGATGCATGCCAGGAGTGGCTGCTTGATGGCTCGGACCCAGAACTTGATGGCCGCGTCGTTGTCGAGGTGAGGATGCGCCGGCGCGTGCCCGTCGAGCCACCACGTCGACGGGTCGTACTCCTCAGGGAGGTCTTCGAAAAGGGGCAGGTCGATTTCCGGTGCAATGCAGTTCCGTTTCACAGCCGCTGGCCTCTGGGGCGCTTGTTCGACCGGTCTATCGAGCGGTGCTTTGATACATTGCTCCGACGGATAGATTGCGTTGAGCATGCTGATTCTCAAATGCAGAGGCTTGCCTAGAGAAAAGCTTGGGGAGTATTGTCGATTTGCTGGTGAGGCGCTGTCTGACCTTCAATTTATCTACATACGTACATACCTGCAAATGTCTGAGCGCTCTCCGCGCTGCTCACTTCTCCTAGAACCGTAGGATCTGGACTCGTATTTCCAACCCGAGCAGGCTGCCAATCACGACGGAGCCCAAGAGCTGAAACGAGAAGAGCTTCTTTGCCTCCTGCCATCCGTTTTCCTTGTGCAACATGGGAGCCGCCAGAGGGAGCATTTCCATCCTTGCCGGACCGCCCAGCTGAGAGTGTGCGGCTGACACCAACCCAAAACCGGTTGTGATGTGCTGCATGTACGCACAATCATACAACTCGCATTTGTAGAAGAAACGGTGCTCTCACTGGTTGGCAGAGGGCTTGGATCTCGCGCGAGCTGCAAGTTAACTATAGCTAGTGGTCTTTGATCCCCTAGTCACAAGCTCGTGGGTGGTCCTATGTACGGAGTGGGGTTTGACGAGTCAGGCCCACCAGCACCGTGTTGAACGAATAGCTCGTAGATCTATCCCAGCATAGGCGCGTAGAGGTAGGCACCTAGTTGCCTAGGCCGTGCTTGAGCCAGGGCGTCCAGGAAAGTCATGGGCAGACTAGCGAGCGCCGTGTGACAACCCACGTAGTTACTCCGTACACGCCACCGCTCCAGAAGCCCTCTGGACTGCAAAGAATAAAAAAAAAGCAAAAGAGTGAGCCGAAGCGAAGCAGCTGAACGAGCATGTCGTTTCTCACACCCAGCCGTGTGCAGAGTGTCGTCGACACCAGCTATCGCGTTCATCGCGGGGATGCTGGACCTTTCGCCTGTTTCGGATGCTGGTCGAATGCTGGCCCCCGGCCCAAGGTTGCCGCGTCGATCAAGCCCACACCGCCCGCAAAAGCTTGTCCGCAATAGACTCGCCCTGAACATCTCTAGCCAGCACCGGCGTCGGGTTCTCTCACTCGCGGGTTCTCTCTAGTCGCCCCGGAACTCTAACCAAAAGCACCGGTCTGGCCCAGCCGGGGTTCAAGCTTTTTTTTGTTTCCCTTGTCTGTCCGTCGATCTGAGTTAACTCTATCGCACTGAGACGGGTCAGCCGCTCCGCGAGATGTAGCTAACTGCATCACTAGCTACTTAATCCCGGCTCGGGTTCAGCCGCTGAACTAACTAACGAGTGAATGACTGGATGGCGCGGGAAAAAGCTTGTTGGTTCTGAGCCCGGGTTTTGCCTGATATCGCACCTTCTCCCGCCGACCTCACACCGGCCGTGGAGCTGCCTGCGCGCTTACCATCAGTGCCCAAGACGATGGCCGGCCAGTATCAGGACCCCAAGGCCAGTGAGTCGAGTATGGCCAGCCAGGGCCCTGCTGCCGACGCAAGTCTGGAAAAAGCTGTGGTGGCGAGCGAGAATGGGGAGGAAACGGCCGACGACCAGGTCGACCATGGCCTTCGCGCGTGGCTGACCGTTGCTGGCGCCTGGTGCTGTCTGTTCTGTGGCTTTGGCTGGGTGAACGGTGAGTGTGCTGATAGTTACCTTGAAGGGCCCTATTGTGTCTGACTCAACGGGCAGCAATCGGCGTCTTCCAGGAATACTACCAGACTCATCAACTACGCCACTATTCCACCTCCAGCATCTCCTGGATTCTGTCGCTGGAGCCGTTCGCTCTCTTTGCCGCCGGCATTGTTCTCGGTCGGGTCTGTTCCCCGCATACATGTACCCCTGACGTCCCTAGAGTCACTGCAGCTGGGCGATCGCCCCTCGTGCGCTATTAGGGCGAAGCATTGCGCAGTCCTAGCCATCTCTTCTCTCTCTGTCTCTCTTCCTGGTCTAACCCAGCCATAGGTCTTCGACAGCTATGGCCCAAAATGGCTCCTCCTCATCGGCACCTTTCTACACGTCTTCGGCCTCATGATGACCTCCGTTTCCACCTCGTACTACCAGTTCCTCCTCGCGCAAGGCATCTGCAGCCCCCTCGGCGCCAGCTTCGTATTCTACCCGGCCTCCGCCTGTACCGCCACCTGGTTCGACAAGCGTCGCGCCTTGGCCTTTGGCATCATGTCCAGCGGTTCCTCCCTGGGCGGCATCGTATTCCCGGCCATGCTGTCCCGGTTATTGCCCCGTGTCGGATTCGGCTGGTCGCTCCGGATATCGGCCTTTCTCATCCTGGCATTGTTGATTGTCGCCAACTTGACGATCCGGTCGCGAATAGCGCCTGTCCCTCGCCGGGTTACATTGGGTGACTACCTTGGGCCGTTCCGGGAGTTGCCGTTTGTCTTGCTGACGTTGGCGTCGTGTTGTGGCTTTTTTGCCATGTTCGTGCCAATAAACTATATCATTCTCGAGGCGCAGGAGGACGGAGTACGACGTGACTTGGCTGAGTACCTCTTAACCATGCTGAATGCAGCTAGGTTTGTTGACATTCTAACACCCTATCATGCACTGGCTAATCAAGAGACGTAGTCTACCTGGTCGGATTTTGCCGGGGTATTTCGGTGACAAACTTGGTCGGTTCAACGTCATGATTGCAATGTGTGGCCTATCAGCGCTAGTCATTCTTGCACTGTGGATTCCAGGCACACTGCTCTCACCCGGATCGGCAGCTGTTTACATCGTATTCAGCGTAGCATATGGGTTTGCCTCGGGTGCTTTTGTGGGCATGGTCCCAGCACTGCTGAGCCAAATAACTGCCGATGTAACTAAGACCGGCGTGCGCCAGGGGGTGTTGTATACTTGTCTTAGCATTGCCACGCTGACGGGAAGCCCTATTGCTGGAGCAATTCTGAATAGCCAACACGGAAGATACTGGGGGCTACAGACCTTTGCAGGTGCCATGATGGTGGGGAGCGTGTTCTTCTTCGTGGCGGCGCGCATAGTCCTTGGAGGGATGTCTCTTGACCGGAAAGTCTGATTCAGAATTCATAGACCATAGCCAGCGTGGTGAGTTAATTAATAAAAGTTGTAATATTATTTGAATATGCCGAGCAATCTTAATGCTGGAATGTGATAAGTTAACAGAACACAAGGAGTAGAAATGGAATTTAAAGGCTGCTATATTCGTCACACAGCTGAGCAAGTGTGACATCCAGTTTGGTTAAGCCACGGGGTTGGTGTGTTGTCCAACGGATAGCCACCTTGTTATAAACCTGCTCACACCATTAACGACGATGCTCTATCATAATGCAATGATACATACATTACTCCATTCTGGATGGTGGCGGTGTTTGGCCGATTCTTTAGCAATTTGCTCCATAAAAGCCTTTGATAATCGAGTTAGTAGGGCAATGCTCCCCATAGAGTGACTGGCATGCGACTAACCCAAGTTTGCTTAAACGTCTTGAATCGGATCTCCCGTTCGATCGCCATGCCGTCTGCAGCTAAATGCCATAGCCCACCGCCGCTAATCAACAGGGCATGCACACCAGCCTGAACTGCACCCACGTCTTCGCCCTCTGCGACTACGGGTTGCGGGTCGACATGCTCTGCCACTCCGAAGATCTTGTCTCCAATATCTCCATTAGTATAGGGGATCAAATACCCTGCCTCGTCGCAGCTTTCTGCCAGCTGTGCAACCACCGTCAACCCCACCAAGGGATGGCTGGCAATACGCCGCAAGGCGTCCGGTGCGGCATAGCAGCTCAAGACCACAATGGATTGCCTCTCTGCACGACCGCCAGATAGACGGGAAATCTCGTCGCACAGGTGCAGAATTGTGTCGCCTGTCGCAATGATGGTGTCGAGAATGACGAGCCGTCCGTCATCGGGCCCGCGTGGATATGGCTTCCGGCCTTGCCATTCCGCTAGGACGTCCTTTGTGCCTTTCTTCTTGCTACAACGGACAAGCAGGCAAGATGTAGAGGGGAAGAGGGGCTGCGCGGCGACCAGCATGGGCAGCGCACCGCGGAGAATGGGCACAAGCGTGGTTGTGGCGGTGGTCAAGGACGGATCATGAGACTGCGCAGCGCTGACGATATGGCGGGTCAGTGAATGGACGGTGTTTTGCATCGACTTGGGAGTGGAAGTAGGAGAGCAGAGGGGTGTCATCAAAGGCGCAATATCAGGAGAAGACGAGGAAACCTCAATGATGGGAGATGAGGCAGCCATGCTGTAGCTTCTTTGAAGGTTACTCTATGTTCTATGCAATGGGTATCAAGTGGTTCGAAAGATTTTTGATGTCAAAGTCAGAATAGGAATTATTAGGACATGTGGACCAGACATCTCCTTGCACGGATGATTAAGTGGCGGATATAGATCTCTCCACAGATGCATGCTTCTCGCAGCCGCAGCTGAAATGGCCCGCTGATCATTTAGTTAGTTAACTATGTACGGAGTAGTTAGTCAACTCTCGGCTGGGCCAGCCTGGTCGCCGTTCGTCTGGCCTGCCAGGGTCTTTGTCCGCTTCAAAAGCCATCGTATCGTGGTTTCTGTACTCTGTCTCACGAGCAACACTCAACATACGAAATTGAAACCATGGCAAAACTGGTCATCTTCGACTTCGATGGAACACTCTTCGACACCCACGAGTCCATTGAGCACAGTATCAAACTCACTTTCGACACCCTGCTGCCTGCCCATGTTCCCCCGCAGTCAGAAATCCACCGCCTGATCTCCAGCGGCGCAGGCCTGTCCGACACTTTTCGCGCGCTTCACCCCGCTGCCGAAACATTCGCCGCTACGGAAACTCAATGGATCGACAAATATCGCGAGTTATACGCTGTCCATGGCCAATTGCTCATCAAGGCATTCCCCGGAGCCAAAACGCTTCTCGAGGAACTGAAGGGCCATCACATCCCCACTGTCATCGTTAGCAATAAGGGTGTTGCAGCTGTCAAGACCGCACTGGAGCGTAACGGTCTGGAAGGATATATCCCCGAGGACTTGATTATCGGCGATAAAACACCAGGAGCGTTAAGGAAGCCCGACCCCTCGAGTTTTGTCAACGTCCTCGTGCCCGCATTGAAGGCTCGTGGAATCGACGGTGTGCAGGCTAGCGAGGTGCTCGTGGTAGGCGATACAGTGGCTGATATTCAGTTCGCGAAGAACATTGACGGCCGCGTGTGCTGGTGTCGGTATGGATACGGCGATCGTGAGGCGTGCGAGGCCATGGCACCCGATTTCGTCGTCGATTCGTTAAACCAAGTCGTTAGCATCGTGCGGAATGTGTGAGCAGTGAGGATCCTTTTGTAAGACGTGTCATGTTTAGCAGAGTGCTTTTCCACATAAACATTGTCTTTGGCCTCGATGGGAATAATGATATGTCGCGATCTGGATGGTACTTATGCCAAGGATCAATTAAAACTTCGCTTCAGACAAGGCAAGAATAAAATAGGGGTAGAGATACAGCATGTTTAGTTAATCGATAGGTTCGCTAATAGCTAAAAAATTCCAACAGAAAATATATGAATAGGATTGCTTTGATTCGTCCTATAACTATATGACTCTACTCTGGCTATTTTAGGAATGTTGGTACTCTTTAGTGAAATCCCTTCAGCAAGAGTACTGTATAGCTTCAAAACGGTGGCCCGGGGCTCTAATTTCCAGCATCGCAGTTCATTGGTGCCCAAGCATTTGGTGGAGCAAGCTTTTGAATGTGCTCTCTTCGTATTCACTTAGCCATTTCTTGTTAGGTTAGTACAGCGCTGTGAGAACAGGCAGGGCCCAGAGTCAGAATATTAATTAGAACTTTGCAGAGAAAGTTCCTATAGAATTGTATAAATTTGCTAGTTGACTAGCTGGTTAGTCATTCCTTACTCCGTACTCAGACTGCCATTAGTTTCGCTTGCGCTAAGTTTTGTTGGTGTAACTACCAAACTAGGTACCTAGTCAACAAAACAAAACAAACCAGAAGAGAATTTGGAGCGCAATACGGAGTATATAAAAATACACTTACTAGAGTCGAAGGTTCAGCGAATTACTATGTCTCCAACAGATATGAGTGACTTAGCAGCCAGGCTGGAGAGGATGAAGGACGAGGATTACGCGAAGAAATGCAGGAAAAGGGCCATGAAAGACAAGGTAAGTGGCCAGCTTTCGTGGATGCCTTTCAATTTAGGTGTTGACTGCCTGCAGGGCATCACCTACTTGGCTTGCTCGAGCAAGGGATACAATTCTAGGCTTTATCATCTATCGTGCTCATCCCTGGCTTCAACGTTTTATAATTCGATTTTGCCCAAAATACTTGCTTATCAGCCTAGGCCGACGCATTCGAGAACAAGGAGATGAGCTATTGAAAGTTGGTCCACGTGCCAAGCCGAGCCTAACACTCCCCCTGGCCCTGTGGGCGGTGGGCTTCCATGGGATATCTTTGGGGAGACTTTGGCGGAAATGCTTGCTTCAATTCCGTTAAGGATTTGAACCTTTATCTAAACAAACGGCTGAAAACATATTAACAAATCTGTTGATGTTGGACCATGCTATCCCCTTGTGCTATGCCATGGTGATCTGGTTCGGAGAAATATCATTGTCTTAGATGACAGCAAGGGGGAGGGTACTCGTCCTTTAACTGCTGTTACAGAGAAAAAGCTGGGACTGATAGATTGGGGCCATTCCGGGCTTTACCCACGCATATTCGAGTTTGTTGCGATGGAATCTGTGAATGAGGGACACTATGATGATCCACATAGAGGAGATCAGTTTGCTGAGGCCCTAAAGAAGGCAATGTATGATAGGATAAGACTAACTGCAGTTGAGATGGAATGCCTTCGGAAGCTCTTATATGCCCGGTCGCTCAATTTAAGATATGAACCGTCATTCTTGTACGTTCATGTTCAACGCCCACTGATGGTTTTTGTGTTTGCTAACTTGGCGCGGGTATATAGTGAGGAGGCTTGGCAAGGTCACGGGTAGTTCCTTGGCCCTCGCTGCCCAGCACGTGATGCGCAGCTCGCGACGCGCCTGTGGAGCAAATCGATTTCGCGATCTTAATTGCTTCCTGACGCGACTTCCTTCTGCGCCAACGACAACCTCGATGGCCGCCAACACGGCATTCAAAACATCGTTACGTTAATTTCGCTCTTTTATCTATATGATGGCAGAATCCCTTTTAACGCCCCAGAAGCGGGTGCTTGGTGATTCCACGAAAACTCGCGGGAACCTTCGACCGATATCGCCCAACGCGACTAAGAAGCGGAAGCTCGATTCTCAACCCGATGTTCTTACGAAACCTCATTTGCAGCCAGACTTTCGAAAACGCATCACCCCGGCATCCAGTCAATCGCAACAAAAGAGCCAGTTTGTCGAAGAGGTCCTGGAGAAATTAACACAGGACATAAGTGATCTTAAAGAGTCCAATGCAGAAAAGGATCAACAATGGAGGCGCCCGAGCCTTGGTGGCTTTGACCCAGCTAAGGATTCTCTTTGCTTTCAGCAGATTGAAGCCGAAGAAGGAATACTAGATCGCAGTGGAACCGCAGTAAAGCTATTTGGAGTTACGGAGGTATTGTTCGAATACAAAAAACTCTCCATACTTAACTTACCTAATGTAATTGCCATTAGGCTGGTCACTCCGTTCTTTTACATGTAACCGATTTTAAGCACTATTTGTATGTGGCGGCGCCCGTATCCTTCGAACAGTCGGATTGCGCGGCTTTTCAGTCCTACCTTGAATCCCAACTAGCGATGCACCAGCCTGCTATACACTCGGTGCGGATGGTATTAAAAGAAAACCTTTTTGGCTTTCAGGGTAATCAGCGAAACCCATATCTCCAGATTACTGTGACCGACCCGAAACATATCCATAGACTCCGATCGATAATCGAAAATGGAAACGCAAATTTTAGGGGGCTTTGGAAGGTTGCTGGTACAGATGGTATTCTTACTTTCGATAATATCCAATATATCTTGCGATTTATGATCGATACTGGGGTGAGTTGAACCTGTGCGGTGCATTGCTTGGGTTTCTCTGTCTAACTATGGGTCTTTGGATAGATCTCCGGAATGTCGTGGGTTGAAGTTCCTCCATCTAAGTATGACATGCTTCCTCCTAATCGTCGTCAATCGAACTGCCAAATAGAAGCAGCTGTACATTATCGCGACCTGATAGCTCATCCGCACGACGGTGAATGGGCAAAAATGGCACCATTAAGAGTTTTGTCCTTTGATATTGAATGTGCCGGCCGGAAAGGTATTTTCCCTGAGCCACAAGTCGACCCAGTGATCCAAATTGCGAACATTGTTACCCGGTATGGAGACTCCAAGCCCTTCGTCCGAAACGTATTTGTCTTGGATACTTGCAGCTCGATAGTCAATACTCAGGTTCTTGAATTCAATGATGAAGCAAAAATGCTGAATGCTTGGAGAGATTTTCTGGAAGAGGTTGACCCAGATGTAATCATTGGATACAACATTGCGAACTTCGACTTCCCATACTTACTTGAGCGTGCCCAACACCTCAAATGCAACAAATTTCCGTTCTGGACAAGGCTCAAAAACACCATTTCACAATCAAAAGATACCAACTTTTCAAGCAAACAGATGGGTAACAGGGATACCAAAGCGACCAATACTAATGGAAGGATTCAGCTTGACCTTCTTCAATTGATTCAACGTGATCATCAGCTCCGGAGCTACACGTTGAACTCCGTTTGTTCCCATTTTCTTGGGGAACAAAAGGAAGATGTTCATCACACTATGATCACCGAGCTATTCAACGGTACGCCGGATTCGAGGCGACGTTTAGCAGTGTATTGTTTAAAAGATGCGTATCTTCCACAGCGCCTTATGGACAAGCTCATGTGTCTGGTAAATTATACTGAGATGGCTAGAGTCACTGGTGTTCCGTTTAATTATTTACTATCTCGAGGACAACAAGTCAAATTCATCTCTCAACTCTTCCGGAAAGCGTTAGAACAAAAGCTGGTCATCCCAAATATCCGAAATGAAATTGGCGAGGAGCAATATGAGGGTGCGACTGTCATTGAGCCTGTCAAGGGCTATTATGATGTACCAATTGCTACACTCGACTTTGCCTCTCTGTACCCCAGTATTATTCAGGCGCATAATCTTTGCTATACAACTCTCTTAAACAAGACAAGTGTGGAAAAACTTAAACTAGAGAAAGGTGAAGATTATATTGTCACGCCCAATGGTGACATGTTTTGTACTGCGAAAGTGCGAAAAGGCCTTTTAAGTCAAATTTTGGAAGAGCTGCTCTCGGCCAGAAAACGTGCCAAAAAAGATCTTGCTACAGAGACGGATCCTTTTAAGAAGGCTGTTTTGAACGGACGACAGTTAGCTCTCAAGATTAGTGCCAACAGTGTTTACGGTATTACGGGTGCTAGTAACGGAAAACTCCCCTGCTTAGCTATTGCTAGTAGCACGACATCATATGGCCGACAAATGATTGAGAAAACCAAAGATGAAGTGGAGGCGCGTTACACAATTGCGAATGGATATGCTCATGATGCAAAAGTTATATATGGCGACACTGATTCTGTGATGGTAAAATTTGGCGTTCAGGATTTGCCTGAAGCTATGAAGCTTGGACAAGAGGCCGCCGATTTTGTCTCATCGAAATTTTTGAAGCCAATCAAGCTCGAATTTGAAAAGGTCTATTTTCCATATCTTCTAATTAACAAGAAACGATATGCAGGTCTCTACTGGACCAATACGGAAAAGCACGATAAAATGGATAGTAAAGGTATCGAAACTGTCCGTCGAGACAACTGCCGCTTGGTTCAAACTGTCATTGAAACCGTGCTTAAAAAGATCTTGATCGACAGAGATGTCGGTGGGGCGCAGAGGTACGTCTCCAAAACTGGCTAAAGAGAAGCCTATGCTGACACACTCACGTAGATATGTTATGGATACCATCTCCGACTTGCTTCAGAACAAAGTGGACATGTCGAAGCTTGTCATCACGAAAGCGCTTTCTAAATCGGGTTACAAAGCCAAACAGGCCCATGTTGAATTAGCGGAGCGCATGAGAAAGCGCGATGCTGGCTCAGCACCCACACTTGGCGATCGTGTTGCCTATGTTATCATCAAAGGTGCTGGAGGCTCCAAAAATTATGAAAAGTCTGAGGATCCCATTTATGTCCTTGAAAATAATATCCCTATCGATACAAGATATTACCTTGACAACCAGCTTGCAAAGCCACTTGCTAGGATTTTTGATCCTATTCTTGGCGAGAAAAAGGCGTCCCAGCTACTCGCCGGTGAACATACGCGATCAATATCGGTTGCTGCACCTACTCTGGGGGGTTTAATGAAATTCGCGAAGAAAACGCAAACCTGCATGGGCTGTAAAAAGCCACTTGTGGGAAAAGATGAGAAACCTGGCGCTGTCTGTGACAACTGCCGACCTCGACTTGGTGAATTGTACAACAAGACACTAAATAGAGTGTCCGATTTAGAGGTACGCTTTGGCCGACTGTGGACTCAATGCCAAAGGTGCCAGGGGAGTCTACACTGCGAGGTCATCTGCTCGAGTAGAGATTGCCCTATTTTTTACATGAGAATGAAGGCAAAGAAGGATGTGGAAGATTCGGAAAGAGAACTAGCGAGGTTTGATCATGATCCAGGTGCTTGGTAAAAGCAAAAATTGGAAGTATCTTATCTATAACAGTATGATGACCAGGGTAGCGAGGATTGGGGCTCTTGTGACTTCAACATATTATGTTATTTCTATCCATGCAGTGATGACATCGTTTGGACTGATCGGTTCTAATATTTGCCCGTTAGCTATATGATATTGAGGTAGGCATAATGGGCGGGTTGAATATGCCGAGGCTTAGAGAAAGCGGCATGCTCTCAAGGAGATTGCGATTACGCAGTTGCGGTGTATTTGCCACAAAAATACAACGCATACTCTATATACGAATAGTAAAGCAAAAACTGGATCTGATGTTTACAAACTGCAAGAGATCTAGGAAATAAGCTTAACGTAATTAAGCTTTACAAGCGTCTTTCGACTTCAGCCAACTGCTCCGCACTCCGTAGTTCGCTAGTTAGTTAGTTAACTAGGCTGATTTCTAACGTTAGTAAAGGACTTCCTTGGCACAGAACTGGCCACCAATCAAGAGGGGCTGAATTCAACATCAGAATACTTTTGCCTCAACCTCCGCTGCACGTTTTTGACCCAGATTACATGGTCTTATCGTATCGATGGCCGAAATTTTTGGCTATCGCTGCCTTCCATTTTGCTACATAATTTTGAAGCCGAATATTGCTGAATAGGGGTGTTGGAGCGGTATGGGGGAAGGAAATACCTCCCGAGAAAAGGCCATGCCATCAGCATGGACAGAAGTCAGTGTTAGCTCTCCGATCATGATACCCTCGGACTCAGACCGCTGATAGGTATTCTAGCTACTATCACAGCATGAATCAAACTTGAATACCCACCTGGAGCTGTGTCACGTGATACATAAACAACTCGCTGCTTCCTCTGACTCAACGGCCGCAATCTCATCAATCATCACGGGAACGCAGCAGTTAATTCAGGATTTGGAGAAGATTCAAGCTGAGCTAGTAGGAAACACCTCCTATCCATCTTCTACAATGTTCTGACCCCGTTACCAAGCTTCCCGGTATCGCAACTAACACCTCTGACTCAGACCTCAACATGAGTGGCGCGAGAAAGCTACCTTCGACTGAGGTATCCGGACGCGAAGCTCGAACTAATTCCAAGAATTTTAAATGTGACAGTCAACAAACGTCGGCATGCCAAACCAAATCACCTGTTGGGCTGCCGATAAATCCCGACCGAAAGCGGCGTCGTGATGAAGCTGCAAAGGAAAGCTGCACTCAACATGGCCAGAGCGCCAATATACGAAAGAAAAGAAAGATAGGGCTTTTAATACATAATCATTCCATATCCATGGCTGATCCTAACAGCCATCCAAATTATACCCCTACAGTCAACCATGAGGATATATCAGATGAGGTGGAAGCTCGTTTGAAGTTGAAAGAAATAGCCCGTCGCAATATCAATGGTCAACGAGAGAAGAAAAGGAAAAGAGACGGTTCACAATCGCCGTCTGAGTGTACTACTATTGACAGCAGTACCATACTAAGGCGGAAAAGGTTGAGAACTAAAAATGGTAATGGGTGAAACACTTCAATTGGAGATTACTAGGGCCTAGGAATGGAGCCAGTCTGTTATACGCGAAGCCTTTGTGATACCCATTCATGAAATCGACGGAGGAAAAAGCACTGTGGTGACGATCCGTTGGTGTGATTTAATTCGCATTAGCCCTGTTTTCGAGTTGGGATAAATTCATATTTTTATTTGAATCTCGCTGTCTAACAACATATTCCATACCAACTTCCAAACCATTTTCCCTCTTCTGGGGAGGGCCTTCCCTGTATTTTTTCAGAGGTGGCCATCGCCTCCCAAAGTGTATTCCCCAGCTTCCCCAAGAAGCCCAATGGATACCACCCCTAAACAGCCATGCCCTTTTGTTAATGCTCTGCCGACAGGGACCAACGCATATGGGAGAGAATCACACTGTATACTGTACACGGATTGGCAAATTAACGATTGCTGAAAGGCTTCAGCCGTTGGGCCCCCAGAAGCGTCAACACGCACTACCAGATTCCTTTGTCTCCCAGTTGAGCATTTCCAGCCATGCTGATGGCAACTCCTGCCCTGTTTTCTGCTGAAGAGACCAACTCAGCGGTTCTTTGAGTGATTCCGGATCACCACCTTTTGCCTTCGTCGACCGAGGATTCCTGCTGGAGTTCCATGCTTCCCTGATATTTGATGATATGACTCTTTCCGTGGCGAGTGCTCCCTCCCAGTTATGCCCCTTCCTCCGTGGGTATAAATTCCCCCTCCCTCGCCAGCTGCCTCTCTCTCTTTTTCTGTTTCTCTGAAGTCGAATGCTCTTGAGACAACTCTTACTTGCTGTCCCCCCTTAACAATTTTCTCAGCCTTACCACCGCCGGTTCAAGCGCAACTCGCCCTTTTGATCAGCTCCCCCTTAACACCTGTTCAACAGCGAATCGATCACTATGGACGCTTTCCGCAACACCGCCGAGACCTCATTTTTCTCCGCCTCTCTTTCGCAGCCATTCCCTTCGCCCTACCTCGACAGCAACAACGACGCCGCGTTCACTGTAAGCTCTTTCACTTTTGTAACTGTTCTTGACGTGCTGCGGATTCACCTTTTCCTTGCCTCCATCTCAGATTCTACCTCAGGCGAGTACTAACTTTCGAAGGAGCAACCGTGCGGCAGCGAGAGCCGCCCGAGCACTCCGGTTCTTGGGAGTCTTGCAGAGGTGAGCAGTCATCGGAGATTTTCTTTTCTCTCAGTACTAATCTATGTCGTAGGGCATTGCTCCTTCACTTTGCTGGAGTGTGAGCCGCCCCGGCGTTCCCATTCTCGGGGATCTTGCTGCTGTCAGTGTTAATCGCCAATGTTCTCTTTTGCAGTGCTAAGCTTTGGTATAGGGCATTGCTCCCGCGTGCGTCTGGACTCTCTCGCCCACACCAGAGTTCGGGGACCTTGATGTGGTGAGTTGAAACCACAGGTATTCTTCTCTGGCGGAACTAATCTTTATTCCAGGGCGTTGCTCCTCCCCCCTCCCCGTCCGGCGTCGCTACAGACCCGTCATATAGCGGCGCCGGTTCCCTTGATACCGATCGCTATATCGGTATCATGGAAGGAGAGCGGCCAACGGTCCCCTTGTTGGTAGTAACGCCACCAACGCCACCGGGGGGCCAGCCGACTCTTGCCAACCCCGTATCCTTGGGTTGGCACTATGGGCAGACGCCTGCGACCATGGCACAGGCGCCATGTTCATATTCTTTGAGCCCGGAGGTGGCTCAAGTAAGGGAGGCCCCAACACAGCTGGGGCTGTCCCTTAAAAATCGACCTTCGACGCCGATCCCGGTGATTCGTGAGCCGACTCCGACACCGATGGATCAGTCGGATTGTCGCCGGCCTCGCCGGCTACAACGGCTGCCTCGTCCTGTGTACGACGAGAAATATCTTTATCCGGGGTGGTACCCCAGAAACCGGAGGCCCAGGAAGAGGCGGCGTCGGGGTTGAAGCGAGGTAAAGGTCCTTCGCTTTTGCATGGCTTGAGCTCAGCCCTGCAAATAAAAAAAAACCCAAAAAACACCACCGCGAAAATCGCCGGTCCCACGAGCGCCGATTCAATATCAAAATACCGATACGGCACCGATTAAAAGTCGAACGGGCAACTTAACAGACAACCGGCAGACACCATGGAGTGGTGGACTATCATCAGTGGCAGTTGAGGACACTCTTTTCCCTCTACACGGTTTTTTTAAAGTTTCCCGTAAAAACGGGTTTTTGCCGTGCCAGTCTTGAGGGTTTTTATCGAGGCCTCAACTGCCATGGAATTACATGTGTTTTGAAATTTGAAATGTCATTGAGGGTGGCCCCTTGCCTGACCAGCAGGTGGTTGCCCATACACATGTATATATTCCTGAAAAACAACTAAACACATTACTACAAAGCTTCCAGGTATAGAAAGCTCTTCATCAAGTGTTGGTGCCGTAGACGTCTAAAAGAAAATCACAAAAAATATTTCCAGCGTCTTACATAGCATACTATTTTGTGTAAGGGGCCTAGCTATCATATAATATTCGTGGGGGTTCAAGCTATAGCCAGCGTGCAGGTCTTCGCTATACCAAGAAAGCCGTAGCAGAGGGTGCAAGGCTGCGACAGATCCGTAATACCCCTTGATACATATGTCCTAAAGGGCGATAGGAATAGGATGGTGGAAGTTTGGTTGAAGCTACCGATAACGGTGAACAACCGACCTGACCTTGCCCGTGGTTGGGGATTGGAGCTTTGAGTGGCTTGTATTTCGTGAATCCAAATGTGATGACCATCAGGAATGAGCTTCAATCATCAAGCACGACTGGCCGAGGAGGCATTTGGCCTTTATGAGCTGCATCATCAAATCACAGTTCAACCCCTTTTCCTGAATGATGGAGCGGAGTGTCAAAATACGACTGGCTGTCTTAAATAAAATTCCTAGGTATTCAGGACTTCGTATCGTTTCCAGAGGAGTTCTCATTGTGCTCGATGTCCTTGGGCACTCCAATCGCATCCCGGATATGGTCCATAATCAAATCACCGTACCCCTTTCCCTCCTCCAAGGCTTTTCTTTCCTCGGCGATCCTTTTCTCTCTCCATCCTTCCTTCTCTCCACCCATCCAAATTTGTTTTCCGAGATCAGACAGCCCACCGGCATGCCCTTGGTCGGCTTGTTGTAGTGGACTGTGTCGTATTTCCTGCTGTCTAGCTGCTTCCCTGGCCTTTTTCAGCTGTTCTCTTACTTCTTCCGCTCGCTCCGTAGGAAGATCTTTGAGCATGCTAGGTGTATGGGAGCCTTGAAGACGTGCTCCCAATCGATCCATAATGCTCCTGCCGGTCTGGTCGGCAGTTAGATAGTTGGCGGAGAAGAGGAACGCGGAGGCAAGTGATATCGTGTAGAAATCTAATTTTCGAGGAGGAACAGCGATTAAAACAGGCGCGGCAATCACAAAAGTTATGGAGGCATAGCGTTTGAAGAGGTGGTATTCTTCGGAGCGAGGTAGAGGTTGTGTAGTAGTACTGGCATTTGAGGAGCTCATTATGATAGAGTGCGGTTCGGCTGGGGTCTATTTTACTATTGCCGAAGGCTACTGGCAGCGTAATATAATAAAGCTGGAACTGTATAGCTCTTGGTCCAGGCGAGGAGTAATTAATAGCTCTAGAGATCCGAGTTCGTTGAAAAGCCCTGATGTTTCGCCCGAACCATTTTGCCACTAGGGAGTAACGTATAAGATGCTTCTATTGGCTGAATCCTGTAATTTTTGATTGGACATTACGTTACAGCTAACTAGCCTATTTCCGAAATCGCCTATCACAGACAGCCTGCTGGCAACAATACGTAAAAAATAACCTTTCTTTCTGCTTCATCTCAAAGTCCCTTCGCTCTATTTTATTCTCTCCCGAATGCATTAATTGTAGTGAATGCAAGGGAACACTCCAGCAACAAACCATCCCCTATTTACCAGCTGATCGCATCCAAATTTATCGGTTTAATTTCTTGTTTTGGCGCTGCAGCAAATTTGACTGTCCCGTCTTTATTGTACCCACCTGCCTCAATGACTCCTCCGGATATATCATCAATGATTTTGCCTAGGTTGCTTGACAAGCCAACATTACAGCGTGATGTGGCTGATTCAACGTGGGCAACAAGTGAAGTCGTGGTTTTGAATGGGCGAAAACAGACCGGACAGCTATGCCGGGTGAATGGGGTCAGCGTGTGCTATCGTCTCGTGGAACTATGAACTTACTAGACGACCCCTCCATCATGGATCCCGGAGTTCAAATGGTCGGATATTTCCTCCGGGGTCTTGAATACTTTATCACAAGGACAAACATATGCCCCAAGTACAGTATTATACAGCTGGTCGGTGTCCCAGAGAGTAAAGTGCTCCTTCAGTCGCTTTTCACCGCTCTCCATTGGCGGCGCTTCGCCCCAGTCATCCAACTCGCCGGTCTCTTCCTCATTGGCGGCCATATTGCTGTCTTCAGTATCATCTATTCCGAGGTCCGAGAAGGCCATAAGGTCATCATTGTCGCATTTTTCCTTTCCATTTTTATCATCTAGAACCATTGTGGGCCACTGCTTGGTGCTGTGTGTAATACCGCTTATTTCGGAGGTCGCATCATCCAACTCTTCATCTCCGATGCTGGCCCTGGCGACGATATCCCTCATTCTCCTTTCCGGGATCGGAAGCTCAGAATCGTCCAGGATATTCAGCCTCACGCCACCGTCGAGACTTTCGGCAACTGACGCCGTAGTTCCACATGCCCCAGGAAGGGCTCTCCTGCCTCCTATTTGACTCTCTAATGCCGCTCTAGTCGCGCGTTTTTGTATCCGTTGAGCTCTATACTGCTCTTCAGTAAACCCCTCACAGCTTCCGCTTTCGACATGAGCCATAAGAGCATAGGCACGACTGAACGTAGCATGACAGCCGACACATGTGATCTTTTGCTCTGCGCGGTGCATCTACCAGCAAGTGATAAGAGAGTCGATTTTTGTTAGCGAAATTGAACAGAGATAAATGAATCAGAGCTTCAGCAGTTTTGCAGGGTAATACAGCAACAGTACCTGGACAAGATGCAGACCACGCCCACCCTCACTTTTAAAGTCATCCCCACAGATGGGGCAGGCAATATGTTTGGTACTCTGGATCTTATGAATCATAAAACTTTCTTCGTCTTCGAAGTCCTGGTCGCATTTATGACAATATTCATGCTGTGGACTGTATTTCTTGTGCTTCATAAGCTCCCTTTCACTGGAACATATATAATTGCATCCTGCGAAGGTACACCTTAACTGGCGAGCAACCTGGTGTTTACAGGGCTCCATATTGGGCAAGTCGCTCGTGTTGACGGAGAGAAATATGTATGGTCAAGATATAGGGATCAAATGAGAGTAGTTGGCGCGGGGAATGCCATTGTTTTGATTGGGAAAATTTTAGCACCAGAAAAGGACCAAAATACATGTCACGCATCCTTTTACGGACTAGTTAATATATGGAATTCAGAGCGACACCGACGCCTTTAAAGAGCAGCTCACTAATAACTGTGTGCCCAATATAAAGCAAAGCTGGAAGAGGTAAGCTGTACCCCAGAGCACATTGTGTGAATACTATGCTAATATTTGGTACATTACATAGTACTAGGTGGTTTAGTTGCTAATTTGCAACTCGCCATTGCCACAATTCATGGTTGGTGACAGCTTGCTTAGCAATTCCGGTTGTTTCTGGGTATTTCCATTGTTCTGCTATAGGTGGTAAAAAAAAAGAGGATCAAGAAAAGGCAAGAGTAAGAACAACATTACAACCGAGATGTATCCTGTGATTTAGAATCTTGAGTATGGAAGCCTATATTCAATTCCCTATTAGTACTTCGAAGATTAGGGAAGCGAAGTAGGGGAGGTGCGGACCATTTCCCTCTCAATGTAATGACTGCCCAGTTGTTACCATCTGCATCAGTCTCCTTCTCCACATTTGTTGAAAAGGATATGGCACTCATGATTCCATCTCCGAACTTTTCATTCAGGATGGCTTTATACGCATACCCATAGTTCTGCACAATTTCGTACAACCGATATATCAGCGGTTCGCGAGGAGGCATCTCCACTGAGCGTCCTCGGTCTGGAAAGCCACTCATTTGCATTTCCAGTGCCGTGGCAGGAAGACGTAGTAGCTCGGCGAGTTTGTGGATATCTTCCTTCGATGCCTTCGCTTGGCCATAGAAGATAGCAGCAGTGGCTACTTCATTTCGGCCAATGTGCTGGGCAATCTGCTCAAAACTGAGATTTGCTTTAGCTTTAGCGTCGAATAGGAGAGAGGAAGACTGCGGAAGGTAGGGATGTTGGCTAGACTGCAGGTTGTTAGAGTGCATTTCCAACTAGTCATCAACACACTAGCCCTTGAAGGCGATTCCCGAAGTTTGTTTACAAGGCACATACATCTAACGTTGCAAGACCAGCCATGGTTGCCATTAGGAGGAGGAAGAACTTATTTATCAAGAGCTGAATTCAGACTAGGAATTATTATCGACGTCTCTTGCTGGTGGGATGAAGCAGCACCACGCCTTGTGCGGAGCAGCTTCTCCAATGCGGGGTAGCCATCGTCCGTGAGGGGCAAAGACTGCTGAGTAATCACTGGAGCTGACTCAGGCGCGACAAGACAAATTCGGCAAAACAAAGCAAATGTCCATTGGGCAACATGCAGCCGCCCATGTTGTGCTTCACAGACCACCCACCCGCCGCGAAAATGTCTTTCTTCTCTCTCATCACCCTCGAGGCAGTGGACGACGACTGGGCAATCTGCGGATATGCTGCCTGAAATCTTGGTTGGTAGCTACCGACAGTATAAAGAAGACACAACAACCTTCACCACATGGCTTGCCCAGCAGGCAAAGGCTTGTGGCTATACGGAACCTTCGCCAAGCCATGGAGCTGAAAACAAGGCTCCGGCTCGAGCCCCTCCTGAAAACCCGAAGCCGTCTGTTTCTACGGCGCCCAGGCTAAAAGGTAAAGCTAGAAAGCTTGCGAAGGAGGAGGTGAAATGTGAGGATATTCCTGAAATACCGGACCCTGCTCCAAGCGTAAAGTATAAACTGTCAACTCAGGAGATCCTCTTGCAGGTCAATGCTGTGGCAACATGGACCAAAAAGCGGATTCGAATGCCCTTAAGTGTCCAGAGGGTTCTCATGCGGGCGATTAACGCGCGGAAACGTTGCGTAGTCTGGTTTCAGAAAAAGGGGATAGACGACGCTTCCTCTCAAGGCCATTCATTTTTTATTGAGGTTCTTGAAGCTGCCTATGCGACTTTAAAGGGTCCGGAAGAACGTCCCCGGAAGCAAGCTCGACCTACCAAGACAGTGTCAGACAAAAACGCTACTGAGCTAGGGTAGGCGGCCTAGACCAGTACTTCTTCTATTTTATGGCTTACTCGTTCTTAGGAATCGCTTCGCAGCTCTTAATGTCGAATGTATAAGTGACTCTTTGAACAGCAATATATCAGATGCATCAGAGTCTAGCAAAGATTCGAAGAAGAAAAAGAAGAAGACAAATCCGAAGTCTAAAAAGATAGACTCGGTTATCTATGAACCTGAGATTGACATGGTTTGGGAAGCCCGTTTTACACTCTTCTGCTTTTTCGAGGACCTTCATAACATTCAAAAGGAGATAGCTAAAGTATGGACAAAATTCAATGCCAATGAGGTAGATTTGGTTTCCGCTGCTGTGATAACACTATCAGGAATTGAGCTTGTCCGCCGCGCCGAGAAAGAAATGTACCATACCTATCCCGAGGTATTCCCACGCAGGTCCTATATGGATATTATTCATTTTCTTTGTTGCTTTACTCCGACGCTTGAGGTCAAAGGATCAACGCCTAATCCAACTGTGCTCGAGGTGAATGCATTTGATGAGTTTGTCTATCTTCCGACTGCCCACATACTCTTTAAATTCTTGGCTGTCAATGATATTGATCTCTCAATGGGCCCCTGGCCTCCTGCTATTGTTCCTCTGGCACGGCGTTTCGTCGATCCAATACAGCCGGAGGAAAATAACGAATGGGAACGAAAAACAGCAGATGAAGACTTGTTTCTCTCTCAGTTGCTACTGGATATGATTCTCCAAGACAAAATGGCTGGCGTGGCTCGCTCCATGGAGATTAATGATCGGTTCAAGTATTCAACTTTTGTCCATGATGATTTGAAGAGTTCCCTGCACGATAAGCTGACCGCTAGCACATGCGATATTTGGAGAAATGGAACTCTATCTGTATACCATGTTTTCTTGGCTAGAACAATCCTAGACATTCGTCAGGTATGCGATAAGTCTTTTCAAGGTGCCGGATTCCTAGCCAGGGAGGGGTGGTATGCCGCCGCCACCTTCCAGTTCTCGCTGAGCGATCACCACACACTGAATACAGGAGATGTCGACTGGCCAGCCAAAGATTCTCCACTTCTCAAACAAATTTTCCAGCTGATTGGGCTGAAATTCCTTCGTCAAGTTGATGGATTCATGAAAAGGGAGAAGATACGTTCTTACCAGGCTAAGAACATCACTAGGCGCGCTACCAAAGAGGATATGGAGGCTGTGGCGAGGAGACACTCAGAGGCCCATGGTAGGGATTTTGAGGAAGTTTTACAAGGGCTCCAGACTTGTAATCACCTGCAGCTTATTGAACCGAATCAGGACTGCAATTTTATGGCAGACAAAAACCCCCTATACACAGGCCTTTGTATGCTGAACCTTGCAGTGCACGTTGGGGAAGCAGGCATTGAACTAGCAAATGAGTATCAGTCTATCTTCGCAGTTGCCCACATTTTCAATGCTTGGAAACACATTGGTCATGCTGAGGCTCTTGGAATTGAATGGCCTGAGATGGAAAAACTGCTTGAAGCGCAGCTGGGACCTCTATTTGCTGGGGAGTACCCCACAACCCCGGAAACCATGTACTCACGGTATCTCTTCCGGTCGGGCTGCACAAGTGCTGGAAGTACAACGTTCAAAAAGAAAAAACCGTGGAGGTTTCAAATCCAGACAGCGAAAGCCCTTCGTCAGTTACTCGGGAATGAAGAGCTAGTGGAGGAAGGTCTAGCAAGCTTGCAGGAGCAATTTGAAAGCCGGGAGAAAAGGTTACCGGGCAATAAGACAGCGTCTAAAAAGGGAAAGGCTCCTCGCTCGCTTACGCCGCTTCAATTCATGCGACAGCTGGAAAAGCATATTCCCGCACTAATCAAGCAAATGCAAATCGACTACGTTGGCCTCACACGACTCTGTAATGACTTGATGCAGCGTGTGCGTATGGCGCTGGAATCGCGCTTGGATATCACATTCGCCCGCTATGACCATGAGGACGAGAATGTGTATCTCGCAGTGGCTAATTTTATTCTGGAGAACAACGCTTCTGCGCTCAAGGAATTTTACAAGGTTGCTAGGTCTGGAGAGCAATTCGGCGGAGGTTCTGGAATCCTAGTTGCGCTCGACATTTTCGAAACGTTCCACAAGGACTTTCAGGATAAAGATGGGGAAGCGAGAAGACATGTAGACCGTCAAATGTGAGGCTCATAATGTGGTGATGATTTTGTACGGGCGGAACTAGGGGATATAACTCGCCGTAAAGAATCGTATTGCTAATCTAGTCTATTTGGATACGTACCAATCCATTTTTGCTTTGTGTACTCAGTTTAGTTTCTTTGCATTCTATAGCAACGCGGCTTGATTTCTCGGTGCTATGCTCACGAGCTGCAAAATGGGAAGGTCAACGTGTAGGAAGGAGGACCCACCACTCCTCCAAAAGTACACTCGTCCAGGCAGACACAATGCGCATGGAGAGAGCAACATACATCAAACAATCAAGGCCTAGATAAGCTTTAAGGTTTTGTAGAAATTAGCCGCCGGGCTTTGTGTTATTCCGAGCCGAGGCCAAGTACCTAACTAGCTCTGCTTAACGAGGCGCTTAGGACGGGCTCCCACTTCCCTCATCCTCCTTAAGAGCTACTCCGTACAGAGCGCACTGGCTTTGCTGTACGCATGGTGGTTAGTGATCTCACCGAACCATGACGCATCCCTCACAAGTTATTCGTGCATTAGCTGAAGACCCTCCATTCACTACACATTTTTCACCCCTTTATGTTGCTAAGAGCAAGGAGGAGCAATTACGGGCTGTTCGACGCCCATATCCAAAGAAATGAGGCCATAATTATGGTATAATTACAGCTCGACGTTCAATGGATTCGGTTTTCTTTTTTTAATGATGATCATCCTTCTGTCGTACGACTGCTTTCTACTAAACAAGAGGGGTATTATCAGAAGAATGTGATTGATGGCCATGAAAATCATTTAGCACCAACAGATGAGAGTTAAAACGCCCACTTATACCGCAATTCTGTCAGTACAAAAAAATAAAGGGACAAGCCGGAGCATAGTGGTACGAAACTGGGGATGGGTGAAAGAATGCAAAAATCAAAAACCGGGACAAATCAAGGTCGTGGCTGAAATGCTCTTTTTTTTGAAAGAAAACCAAACCATCACAGATCAGGGCCAATATGGCGGAGGTGGCCTCTCCTTTTCTGGGCTCTGGGGATGGACTTCTTCCGCATTACTGTCTAGAAGTTCCGTTGTGTCAGAAAAGCCATCAGACGATGGCGAGGGGGGTGTGAGCCCTCTTTCAAAAGTATTCGGCGCCTCTTGAGCCTGCAAAGATGCGTACGACGGAGGGGCACATTCACGGCGAGGTAAATTGTGTAGTGTGTGGGTGGCCCTTAAATGCTGGTCTCGACTGGGCGCTATTGATGCAGAAGCCTTCAGAACACCAGTGTCAGCTGCATTTTGGGATTTACTGGACTACAACTCACTGCCAATAACCCAGCAGCAATACACTGCTCATCTTGCCTCCAAGCTTTGGCATCCTGCTCCTGCCTGACTCTCCATTCGGCTATAGGCATTGCAACCGCTTCGTGCTGACTGCTTGTACTGCCGACAAGTCTGCCGTCATTCCAGATTCCATATCGAAGCATCATGCCAGAAAGTCTTGTCCGAGATATCTGACAATCTTTAATGTCACAGTCGACGAGGATCACACCTTCGACCATGCTATTCTTTAGAGTTACCTGGTTTAGGATACTATTCTCTACATGGCTATCACCTGCCAGATCGCATTGCTTGATCTCGCTCCTTATCACCGCAGCCCTGTTCCTCACCTTGCTTTCTTGAAAATTTGAATGTTCAACATGCCCTGCACCAAGAAATTTGGTCCTTGAAGCGCTCGAGTGCTCCAGGTGACTGTCGTCGGACACACTTGTTGCACGCAGACAGCATCGCTCGACGTGGCTATCAGATATAGAGCAGGAGCCTAGGTCACAATGTTCAATATAGCTGCTTTTGCCATGTTCCGAGAAGATTTGCACGCCTTTAAGCTGTGAGTGGCGGATGTAAGTGGATGACGAAAGGCTGGTGAAAACGCATGACTTGATGTTCGAACGCTCGATAGATGGGTAGTGAGCCCATGTGTCTGGGGTGACCGTGAGATCGTTCACGATGGATCTGCGGGCTTTGGGGACGGTGGATATCATGGCTCGGTGATAAAATGAGTGAGCTGATATGAGTTGGGCGGCAGCCCGAGATGAGATTTCACTTCAATCAGCTGAATAGCTGGCTGTCAGGTTTAGTTATCCCTCCACGAGGAAGCATTGAAGAGAGACCTGTTGAGACCGTACACGTGTGTCTACGATGACTCTACTCTGCTGACAGTAGCCCGAGTTCAGCCATGTTATCCGCGACAGTTGCCGACCCCCGTCCCATCACACTCTCCGTACTCTCGGCATCAGAAGTCCAGAACTGCTGGACTTAGCTTAATGGACGAAAGGTGGCCCATCGCCAGGCCAGAACGCATCCATCGTTTTCTTTTCTCTTTTACTTATTCCGCCACGTCACTCCTATTGTATTTGACTGATAACTTGTTCTGAATCGACCAAGCACATCCAACGGGCCGCCTTGAGAATGCAGACAGGCATGCCGAGCCGGCTTGGCTTACAGCCTCACCCGGCCTTTCATGCCAGAAACGGTGCCTTGGGCAGTAGCACCCGCGCCATTGTCAATCATGCCCAGCTGGCTGACTGGTTTTGACCAATGAAATATTTCCTACCTTGGTGATCTAGCGACCCTGTTTAGTAAGCTATATATAGAGACGCTCAGTTTTAAGAATAAAAATAATATGAGACAAACGGTATGCTACCGTACCGCCTGTAGTTTATTGCTTTATACTCCGTACGTATATCCGTTTCTGGTGGTTGCTGGGGAAGCTTGTTAAATGATCGTCCCCGCCGAACCACGGGGCTGGTGCAGCAGGCGCACGCCGATCTAAATATACGCGGCTCAATGCACGCATGCATGTCTATGACGCGGTGCACCCGTCCATCACTAACTAATGCTGGGGAACGTCCGGCTGCAGGCCCGAGACGTTGGAAATCAGCTGTAAGTCTGCGCGCGGATGAAAGAAACTGGGGCATGCGGCGCGTGGGGCACAGCATGATGCATCGCGACTATCTCGAATTACGAAAGCGTACGGAGTAGTTAGCTGTTTCTGGGGTGACAATACAGGACTGTCGTCGTTATCTACGCATCACTAAGCGGGAGAAAAAGCGGCAAGAGATATCCAGGAGGAGGAAAAATAGGGGGCCCTTTTCTGGCCAGTGTATGTACATACAAAAAAAGCCCCTTCCGTCTCCAGGGTATATGTGTGGGTTGTATATAGTATTTGCCAATAATGGGGAGGCCGGCAAGGGGGAAAGGATTCGAAGGGGCGCCCTCCTTCCCCCACACCCCCTTTTTCCCCAGGAGAGAACGTAGAAACGAAAAGAGATAAATCAATTAACCAAACCCAGTCCTACCCATCCAGTCCCATCCTCCATTCCGGTTACCATTAAAAGAGTGTGGTGTTTTATCTATCCCCCCTAGTCATACAGTGGGTTTGGCGAGAAGAAACCCAGGACTTGTCTTGGCGACGAGATGGGAAGGCAGATAAAGGGGGGGGTTTAAACAAAAGTTATTAAAACAAGAGCAAGAAGACCACAAAAATGGCAGCACCAGGGAAAGAGCCAGTAAAGAGAAGAGAGGCGGGTCGGACGACTGTGGCGGCTTCTGGAGCTTTTCGAACGGTCGATTGTGCAGTGCTTATAGGAAAATCCGTTTCTAGCGAGAAATGAAAGTTGCGAGAATGTCTTTGTCGTGGAAAAAGACCCATGGTAGACGTATGTTTGCCGGGCTATCCCGCTACAGCGAGGACAAAGTAGTGAGGGACAAGGGAGATTCTCCGTGCAGCCAGAAAGGAGATCAAGAAGCACAGCAGCGAAAAGCATCAAAAGCAGACAGAATCACCCGGCCGGCCTGCGTCTTTTCTTGACGGCACCGATCCCCGGGCTGGGGGTTGTCGGAGGTAGAGCAGGCTCTACATGACAATGCATTGGCCGGTGGTGCCCCGGGCGAACATGGGGCCTGTAACTGTTAGCCGGCGGTGTCTGTAGGGGGTGAGATAGGGAGGGACGTACCGGTGGTCTGGGGAGCCTTGGGGGCGACGTAGTTCTCCATTATGATTGAGAAAAGGGGGTGTTTGAGTGTCTCGAAAGTCACGAAGTAGTAGTATTAGCAAACAGGCAAGCTGGTCTGATTCGAGGAATAATAGCCGAGCTGGGTTGGGGAAGAGAGAGAGAGAGCAGCTCAAACCACCAGGGTCTGCGGGCGCTATTTATGGGCTGGCAGCTCGAAGGACGACGAGTGCAGGGCAGGCAGGCCGCAAAGGGACAACGCGCGCACGACTACGGCGGCGGCGTTTGAGGGATTTGCGAGATGTGGCGGCTGGCCGGCGATGGGCGAAACAGAGTCCGTGAACGGAGAGGCCGAGATCGTGGCGTGCAAAGGTTTGACAGAGAGACAGACAGACAGACAGCGGTGATGGAGACGAGCAAGTCAAGCGAAGCGAGAGAGGGAGAGAGCGAGCAAAGGACCGTTCCAGCCGGATCCAGCAGAAAGAGAAACAAACAATAGGAGGCTCAAAGAGACGCGCGAAGAAAGAAAGAAAGGCAGAGCATGCGGGACCGACCAAACAGACTGACAGACAATGTGCAGCAGCGTGTGGATGAATGAGCCATTAAATACAGCGCCGGCGCCGGCTTGGTATTGTGCTGGAGGGGCGGCAGGGTAGGCGAACACGAGCAGAACAATAGGGCCACGGGGGGGCATCTGGGTATCAGGGTATCAGGGGATCTGGGGATCAGGGGGGCAGGCGGGGCATAGCGCGGCGGGCGGTCGGCGGTCTGGCAGGCTGGGAAGAGCGAGTCTGCCCACTGCCATTCTCTCTCTCTCTCTCTTCCCCCGCTGCCCCCCTCGCTGCCCCCTGGGAGATCTCGCCGTCGTGCTGCTTGGGATGCGGATGGGATGCGGTCGAGCCGGCCAATCAGCGCGCGGGGACGTCAATGGGCGGCACGTGACGGGGCGCGCTAGGCGGCTTGCTATTGTAGTCTGCAGGACAATAGAGCGATTTGAGAAGAATAGCGAGAAGAATAGGACGAGCGAAAGAAAGAGAGAAGAAAGAAAGAAAGAGAGAAAGCAATCAATACTACCAGTACGTCCACTCACGTGTACACCTCCTGCGTCAGCGCGTTGAGCCCCAGGCCCTCCTGCGCGATGTCCTCCTCGATCAGGAACATCAGCGGCATCTCCACCAGCGTGCCCTTGACGCGGCTTAGCTCCGCCTTCACCGCCGCCGCCCCGCCCGCAAACTCGTCGCCGATCACGTGTCCGCACGCGTACCGGCTGGGCGCCGCCACCACCCCCTGCCCGCTGTCCGCACCGCCGCCGCCGCCGCCGCTGCTGCTGCTGCCGCCCTGCTTCTGCTGCTCCACCGCCGCCTTGCGGAAGTAGTACTCGTAGAACTCCTTGTAGTCGTTCCAGTTGCGCACGCTGTCGTCCGGCACCGCGTGGAACACCTTGCGGTACACCTCCGTGTTCGTGCGCGCCCGCGAGTTCCACAGGCTCTGGAATCCCTCCGCCAGCGGGTCTGTCACCACCCGGTCCTCCGCCGTCCCCAGCTCGTACGCGTTGCCGCCCATCCCCACCGGCTCGAAGTTGCTGTCTGGCCGCCCGCAGTCCTGCGCCGCCACCAGCCCCAGGTGCTTGCGGCACAGCTGTCGCCGCAGCGTCGCCGCGAACCGGCTCACCACGTACGCCTGCCCGTTCATCGTCGACTCCAGCGCCGTCGGGTCCTGGATCACCACCGCGATCTCCGAGTCGCGCAGCCCCAGCTGGGACCGGTCGTTGATATTCGCGCTGCCGCAGATCACCGTGCGGTCGTCCGCAATCATCACCTGTGCGCTAATTAGCCGCCCAAACATACACCATAACGCCGCACAAAGGAAAAAAAATAAAAATAAAAAAATCCTTTTCCTTACCTTCGAGTGCACGTACAGCTCCTCCGACACAAACGCCTCCACCTCCGACATCGCGTCGCTGTGCTCCCACGGCACCTTCTGGATGTCTTCCCCGTTCAGCATGTAGCACTCCGCCACGCTGTCCCACCGGCCCGGTCGCACCCCCTGCGCCTGCGACTGCGGCACCTGCTGCTTCGCCGCCTCCTGGTACTGTCCGTATGCCGCCGTGGTGTCGAACGCCGGCCGCGACGTCGACGTGGCCGTCCCCGTGATGCCCGCGTTGTACTGCTGCTGCGCCTCGCCGTAGCTCACCCCGCTCTGCTGCTCCGCGCCGCGCATCGCGCCGCTGGCGTTGATCCGGTCGTAGTTGCGCAGGTTGTAGAACCGGATGTAGTCCATCGGGTTCACGCCTTCCTTCGCGATCACCTCCATGATGCTGTGCCCGCCACGGTTGATCGAGTTGTACTGGAACTCCATGATCGCCCGCGTGCCCAGGCTGCCCTCCTCGCGCAGGTCGCCCGCGAACCCCGGGATCGCCGGGATGACCACGATGACATGGAACTTCTGCTTGGCCCGCGCCGCCCGCAGGATACGCTCCACGAGCGCTGCGCCAATTTTGTTCTTGACCGGTGCCTGAGCGTCGCCCGTCGACGTGATGAAAAACTGGTTCTCAATGTAGATGAAATGCTCACTCTCCCGGATGATCGTGCAGTATGCTTCCGCAATCGAGCTCTCCGGCTGCGCCGATCCGTGGCTCCATTTCGAGCAGCTGCGCACGATCTGGCAGCCCACTCTCACCGGTGACTGGGCCTGCCCGCGTTGCCCGCTCAGATACCGGTCCTGATACCGGTGCACCTGTCCGGCCAGCTGTCCACGCAGAACATTGCCGAAATTTGTGACGTCAGACTTCAGCGTGCCAAACCCACGGTTGGCATCCTGCTGCCCGGCTCCGTGGTCAAAAAGGCCGCGGGACGCGTCCTGTCCGGGGGGAGGAGGGAAGTACGGAGCCTGGCTTGACCCTTGCTGTGGTGGTGGTGGTGCTCCTGCTGCGGTGGTCGTCTGAGCTGGGTTGGAATAGGATGTGCCAGACTGCCACTGCGGTTGCGTACCATGCGCTGCCTGCTGCGGCGGCGGGCCTGGTGGAGGTGGAGGAAGCTGTTGTGGTTGCAGTTGAGGTTGGCCTTGGGCGGTGCCCGGCGCTTGTCCAGAGGCAGCAGGGATCGGCGGTTGCTGCCCTGGTGGCGGTGCGTTCTGCCCTTGCGCCCCTGGTTGGTGGAAGCCCATCGAGGAAAGCGGCCGCTGGTAGAGCACCAACTTCGAGTACCGCACGTCTTTTCGCACGTTATACTTCTCGTCGTAGATGAAGTTCCAGCGGTCCACAAACAGCTGTCGCAGGTCCTCCACCACCGGTCCCTGCAAACTTACTGCAACGTCGGTCCACCCGATGCGGGAAAACGTCTTTCGGTCGAGCTCGTTTTTCTCCCAGTTCACAATATCCACGAAGTCCAAGATTCGCGCATTGTTATAGTCTTGCCCTGGGAAAATCGTGTCTTTTATGTCGTGCGGGTGAACGTCCGAAATCGAGTGCTGGTATGTATCCCAACGCCCGAAACAAAGGTCCAAACCACCCATGAAGGCCAATTTTCCATCAACCAAGCAAAGTTTCTCATGGTGGGCCCAGTATAAAATGACATTGTCGCTCATTCCGTACAGCCCTTTCAACGCATCGCCGGACAGCTTCGCAATTCCCGCGGGGTTCAAAGTCATGTTCTGGAAGCCGGACACCACGTTGGAGTGAAGCGTCTTCTTATCAGGGAGATGATCGGGATGACGAAAAACCGCGATATTCGGGTGCAAGTCTTCCAAATGATGTTTTGTATGCGAAGACGACACTAAATTCATCCTTATCAGCGAGGCCTCACCCCGAGGAGAGCTACCATCTTACATGCAAGTGCCTGGGTCACCTCCTTATACACTATGACATTGACCTTTACGCCTCTCTTCGCAGCAGCCTGAAGCATGCGGTCCAGCCGATACTGCTCGTTTTGAGCCGGGGGCCGCCGCAGATACAATTCAGGGGAAAGCCACCCTTTCTCCGGTCAGTATTGATCATATAATATACCGAAGGCACTTACAATCCAGAATCCAAATTGACTCCCTGGCCGTCTCCAGTGCCCTTGAGACAGCCCACATGTACGTACACCCATCCACGTACCACTTTGCATCGTTATAGTCCCTCTCGGGCGCAAAGCTACCGTACCGTGTCTTTTCTCCCGGTTGTGTAGTGCTGGGCCCGTAAGTGGCGTACGCCTGCGGATCAATGCTCGAGCCAATTTTCTGTGCCCATTCGGATCCCATGCCCTGAACTTTCCCAAGGAGTCCAGACACGAAATCTGGCTTGGGGGGTTTCCCACCCTGCTGGTATGGAGGGTTTTGAGTTTGCGGTGCGTTGCCGTAGTACCCTCCCTGCGGCGGTTGTGGTTGTTGTCCGCCCTGTGGAGAAGGTTGGCCGATGCCCTGGGAAGGCGGCTGATTCTGAACTGTATTAGTATGGGGGGAAAGCAGGAGACATCAGGACGCCATACAGAGTGAGGAACCTGCGTATTGTAGTGTGGCTGCTGATACTGGCCCGCGGGTGCTCCTTGCGTGTGAGTTTGATATTTATCCCGAAGTTTGTTGAATGTATCTCCGAATAATGCACGGGTACTTCCTCCTTTACTAGATCCCTGACCTGGCGTATCCCCATAGGCCATATTGTTGTCTTTGCCAGCCATGGCTTTGCCAACAATCGCCGTGGACGCTAGTTACTTGAACGGTGGACAAGAGGTACGGAAGGGGGTTGTCTCAAGCGCAGCCAACTAATAGAACGAAAAAATCCAAGCAAGCAAATCCAAGAACACTATCTGGTGCAAATTGATGTCTGCAAAACTATGCCAATGGTGGGCGGAGCTCACCAGGGTGGTCGTCGCCTTCATATAGGCGTCGCGGTGCCGCGTGAATACGCAACCAAGTGGGGGGAGGGGTGTTCTGTGGCTGGTGGAGAGGCGCAGCACACGGGTCTACTGATTGGCCGTGCTGGATCTACTTCAGCTGGGCTGACGGCTGCTTACTCATCCAAGGTAAAATCTTAAATCAAAGGTTTAAAATACAGGTTCAGCGCTGACAGAACATCCGCAGCAGAGCGCAGATGTAAGTAGCCAATGTGGGATTCTCGAAGGGCAGACCGGCTCCAGAAGCCGCGCACTCTCTACGCATCAGTCATCAATCGCCATTATTATGTCCCTTCTCTAGCACCATGGAACTTGGTAGAGCGTTTCCACCACCCAGATATTGCCCGGAACAAGACAAACAAAGAGCCATACGAGTTTCTATCACGGCGGTTGACATTGACCCGTTCGAGCTGCCCAAAAGCTTCTACGGTTAGCATTGCTGAACCCTTGACGATCGCTAGAAGGCAGAAAGAAATAATGAGAATACTTATACCCGACCTACAATTGGCTCGGACAGGCCAGACGCAGCGAATAGAAACGCTAATCACTAAATTATGTGGCGATTTCGAATCCTTGTTTGCATCACTCTTTATGGATAGGATAGCATAACTTCCGGAGGAGCGACAGGCGTCCCGTGGCTGTTTGTCAAGGTCAGGGTGACCTTGAGTTCCATGGCATCGCGCCCGGTCAGTAGCCAGTCGAGTTGGCTAATTCTCCGGTACAGCAGCGAGGGGAAGTAGAAGAAAAGCGCCCAGACTAGAAGCAAAAAGACCGTCATGACAAAGCCGTTGAACAGTGTCTTTTCAAATAATGTCATGCAGTAAACCCCGGTAGTGACCTCATAACGGTAATAATTGAGGCGGATCTGATCAAGGGCTTGTTTCAGAACGTTTGGACGGGTAGGCAGCCCGCTGGAGTCATGGCGCGTTTTTGTGAGCGGCATTAGGGGAGGTTGCAAGTAATATAATATAGAGGCTCTTAGAAGTCAGGAAACGAGGTGCAACGCGCGTAAAAATAAGAAAAAGGGAGGGCGATGGTATGAAGGGAACATCGGCGGGCAGACGGGAGCTTGTGTTGCTGGAGGTGAGGAAGTCACTCTGTGCGTGTGACGACAGACGCTTCCTCTTCCAGCTCCACCGCTCGTTTGACCACAGAAGCTGTGCCGGAGAAGAACCACTGGGGTGACAGAGAAGGTATTCGAGGCGGAAAAGACGACCAACACTATCTCAAGAGGAGGCAGCGATGGTCGAGGCAGCCCGTAATATTTCTACTACGGAGAACACAGACTACACAGTCTAAACACCAAATAGAAAAGAAATCACCGTGTACAAACAACGGCTCGTAGATAGCAGAACGGGTAAAGATTTCAGCTTCCCCGGTTCAACCGGCCCGGTATCTGTCTCACCTCAAATTCTTGAGGCTTGTAAGGCAGCCATCCTCTGCCCAGTCACTTCAAGGGCAGGTCACGGATAACCGGGTACAGGAAATATTTCTATTGGATGGGTACAGAGGCACTCGAGAGTTTCACGAGCTACGGGTAGACGGGGATCATCAAAACATGACATCTCGCTCACAAGAACTTACTAAATAATAAACGGCTGAAGAAACAATTGGTTACATAAGCGGAGATATATTATTGCTGCGTCGGACTTTGCTGGTTTTTAGACTTCAATCACTTGGCTTTCCGACAGTGTTTCTCGTCGACTATTTACCTAAGCCCTTCATTAACCACGGGTCGTATAAGATTTCGTTAGCTTTAGGCCGTTCTTCCGGTGACCATTTTAAAATCCGCCGAAGAAATCGCAGAAAACCTTCTTTGTCCTCGCCTTTGATTTTATCTGCAAGTTCTTCCAGCGAGTGAGTAGGGATGGGAGCAGGACCTGTCCACTTGCCTTCAACAGAGTGTAATATTAATATCCGTATACTTAGAATAGTAGAGAATGTCTAACGTACCCTGCTCATCCCACCAAATGCGGCCCATTTTGCTTTGTTCTAGAAATATCTTTGGAGGAGGGCCCATGATGGCGATCATTTCCGCAATGTGAATGGAGTCATCAAGAAGTCTCTCATTGTTCCGGGCATTGAATAGGGTGGTGCTGGATACTAGATCCCAACACTAAACAGAGTGAGCACTGCTCAATGCAAATTCAGAAAATCCATACTTACCACCATACCCACACTCCAAATGTCAATCTTGGTATCCCATGGCATCCGCAACACGATTTCAGGTGCTCGATAAACATCTGGCATTACATCCTCCCATGGAAATTTTTCATTTTCTCCAAAAATATGTGCTTCTCCAAAATCGGTAATAAGAGGAAATTTCTCAGTAAGTGGAATCCTTCGGCTCATATAAATGGTACGATCTTCTAGGACCTTTCTAGGCACGGGTGTTTGTAGTTCAGCATTTTCGAAGGTCGTGAATACTTCAGGGCTATCAATATCTATGAGCAAGTTCCGAGCCTGCAAGTCTATCTATAGTTAGAAACAGCCCAAAGAGATGTATTCAGGGGACCACAGAGTGTACCTGTATGCACTATTCTTGCTTGATGTAGAAAGTCTAACGACGCTATGATCTGCCGCAAGGAGCCTTTTATAGATTCTATTCGTAATGTTTGTGAAGGGATGAGATCAAGAATCTGCATTAGACTCAGCCCAAGAGGCTGGTGTACAAGACAAATATGCGGGCCATGCGGGCCTTCTAGTTCAAATGAATCGTAGAGCTTTCTGTGCAGGTCCCTGGCTAGGAAACCTTCGGCCATGGGATACACGGACTCAAGGTACTTGTAAATATCAAGCTCATTGTTTGCTTTATTAGAATGGTTGACACAGATTTTCAAGACGACATGTTGGCGCTTCCTGAGTAAAATTTGGTGGGCTATGAAGAGTCAAGACAAAAGGCCAATGGGCACTTACGCCAAGTCACGCGAAAGCCAAACTGTAGACGAACCCCCATAGCCTACTTTTCCTACAATCTGATATCTGTCCTGCAAAACCTGCCCTAGGGTAGCCGGGTAGTAGTGTTCGGGCTGGTAGGTTGGAAGTTTCTCTTCCTCAATTGGTGTAGAGGCATCAATTTCTTTGAAGCCGGTAGTGGGAAACGTTAGAGGCGAGGTAAAGGCAGGAGCCATGATCTGAATTCGACGGGATTGATAGCAGGTGCGTGCGTGGTGGCAGTTGAAGATGGACGACGCAAAACGGATTTGACGTAGCAGCAAGAATTGAGATGGCATTCTGAAGAAGTGGGATTCCACGACCACAACCCGTGTTTTTATTGCATCGTAAGAGCCCAAATGTTCCGCGTCACCAATATAGGGTCAAATGCCAGAGTCGCGTTTGACGACGCGTAGCTACGTGCCACCCGCCGAGATTTGTTTGCACGGTTTGTTCTGTGGCTGTCCATCTTCAACCGACCAATAATAAAGAAAGAAACCTGCCTCCATTTCACTATTCCACATTAGAATTTCGATATTGTGAATATTTCCCATGGGTTTCAGCTTTACTCATTAGAGTATTCAATAATGTCTATGTGAAGGTTTGACGTGAAAGTATCACTCATCAATAACTAGTTAGTATCTTGGCTTACGTCAGCGGCCGTAACTGCTTGGTTTCATCCTGATTTGACCAACACACAACTGCATGGTCAGCTCACAGAGCCAGTGCTAGTGTTTTGGTGTAGACCATCTCTGCATTCCATTTCTTCTGATACCTGGGCTATTTGTGCACCGATATACTGGTCGACTTTAGCTGCCTAAGCTCTCCAGCAATCCTCGACTCTGAAACACCATGGCGGCCGAAGATCAAGAAGATCCTCTTATCAAGGCATTGCCTCCTGCCAGTGACTATCTGACTTATTTGACTATTCTTGAATATCAATTAACGCCTGTTCGCCTGCCAATACTTCACCGTGTTCTTCAAGATGAGACCCTGACTACTAATATTGGCTGGGATCTTGTACAGCTACTCCTGCCCCTGTTGCCGGCTTCTGAGGATTGTTTGCAGGATATTGCACGGCTTGGGAATCCTCGAGAAGTTATTCTAAGGGTTTCAGATGCCCTGATGACTTTGCAACCGTCATTAGACGAAGAAGAAAACGAAGCCACAGTATCTGATGAAGACTACCCTCAACTAGACACCTCATCGGATTCCGCGGAGAAGCCGGTTCCGCTGCATATTTTACAATTCAACAGTCTTGTTTCCATGCTTACTGTGCTCCATGCCAGGATCAAAACCAAATATCCTAGTCGCTTCATTGCTACATCGCTCCACGCCGCCCTTGAAGCATATACAGAATACCCTACACTTGAAACCACTACAGCGATAGTGGAATTTTTAAGAGACATATCCGGGAATAAAAGGCCTGCCCTTCCGCCCCGAAATGCAAGTGAGCAGCTTATTCAACGTACAACTGGTGCACAGGCTCCAGATCCGGAGGCCGAGGATGAAGCGCACCCGGAAAACTCCACCGCCCAAGAGACCGCCTTAATCCAGAAACTCGTCCAGTTTGGACTTATGGAAGCTCTCAAAATTTTTCTTCTCCATTGCACCGGTAAGGCGCCTCCCGGGATGCAATGGACCATTCGGGTTCAAGAGAAGTTAGACAAGGATTCTGCTCCATCACCATTTGACCTAGGGGACTACTTTAGTCGAATTGAGCATGCAAAAGAAAGAGATACTACAGTTGGAAAGATATTGGTAAGCTTCAGTTTGGGCTACCGCATACTTGTTCTAATGCAACGTCTAGGCATTATCCAGGGATTTCGGACTTGAATCGAAAGATTTACTGCAAGTAGCATTAAACCGTGGTGACAGCGATGCATCACCTCTAGATTTTGAAAATCTACCCAAGTCTGCAGCAGAAATTCCTTTAGAACCCCATGGATGTCTTATTATGCTCGCCGCACGCTATTCCACTGCTGTGCTTTTCGACTCTACACAGCCAGAAACAAATACCTCCGTCTATAGAAACATCCCAAACATTTTTGAAAATTTCCTAAGATCGAACGAGAAAGAAAGCATCAAAGACGTTGCAGCAGAAGCCCCAATTCCACTCCTTGATTCTCTTCTGGTGCTTGCTCTGATATCTATTCACCGTGAACCGAACTCTATGGTGCGAGATGAATATTCATTTAAGCAATTACTGCTTACCATAGTTGCGTGTGTCAGAGTCCCCAGCATGCGACGATTAAGCCGCGTTGAAAGAGTGCCTTTGGCCTTGTTCCATACTTACCCGAATGCCCAGACTAAATACGACCTCATTTTTTCTATATTCAGTGACGATGAGCTTCAATATGCCAGGGAACCAGCGATAAGTTGGCTCAAACAGGAACTGCTTAACACAACACAAGATATCGTAGAGTCAGTCATACCTAATCCATTTATGAAGTCCGACTCATTTTCTACCCTTTTCCGAGCCATCTACAAACCTCTTCCCAGCAGCTATTCATCCCTATCCTCCCTATCCACTTCAGCTTTATTTGCCGAAGTGATCAATTTTACCCAACATGATTCTACTCTTTATATCTCTGCGCTTAACTTTTATTATCTGCTCTGCAAATCAGACGTCTTAAGACAGGGCTTGAAACTCCAGGAGCTGAATGCTGGATTCAGAAGAGACTATTTGAATCCGATGAAAGCGTTTGCTCAGAGTCTCACCAAGGATCCTACGATTGGTGAGAGAGTTGAAAAGGAGTTTGATGAAGGATTGGCACATATGTCGAAGTCGGTGGCAGATGTTGTGTTGCATGTTATCGGGGAAATTGAGATAGTGGAATGGGAGGATTCAACACACTCAGCATAGCGTTCTGGCTCGCGATTATGTGAGAATTATGTATGTGTCCAGATACCCGTTTAAATATAAAGCTATCAGACAACCTCATAAGAAATCTAGATAGATTTGTCTTGCCTACTATATGCCAATTGGTTTCTCCCGTAGAGGATTGAATGCATCCGGATTTACCTTCAAGTTCATTGTTGTTCAAATATACGAGGACAGAAATTGACCTCTAAGAGAACCATGCCTCCTGTATTAGAACGTCGTGTCTACTGCTTCACCATCTGCTGTCATAAAGAGAGTTCCTTTCACGAAATAGGGCGTATAGTAATGGAGGAGTTCTCCCTGAAAAAGATCGTTTATTACCTCCGCACGCGCACTTCTGGCCTCTGCAATACTCGCGGTCGGCCCGTCTGCGAATCGATAAAGACAGAACCCCTAGTCCCGGGAATTGGGATATTCCTATTCATCAACCCGCGGCGAAAGCGCTCGACGTAGGGGTTGTCTTCCAGGGGCTCAGAGTTGAAAAACTCGACCAATTCCCTCCTCAGCTGCCACGGCAGTGCGAAGATTATGTCCCGGAACTGGCTCGCACTGCTGGTGTCGGGGTGGCCGCGTTCGGGCGAGAGCGGGCGGTCGCTGGCGTCGGTGAATCGCAGAGAGTTGATGAGCACGCCTTCGAGGCACCGCAGGTCATCTGGGGAGACGAGGGTCAGGCCGCGTCGCTCCATGATGTTTTTGAGCATGCCGAGACACACGAACTCCTGGTGGGCGCGGCGGGTGCGCTGGCGGACGGCGGCCTGGTCCTCATCGGCGGGGTTCATAGCGGCGAAAGCTGGTGGGCAACGGATAGACAGAGGAGGGGGCGTTCATCCTCCGTGGATAGACGTGCACTCACTAGACGATCTAGGACCGTGTAGTTGAGCAAAGTATACTCCGTATACTCTGTACGTATACTTCGTAAGTGAGTGTTGTTCTGTCCAGATGGAGGAGCAAGTGCCACGAAGGTGACGTCATCAAACCCAGAGATCTTCCCAACAGCCTCCATGCGGCCTCAACACGCCTTGTTAGGTTATTAGCACCCATTAAGGCTTTACAGACTGCGTTTATAGCAATAAAGTTGCTGTTTCACAGCTGAATTTGGCTACGGTAACGACTGCAGCTATCCCAAATAAACGTGCCACACGGGCATCCTATAGTTAACCTTTCATCCAGGCCACCTCCCCTTGTAGCAGTGCAACCGCAAAAGCCCGGGAAACATGACCAGCACATCGTATCATCCTACTACAAATCTTCCTGAACAACCAATGCCTGAACTACTCGAATTAAGCTCCCCCGCTCAATAAGACGGACCGGGATGGTACGAGCAAATTCCGCCCACTTCTGTTGGTCAAATTCGTAGTATTTGTCGAAATAGCGAAATTCGATTTTAGAATTCTCATGGTCTAACGCTTCGGGGGACACATTGTAAAACAAAGCGAGCACACCTGTCTCATCATGAGCAGAGTTCTTATGAGCAGCACTTGGAGAAGGGTGACTTACGGCCTTTAGCTACTTGCTCGTCCTCGCTCTTACCATCCGGCAACAACACAAAATCTTGGGTGTGGTAAAACGTATTGTTAAGACCAGGGTGCTCAGCAATGATTTGGCTCACTGTGGTGAGGCAAGCCACATAATTCTTTGAAACAATTGAGTAGCGTTTTTGAAGGGTTGCGCGAATCGTTTTGAGCACGTCAACGGTTTTCACGATCATAGTCTCTGACTCTGGTGTATCCTTTACACAACGCAGCCTAGGATGAAGTGAGTAGAGCGAAATTATTCACATTCCATTCAACAGCATGGGGAACATGTTTACCATGGCTCGGCAGTAGAACGGAGAACGTTAATGACCTTGGTGCGGAACTGGACTCGCTCTATCGTTGACTTAAACGAAAGGTCGGAGGGAAGCTTCCCTGCCGCGAGGGCCAAGTCTACTTGGCGCTCAACCAACGCCAGTTCCCACGCAGTCCACTTTCTCATAATAGCCTTTTGGTCATCAAACATGGCTTGCTTGGGCTTATCAAGGGCGCCGGGAATGTAATCGAAAAAGAACATGTACGGAAGTCCCCAGTCGGTGGAAACGTCCACCACTGGGTTGTACTCGTTCATGTTCAAGAGCGTGGAGGCGTCGATATCAGGAAGATTCGCCATGATGTTGGATATGCTTCAAAGTACAAAAAATGTTTGGGCACTCTGGTGATGTGTTCGAGGGCTGTGGTGCCATATATATAAGAAATAGTTAGATGAGCGATGCAGTTTTGCTGCTTCCCTTGTGACCCACCCTGCTGCGTGGGGAGTGGGTGTTTATTGAACAGTTGGCTTGGATTTGCGAGGGCGTTACACATGGATTGAAGCGAAAAAATCAGCTACGACAATATTGCCTTTCAGTATAGAGTTTTCGATGTGATCCCGGGAATGCTCAGGGCCAGTATGATTGCGCGGCTGCTGCGCAACCGAACGAAGAGCGGGATTAGGGTGTGGTTGTCAATATCTTCTGGACTGTCAATTGGCAGGCAGGTATAGATATGAAAAGCCATCTAAGTTGGATAGAGTCGCAATGGGCCCCATTATCTGGGAGGACCCCCTCGTGACTCTATCTTGCGCTCCACACGGAATGGACCAACTCAGCGCATCGGATAATATAGTTCCAGCCGGGAAAGTCTTAGGCTTTCGAATCCAAGCGCCCTTTTTGATCAAAGTTCAATTGCTTTTGGTTGGTATGAGTTGGGACACAGGTAATGGGCCCCCTCTCTCGTTCCAGGTAGCTAGGCTCTAAAATGGCCAGCATGCAAGTTGTATGCATCATGCTGGAAAGAACAAGACACCTGGGAAATATGAAACCCTTAGGCTAGATACGAGCCGCCAGCCAATGGTATCAAATATTATGAAAACTGGCAAGCCACTCAGCTGCAAAGGTGACCACGTTATTAGGTGTAGCACTCTGTAGGCTTAGTCTTCTACACTCCTCTGCAGCTCTGGTCACTCATTAGTGAGTTGAACTGGAAACAAAACTATTTCTTTTAAGTATACTTCTCCTTCCAGTCAATTTTGGGGGTCTTTTCGTACCGTTCAAAGTTGCGACCTTGACGAAGCATCATCCGGGCTCATAACTGTCTAACAAATAATCGACTGAGCTAAAAACGCGGCCACCTTATTAGGTGCCGCACTATGTGAGCTTAGGCCTCGTCTTACACATCTTGTCCAGCAGCTCGTGGGGGGCCAGATGGGAGCAAGGAAGTAGGACCGCAGCCGGAGCGGACAGGAGAGGGATGGTAGGACTGTCGACACCACCTGCGATGGGACTGAACACAGATAAGGTGGGCGAAGCCAGGGGGCAGAAAGCCATAGGCAGAGAGGTGTTTAACTACATGGAGGATACATCGCGATTGCCTCTCGCGTCGCCTGCTGCTGCCGCTTTAAGATGTGGCTGGGGGCCAAGAGGCGGCGGCGGACGCCAGCGAGGTGACGTCAGGCGGTGGCTGGGCGCAGACCCACCTGCTCCTTGCGGAACATTGCACCGCCCCCTGTTTCAGCCCGGCGCTAGGCCAAATCGGGCGCCGTGTCTCTCTTCACGCGCGACGATCGCCAACCAACGTCTTGTCTGCCTATCTCTCTCTCTCTCTCTCTTTCTCGCTCTCCTCCAGCCTTCTACGAGGCTGCACTCTCCCCTTGGCTCCTCGTCATCCAGCTCACCAGCCTCGCCCATGCTGGCGCTACTTCGCTCGCTTTAGCCTTTATCTTCCCGTCGTTCTCCCGTCTCCATCTCACTCTCGCTATTCAACCATGGCCGCAAACGAGTACTACAACCAAGGCCACCAGCAGCCCTACGGCCACCACCAGGCCGCCCCGTCTTACGTCAATCATTATGGCCCTAAACACAGTCAGTATCCAACCTCAGATAATAACCTCGCTGCTGGGGGAGGGAAATACCATTCCAACGAGTACGCAGATGATATCCCGTTGAAACCAAATGCGTCGCAACCCGCGAGACCCGAGTTTGCAGACGTAGAAACACAGTATGCCCACGCTTCTCCGCAGCGCGAACCATCCTCCAGCCGCTCGAAGCGAAAGCGCCACAGCCGATTCAAGAGAATGCCCTGGGTCGTTTACATCACGTCTGCCATCCAGGTTGCCGTCTTTATCGCTGAGATCGTAAAAAACGGTAGGTTGTCCATCCCTGGTGCACACACACTCTCTCCCTCGACCCCCATGCTAACCCCGATCTGAACAGCTCAGCTGACCGGTTCTCCTATCATGCTCCGACCCCAGTTCAACCCAATGATAGGCCCCTCGCCCTACGTGCAGATCAACATGGGTGCTCGTTTTGTGGCCTGCATGCGAAACGTGAAAGGTGTACAGGATTCCCCTCAGGTGATTCCTTGGCCATGTCCGGGCACGACCACCAACGATCCAACGAGCAAAGATAATCAGTGCACCCTCTCTGAACTATGCGGGCTCGGGGGCGTTCCGAATCCGAGGGCGGGTGGCTCGATCAACGATAAGCCAGAACCCAACCAGTGGTTTCGGTTCATCATCCCCATCTTCCTGCATGCCGGCCTTATCCACATCGGTGTCAACCTTGCCGCGCAGATGATCATCGGAGCAGATATGGAAAGAAGTATTGGGTGGTGGAGATTCGCCATCGTCTACTACGCGAGCGGCATTTTTGGATTTGTATTTGGTGGAAACTACGCAGCTCCTGGGATCGCCTCCACCGGTGCCTCAGGGTCCCTGTTTGGAATTTTGGCACTGTGCCTACTCGACTTGTTGTACAAGTGGAATAGCATCAAGAAACCTCTCGCGTATTTGTTGACGATGCTGCTCGCCGTGGCTGTCTCGTTCGTACTCGGATTATTACCCGGCTTGGATAATTTCTCGCATATCGGCGGGTTCTTGATGGGCCTAGTGCTGGGCATCTGTTTATTGCGTTCGCCCGACACGTTGCGTGAGCGGATTGGTGTCTCCACCCCCTACATGTCCATGAGCGGGGCTTCTACCGAAGGGTCCAAGCGATTCGTGAAACAACCAGTGGGATTCTTCAAAGGACGAAAGCCGCTTTGGTGGGGATGGTGGTTGCTTCGTGCTGGTGCCCTGGTTGGCATCCTCGTTGCCTTTATTTTGCTGCTGAACAACTTTTATAAGTATCGGACCACGTGCTCTTGGTGCAAATACCTTTCGTGCCTGGTAAGTCCTATCCTAATCTATCACCATGTGCGAGTGCTGAATGACCATTTTTTCACACAGCCGATCAAAAACTGGTGCGACGTGGGAAATATCAGCCCAAGCCAAAGCTCAAATCCGAATTCCCGCCGTGCTCTCTGTTCTACCCTGTCACCCTAAAACTACACCGCGCTGTGCAATACGCGTTTTGCTCGAATCTTTCTTCAACCAAAACGAAATACTCTATGCGTTCATATCTAACGACGTCATGCCCTAGTTGTAGTTATTTTTTATTTGGAGATGTTTTATAGCCGCGCAGCATATATTTTACACTTGGAACTGGCACGTTTTTAATAAGCGGTTTCGCCCTGCAGAAAAATTCAGAGGCTCTGTGGCGTTTGGAATGGCTGGCGTGGAAAGCTGATGATGCAACTTGTGGTTTGAATCCATTGCCTTTTGCGGCGAGTTCTGCTGGTTAATGTTTTGAAGCGGGTTCGATGAATAGTTGCATTGTTTGTTGTATGTATATCTTGGGTCTGAAATAGACAAGAACATTGAAATCCATTATCGATAAGGCCGCCAGAACCCCTTTCTCGTCCGTGCTTAGGCACTGGCGGTCTTCCACTCGACGTCCTGCCCTTGGCCCTCCACCCACGGCAGACAGGCATTCCACAGGCTCCGGAACTCGCCATTGCCAACGGCCATCACCTTCTCCCAATCATCCTGGTTGATGCGCGCATAGAAGGCCAGGAAAGCGACGACGAGAAAGTCGGCGTAGCCAGGTGTGTTGCCCTCAAAGAAGGGGCCGGTCTTGGACTGGCCGGGCACGCCGCGCAGCATGGTCGCCAGGCGGGCCAACCCCCCCGAAACGTCGTGCCACACACGCTCAAGCTCGGCGCCGTGGGCGGCAACTTCGGCGAGCGGCTTGCCGAAACGCTCGGCGCGGGTGCGTAGGAAGTACTCCTGGCCGCGGGGGTCGAGGTAGGCGGGCACCTTGGGCATGAGGATGGGGATCTGCTTGATGGTGACAGCAGTGATGAGCTCCAGCACGGCGACGGCGAGCGGGTAGCTGGCGGAGGTGGGGAAGAGCGGCGGGTGCGCCGGGGCGGGGAATGCGGCGTCGAGGTGCAGCGCAATGGGCAGGCTGTCGTTCAGGGCATGGCGGGTGCCGGTGGACGAGTCGACGATGGCGGGCAGCGTGTAGGGCAGGGCCTGGTTCTCGAGGGGCGGCACGCCCAGGCTCTGCAGCAGCGGCGCGATGTCTGGATAGGAGACGAAGGACTGCGAGTAGGGAATGCGCTTGAAGTTGAGCACCAGGCGCGTGCGGAAGGTGTTGGGCGACCAGGCCTGGAGCGAGCCTCGGGCGGCGCTGGCGATGTCGAAGAAGTGGACGGAGCCGGCCATGAAGGATAGAAGACAAAGAGTAGAGAGAGCGAAGCCAGAGAGATATGGAGAGAGAGAGAGAGAGGGATGAGAGATTGGAGAAGGATAAGATAGTGGCTAACTAACTATAACTATAAGTTAGGTGTAACTATTGAGCGGGCTAAGAATGGGCAGCAAGCAGTCAACGACAGAGACAACGACAACAAGATGCAACCTCGAGTCCCAACAAAGACGATCTGCTTCATAACTAACTAACTACGCCTTCAGCGACTGCGTCGCCCGAAACTGCTGGGCTGCGCGGTCGTTCGGCGCCGCATCGCCAAACCCGCACCCGCCGTCCTGCTCCTGCGCAACCACCGGCCCCGCGCACAGCCCCGTCTTGAACCCGCAGCAGCCCGACGCGCAGTCGGCGTCGTTCTTGCACGGCCCGGTGATGTACTGTTTGCCCGGCGCGCTGGTGGGCGACGGCATCGTCGTGCTGGGGGGCGTGCTGCTCGTCACCGCCATGCTCAGCGTCGTCGTCGGCGTCTCGTGCAGCTCATCGTTCATGGCTCCCGTGGGCCCCGTCCCTGACGGCATCAGGTTGGCTCCCCGGCGCAGTCTTACGCCGCCGTGTCGGCGAGACTGGTTCCGGCCGAACCCGCAACCGCCAAAGCGCTCTTCGTCCAGCAGCGAGCCCGCGCATCGGGCGTTCTTGAAGCCGCAGCACCCAGACGCGCAGTCGACGTCGCTGGTGCAGGGGCTCCCGGATTTGTTGCCGGCAGCAGCAGCAAAGAGGAATGCTATGCGGCCCGTTAGTCGACGCCCCCACAAGTGTGTGTCAGCTATGGGCTCACTATTGAAGAAGAGAAGTGCGACGGCCGCAATGACGGTTTGAATAACAATACGCATCCTGGAAACTAGATCTTGGGACTAGAGGTATAGAGAGAGAGAGAGAGAATGCCCTCTGGATTGATAGCTTGATATAGATATGCTGGAGATGATGCCGGTCTGTGTGAAGCTCTGTTGTTTGGGGATCGAGCGAAAGACAGAAGCCGCCCACCGTCTCTTATGTTGTCGGCCCATCGCGCGCGGACAGTGCAGCCACGGCTCTGCAGACGCTTTGGGAAGCTCCCGCCGATGCAGAGGCAGTTGCGGGTGTCTGTCGCGTTCGAGATGAGTGGCACACGACTGCGGAAGCGCCGCGTGGTTGGCTGCTCGATGGGGCAGTACGTCCGCCGCTCGGGGAGGAATTTCATCTCAGTCTACCTGTTATATTGCTGGAATCTACGCAAGCAATGAAGCGTGTATTCACGGCTGGAGACAGAGGTTCGAAATATGGAGCCCCGGAAGTTTCAATTACTCTCACAGATAACGACAGTGCTACATCCAAGAAGTCGTCTGGTACACCCAAGACGGCGATCATTTTGCCTCCAGAGACCTGCGGTGAGCCATGGCCACAACCTTTCACCAGCAGACATTATCCTAGAATAGTACGGGATGCTCAGCAAGAGAATGACTGCCCTTTAGGCCTTCAGGCCCGAAACACGACATCTCATCCATGCCTCTGCCGACTTCCAACTCAGCAATTTCGGGAAATATCTGAGAAAGGTGAGCAAAGAGCGGCAACAAAGAAAAGAGAAAGAAGACAAGAACTTAGAAACGTACCACCACCGTAAATGGCATAAGTGTCGGCATTGAGCAGCGCTTCTTCACGCGTAAGGCCGAGGATACCATTGTATCCATAGCCATAGTCATTGGTCTCTGGGTCGTATATGTTTTTCATGTGGGTCATTTCGTGGAGCATAATAGTCGACTGATCGGTAGCGTGGCAAGCCGTATCGGCAACAGGGTAAGCGACGAAGTAGCGATCGCAAATTGTGATCAGGTTCGCCCATCTGTTGGCGATGGCATTCACTTTGCCCTTACAGCGGTCGTTGAAGCCACATCTGATATTAATAATTCCGCTGTTGATGGCACTGGTTTCGTTGGAGATGGCTCGAAATCGGGCTGCAACGTTTTTACGATCCGAAGCAGCTGTGGTCTTGAAAAACGTTTTGAAAGTTTCCGCTGAGCCGCTTGTTGCCCCCTTATTACCGGCGTTGGAATATTCGGTCGCCTTGGCCAGACATTTTGAAAGCACTGACGTCTGTGTTTCGTTGCAGGTGTCCAGGTAGAATTTGGACCGCTTTTCCAGCCCTAATCTTGCGGCACTCTTGATTCTAGAAGCAGCTTTACCATCAACCTTCAGGTTAAGATCGTTTGACCGATAGTGAATCATTCCTAAAAATTTTGTGCTTCCAGGGCTAGCGAGCAGGAATATTCCTTTAGAGAGCACTGAGATAGAGCCACCCGCGGCGAGATCTGCTGTCTCAGCAAGATCAAAGGTGTTATTGGTGGAGTCTCCAGGTTTAAGAGTGGTGAAGGCATCGGTGGGTAACCCTTGTAGGTCATAATGAGCAAGGAGCCCTTCGAATTCCATCATTTTACCTAGAAAACATCGTCAACTAGGCATTGTCTCGGGGTTCTGCCGATGTTCTCTACCTTCTTTATATACCGTAGCTCTCTCGCACGGAAAGCTGTCCAGTACAGTATTCAGCTTCATGAGCGAAATTGGATCTTTGCCTGTGTTGGTCACGACAGCATTCACCATCGTATTTCCAACAGCGCTGAGTTGGACCCTGATGAGGTCATTGCTGGTTGGTGCTTCGCGAGGCAACGCAGAGGTAGCCGTTACCAGCAGGGCGGCAAGAATAGTAGCAGCAAACATATTTCATAGAACGTAAAGAACTTGTGGAAGAAACAGTAAGCAGAAACAGTTCAAAGGGAGAGATTAGATGTATCGAAAGCATTCCCTTGAAATCATTTACCATGCACATGGTGGTTTATTTATATTTTTCCAGTAAGATTCATCGGGTGGCCATGGTTCATTAAGACAAGCCCACTTGGTGACGCCATGGAAAAACTAGTGGCACGGGTAGAGTAGAGTGCAGCTGGAAAAATTATTTCTTGTGCCGCATTGAAGCATTCAACCGTGGCCCACCGTAATAGTGCGCCATGTCTCTTCGACAAAGAATGTGCATGAATACGTAGATACATAGCTTGGAATTCTCTGTGGCAGGCAACCCATCTCTCACTTGGTGATGGAATTGATAGGCCGTGTCGACGTACCGCAAGCGCAGAACCTTGATTTAGTCTTGCGACATGATGCCCACCCTGCACTTGATACTGAATCAAGGTGCTGTCAATAGAGCGCGATTGAAAAGCCTCGGGCGCGACGGCAAAAATATTCCGTGCTGGGGACCTTGTAGGTAGCTAGGCGAGGGTCGTTTTAGTGGAGATACCGGCATGCATTCGATTTTGTAGGTAATCGAAGTTCCAAGAACAGTGCCGAACGCCAAAAATATGCGTTCTTACGGGGTACTCCTGAGCGGGATATGAGAACTAGTGGAAAATTTTATCTCGGGGTCATGTCTCAGCCCGCCTTCCTTGAGGAGATGTCTTCGAAAGACGGGTATTTCTAGATATGCGGGTTTCAATTGCTCCCATCACAGTTATTCTAGTAGAGTGGAAATCGCAGTGGATCTGATATCCTATGGAATTTTGTGGCATCAGTGTAGCGTTTTCAGGGCGACGGGAAACCGATGCCTCATGCCAACGTCGCCGCGGGGGAGGGAGTGGGGATCCGAAGTTTAGCACCACAGTAGGAGTATGAATACATGAAAACAACAGGGCACGCTGAAGCTGACTCGGGTTGCGTCAAACTCTCGCGGAAATTGTCTGTTTGTCGCACTTAAGCCAATCCGCAAAATAAATAATAACTCGACAAGTAGTTATGTAACTACTTCGAATCACTTTAAACCTTAATAGTCAAGGTAACGGCATTGGCCAGCAATAATATCAGTATATAATCAACGCAGACCTTGTTTTGACTCTCAAGACGTCCAAGGCCGTGAGCTAAGCACGCGGGGCTGGTTGATACCACGCCTTGGGCATTTACCTGCTGGGCATTCGTCGTAGTTGCTTTGAGGATGTTGTCCAGCAAGGCCTTCGCATTCTCTCAGGTGAGGAAAGCTGGCGAGGAAAGCTGGCGAGAAGAAGTTAAAGATTGGACAGCGGAATCTCGGTTGGGCATCAAGGACAACATGCTGTAACTAAGCCAGATTAGGAGAGTCAGACTGCATAAGAGCCTCCGAAAAACAATAATAACTCTCCAAGAAACTGAGAGTCAGCGAGGTACTTATGCTATGCAGGTGAAGAACACAGAGAGCAGAAGAGCCAACAGATAAAAGGTGCTGAAAAAGAGTGCAATCCTGCTAGAAGGTGATCTGCCGAGGAGGCGCTCCCCCTCGACATGAACGGTACTCCGTACTAGTAGCTGGCCTTGTTGCTGGACACCGCAAGATGAGACGCGTCACTGTTCCGTGATGACTAATTAAGGATAGTCGAGTCGAGCTTCGCGACAACGCTGGGCAGACATCGCTGCTGCACCGCCTCCCGCTCGTTTCTGGCTTGTCATCTTCTCTGCTCCAACTTGGTTTGCTCTCAGCTCCTTGTTCCGCCTGTCGCTTTGTTACCGAACGCCAGTGTTGTGCCATCAGTCGAGCCCCCTGCTCTGGACCTGATCCCAACAGACCACCTATTTCTCCCGCCATGTCGGGGCAATCGCGCGACTGAGATTGGCCTATCGCTTCACAACCCGAATATGGACGCCTTCAGTTCCGCTTGTCCAGATTCTCCAAGACCAAGACACCCCACGAAGCGGCGATCTAATCGGTGGTTGCGAAAGTGTGAGCGTTGCATCTGCACTTCTGCCAAATACTTCCCTCTCGCTTTTGTGTACGGCCTTACAACATGGGCGGTATGGGTCCAGGCCAAAGTCGGGTTTGGATATTCAAGGAGCTCCTGGACAGGTATGCCGCCCGCCGCTTGGGCGAAACCGTTGCACTGGCGTTGTTTGACAACCTCGCGCTCCCCCGGTTCTCTGACAGCGTGAAAGCAGGCAAGTTCAGTGCTTTAGTCGGCATAGTCTTCTACCTCTGCCTGAATAGCTCGTATACGGTTGCCGTTTTTACTGATCCTGGATCTCCGGTTGCCACACGAAACCGGCATGCCTACAGCCATCTTCCCACCATAGAACCTCCGGCGTACAACGCGTTAACAGTCAGCTCTACCGGTGGCACGAGATACTGTAAGAAATGCCAATCGCCAAAACCAGATCGAGCACACCACTGCTCAACGTGTAAAAGATGTGTTTTGAAGATGGACCATCACTGCCCATGGCTGGCAACCTGTGTTGGATTCTACAATTACAAAGCCTTTGTTCTTTTCCTAGGATATACGTGCCTGTTCTGTTACGTCTGCTTTGCCGTCTCGGCAACGTGGGTATGGACAGAAATGCTTACGGATACTCGCTACATGGAGCATGGATTCCCAATAAATGTCATTCTTCTGGCCATCATTTCAGGCGTGATTGGTCTGGTATTGACTGGCTTCACTGCTTGGCACGTAAGCCTTGCATGTCGCGGTTTAACGACGATCGAATGCCTGGAGAAGACGAGATATCTTTCGCCTTTGAGGAAGACACTAGATAACCAAAGACAACACCTCGTGTCTTACGATGGACGGCAAGATAGTCGGCTCGGTAATACTCTACATAGCTATGGGCAACAGTTGTTGGACATGCATGCCAACGCCATACCCGGCGTGACTCGAGAAGAGGAAGGTGAAGAACGACCATCTCCAACGATTTCCACTCGGCGACCAAATCCACCGTACGCGGCCGAGATATATAATCCAAATGAGCATACGAATGATTATCTATCGCCTGCACAACAATCTCTCTACCGATCTTACGAAGAGTTGGAACGACATCGAGAGCGGGATAGGTACGAAGAATACCTAGATGAGCAGGACTCAGAAAAATTACCAAATGCGTTTGATCTTGGCTGGCAGCGAAATCTAGCGCATCTATTTGGTACCAACCCGCTGCTCTGGTTGCTCCCCATCTGCACCACTACCGGGGATGGATGGTACTGGGAAGCAAGCTCAAAATGGCAGGAAGCGAAGCATGACATAGAGCAACAACGCTTAACCCGCTGGGAAGAATCACAATTGGCCGGAGCGAGGTATACCGGGAGACAAAATTGCTCACAAGGCCATTATCCAGATTATCGTAATCACAACGGTGAAGGCCTCTACGATAGATCTGGTGAAACACTACAGTCCCCTGCTGGTGTCTCTATGAGAACCCTTCCGCCCAGATCTTCGCGCCAACAAACTTGTGGTTATGAGAGTGATTCGGATACTGCCTTGGATGGCTATAGTATAAGTTACGATGAGCGCCTAGGAGTTCGAAGCTTAAGTTCTGGGGCTCAGGCGGCCACAAGTTAGTCAAAGCCGTTGGAGCCTGTTATTATATAAATGGAAGTGCTTGGTAACCGCGGGTTTGTGGCGTCTGAGAGGGCAATATTTCATACTTATGCAATTTCTTGAACTCTGTTGCAATGGTCTTAGTAGGCTGGCATTTAAGGACTGTTTGGATATACGGCCATTTTATTATATATTACTACGAGCAGTGGTTGGTCTCTTTTTACCTCATCATCTCAGACGCGTGCTGTTAAGGTTCTTTAGCGCGAATTTAGTGTTTTGAGCTAACCCATTTGGGTAATTTGGCCAGAACCTGACCAGCACAGCATCTGAGCTGGTTTTCAGCTTTTTTGCAGAGTCACACACATTGAATTTACTGCTCCAAGAACTTAATATGATGTTTTTTTATCTAGACTTCATCTATAATTATGTTTAAATTTACTGTAGAGCTTCTTGTTCAATCTGCTCTGCATTGTTAAATTTTTCTGTTTGATTACTCAATTGAGAAATATCAGTTGATCAGCTCTAGTTATTCTATAAGAGCAGTATGTACATAAACATATCTTCTCTCTGAATCAGTGATCTTTCAGTGCTTATCTGTCTTCTTTGTAGACTTATTCAAATCTTTATTGTTGAGATTTTGTGTCATCTGTTTTTGTGCAATCTTTTTGACTCTGTCTCACTTAATTCTTATAACATCATTACTTTCAGCTGAATATTGTTTAAATTCTCTGATCAACTAGACTAGTGATTTTTTTATTGAAGTATGCATTTTTTTTTCAACTTTCTGCTCTATGTCTGTTATGCTGTCTTATTCTGAATTGATTAAAAATAAAGTATGCATTGTGTTGCAAGAGTTCACAGAAAGCAGTGAAGAAGAGATGAATGCATTTAAGATAGTTTAAAGCTACTCAATGATCTGATCCTCTAGTACTGAAGACAAATTCTGCTCACAATGATAAATGTTGAGTTTCATTGATGATCTTTATGAATAAATTAGAGTGATGTGTGCATGCAGTCAGTATCATTAAATTAGTCTTTGATTATTAGTTCAGAAAGTATCAGTTGAATGCACTCACTGTGCTTTTCTATTAAAGAAATGATCTTCTTCTCATTGCAAAGATCTCATTTTGTGAGAATATCACATTCTCAAATATAATCAAATTTATATACTATATATTGTCTTATATAACATGTGTATAACATGTATAACTTCTATAACATTTACAGAGTCATATACATAAATCTTGATTAAATA